AACCCCAACCCCAACCCCAACCCCAACCCCAACCCCAACCCCAACCCCAACCCCAACCCCAACCCCAACCCCAACCCCAACCCCAACCCCAACCCCAACCCCAACCCCAACCCCAACCCCAACCCCAACCCCAACCCCAACCCCAACCCCAACCCCAACCCCAACCCCAACCCCAACCCCAACCCCAACCCCAACCCCAACCCCAACCCCAACCCCAACCCCAACCCCAACCCCAACCCCAACCCCAACCCCCATTAATTTTTATAAAAAATAAACTTATAATTTTTAGATTTATATTAAATAAAAATGGTAATCTCATAAAATAGTAGCTAGGTATATGAGATTTAATCTAATATACTACAAACAAAAGATCCATAGAAATATTTAGAAATTCAGAAGATTTATTTTTTATTTATGAATTTAGAAAAATAATTTTAAATTTACAGTGGTATTTTTAAAAAAAAGTTTAAAAAATTAAAAACAATTCTTAAACGTAAATTTTAATTCTAACTTTTTTATTAGCAACGAAATATCTGAAAATAAATTTAGTAAATAAAAATTTTAATGGTATTTTATTCAAGTTTAAGATACTTCTTATTTATTTTATTTGTATTTTTCAATTTTATTAATTATATTATTTCTCTATTAGTAAAACTCCAAAATACACATACATACATGTAAAAAATTTTATGTGATTTTATGATAATTATTTTTTTAGGCATATCTATTTTTTTTAAAGTAATAGGAATCTTCACCTTTTTTGATTATATAACAATTTTCTTCAATTATTTAAATAAACAGTATTTAATTTAATGTAAAATTTATATTGATTGTGGTGAGATTGATATCTACCTAATAACTCTATCTAATATCTTTAAAACTCTACTGATTTTATTTATCTTCGCCAAAATGTATAATAATTATAATAATAATACATTTCAGAATTACCTAAAACATCAAAAACTAAAAATAAGCATTAGTAATGTCTGAAGTTAATTAACCTTTACTCAATTAAGATCGTGGTTAGATATCTTCTTCCCATAGATATCCCATTAAAAAGGAGGAATTAAGCGATTTTTTCTAATTTGATAACATTAGAGATGGGTCATCACTTTAAAAGATTGAAAAGCTTGGATCAATTAATGGTCTTAGTTAAGCTTTAAAAACTGACTTAAAACAAGGTATAGCTAATGAATCTATTGTAGAAAGAATCTAAACCTATGGAGCAAACGAAAGAATTGAAAAGCAGCCAAAAACATTTTTCGAGTTAGTAGTTGAGTGCTTAGAAGATGATACTTTAAGACTCTTATGCGGAGCTTCCTTTGTATCCTTAGTGATTGGCTGCATCAGGGAAGGCTTAGCTGAAGGATGGATTGATGGTATAGGCATATTTATAGCTGTGTTTATTATTGTTACAATTACATCAGTAAACAATTACATGAAAGAATAGTAATTTAGGAGATTAAATTAAATTGTTGCGTAAAGGAGCGTGGCTGTTATCAGAAATGGAGAGATTTCCCATATATCTATATATTCTCTGCTGGTAGGTGATATAATGCTCTTTGAAACAGGAGAAGTGTTTCCTGTTGATGGAATTCTCGTAAAAAGCAATAATTTAGTATGTGATGAATCAAGCATCACAGGAGAATCAGATCCAATCAAAAAGTATCCCATAGGAATATAAGATTGCAATCCTGCTCCTTTCCTCATTTCTGGATCATAAGTAACAGAAGGTAGTGGAGAAATGATAGTCCTTGCAGTCGGATAGTCGAGTACAATTGGCAAGCAATAAGCTTTGATGAATGAAGAGGAAGAAGAAGAAAAGAGGACACCATTGCAATATAAATTAGATGTTTTTGTAGAATAATTAGGTAGTATTGGTTTTAAATGGGCTATTCTAACTTTCTTTGTAATGTTTGCTAATTTGATGTACACCATTTATTCTAGCAACGACCCAAATGTTAAACTATTCTCTCTTGATACTGTGTCAGAAATATTAGACTATTTTATTGTTGGTATTACAGTTGTCGTTATAGCTGTCCCTGAAGGCCTACCATTAGCAGTTACTTTATCACTTGCTTATGCTGTTAGCAGAATGATGGTAGAAAATAATTTAGTAAGAAATCTCATTTCTTGTGAAATTATGGGAGGAGCTGATACCATTTGTAGTGATAAAACAGGAACTTTAACAGAAAATTAAATGAAAGTCAAAAAACTGTATGCTTTAGACTAAACCTACACAGATTTTGAGAGACAGTAATTTGATTCTAAATTCCTTAATTTATTAACAGAAGGCATATGTGTTAATACTAATGCTCATATTTCATATGAAAAATATGGTATAGTTTAGAATGGAAATAAGACTGAATGTGCTCTCCTTGAGCTAGCTATGGATTTGAATGTCTCTTATACTGATTTCAGACCTTCAGATAACATCATTAAAATTATTCCATTTTCATCAAGTAGGAAAAGAATGAGTACAGTCTATATCCCAAAAGATAATAATAACATAGTACGTGTATACTCGAAAGGTGCACCAGAAATTATGTTTTAATACTGTAATAGATACATGACTAAAAATGGGTAAGTTGAACAGATTGATTAAACCTTCTTAAAAAAGTTGTCAGAAGTATAAAACCAATTTGCAAACGATTGCTTGAGAACACTACTTCTTACTTATAATGAATTACCTTCTTTAAATGCAAATTAATTATCAAAAGAAGAGGAGTTAGAAAAGAATTTGATTGTTTTGGGTATGATTGGAATTTAAGATCCTCTAAGGAAAGGTATTCGCTAATCTGTAGCTGTTTGCACTGAGGCAGGAGTAACTGTGAGAATGGTTACTGGAGATAATTTAAATACAGCAGTCGCTATTGCTAAGGAAGCTGGTATAATAAGCTAAGATTATGTTCCTAGAGCTAATGACTATACTGTTATGGAAGGAAAGTAATTTAGAGAAAAAGTAGGAGGATTATAGTAAATTAAAGGAGATTAAGGATAAATAGTGAGATATGAGGTAGGTAATATGCCAGCTTTCAAAGAAGTTAGCAAGTAATTGAGAGTATTAGCAAGAAGTGCTCCTGAAGATAAATTCTTGTTAGTTACAGGACTTTAAAAGTGTGATTCTATTGTTGCAGTTACTGGAGATGGTACTAATGATGCTCCTGCTCTCAAAAAAGCAGATATTGGCTTTGCTATGGGTATTACAGGTACTGAGGTTGCAAAAGAAGCTGCTGGTATTATATTGCTTGATGATAACTTCTCAAGTACTGTTACAGCAATTAAATGGGGTAGAAATATTTTTGACTGTATCAGAAAATTCTTATGTTTCTAATTAACTATAAATGTTGTTGCCTTGTTTATGGCCTTTTTGGGAGGTGCTACTGTGAGAGAATCTCCATTGAATACAATTCAAATTTTATGGGTAAACTTAATGTAAGATACTATGGCTGCCTTAGCACTTGCTACCGAACCTCCTTCTGAAGAATTGCTTAAAAGAAAACCTGTTAAGCGTACTGAAGTTGTTATTACTCCATCAATGTGGAAGTTCATTTTACTTCAAAGTATCTATTAAATATTTGTCTTGATAATTGTTTTGTTCTATGGAGATTTGATATTTGGAGTTGAATATGGTATTAACAATAAGACCTGGACTGAATAAAATGGTATTCATCTTACTATGTTCTTTAACATATTTGTTTTCTTGTCTGTTTTTAATGAAGTTAATTGTAGAAAACTCAAGGCATCAGAAGTAAATGTATTTGAAAATTTCTTCAATAATCCTCTTTTCATTTTTATTATTGTTTCTACAATTGGAATCTAAATGCTTATGGTAGAATATGGCGGCAGAGCTGCTAAATGTTCCCCTTTAACTTTGTAACAAAACCTCATTTGTGTTGCCATCGGAGCTTCTTCTGTAGCTGCAGGTATTTTGATTAAACTTTTACCTCCTTCTGTTGATGAATTCTTAAGCTGCACAAACCCATTCAAAGAGAGAACTTAAGCTGTTGAAGAAGAAGAACCTCAAGGTGATTAGAAAAAAACATAATGATTATTATTGAACGTTATTTTCATTTCTAAACAAGAAACTCTTATTTAAACATTTTTGAAAAAAAAATATATAGGTGAAAGTATAATTTGAAAGATAATGTATTTAATTGGTATTTTATGTTAGTTAATACCAAACAAAATATTCATTTAATATCTTGTATTTTCTTCATCAATATTTGTTTTGATTACTTTTTAGGATATAATTATACTATGAAATACAAATTTAATTTTACATAAAATCTAAATAGCTTGTTTGTATACATAAAAACTTAAAATTGTAATTAATAAAAATTAAAAAATTTTGAGCAATATATTTATAAAATTATAAATATTTTAATACTAAAAAAAGCCTGTTTTAGATATATTTTAATTTCAAAATGTTATCAAAATAAAAATAGCAATTTTTATTCCCTATCTTTTATCTTTTAATAGTTAACAAAAAAAAAATAATATTTTTTGTAAAATTTAAAAAAATAAATTTTTAAATTAAATTATTTTATTTAAAAAAATAATATAAAAAAATGATTTTACATTACATCATATTTATTACTTTTTTATTAAGTATTTAATTGTAAATTTGTTTTTGAATTAAAAAATAAAATTTTCAATCACAAATATTTATTTCAAGTTGTTTTTATTAAATCATTTAATATTTTGGTTATTTTTATTTAAGTAAAAAATAAGCTTTTATGCCTGAAATTAGATTTTTACATGTAAAGTTTGAAGCGATTTTTTCTTTATTTATTCTAAATTCTTTTAAAATAATCAAATTTTTTACAGTTTTAATAAATAAAATTTATACAAAATTATAATTTTTTAAACATAATTCACCATTAATTAGCAATCTATTCAGCTGTATTTTATGTATTTATAATTCATAATGCAAAAACTTCTTCATGTACATCTAAGCGTACTTTAGAGTTAGATACTGAACTAGATTTTTCTTAAACTGATCTAATAAGAGCAGAAGGACCACATACCATAACTCCAACTCTACTTTCATCATTTTGTTTTGCTATTTCCTGAATAGTTTTCAAATATTGTTTAATATCAGGTCTTTACAAAATAAACTTTCCATCTTCAGTATTCAATTTTACTTCAGTTTAATTTTCTGAGGTATCATTAACATTATTTTATTCTTTCTTATTATTACTACTGGTAGATAAATGATAGAATCTTTCTACCAGATTTTTTTGTTTGTCTTCTAAAGATAAAATAGATTCAATATATTATTCTGATAAGAGATCTTCGTGCCTTTCTTTGCTTCTAGTAGTCCATATTAAGTAAATTTTAGTAATAGGTCTACCTTTTGTTCTTTCTTCAAGGAGTTATTTACAAACACTAATAATAGGAGTGATTCCAATACCTCCTCCAATTAAAACAAAAGTCTTGTAGTAATCACTTGCAATATCTATACTAGGAAATCCATAAGGACCACATAAATAAGCTTTAGTTTACTCACCATTAAGCTTTTCAGCAAGAACTAGCAAATCTCTTGTCCAATTACCAGATTTTTTAATAAATATTTCTATCTTTTTCTCACCAAAAGAAGATTATATGCTAAAGGGATGCCACTAAAAATATGATAATTTAGGTATACATATACATAAATATTATCCACCTTAATAATTAATTTTATTGTCTAGTATAGTAATCTTTGCCATATCAGAGGTCACTTTTTCAATTTTAATTTAGTGGGCATTCTTTAAGTGGCGATATATTACTGCTTATCTATTTATTAATAATTTATAAAGAATAGTTATTTCATCTTAAATATTTCAATTTTAAAGGAATATCCTTAATTAATTATAAATATTTATTACTTTATTAAAAAGTCTAGTCCCCAGTAACCTAGACCATATATAGCAATATCAACTCCATGGAGAATAATTCCAACAATTACAACTATAAAACCTATCCAATGAAGTCTAATAAATATTTCATAAAGAAAATATCGAATAGGCCAAAGACTTACGCCTAACATTCCAAATAAACTTCCTAGCATAAACCATCCATCCCATTGGTAATCAGTACTCAAAAAATGAAGTACTCCACCTAAAACAGCTAACCAACCAAATACTTTATGCCAAAATATTCCTCTTTCGTATGAAAGCCCACAAAGGAAAGTTAAAATAGAATTTTTTACTGTAAAAACTATGCAAACCACTAATTGTTATTAAATAATACTAAATTATTAATTAATTAATTTGTTTGTAAATATTTACAAAGATTTATCCCTGCAGCACTACCAGAATTATTTTTATTGCCATAGCTAAGACCCATATTAACACCAAGACCTGCAAGAGCACCTAGAAAAACTATTATTTCTCCAATAGACATAGAAAAATTAAATATAGCATATGTCCTTCTGTTAAATATTTATTAAAATTTCCCTCTGAAAACTTTAATGAATCTTGGTAAAGCTATGTACGTAGCAAAGTATTCTTCTTCTGAATAACTTAGCCACTGCTTAGTTACAATACTTTCTAAATCTTAGTTTTCTTCTGTTGTCATTTTAGTCGAAGTTAAATCTTTAAATAATTAATTAATTTATGAATTATTTGATAATAATAGTTACTAATTTAAAATTTATAGATACACCAAGGTTTAGATATTTTTTTTACCTTACATTATTTTTTAATTATTGCGTAATTAAATCAACACCTCAGATTTATTTAATGGTTTTATTTGATTTTAATAACAATCAAGTTACAATTAAGCAAGTCAAATCAACTTCAATTTCACTTGAATCATATTAGGATTGATTAGATCAGGGAAAAATTAAATAGGCAGAACTCAAATTTTAAATTTCAAAAAATTCTTTTACAAATAAAGAGTATTAATTATTAATTGACATCATAATAAATGGTATCTGTAATAACTTTGTATTAAATAAAAACATATTATTAATCAAATTAATATAAACGGCTATTAGTTTTCTTAATTCAACACAAATTAATAATACTATTTAATTAAGTTTTATGATGAATTTGTTTAAGTAAATAAATAAAAAATAAATAATTTCTTTTTAGATATATTAATTATGGATTAAATAAATAATTATTTTATTTATCAGTATGTGTAAATATTAGGAATAATCTATGATAATTTTTGATTTAACTTTTTATTTATACTATAAATATAACTATTCTTTTTGTTTTATCATTTGTTTTAGTAATTAAACATAAATTGAAAATACTTTTTAATTTAGTTTTGTAATTAATTTATTTATTAAATGTATAATTTTATTATTGAAAGATATGTATAAAAACTATGGATAATTTATGATAATTTTTGACTTAATTAACAATTTTTTAAATTTAATTGACTTTTTAATTCCAAAATAAATTAATTTTTGTAAAAAAAATAAATTTAAGCTTTTTTTTTGAAGAAAAATTTTTAAAAAAGGCTAAATTTAAAAATTTAATAGAAAAATCATAAAGATTGATATAAATTAAAATTATTAATATTATTAATTAAATTCTATTATAAAATTATTTATTTTTATATAAATCATATTCAAAGGCATCAACCATTCAAAAAAATAGTGATCTCAATTCACTAAATTTTTGAATGGCATTTTGCTATACTTAAATGTATATGACTAATTTTATTTTTATTTAACATTAATAATTAACAAGTAATATATATTTCTAAGAAATAAGTTATTTTATAAATATTTTATAGCCTAATAAATATAATTATTAATTTAATAACCTAATATAAATAAATATTTTCACAATTTAGTAAAATAAGTAATAATTGAGGAAAAATAATATTTGTTATTCTTTCATAATTACTTCATTGATAAGGTTTTTTATGAATGAGTTACTTATTTATAAGAAAGTTAAGATTTTAATTAAATATGAACAGGATTTCTTTTAAATTGGATATTTGGATACACTGCATCTCTCTTTCTTTTGGAAACAGTATAGTTAGTTTATTTATCATAGAAAAGACCTATTTAATAGAAAAGAAATTCAACAAGTAAATCTACAGCTATAAGTATTATTTCCATTAATTCAGGAATAAACCCAAAAACAGATTAGTATTCACCAGTTCCAAGTGTAGCAGCAATAAAAGAATCATTATCATAACTATATGTGGGTTAGAATATAAGGAAACCTCCAATTCTGCACATTATCCAGCATCCAAAAATGTAAGATGATCCTCGTATTATTGCATGATAGTAGTTCATAAAGAGCTCTGAATTTTTTAGAGGAAAAATTATGTAATAAATAATAAACAAAATATGAATTGTCCCAAAGAGAGCATTAGTGCATACAATTTTTGTAAAGTAGTCTCCAAGCATGCCTGATAGCTAATACTTAGAACTATCTGATAGTATTGGGGTGTTATTGTTTATAACTGTCACACCCAAGCATGGGCTTAGGACGCAATAGTAAAAAAAATTAAACAGTTAATAATGACTATAATAAATAAAGCTGAATTCTAAGTAACTTATTATTTAACAGTGGAAAAGATATCTATTATATGGTTTTAACAATCCATTTTAATAATTTTAGTATATTGTGTACAAATCTAATCTCCATACATGAATAATGCGAATAATTAATATAAAGATCATGCTTAGAAAGCTTAAAAAGGCAAAAAAGAAAAAGGCAGTCGATCTCAAAACTTCAATTATTTATAGTTAATTAGTTGTACTCATAAATTAAAGATTGTCTAAACAACCATAGACTTAAATAGTTTGCAAATAATTAATATCATAATTCAGCAATTATTGTTAATTGGTTGTTATTATACTTGCAAGTTGGTTTTAATTGCTTCCATTTTAATAACTCATTTAAATTATCTTCATGTTACCTCTTACAAATATAGCACTCCATGAATTAGCCATATTGTTCCTATAAAATCTTTTAATTTATTTGTTAAAATTTAAATATATTTAAAGGATTTAATAATTTATGAAATTAAAAAAATCAATATTTTTTTCTTTTTTGAAGTTTTAAAATATTAATTTGAATTTATTAAAAATAGCTATCAAGATATTAAATAATAATTTTAAATAATGTTTTAATTAATTACACTGTCAGAAATAGTAAAATAAATAGTAGGGCTTTTATCAATTTTCTGAGCAAGCTAAGCTTGTTTCCTCCAGTTGTTTTACTTGGGACTAATCTTATAACTTCTTCTTCTTATTTTTCGTTGTATCGGAGAAGTATGTTTGGTTGTGGTTTTATTGTGCCTTACTCTTATTGAGAAATAACTTATTTATTTTCTCTAAATTTTTTATTATCAGTTAACTAAATTTAATCTATATAATCATAATCGTCCTCTTATTTTAAAATTCTACTGTTGTTGTTGAAGTTTGCTTTTGAAGGACTACGTGATTAGCTTTTATCGTACAAATTATTTGATTTATTTTCAACTTATTCAGTTTTTATCTAAATAAGGTTCTCATTATCTGCATTTGTATTGTTAACTTAATACATCTGCGTATGTTAGGATGTATTTTCAACATTTTATTCAATATTATTCAGCTAATTGTTATTATTTTCCAAATCTTCATTATGATGATATTTATTGTTTTCATAATCAATTATTTTGTACTTGCTATCATTTAGCATCGAATTATTTACAGATTAGTTTACTTAATGATAATCCAAGTTATTTGTTGTTCCATGTATATCGTCTTCCTCGTTTTCTACATTTGTCTTTATGCCAGTTTGATCAAGTCTATTTTTTTCTATTGTATTATCATCGTTGTCATAGAAACTTCCTTTTTTCTATTAAAATTAATTAGAACTCTCATTATCATCAACAGCTTTCTCTTGCTGTGATTTTTAAAAAAATCTTCCTTTTTTTTATTAGTTGTTATTATTCAAATTAGATTCTACATTCACTTTTGAGAGCATGTTTTTCATTTTGTATTTTTCACTTAAACCTTTATGCTCATACGGCACTATATCATCATTAATCTAATTTTCAAGTTTCAGTGACTCATTTGTTAAAGGTAAAGGCTTAATAGTTAAATCATATTATTATTCAATTTATTCCTCCTACATAGACTAAGTAATATCTGGCCATTCAGCCCTTTAATCTACATTTATAAGTAAGCAAAGTCGAATAATATTTCTAACACGCTCGCTGATATACTAATTACTAGATTAAGAGAATATGGGCTTTTGATTTAAGTCAAAAATAGGAATATCTCCAAACACCATCTTATAAAAAATCATACCGAAACTCCAAATATCTACCTTATGTAAATCTGCTCTTGGATCATAAATTCCAACATCTTACTTGTATTCTGGAGCAAAGTAATCAAATATTTCTCTATTTTCTTAAAATTTTTATTCTGTAATACTGCTTATAATTAAAGGTTCACCAATTTTTATCATTCCCTAATCTAAGTACAAATTTTTCATATGAAAAGCTCCATGAAAGTTAAGGACTCTGCATATTTTAGTCATAGTATTGAGAAGACGGTGCATAACTAATGTAGCATCGATTTCATAAACACTTTTTTAATTTGTGTTTTTACGTTTAATAAAATATTCATTTAAGTTTCCTTGATTACAGTAATCCTATGCTATAATCACTTATCCTAAAGGATTATTCAATTAACCAGGAAGAAGATAAACAATTTCATAAATTCTAACGATTTCACTTCTTCCAGCTGCATCAAATAATTCTAATTGTTAAAACTTTTCAACATTTTCAAGAAATCTATCAACTTTCTAATGGGGAAAGTTTCCAACAACTTTAAGTCTGATCAAAGACTTGTCATATTGCTTAATGTTTGAAGTTTAATTTTAATGTGGCTTTAGCATTACACCAAAATATAGATCTTCAACCATATAGCCATCGATATCATTTCTAATTCTACTTTCTCTAAAAAATGTGTATTGTGCTCCTATTTAAGAATTTTGTAAATTAGGAGGAAGGTTCATAAGTAAGTCACCTCCGTATTTTTTTATATTTGAAATGCTCGATTAATCATTTTTTCCTATTATTTTTACTACTTCTAATAAAGAGTTGTTAAGAACTTCAGAAATAGTAGGACGATCATCTGGATTCTTAGCAAGCATCTTTCCCAAAAAAAACTAGCACTATCTTGAAATTTAAATAGGGAAATCCCCTTCACGCTTATCAAATTCATCAAGCCAACTTTTCATTATAGTTTTATGAGCAGTGATCTAATTGTATATTTCTTCTCTAGTTTTACCCCCATAAAAATATCTTCCTCTTAAAAGCCTAAAAAATAATATACCAAGAGCCCAAATATCAGATTTCATAGTTTTTTATGCTGTAATATTAGCTAATATCTCTGGTGATAAATAATAATTGCTCTCAACTTCCTATTATTGAGTTTAATGAGTAATTTTGCTAAATTAACCTCCAGGTATTGATAAGCACGTTAAAGAAAAAGCCATTTCATCAACCTAAATATTATCAAGACATATTGCTCCATGAACTATTTGTTAATTGTGAAGCTCTTATAAGCCTAATGCTACCTATTTAAAGATAAGAAGAGCATCATATTCCTCTAAGTAGTTATTTCTCTATAAATACTCATTCAAAGTACCAAATTTGCTACCTTAAAGTATCACAGCAATTTAACTGGATTAAATTTCTAATACATCTAGCACTTATGGTGAGAACTAGCGACTTTAGTTTGTATTTGCTAGCTGAGTAAACATTTCAATTTGTTACTTTTTAATCTCAATGCCTGTCTTAAAAATGATATCCTTTTCTTACTAATTCGTTTGCCTATCGAACATATTAAAGGCTTTTTCGTCTACTATTTTAACATATATAGGCTGTTAATTTCTCATGTCTAAGCCCTCATAGACCTAAATATGATTTGATTCGTGTATCAAATTGTTGTTTGAATAAACAAATCTATCATCTAACTAGCAATTATACATTTCTGTTAAAACTATTTTAGGTTATTCTAAATTTTATATAACTTTAAATAGCTAAAAAATATTCTATTTTTATTTGGTAAGTCCCTATTTCTAAATTTGGTCTCAACTACTTTAGAATTTCCTATATAATTTTAGAGAAGAAAAGTAGTTATTTCCTTTCTATTATTATGTACTCTTTGATTGTATTTTATATTTTAATAAAGTGGAATTTATTAATAAAGAATATAAGCTTTTACAGAATTAAATTTTCTTACTTCAAAATTTGTAAATAAATGGCTGTAGAAAAATACTTTTTTTTTAAGTTAATATTAATTGACTTAACAAGCTCTAATTTTATTTACATATGATATTCAATTATAATTATAGTTTTTACCAATAAAAGTATATGAAATAAATAATTCAGGTTGATAATTTAATATATATTAAGAATTCTTTGATTTATGAAGATGCAGTATAAAATTAAAAATCTTTTCTTTAACTGTATTGTATTTGAGCCATCAATTCAATAATTAACTATATTCAAAAATTGAGAAAAGATTTGATGCTATTTAGATTACACTTCTTAAAAAATCTATTTTTAATCTTTGTAGACATTTCAGATAGATTTAATTTTATTTACATGATAGATTTATTTTATGAAATTCATAAACAAATAAAAAATATTTGCCAACTACTTTTTTTTTGAAATTTATTTTTTAAAGTCAAATACATTTTTCATCATTTAATCACAATGTAAATTAAACTGAAAAGCGAAATTCTTCTTAAAATTTATTTATGAGAAGAACTAATTCGAATTAATTTCGAGACTAGAATAAATTTAATTTTTCTATTTCATAAAACCACAAATCTAAAAGTGGTAAATATTAAAAGTGGCCTATTGATAAAAAAAGGATGCCATCTTTAACAAATATAAAATAAATATTATTATTTTTTATATATAAATATTTTAGTAAAATAAAAATACTCATTAAGTGTAATAAACTTTAGCCAAATCTACAACTTCTTAAATATTCTTGAACTAATTTCTATTAACCATAAGAGATCTAGCAAACTTTATAGCTGCTATTTCGCATTTAGAACGAACATCAAGATCTGATATGGAATCTAAATCTTCTACGTGTGCTATTCCAATGATTCTTCTGATCATCTTTGCAGCAGCAAATCCTAGTGTGTCTTAGAAAATATTTTTTAAGTATTTTATTTAAATTGCTATCTTGATGTTATTATTTTTGTTAATTAAGTTTGGAGGGAAATCACCACCATTTTAAACATTTGATTTGGTATTCCAGATATTTAAGAACTCTTCTTCGTATTAAGTATAGAAACTAACTGTAGTATCTAAAAGCCATTGAGAGTATTCTGAAATTTAATTTACTTCATTTTCATGTTATTTTTAACTAAAGAAATTCAAGAATAGATTAGCAACAAAAGCGCCAGTGTCGAATCCTATTGGACCATAAAAAGCAAATTCAGGGTCAATAACTCTAGTTTCATTCTCTGTGACCATTATACTTCCTGTATGTAGATCACCGTGAATAAGAGCTTCCTTAGATGTTATAAATTTATGACGAAGCTCAGAAATAGCTACTATTAATTCATCATCTGCAATTTTTATAGTTTTAACTATATCGTCTAATTGAGGTGTTGTCCATTTGTTATAGTGAGAGTCTACATAAGGATCTGAGAAGATAACTTATTCTGTCAAAGCACACAATTCTGTATTTTCACTCCAAAAACTAACCTTTTCACGATAAGTTTTGTTATCTAAATGTAATGGGCTACTGTAAAAATGTGTTTTAGCAGAGAACATAGCTATATCTTTTGCTAATTTTGGATATTTTATGCGTTGAATTAAACCTTTTCTAAGAATAATATAAGGAGGAGCTAAATATTCCATAACTATTAAGGAGTTATCTTTGTCGAAAAAGAGAGGCTTTGGAATCAATTCAGGAGCTACTTAGTTATGGAATTTTAGTGCTTCGTATTCAAAGAAAGCTCTATTGAGAGGAAAAGGCCAAGTAGGTCCTACACAACGAACATAAGGTAAAGCTTGCTTGACTATTACTTGCTTAAGATCAGTAGAAACAATAAAAACTAAATTCAAGTTTCCATCTCCAATTTCAGAAACCTAAAGAGAACTCTCTTCAGCTTATGAAAATACATTATATTTGTTAATTAGGTTACTTTTTAAAGATTATGCATCCATCTATTTCCAATTTCCTTAACTTCTATCACACTCATATTCGCCACCCTCATGGAAAATACGTTTGATGAGAGAGCTTGGAGTTACATCAAATGATGGATTCCAAACTTCAATTTCTGTAGGGGCAATTTAAACTCCCATCACATGAGTTAGTTCATTCTTAGGGCGCTATTCAATATGGATATCTGCTCCACATAAAGTATTTTCATCAATAGTTTGGGTGGGAAGGGCAACATAGAAATTAACATCATGGTGCTTTGCTAAAACTGCAAAAGTGTATGTTCCTAAAATAAAAGAAATTATTAATACGTTTTTAATTAAATATAAAATAAGTGTTTTTTATAATTAAACAGAAGCAATAAATAAATATCTTTTTGTCTCTTTTTAAATTTGTTTAGTAATTCATTTTACTTTGTATAAAATCAAGGTTATAAAAACTGTTGTATTTATAAAAATAATTTTCAATTTTACCTATCTTATTAGCAGTATCTCCATTTTTAGCTACTCTGTCAGCTCCTGCAACAACAAAATCGATGTTACCTTATTGCATCAAAAAACCTGCCATGCTGTCTGTAATTAAAGTTGCTGGAAGTTTATCTAAAACAGCTTCAGATGCTGTTAAACGAGCTCCTTGGTTATAAGGTCTAGTCTCAGCTATGTAAAGCCTCTCTAAACGCCCACGTCTATGTAACTCTCTAACAATACCTAATGCTGTACCATCACCAGGAGTAGCAAGCTTACCAGTATTGCAAATGGTTAAAACTTTTAGCTTTGCATTTTAACCTGCTTATTCAGGGTGCTTTTCTTCAAAGTCTTTGATTATAGCATCAACTCCAAGAATAGACATTTGTCTACATGCATCGATGTATTGCTAATTGAAAGAGTCTATCAACTAAAATAATTGTTACTTTAATTATTACAATTATGAAATTTCTTCAACACTTTGCTGTAAGCTGAAATCTATGACAGTTTACCTTACTCTTTCTGTATCGTTCTACAAATTGACTGCAGTTGGGCGAGAAGTACGGAGATACTCAACTGCTTATAAAACATATTTTCTTAGCTCTTCGACACTCTTGAAGTCTCTATTAAATAGTTCGTTACGTAAACCCTAAGTAGCAACTACAGCAATCAGAGGAGCACCACGAACATTCATATCTTTAATAACCTTCCAAGCATCTTCGATTGTGTTAATACGGATCTCTTCAATTGTTAAAGGTAATTTAAGCTAATCAAGAACATAAAAGTGGTCATCTACCTCTCTTCTAAATGTTTGGAATTTTTCCATTTTTAAAAATTTAAACCTATTGATAATATATTTTGATGTGATGATTCTTTTTAATATAAATCAGAAAAGGAATTAGCAATTATTTATTTATTTAGAAATAAATTATAAATCCAAAAATTAATTGATTGATTTATAGCTTGGTAGAGGTAACTTGGTATTTAATAATTAATTTAATATATTTGCAAAGATATTTGTTTATTTTGTTTGGCATATTTTTTATTTTCCTAATTTTTTTGAAAATCCTAAATAATAAGAAGAAGTATTATTAAAAAGAATATCTAAAGAATTTTTAAAGAAATATCATGGAAAAATTATGTTTTTAGTTTATCTATGGATTTTAGATAAGTCAAATTTATTTATTATTTTTAAAGAACAAATTTCGTCAAAAATAATAAATTGTGACAGAAATTTTGTTTTCTTTGTTAAATGCACGCAGTAAAATAATAAGTTTAATCTTTTATTATAATTTTAATTAAAAATAATCATTTTATAAAAGTAAAAGATTTAAATTAAAATATCTGTTTTTAACTTTTATAAATATATATATCAATTTAACTTCTTAATAAAACAAAATTTGATATTATTTAAAATTACAACTAAAATTTTAAATAATATTTAAAGAGTTTTTCAATTAGTGTTAGATTAAAATAGTTTTTCTCTTAACATAATAATTAAAGAGAGAAAAATAATAAATAAATTCTAGCTTTAAATTTATTATATATATCAATATATTAACTGTTTAAACTGAAAAACATTAATTTTTGTAAATCTTTTATTGAAATTAATTGTATAACTATGGTATAAAATAAATTAAATTAAATTTGTTTGTTGATATTTACTATTATAAGTTTGAATTGTTATTTTGTTGAATAAGAATTTAATTTTATATTTTTTTAATGAATGAATAGTCGTTATGTTAATTCTATAAAACTAAATTAAAAGAATTTATTATTTTATTCAATCTCATAACTGTTATTGAAGTATTTCGTTTATTTTCTCAGTAACATAAGAAGGGTGAGGACGATTTTCATAAGAAGTGCATTTTTCAATTAGCTTAATTATTTCGGGATTTATATGTTGCGTTTCTTGCTATGATACTTAGCTTTAATAATGAAGCCATAGGCTTTGCTTATTCTCAAGCGCTTTTCTTACATCTTATAGATTTTTAATACCCTTCCATGGTTCATTTCCAGTTATCATTTCAAAAAGAAGACACCCAAAGCTCCATACATCAGTAGTGGGTGTTAATCTTTCCATATCAAAGTGCTCAAGAGGGCAATATCGAGGTGTAAAACCAAGTATATTTGTATCATGCGTGTATGGTTTGTTGTTAAACTTAGAAGTACCAAAATCAATAATTTTAATGTTTTAATTTGAGTCTAACAATATATTTTAAGGCTTCAAATCTGAATGGATAATATTATTATTGTATAATGTTTCTATGCCTTCAGCAATTTATAATGATAACTCAATACATTTTTTTATGTAATTAGGTTTTGTTCTTGTTGAATTTATGAATTTTTTTAAGTCACATGTTATAAATCTATTTTTATCGTAAGTTCCTATTAATTCCATAAATATTGCAAATATAAATTGGTCTCTTCCTGACATTTCATTACGACGAATATCAAATGAGATACCAAACAAACGAATAAATTATTAGTTACTAAAAGTGTTGACTTTAAGCAAAATTTTAATTTCGTTAAAAATACCTTCTAGAGTTTCTGCCATTATTGAAGAACACTCATCTAAATCATATTCGAATACCTTTTATGCCATCTCTTTTTCACCAACTTTCGACTTAAAAACAGCACAAAATCCTCCTTTTCCCAACCGTTGAGAATGGTCAAATTTAATTAAGTGAGGAGGATAAAATCTAATCGGTGGTTACAGCTGATATTAAATTCCCTTTTAGCTGTTATTGTAAGTGGTAGATTCTCTAATACTTTCAATATGTTGCTTCATATTTTTGAATTGATTTTCTATTTCTTCAACTTAGCTTTCAAAAGAGTTGGCTCTTGAATTCTTCATCAATCTTTCACACAAAGCGTCAAATTACATGTATAATTCATCATACTATAAGTTAATATTTTGAATAAGAATACCTTATAGTTCTTATTTATCTACAAAAGGGTTTTAATTCATTTTTTCTTATTCCATTCTTTTTATTTTATTTAAAAGATCTTATTTTTCTTGCCTAAGCTACTAAATATCCTCTTTAAATCTTTAAATGTTCTTGATATAACTGTCTTATTGTATTTCCTTTTCAATTATTAAATTTGTATAGTTCTGTAGTAATTTAGAATCATTGTTTTCACTCTTATCTTATTAAACCATAGGATCGATACTACTCTTAGTCTTTTTTGACCCAGTTCTTAACAAAAATTTTCTATTTTAGTTTTAAAAGAAATAATTCTAATTTGGAGGTTATTATTATGATTGAGATTAAGTCTGAGTAGAAAACGGGACCTTTATTTTAGGTTAAAATGGGGATGAAGCAATATTATTTAATATAATGTTTTCTGAAATATAGCTCGTTTTTTTGGCAATATTGTCTTGAGGTAAATTATCTTTTTCTTCAAATATTGGTTAAAGTTATCTTGCTGTCATTATATTTTTTGAAGAAATCTTTTTATTTAATTCTGGAGTTTCTGGATTTCCCGAAGACAAAGAAGAAAATTGCATAAGTTAAATCTATGATAATTCGCTTAGTTGTTCATTATCTTATAAATAATATTGTGATGCGCTTGTGCTAAAATTAATATTCTTTGTTGAAGAGTTATTCAAATTCATATTCTATTTAGATGATGGTCTCACAGATAACAATTGATAAGAAGATGTTGGTGAAATTTATGTATTTTAATTTTATTGAAGCTATTGGTATTATAGTGGTGTCAGAACTGGTATCCTATCCTATCTTTGAGAAAGAGCCTAGTTGGGCATATTTATGAAATTGCTATTTAAAAAATTTAATTTTGGAATCTATTGAGAATTGTATTCACTTAACTTTCTTTACTTTGACCCACTTTAAAGGTTCCTATTAAGCTAGGCACTCTTCATAGAATGTTTAAATCTTTTATTAGGAAATTATTCAAATCCGCTATTGTTAAACTAGCCTTTGCTACTATTCATATTTTATGAAAATAACTAAAGAGAAGTTTTTAATAAACTATCTTGCGAAGTTTTTATTCTCCGATGCTCTAACATTGGTGAAAGACTTCTTGGGTTTCTGGCTACCTTTTAATCACTATCTTAAAGCTTAGGAAGGACAATGGCAGGCTTATTCTTTTCAGGAAAGTTGTATCCACTGGCTTAAATTATAAGTTTTGGTTAATTTAATTTAGATTTTTGAATTGCACTCATTTTTAAAGTGTTATTCCGAATAGGTATGAACAATATTCACTTAAATTAAATTTTTTTTACCTACTCTATTATCTATTTGGTATAGACAAAATTTTTGTTTTTAATTAATATTTAAAAACTTGATAAAAGCTAAATACGAGTTAATCCGTCCATATAAACAAACATTAAATCTCCAAATACATTAATAAACAAAAAATTTTGATTATTATTTGGTATTCATCACCACCAATCATCAAAAATTGATAATAAAAAAATATATATGATATGATATCTATTTGCAATTATCATTTTGAGTGAGTTTTTATTTAAACTTAAAAAATATTTATAAAACAACTTGAAATGACTTGTAATTATTTAAAATGTTGTGGATTTTATACAACTATTATAAACACTAAAAAGTTGATACTTTAAATAAGTTAAATTTGAAATATATCAAAAAAAAAGTGAAAAAAAAAAAAATTTCTATTTAAAAAAAGTCTAATAATACTTCTACCTTTAAATAAATTAAAAAAATTAATTTTTTGATAAATTAAAAATGTGTTTTTTCTATTTTTTTATAATTATCATTTAAATAAATAAATTATTCTTTAGAGTGTTTGACATATTTGAAAGTTAATTTATTTTTAAAAATATTAACTAACTTATTAAAAAATTTATTTGTCTATACTATTAATATTAAACTCAAATTTTTTTAGAAAATTCAATTTAATTGTTGATTTTTATTTTTCTTTTAAATTATTATTAGATTTTTATTTAATTTTAATTATTTTTTCTAATAAAATATTCTATTTTTAAAATATTTAATTTATTGAAGATACTATTGAGAATCATTAGAAATAGATCTCCAAATTACAATTTGAAGAATAGCCTTTAAAAAATTTAAGATATTTATATCATAATTATTTTGAAAATGTTACCATTTATTGCAATTTTTGAGTTAAAAAATTTCTGTAATTTAAAAAAAAATGTGAATAAACTATTATAGAAATTATTTAATCAATATAATATCTTATAATATATTTTAAATATAAAGATCTTAGAAACCTACAAACATACACTTTAATAGGCCATATTTACTAACAAAAGATATTTATATTTGATCCATTAAAGAAAAAATAAGTTGTGATTACAATATTTTTATTTCAAATTTTACTTCAATAAAAAATGATTTAAAAACATAAAATATTTATTTAATTTGATTGTCCCTCTTTATATCTACTTGTGAAGCTCTATTACTTCAAAAAAAAATAAATTTAGATTACTATTTTGATATTTAATTTTAAGCTCTTAAATTAAGCAGTATGTAGTATGTGTGAATGAAAAGATAAACTCAAATAAAAGGTTAAATATATATTAATAATTTTTTTTACTTTATTTTTTATTTATATTTTTAATTTAAATTAATATTATAAAATTATTTTTATTAATAAATTTTAAGATTTAAAAATACTTTATCATTATAAAAATAATATTCTAATTTTGTTTTTTATTTTATAAATTAAAATTTTGGTTTATCTACTAATTGGTTGTTATATTATTATCTATTCTATTAATTATTTTTTGTACAAAAAGTCTTAAGAATAGATAAAAATATTTACTTGAAAAATCTATAAATAGTAAAATATTACTTTTTTTGTTTATTAATTTATTTGTTGTAGTTGCATAGTTTATTACTTAATTTAAAATAGATAATCATTTTTTTCTGATCATTAGAAATTAAAAATACATTATTTTTAATGTAATAGACTACTTCTAAGATTTTCTTTAAAAAAGATATTCTGTTTTCTATCTTTTTTCAATAATTTAATTTTATTCATTTTAAATCACAAAATATTTTTAAAAATGACCGAAATTTAGCAGGTAAAAGCTTGATAAATTTAGATTAAATTGATTTAATTTTTAGATTATATTAGAAATCTCATCTTTTGAGGATATCCATAAGATATAAAATGATAAACCTTCATCTTTATCAGTTTATTTTGAGTAAAATTATATTGAAATAATATGATCTTAAAAATGTGTTAAGTACTCAATATTTAGGGCCTGAAAAGGTAACTGAGTTAAGCGGATTGATATAAGAATAAACATAGCTGAAAGATTTGACTTTAATTTTGAAGTAATTAAATATTTATTTACTTTTTTTATTTATTTATCTATCATTTTTAGTTATAATTAAATGGAAGACATAGGTGCAATTAAATTAGGGTAAAGTCTATCAAATTTAAAGGAACTACAAAATTTAAATTTACAACTAAGGTAAAAGTTAATATAAAGAAAATTAAAGATTTAAAGAAATAACTAATGTTTATAATTTAGAGGAAACCATATAGGAAATTAAGGAGCTATAGGTTTATCTGAAGGATTCAGTGAGTTGAAAAATCTTTAAAAATTAAATTTGAATATTGTGTAAACATCATTCATTCATTACATATAAAATTCTTTGCTAAATTAAATCTTTTAAAAATGCAGATAAAATGAAATTTAATAGGAGCAGTATTTTTGTTTGCTTTCAAGCTTATCAAAAATGATGAGATTAACAGAAATCAAAATTGTTTTATAGTATGCATTATAAGGTTTACATTCTTTAATTTAATCAATTTAATAAAAGAGAAATCAAAAGTGAAGGATGCAAAATTTTGTGCGAAGCTTTATAAAAGTGTAATCTTTTATAATCTCTTAATTTTGATCTTGTGTAAGCTCTTTGACAATAATTTTACTTTAATTTCATTATCATTTTGAAAAAAGATTTAATGGAATCGATTAAACTGGAGCTGCTTATATCGGATAAATGTTGACTCAGCTGCACTAACTGAAAAAAATTCAACTAAATTTGTTGTAATTATTATAAATAAATTAAATTTCAGCTTTTGTTTGCAATAGAAGAGATTTAATTTCCAAATTTTGTTAATAAAATTTGATTCTCAAATAGAAAGCAAAATTATTGCTAACATTACTTTATATTATGCTTCTTCCAATCACAATTATTTTCAAACTACTTTAACATAATAAAATAGCTTCAATCCAATAGCTAAGCAAGGTATGGAGCATATATTTGCTGGCTTGTCTGAATGCAAAGATTTAGAATATTTGTATTTGAATTTGTGGTAATTAGTTTATTTAACTCTATATTAATAATAATAAAATAAATTTTTAGTAACACTGGGGAAAAAGGAGAGGAAGGTGGAATAATTCTAGCAAAATATATAAATTTGTTTAGCAAATTAAAAATTTTATTTCTCTTAATATCGTAAAATTTTTTCTATTTTGATTGTTTTTTATTATTTTATTTAATTTTTAGAAGTTCTTTCATAAGAGACAAAGGCTATGAGGCACTCTAAGGGGCTATTTTAAATTTGAAATGTTTAAATAAATTGTATCTAGCTTTAGAGTAAATTTATTCACTTATTTAACTCTTTAAGAATATAATTTCTTGATAAAATATAGCAATAACCAAATAAATTAAAACAAAAAGAACAGCATTTTAAGTATATTCAAAAGAAAAAGCACAAAGTTAATAAAATTTGATGTATATATTTGATTCATAAATTATATAAAATATGTGTTTGCTTTTTGTTTGCTTGTTTAGTGTAAGACTTGTTTGATAAATGTAGTGCACTTATTAAAAACAACCTAATTTTATTTATTTATTTTTAACAAAATACTGTTCTGCCTCTTCAGTATTTTGATAGAAATTTTCTTTATTAGAAAGATTCAATTTTGAGAATTGTATTTTATTTTAATTTGTAAAAATTTTAGGTGAAATAATCTATTTATTTACTATTTAAAATTAGTAATCTATACTATTTTTAATAAGGATATATTTTAATTAAAAAACTTCATACAATAACTTACCTTTAATTTCTGATAAGTGTATTACTAATTTTTTTTGATGTGGATATAGATAAATCATCTTCAAAATAACACTTTTTATTGTGCAAATAAATGTATATATTTTTAAGTAAGTGTATTATTAAAACAAAAATAATTAGTATATAAACATTTAATTTTTGAATTTAATAAAAAATAAGATTTTCAAAACATTCAAATAAAATAAATACATAAAAATGAAAATTGAAAACTAATTTAAGTTATTTGACCTTGTTAAATTTAATGAGCTTAAGTCTTCTCTTCCTGAAGCGAAGTTAAGCTATTGTGAAAAACATAACAAAAGAATTTCTATAGTCAGTTTCTAAACAAACGAAAGTTAATCTCTGGAACTAAAACTTTGCTGCTAAGATTGTGACTTTGATGCTAAAAAATCGTACAATTTAAAAAAATATTTATCGAAATTGCTCGATGAAAGTGTTCAAGTAAATAAACTTCATAAAGAAGATCAATAGATAATATAAAAAGCTGAATAGCTTTAATCATAACTTACTAAAATGATGAATGACATAGATGAGGCAATGAACCATTTAATTTAATTGAAATAAAAAGCTTACAATTTAGCTTCTATAACTGAGAAAAAATTGTAATTAGCCAGCGCACCTCTAAAAAATACTTTATAAAATATTGAAAAAATTATAAATGAAAATTTTAATTTTCAAGAGTTATCTTAAAGTATTTCTCTATTAAACGAGAGATTTGTTTTTGATATAAGATCTTAAACAATTTAAACAAAATAAGTATGTGAGTTTTTAAATATTCAAGAACTTAGATCAATGTTCGAAACATGTAGGAATCAAGTCGAACTAATTAACTCTTTGGAATCTAAGTCAATAGGTATTCTTTATGTTTAATAATTTACTTTTTTTTAGAAATATATTTTTAAAGATTAAAAAGTCTTTTAAACAACTTTTGTTGTTACAGATAGAAACTAAATAGAAATTTATTTTTCTGATTTATAAAAATTAATTAAAGTTTTTTTTTACTGTTTTAAAAACTTTTATAAATGTTATTTACATATTAAAGGTTAATTTTATAAATTAAAAAGTTTATTCAAATAAATTACTCAAAGAAATTAGTACAAAATCATCTATTAGTACTGTCTAATCTTTAGAAGATCTTACCGTTGAGAGCATGACTACTAGCTGGGAAGCTGCAAACTCATTTCAACCTGTTAAGTAATTTGATGTAATTATCTTTATTAAATAATGTAAATAAAGCTAAATTTAATTTTATTAATAGGAAATTTGGAGGTGGGGGGAGCAGGAGTCTCTGTAACATTGTGTGGAAAAATCTCTTGTTGTAGGTTGCGTAAGATTTTCTTTTATTGCTTACATGGAATTAAAATTTAAATAACTAAAAATAGCTGAAAGAATTTAATCTGAAAAGACAATACTTAGAAAATCACATCCCATCTTAGAAATTGCTTGTAATTTATTTAATTCACATAAAGTAACCTAAAAATTATTATTTAAATATTAGTGTCATAGATGTTCTATTATTTATGAAAGGATTAAACAATCAATCAAACATTCTCTCTAAAGCAATTAAAAAAACCAATGATTCTCATATAACTTCAAAGAAAGTTATTCATAGACTTAGTTAAATAAGATTTCCATAAACAATAAATGTCTTTGAAATAAATATACTTTCAAAAAATCAAAAGAAAGCAAAGTAAACATATACCAGAAATAATTACCATTTACTAATTTATATTTAAAAAAAATCTAAAATCATATTCATTTAAACAATTTAAGAAACTCCTATAAAAAAATAGTAACCAATTATGACTAAATAATTTATAAAATATTCTATTAACAAAAGAAATTATATTTAAATAACAAAATTTTATTTATCATTATTAAAACTTACATATTCAATTTTATAATTTTAAATACATAAACATTTATATCAATTGTTAAGTATTCAAATAAATGACTTTTGTCAAATTATTAATTTTCTCTTTCAATTAAATATTTTATTTTTAAAAACAATTTCATTAAACCAAAACGTAAACCCAAAATAAATAATATTAAAAATAAAAGTTAAAATTAAATTTATATAAGAATTTTTAAATATTTTTTGAATTCTAGTTAAAATTCTAATTAATTTTGTCTTTTTAATTATCTTTTAAAAAATAATAGATATGATAAATTATAATTATTATTAATTCAGTAATAAAAACTAGAATTTATATAAAATAAGGAGTAATTAATAAAATCAAAAATTAAAATAAAAACATCCTCAAATTATAAAAATTAGAAGCATTTTCCAAATATAAAAGAAGAAATTTAAAATTGTATTCTATTGTTAAAGATATTTACTAGATTCTTGAAATAATGATATTTTTTTTAAATTAAGGATAGAATTTTTTTAAATTTCATAAAATGAACAAAATAAGATTAAAATGATAATAATTTAATATTTTAATTTCAGGATCTGCAATATATTATAAATAGTTTTTTAATTTTTTTAATTAATGTTAATTATTATAAAATGTTTAATAAAATTAAAAATTTATTAAGATAGTTATAAATATTATGTTCTTGGAATAAAGCTAATGGGTTTGATAATAATTAGAGATATTTTTAAAAAAAATAATAACTTGAATAAGTATTAAAATACCTTTTGGTTTATGCAAACCAGAATAAAAATAAAAAATGTTTATTTATTCATTTTTTTTGCATTAGATTCTAAATTTATTTTAATAAATATAAATATTCCTCCCCTCATTAGAGTTGAAAAATCTACTAAATAAAATTAATTTTTATCAAAATTAGTTTAATTACTACATTTTTTCAACATCTTAATCTATCATTCTTACTAAATTTTAAAGTATAGGTTTTAAAAAGAAATATTAAGATTTAATAAAGAGCGTTACACTAACTTTTTTGTGATATTTATTCATAAAAGTAAATTTGTAAATTGAAATTTGATAATAATTATAATTTTTTTTATTCTTTTTACCCAAATTAATTTGAAATAAAAGTAAATTAATTTTTTAATATACTTATAATTTATAAAATTTCCATAAATTAATAGCTATTAAATAATTTTGAAAAATAAATAATAAATGATATCCTAGTATTTTGACAATCTAGAAGAAGTAAATATTTATTTTTTTATAGGTTTTATTTAAATTTATTTATTAATAAAAAAAAGTTTATAAAATCTTCTCTTTAATCTCATTAGGTTCTCCACATTGCTCTGAGGTATATTAAATTATTAATAATATTATTAATTACTATTATTAATGTTTATTTAAATTTAATTTCAAATTATTTTTTAAAAAATTTTTTTTATAAATTCTCATTTAAATTCATTTTTATTAAAATCAATATTTTTTTTATTTAAACTTAATTTTCACTCAAATTTTATTTTGATTTTTAATTATTAATTTTTTATTATTTGATATTTTTTCTTCATTTTTTCCTTCTAACTAAATAATTAGCTATATTTTCTTGAATATTTAAAAAGGTATAGTTAAATGGGTGATGATAATGCTTCACGTTTAGGTTCTGGTTTAGGAAAGTGCATTAATCTCTCAAATGTGACTCTTGATCTTAGGTAAAAACAGTTTATTTTTTTGGGTTGTGATATTTTTTAGTAGAAAAATGAATTTAAAACATTATTACTCTTTAAATTTATTTATTAGCTTTTTATCTGGTTTATTTTTTTTATTTATTCTGTTGTGTGTGTGTGTATGTTTTTTTTGTTTTTTAATTTAATTCATTTTTTCTTTTTAAAATTTTTTTTTTATTTCATTTATTCTTCTTCCATATTTTGTCTTCATTTTTTCCTTTTAATAAAAAAAATATTTTTATATATATTTTCTTTAATATTTAAAAAGTCACAATTAAATTGGTGCAATTGGCACATTAGACTTAAGTTCTGCTTTAGTAAAATGCACTAATCTCTCAAATTTGACTCTTGATCTTAGGTAAAAACAATTTATTTGTTTTGGATTGTGATATTTTTTAATATAAAGTTAAATTTAAAACATTATAATTCTTTAAATATATTTATTAGACTATTATTAGCTTTTTATTTGGTTTATTATTATTTTTTTTTCTGCTTGTACTTTTTTTCTTTGTTAATTTAATTCATTTTTCATTTAAACTTTTGCTTTTATTATTAAATTAATTGATTTCTTTTTTTTATATTGCTAAATAATTAACTCTTTATTTTTTCATCAATATTAAAAAAGATCTAATCAAATTAATAATGAAGGTGCTTTAGGCTTAAGTTCTGATATAGGAAAGTGTACTAATCTATTAAATTTGACACTTGATATTGGGTATAAAATTTCATTTGTTTTGGATTGTGATATTTTTAATATAAAAATGAATTTAAAACTTCTTCTTTTTTATTAATTTAATTCATTATCTCATTTTCAACTTTTACTTTTATAATTAATTTCTTATTATTCCATATTTTGCCTTCATTTTTTTACTTCTAACTAAATAATTAATTATATACAATACTTAAAAAGGTATAATTAAATTGGTGATGAAAGTGCATCAGGCTTAGGTTCTGGTTTAGGAAAGTGTATTAATCTCTCAAATTTAACGCTTTTTCTTGAGTAGAAACAATTTATTTGTTTTTGATTGTGATATTTTTGAATATAAAAATAAATTTAAAACAAAATATCTTATTTATTTAATTTATTAGATTATTATTTGATTTATTTTTCTTTTAATTAAATATATTTTTTCTTTAAAATTTAAATAAGTTGGAATACTATTGGTGATGAAGGTATTATAGGCCTAGGTTCGGATTTTGAAAAGTACACTAAACTCTAAAATTTGACACTTGATCTTGGGTAAAAATAGTTTATTTATTTATTTTGGATTATGATATTTTTTAATAAAAATGAATTTATAACATTTACTAACTATTTTAATTTATTTATAAGCTTTTTATTTGAAAATTTTTTCTTTTTTTATTCTGCTTGCTTTTTATTAATCTATTTCTTATTATTTCATACATTTTCTTAGTTATTTCCTTCTAACTAAATAAATATGTAAATATTTTTTCTTCAATATTTAATAGGTCTAATTATATTGGCGATGAGGGTGCTTCTGGCTTAGTTTATGGTTTAGGAAAATGCACTAATCTCTCAAAATTAACGCTTTATCTTTGGTAATATCAGTTTGTTTGTTTTGTGTTATGAAAATATAAAAATGAATTCAAACAAAATAATTTTTGAATTTATTTGGTTTATTTTTCTTTTCATTTTTATTATGCAAATATTTTTATTTCTTTAAAATATAATATTTTTTTTAAAACTTTCTTTCTTTTAATTTTTTTAGTAATTTAAATTAATTTAAATTAAAAGTGGTAACGAAATTAATTAAGAATAATAATTGAAAGTAAAGTGTCTCAAATCAAAAAGATTAGTTGCCTTACAATTAGAAATTTGGTGATTAAAAAATGAATAAAAAAGAACGAATAAATATAAAAATATTTTAATATTATATAATATGTTTTATTTTATAATACTCTGTAATCAGATAATTTAACTTAAAAAAAGAGATAGTTTTATTATTATTCTTACATTTATAAATATCATATTTGGTAAGTTAATAGATCGCTTCTTAAATAAAGAAAATATAAAAACTAAATATACTTAAATATAGTAATTCCTCTAAACTCTACCCTGAGCTTTCACCCAAAATAATCAAAGCTTTTATTAATTGCTAGTATTTTGTGGTTTGGGTATTATTTATATTTGATATAAAAGCAAAAATAAATAAGTTATAGTAAATATTTATTTTATCAAGCCTTGATAATTTATTAGTAATAAATAAATAATAAATGTTACATAAATTACTAAAATATTAAATTGAAATATTTACCAACTTAATAACATTTTTAAATAAAAGAGTTTTGTTAATTTTCAGTTTTATACTTTCAATAAAGTAAGTTTTAAAACTTTAGTTTTTTTACTCCACTTTGGTTAAACTTGTTCTGTATCTATTTTGCAAGGAAGAGGCAAATCAAGTTTATATACTAAAGGAACTTCTAATTTAATTTTCTTTTCAGAAATATCAAGAATCATATCATCTATTGAGTTAGCTTTAAACAGTAAAAACTCCAAATAAATAGACTCAGTAAGCTCTTTGAGAGTATAAGAAGGTTTTTCAACTTATTCTTCTAATATCTATTTTGCAGTTTTTGGTACTTCTTTAGTTTCAATTTCTTAAATCAGTACTTTTTTAGGTTTTTATTTTTCATTTTTTTTTTCTTTATCTTCTTTACTTACTATTTTTAATCCGTCTAGAACTTATTCTTTTATCATCTCTTTTGATTTCTCATCTTCTAATTATCTTTTCTTTAAGTCATCAACATTTTAAATAGAATTGGCCTATGATTATTGTAAATTTTCGGATTAAGCTCCCTACTGCATTTATGACAAAGCAGCATTTTTTTTCATTTATATTTCTTGCTTGACCTTTTATAAATCAAATTATCTATCAGCTTCTGGCTCTAGCAAAATTGGAGGTATTTACCTCTATTTTTTATCAGCTAATTTAAATTTTTTAGACTTGTGTCTAACTACAGACATTTTAGATATTTAATAATGAATGATTTCATTATCTTCCATATAATTATATAGTTTTAATAATGGATTTCTATGTTCTTTTAAGCAGTTATTCATTTTTTCAATGACAAAAGTGACAAGCTATTCAGTCAAAGGAGGAGCTCCACTCATCATCTTGCATACTTCATCATTAATTACAAAATTATAAAAATAAACCATATTTCCTAAAGACTCGCTTTTCCTTTGCTCTGGTTCTTAAACTGAATAAGGAATTACTTTCCATTCCTCCATTTATTTGATAGATTCTATTTCTTTTCCTTAATCATTAATGGGAGCTCTAACTCTGTTACTCATTAAAACATTAATATAAATTTTAACTTCTTTATCTATTGATTTTTTTATGTCAGCAAGCTTCTTTTTTGAATCCTATCCTACAACTCTTAAAGACTATAGTTACAAATAATTAAGAAGAATATAAATATTTTTATCAATATATAAAAATAAAATTTTACTTCATAAAGAGGATGTTCTTCTTTTTTAAGCTTAAACGATTAGAGAGTAGCTTACATCTTGAGTAAAAAAGCAGGATCTGCATTAACCTTTAACTCTTTAATTTTCTCATCCTTTTCTTTTTTTATCTCTTCAAAACCATTTTGTAAATTATTTTTAACAAAGTTTTTATATCCCTCAGGATTACTTTCGCTTAAATCATCCAACATTTTCCAAATATTCTCTGCTTGCTTTAATTGATCGTTATTTAATCCTCCCATAGATCCTGCAATCTAATTAAGCAATCCTTTTCCTAAAGAACCGTCCATTTATTTATTGTTAGTTACTAAGCTAATTTATTTGTATAACTTGATCTTTATTTAATAATATCCAAATTCTAAATTTTTAAAATTATCAATTAATTAATTAATTTTTAAATTTATGCAAATTTAATTCTAAGTAAATTTTTAATTTAAATGCTTTAAATACAAAATTATTAATTTTTTAATGTAATAGTTTTATTTACGAATATTCTATAAAAAGTATGAATAATTTATACATTATTAAATACTAATATGAAAACCAAAAACTTCCGAATCAAATGATAAATTGATTTTTAGAAATAAATAATTAACATTAACATAATAATTTTTAATTATTTTATTAACTAAATGGTTTTATAATATTAATTTTTTTTTGAAGTTATTAAATTAAAAAAATAATGGCTATAAAAACTTCAATTTAAAAACATATTGAAATAGTAAAAATTTAGATTTACTAAAATAAATAGCTTAAAATATATTATAAAACTAAAATCAGTAAATTAATTTACATTAATCAGATGAAAACAAAAAAAGAAAAATTAAATAATATTAGCTAAGAAGTTTTTTTATTTTTTATTTTATTGAGACATTGACATAATACAGTTTATTAAACTCTAAAATAATAACTTTGTTTAAATAATAATAATCTAACATAAAATAATTAATTCAATAGTGCAAAAAATTTATTTATTTATTATTTTTTTATAAAATATCAAAGTTAATGACATTTTTTGATTGAGGATATAATTCTCTAATCAATTTTGCTTAAATTTGATTCACTAGAACATCTAGATAGAAATTCCTAGACAAAATCATTTTGGAATTTTTCTGATTATAAGATTGCCGTTTGTATTTCATAATAACTTAAATTTTTGCTTTATACTTAATTCAAAAAAAATTAAAATTAATTTTTATTTTATTTAAAAAATATAATAATTTACCATATTAATTGATATTACAATTAATGCTACTCAAATTTAATTCAAGAAAACTCGAAGAGCATCCTACTAGGTGAAGAGCTGCTAGTTAATCTTTTGTTAGTAGCATCATTATAGCTTTTTTTATCAATATTATATCTTTTATAAAATTAAAGATGTTCAAGTCTTTCCTTATTTAGTAATCAACTTTTTACACTTAATATTCTTTTGATGCTTGCATTTATTTTCTAAAAAATAATTATATTTATGAGTATTAAATATATTGAAATAACTTACTTTATTTTGTTTAAGTTTTATTGTATCTTGCTAAATGAATTAGAATCTTAAATGGCTTTTAAATTTTTCATAAGTTTCACATGCTCCTCACCCCCATCTAAAGCATTTTTATCTTTAGATAGAAAAATATTTTTTTCTTTAATTTTATTTGTTGCTGACTACTTCAAGGTTGCATTTAAAGTAACACTAAGAGGTAAATTCAGCTTTTATAGATCATTTTATTAATTAATCTATGATACTTAAATCATAGATTTTGGTTCTTAAAATTCAATATTCTTTGAATTTTACTTATTTTAGCTGTTTTGATTAAATATACTTTCTTCGTTAAAATCTTAAGGAATTGAATTATTAGATGTCTTAGTATTGCTTTAGAGAAATAATAAATTTTCTATATTTTCCTAGTTTGTATTATTAAATTATTCTAATTCAATAGCTGTTTTTTGCTTACTGTAAAATAGTGGAAGCGAAATTTTTTATTAATTCTATTATTATTTTTCATTATTTATTTCTTACAGATTTCTTTTAGGAGTTTGATCTTCAATTATAAATTAATCTTAATTTATTACAATTTCTTAATTTTCATTATTGAAGAAATAATTATTTGCCTTTAAAATTTACAAATAATTGTCTTGGTAAATATATTTAAGGAAGAGTATGAAAAAATCTTTATTAATGGAATTTTGTGAAACCATTCTACCAAAAGTTCCTATCAGCATTAATAAGGTAAAAATTCCACTTACAAGTGCAAGGATTTATGGTAAAGTAGGATATTGAATTTGGATATGCTAAATTATTTCATCTAACATTAATATTACTAAAGTGTATCCCCCAGCCCCAATTTACTAAAGAGCATATTATCTGTCAATATTTTAATCTGATTAAGAGTATTAAATTGGAGAAAAAAAGGTTGATTCTGATTGCACTATTAAACCTTATTTAATAGAAGTATTTTAATTTTATGTTTTCAGTTGAGTTACTATCTATTGGTTAGCTACTGTATAGACATAAGCATTCCTATAATTAATTTCTCTCCTTTAAGTAACTGTGTTATACTGAGAAGTATAGAGTTTAAGCCTTAATAAAGAGTTTATTCCATTCACCATTTTGTCAATTTCTGCTTGGCTTGCACAATTATCAGGGACATATGTCTTTAGTTTATCAATATCTAAACAACCATATGTCATTATCTGTATTGTAGATTTCCTATTCTAATTTGTATTGAGAAGCAGTGTATAATTTTACACACTTGTAAAATCTAAACATTTGAATCCTTAAAGATTAGAATTCGTGCAGTCAATCACATTTAGAGGTATGAATAAATTGAGATCAGAAGAAATATACTCAAAGAAGGCTAAATAAACAAAATAGGTCTTGTCTTAAGAGATTTACTGCTTAGAAGAATTATCCATCTCAAACCTAAATCCAACTAAATCACTGCTTAGGGGAGTCTCAATCAAAGTACGATTGATTAGGCTTTGTGATCTAAACACAGGATCTATTTAATTAGTAGCATATTACTAAATTATGTAAATAAAATATGACAATGTAGCAATTAAAACACCAAATGTAGTGATTGTCCCAAATAGAGTTCCTCTCTTCATTTATTAATTACCTGTGTTAAATGAGAACGGAGAAGAAAATAAATCTAATTTTGAAAAAATCATGTTTTAACTTAAATTGTTCTTCTTCTTCTTTATATTTTTTATTTGTATTTTTTTACTCTTTTTTATTGATGTTCTACCAAATTAATTAAGAATTTAAAATCAATTATTTCTTAATTACACTTTTACTCACTCAACATTAATTTTAAAAGCTTTTAACAATCAAAACAAAGATTTCAATTTTATAATTTATTTTATTAAATACTTTTCCAACATTCAAGCTATTCTTTGATCTTATTTAATTAATACTCATAAAATTGAATGGTAAATAATAAAAATAATTCCAAGACAACTAATACATAAAAATAGATAAATAAACAAATTCATAAAATATAGACTTCTTAATTAATATTATCAATTAATTATTATTCATAATCATTAAAGTGATAATTTTGATAAAAATAGAAGAACCTAATAAGTTTTTTAGAGTGTAAAAAATTTTTTTCTTTCTTCATTTACTGAGTATTTTTAATGAATATTTTAAAGTTAAATTAGCAATTACATGTGTGTTTTAAATTAGAATGAAGAGGAAGAAAGTTATATTAACTTTAAAAATTATTTCTAATTTTAAAGAATTGTATTTTTACATTTCTTATGTGATTACACTTTTTTACAAAGACTTTTTCAAACTAAAAATTTTTTATTAATTATTTCTAAATTACACTTTTTCTCATCCAATCTTAAAAAGCCTTAATAAATAAAATAAATATTTAAATTTCATAATTGAATTTATCAAATATTTATTCCAGCTTTCTAGTTTTTCTTTTATTTTTATCATTTAAACATCACTAAAGTTAATTATTAAATAGCAAAAATAATAAAAAAAATTTAAATCTATTGATGCATTAATCAAATAAATGTATTTAAGTTATTTAGACTTATAGATTGATATAAAAACCTATACTATTCTTAGAATAATAAATATTATTTTATAAATTAAAAGAAAATTTAAAAATAATAAAAAAATGTTTCGAAATTAGTTTCAAGCCTAAATAAACAAAAAAAATAAAAAAGTTTTAATCAAAGATTTAATTTTTTGAAGAGAAATCTAAATTTTTATAATTAAGCATTTAATCTTGAATTAAAAACATTTTTCATACATTTTAGTGAAAAAAATTAAATTCAAGAATAAATTAATTGATCATCTTTTTGAATATATAGGAAATATAAATAAAATTTAATAGATGGAGATCTTTTTTCCAACTGGTTAATTAGTTTGAAGATATCTAAAAGTTTTTTGATAATTACAACTAAATAATAATTAAGATGCTGACAAAATTGAGTTTATTTAAAATTTAGTAGCTTAATTAATTTTGAAATTAATCATTAAAAAAGAAATATATTTGATTTAAAAAATTAATTTTTTGTCTTTATAAATTTAAATTTTGATTGTTATCTTAAATATACGTTTGCTCTATTAAAATAAGGTCTAATTAATTAGTTATTTTGAAATATATTTTGGCTTTCAATTTTAAAAAATTAATTTTATTAATCATAACATATTATAAAAAAAAAGAATGGAATTTGATTTAAATTGTAAAATCTTAAGAAACCCAATAATTCATCAAAAACAAGTATTATTTTTATTTTATTAGTTAATTGATTAAAGAAAGCTTATTTTGTTAAGCAACTTTATTTTTTGATCACCAGATGGTCCCCTTAAATAAAAATAAATGAATTCTATAATTTTTATAGATTATTTCTCACTAAATATTTAATAATTTAAATATTATTTGGAAAATATTTGTTAAATACTAGAATAAATATACTTTTTCAGGTAATATTAATGATAGAATAATTTTATTGGGTAAATTTATTTTATTTAACCTACAAATTTTGAAGAGAGTGAAGGATATATATAAATTTCCAAATATAAATAGTTGAAAAATAATCAATCAATTAAGATTTATTAACATGTCAATTGCTTTTGTATTGAAATTATAAATTATAAAATTGTATTTTATCAGATAGATAATTAAGTAAAATATTGTTTATAAATAGTTATTTGCTTATAGATTTTATGAAATATATTTTTATAAAGCAAATCATTATTACAATTTATTTATTTAATTAATTTATAAATATTTGAAAAGAAATTATTTAGGATTTTATTAAGTCATTTTTGAAGATTCAAATGAACAATCATTAGTCTAGTTCATCTAACACAAAGATTATTATAGTTGGAGCAGGAGGAATTGGCAAATCAACTTTCATTTAGTATTATGTTAATGGAAAGTACCTTGTCCCAAACTCAACAGTTTGTAATCCATAATTCATTAATAGTTTCTAATAGCTAATATTAATCACTTTTTTTTATATTTGAAAGTATGCGATTTCTTTGTGAAATAAGTTAAATACAAAAGCGAGTAGATAAGATTAGAAATATGGGATACAGCTGGATAGCCATAATTTTAAAATTTAATTAGTCAGTTTTATAGAAATACAAGTGCTGCAATACTTGCTTTTGATATTAATAACATTGAGTCATTACGTAAACTTGATTTTTACTTTAATGATCTCAATAACTAACTAGGTTAGGATGTCATTAAGGTAATTATATCAACCAGATGTGATTTAAAGGGTATGAAATATGATGAAAAAAACAACCCAATTAAAGCTGTAAGTGATGAAGAAATAAATTAATATGTGAAGGAAAAGGGTCTAAAATATTTTGAAACATCTTCTAAAGCAGATATAGGAGTAAAAGATACCTTCAATTATATAATCGAAGAAATCTTAAAAAAGCAATCAATCGTAGGAACTGATAATACTCCAAACAATAATATTTCTCTTATAGAATAAAATTAATCACAAAAACCTCAGTAAAAAAAAGAGGGATGCTGCTCAAGTTGAAGAATTTTGGTATAATAAAAAAAATATTGATTCAATTAATCCCAGTAGAGATAATAGAATTAAAAACAAGATTATAAACAAAACTAAAAAACAAAAAATAATGAATGATTCCTTATAATATTAATGTTTCTCTTATAATAAATAAATAATAATTTTCTCTCTTTTAGTATTAAATTTGCGTATATAGTTAATTATTAAATATTAAATCTTATTAATTCAAATATATCCATATGTTGAAATTTATTTGCTTTCTTAATAAGCAATCTAAAATCCGTCCTTTATGACAAAATATTTATTATATCACTGATCAAGAATTTTCCTTACACCATTAAAATTCTTTTATAAATAGTCAAAGATTTATTGACTTGATGATGATTTATAAATAATTTGAAATGATCCTAACATAAAAAATCATATAACTTGTTACTGTCTATCATTTATTTTATAATTATTTTTGCTAAGTTTGAAATGAAGAAGTAAAAATTAAATATGAGGTTTAATATAATTTTTTATTGCTATTAACTTTTTTTTGAATTAAATTAGTACTTTTACATTATTTATTTCTGATAATGTAATTTTATTCTTTTATAAGCTTTATAAATAAAAGAATAAATATAATTTAAAGTACTAAAAATTATATTTAACTCTTATTTTTTAAATCCCTAATAAAAATTTAAAATACATTCATTTATTAATTTTAAATTATAATTTGAAAAATAAAGAGCAAAAAAAATATTATAAATACCAATTATGTTTGATTTTTTGATAAATTAAAAAAATTATAAAATTAATTGCTTTTAATTAAGATAAATATTTATATTAAGAATTAAGTATTTATTTCAAAGATTGGCCATATTAGATTTATAAATAAAGAAAAACAAAAATTATATCATAATAAATTGTTATTAAAAAAATAATAATCAATTAAAGTTAATTTTATCAATATTAATTATTTAAAAAACTAAAATCATGAAAAGGAATTGTTAAAATCTTTAATGGTAATCTAACAAATTAATAATATTAATTTGATAAAATAATAATAATTTAATTAGAATATAGTTCACATAATTCCTAATTGATAGTATCTATTTAGAGGTGGATCAAGTTAAATTAAATATGTTCATTAAAAAATAGATTTATTTTAATATAAATTATAAAAATAATAAAAGGAATCTTTAATTGAATATAAAAAACAAACTATTTGAATTGAAAATAATGTCATACATACTTGCAACGTATTAAATATACTCAATAAAAATTAATTAAAAATAATAATGTCTTATTATATACACTTTATATAATTTTTAGCAAAGTGCTACTTTGAATGATTTAAAATGATTAAAAACTTTATTTATTACTATTATTGTGTTTATTTTGATGGCATGAAAGTATTTATGATTTGTAAAAATATTATAAACTGCCTATGATTATAATAAATTTCGTTGAAAATAAAAGAAAAGATTAGCCAATTATTATTGAAGTATAATTTTTCAAAGTAATCAAAAATCACAAACAAATATTCTTAAATTATAAATCAAATATTGACAATATTTATTGATCACTAGTGCCTAACTAATTAATAAAATCAAATTTATTTTTTCAGATAAAGATACAAATGGCTTTTGTTTTTAAAGCACCTAGAAAAGATAACAGAAGCTAAACTGCAGATATAGTAGGACCTGGCGCATATATTGATTTATTTCCTCCTTAAACCAACATTTAGAAGAATTTAAGGCCTTTTAATAGTACTTCTATTAAGGGAGTGAATTTAGAAGTTAAAGTTAAAGAATAACTTCCTGGACCTGGCTACTATAATGTTTAGTCAAATAATCATGAAAAAGTTGTTATATCCAGCCCAGATGAGGAAATTAAAGTTATTGAAATTCCTAAGCCGTCTTCGTTTTTTAAAAATAGGCAACACAGATTTCAAAACGAAGATAAAATAGAAGTTCCTGGGCCTGGTGCATATGAAATAGAAAAGGCTAACAGAAGGAAAGTAAAAGGAGGTATAAAATTGCAAGGAAAACCTAAAAGTGTTATTGATCATTTAATGTAGATAAATAGATACAGTAGCATTCCTTCTATACCAGGAAAATAACAATAATATGGATATACTGAAAATGAAAGTATTTATTTATTCATTCATTCAATAAATGTTGTCTTAAATATTTAATCATCTTATTTATTAACATAAAGATAATTAGCTTGAATTAAACTAATTGAATAATAGCATGGCTGATGCAGATAAAAAAGTAATTAGTATTTTTTTATTCCTTTTAATTACTAAATTATGCAAACAAAGATGGTTTTTAAAGAGTTTTAGCAATTAAATTTTGATTGAGATTTGCAATCGTTAAAAATTAATATTTGTCCCTAATAAATATTAAATCCTAAATCAAATATATAATTTTGATAAAAAATGTTTTCTATTGTAATATAAATTTGTTTTAAATCACTAATTATTAGTTGGGACCAGGATGCTACGATGTTAAGGGAACATTCGATAAACCTTCTAGAATTAGAGGAGTATCATGGCATAATTAAAATCTTAATAAAACTGGAATTTCTGAAAAATTAGATACAAGTTGTTATGTTGGACCTGGAAGTTACGAAACAAATTATTTTTCATAAGGGCCTTTGTATAAACTTAAATAGTCACACGTTTTTAGCTCTAAAAGTAATAGAGATCAAAGGAGGGGAGAAAGAGCTAACTCATTTTTATCATCAAAAAATAAATCGATAATGAGCACAAGTTATTAAGTATAGAATGATTCTGAGCCAGATGACAGCGATTCAGAATTCGAGTATATTGAGGTAAGTTATTATATTAGTTAAAGTATTAAAAATATTAAAATTTATTCTAAAAATTAGGATGCTACTCCAGGTCCTGGATATTATCACAACGAATCTACTATGAGTTCTATCAAAACTGTTGGAAAACCAGAAAAATTTTAATATTTTGGAACAAGATCAGAAAGATTCAAGCAAGTTAAAAATGAAATAATTGTAGGCCCAGGATAATATAATCCAATTATGGTAGAAAAACTTGGAAAAGTTGTAATAAATTATAATTAAAAAAATAAATATTAGTTTCTAAATTGTTTATTTTAATAAAAGGAAAATGTAGCCATTTAAAATAAAACAGTCCCATTTGGTTCATCGAATACAAGATTTGAAACTAAAATATTTTAAGAAATTAAGCCTTGTCCTGGCTAATATGAACCTAGAAATACTGTAATTATATTTATTTAAATCAAGTTTTCAATATCATACAAATAGTATTTATAGTAAATTATTTTAATGGTAATTTAATTAATTTAACCTAGTTTGAAGATAGATTGATATATAGAATTTAAAGAGGTTATAGAGGTAATTTCGGTTCAACCGAAAGAAGATTTAAAAACCAAAGCTTTTAACAAGAAGTAAACTACTTTCTTTTTCAATAATATATAAATTAATAAATTAAATTCAAAAGGAAATACCAGGACCAGGTTAATATTTAGATCCCATCATAGAAAAAGAAAACGAAGATGTCAAACCCAATTCAATATTTATATCAAAAACAAAAAGAGATGGCTTAGCAGAAAAGAAAAAAGGTAAATTATTAAAATAATTTATTTTGTAAGTTATAACATATTTTTAATAATTACTTAGTTGTTCCTCCTCCAGGTTAATACAATATAGATGCTTATGATATCAAAAAGAAAGTTTAAAAAGATGATGAAGACGATCCTGAGTTAGCTGTCAAAAAGCCTGGTTTCCTTTCAGGAGAAGTAAGATTTAAAGAACCTAAAGTTGTTAAAAGTAATTTTATCTAAATCAAATAAAAATGTTTTGTTTATTTCTTTATTAATTAATTTAGAAGACGATGATGATGATTTTGATGATGGAGTTCCAATAACAAGTAATAAGCATATCTCAGATTTATATAAAAAGAAACCTAAATAAGTTGCTCCTTTTGGAAGCAAAGTAAATTACTTAAAATTGAAATTTCTACATAATTTATTCAAATTTAATTAACAAATCTAAATAAATTTAATTAAAATAATTTTCATAAAATTTACTGTTTGTTTTTTAAAAAAAAGCAAAAAAGATTTATTGCTTCAAAACAAAATAGTAAAGTTGCTCCTGGACAATATTACGATTAACTTCAATAGAGTTGGAATAAAAGAACATTTAATATATTATTTGCAGAAATCTGATATCTAAAATTAGATTATCTTATTACTAAATTAGAAAAATTAAAAATTATATTTATTAGAAATTACCAAAGAGCCTAAAGCAAAACATAAAATAATTAAAACTCTTTTAATACAAAACCTTTCAAAATAAAGAGATAATTAGTTAGTTTTTAATTAAACATACAGAAAATGTTATCAACTTCAAAGAAGAAATTAATACTAAGATTTTAAATATAAAAATTCAAAGCTTTATTAAAAATATATTTATTGCATATTATTTTTTAGAATTGTTGTTTTATATTTTATAAAGTTTCATCTTTTGTTCATACCATTTTTAATAATTTCTCTATCGGCACGCACACTTCCTAAAAGTGTTGATAAAACTAACCCACATTTTACACCAAATCTTTTTTCATAGTTTTTATAATCATATTCTTTAATTACTCTAATTAATTCTTTGTCTTCTAACTATTTTAGTTACTTTTCTTTTTCTCTCAAACGCTTTGAAAGCAGCTCATATTCTTATATAAATTGCTCTCTGCTATCATATTTATTTAGCATTGTGCTATTTTCATAAAGTACTATTTTATGATTTAGCTTAATCTGTTCATGCTCTAAATTCTATAAATAAAATATTTAATAAATTGATGAAAAATATTATTTTTAATTACGTCCAAGAAATTAGTAATATTAGCAGAAGGCTGCTAATTTTATGTTTACGAGTTGAATGAATTTTAGTTCTTTTTATTTAAGTCAGGCATACTTGTATTAAGAAGTGTTTTTATTTTCTTTTTTGTCTTTTTAATTAAATTTTAAAAATTATTTTGATAACTAACTAAAAATAATTTATTACTTCATTATAAATAATATCATTTGTAGTAAGCTTAGTAGCATGAAGTTAGTCAATTGTCTTTTCAAGAGATCCTAACTCTTCTGAGCTTAATCCCTCAAACATTTAATGCAAGTTAGTCATTATTTTCTTTCTTAAATCTAATGTTTCTTCATGTTTAATTTTCTCTACATTAACTTAACTAAAACTTTGATTGAATTTAGAGTTATCATTTTGCTTAATCGATGGAAGAGTTACTGTTATTATATAATTAAAATTATAAACAAAGTATATTATAAAATAATTTACAGTTATTTTGCTATGATTTGTTAAGCCCTGAAAGAATTGAGATGTTATTTTGGTTTCCTATCATAGAAACATCTCCAATCGTTTAATCAGGCATATCGACAGTCTTCATATGGTCATTAATTGACATGTTTGTCTTATAAATATCAAGAGATACGTTTTAAAGAGTTTATATTTCCTAAATCTCCTATATTTTCTAAGATTTCTAATCATTTAATTTTTTTAAAATTAATTGTCATTTTCTTAATTAATAACTTAAATACCTAAAGTAAGAAATCCTTAGCCTTACTATCTAGAAAATCAGGTAAATGTGTGTCAAATACTTTTTCTCCTAAATTTTAGATAGCCCTAATAATCCAAGATAGTCCTTCATTTCTATTAAATATGATAAATGTATATTTAAATTTTATATATAAAAGTGAATTAATCTCAAAAAAAGCTATTCTTTTATATTATAAAATGATATGATATTTTTATATATTTAAAAAATATAATTTTTTTGATAATTTGATAAAAAATATTATTTAAATAGATATAAATAACTTTACTATTTTTGATACTGATATGGTATATTATATCAATATTTAATTTATTAGAAAATTTTTTAATTATATTTTTAAGTTATGAAAATACTCATTTTTTTGAAAATTATTTAATTTTAAATGCAGGTTTTTATTTTAAGAAATTAAAAAATTTAATAAAATGTAAATAATAAGTCTCTATATTTTTTTATTCATTAAAAATTAATTAGACTTTTAAACATTTTTTTAGATCAAACTTACATTTTGACCAAAATATTTTGTTTTAAAGTTTAAACATAATAAAATTGATTTTAGAAATTTAATACTTTTTTCTAGTATTTTTTAATAAGCATTTATATACCTTTATGTTGCAAAATTTATTATAAATTACTAAAATAATAAATTACCTACTGTCTTTTCCATATTTTAAGATTTCATACAAGAAAGTTCTTTTTGCTTTAGTGAGCTACTTAAAATCTTTTCTTTTTTGATTTATTTAATCTTCAATACTTTAAATTATTTCCTAATTAAATTATTTTTAAATAAATAAATAATTTATAAATTTGTTTAAGTTTTTTTTATGTACAGAGTTATAGTGTTATTTTAATTCAAATTTTTAATAAGATTCTTTGAGAATCTAGTTTTCTCTTTCTATTTCATGTATTCTACTTGTATGAGCCATGACACTTTCAATTAAAGCTGATCTATTAGATGTAGTCATATTGCTTAAATTCATCCCTTTTTTATTTGGGAGCATTGGTGTATTAGGTTAAGAATCTAATGATATCTTTTTTATATCTGGTGCTTTTTAAACTGTAGGGTCTAATAATTGTTCTTCTTTATTTTAGTTAGGTACAGTAATTTCTTTAATATCTGCTTGTAATTTTGCTGACTATTTGTTAAAAAAATTATTCAGTTTTATTTAAATAGAAAGAAGCAATAGCAAAAAATATTTACTAACTCCTTAATTTATCTCATTTTCTTCATAATTGTATGATTCTCTAAGCGGAGAATTCTGACTGTATTTGATTTGTTAGTTATGAGTGCTTCAGAGTCTCTTAAATTTTCAAGCAGTTTTTGCTCAACTAGATTAGATATTTTTTCATAATTTTTAGCTTTTTCAACCATATTCATTGTACTTTCATTATCAGGATCTATCGAATAAAAAGTTTGTAGAATACGTTTTATACCTTCAGGTGTTAAATCTTCTTTTTTAAATGCACTGTCCTCTTTTGTATGGAGATTAGGTACATCATTTACGTATTTTAAAACAGTATTTTTTATATCTCTTATGTTGGAAGGTATGTCATCAACTTTAGTTTATTCGTTTATTTCTTTAACTACATTAGAAAAAATATCTTTTATGCTATCGCTTCTTTATCTAAAATTTTAGCTATTTTTTCTTGTATCTTCATCTGAACTCTTTATAAAGAATTTAATAATTATTCGATATATTTATTTATTTAAAAAATAATAACCATACTGGATTATTTTTAAGCAAGTTGACTAAATTTATCCTGCTGTTATTTAAAGCAGAGTTGCTAATTTTTTTACTTTCAGGAGTCATTGGTTAAGAAGATGAAAATTCTCTTGAGTTTTGGAGTTCAGCAAACTGTTTTTTTGCAATTAAAAGAACACTATCTTTATTCTTTTATGTAAAATTCTTCATTCTTTCATTAATCTTTTTGGGGCTTAGGAGTTCTTCTTTATCATCTTCTTCTTGCTGTTGCTGCTATTCTTCTCTTGTGAGTTTCTTAAAATTTAATAAGAAATATAAGTTATAAAATAAAGATATTACAATTTTTTAATTAAAATGCTAAGTATTAATTACTCTAGATTTTGATCTAGGAAAAAATCTACTTTGTTTTTATTTGCTTTATTCAATTGTTCCTGTTTGCAACGTTTACTGATCCTATTATTATTTTTCCTATTACTTTTTCCATTACTTAACTCCTTTATACCAATGATCAAGACCCTCGATTTCCTTTTCTAATTTAGTGTCTTTCTTTTTTAATAATTAAATTAAAACATTTAGCTTGATAATTATCATGTACTATGTTATTTTACATGTTATACTCCATCTATTGTTAAACTCGATTAATTTATGCTTGGTAAAAAGGTAGCATTCCTTCCTTTTATTACACTTATGTTAGAAAAATCTTATATTTTAGATGCATCTTAATTAGCATTTTATCCATCATACTCTTCATCTTCATTTTCAAAATTTTCTTCTAGCTACGAATAGCTTATTAAAAAGAATTGAATTAAAATTTCTATTTATAAACCAATAAGTTGTACATTTCACTCATAAGCAGAAGCTTTCCTGGACTATTTTTTAACTGCTTAAGCTGGCTTTACTCAAAATTACTGTAATTAGGTTTAGAAAAAAATTTTGTGCCTCTAATAAGAGCAAGATCTGAAGGATATCTCCTTGATTTAAAATTTCCCTTGCCCTTCTTTTTGCCTAAATTATCAACTTGCATTATGTCATAGAATTTGATTGTGTTCATTTCATTATTTTCAATTTTATTAATGACATCCCTTTTTGCTTCCTATTCTACATCTATCCTACTATTGACAGATCTAAGGATTTCTCTTATATTGTTTGGAATTTCAATTTTTTTGGAATTTAGAGAAGTAGTAGTCATGCTTTTCATGACTCTTTCTTATCTCTTGTGCTTTATAGTATCTACCGTAATCATTGTATCTTTAAAGGCATAAATAAATTTTTCAAAATCGGTTGAAGACTTAAATAGTGTTTTAATTGTATGAGTGAGTGAGTAATAAATAATATTAAATTTAGATGGTTTTTAAAGTTATATGAATATTTAATTAATAGGTAAAATATAAAAAATAAAATAACTATATCAAATTCAATTCATAACAATCAATGAATATTTGTTAATTAATTAATTAATTTATTTATTTATTTTTGATAGTAATAAAAGCTTAAAGCGCAATTTTATAACTTTCAGGTATTCAAATCCTTTTATTATATGCTCAAACAAAAGAGTTCAGCTCAATTATTCCTTAATCATTTTCAATATAATATTCTTAAGTTTGGTTTTGATTCAAAAATTGATAATGCAATTTCTTATATTAGAAAAAGTAATTTTAGAATAGATTTTACAATAAATTTTTAAATCATTTTAATTAATCAGATGATTTGATATTAAGTTAGTTGAATTGGGTTTAGGAATAAAAGGTAAAAAATTAAGTGGCTAAAAGAGTTAATTTCAAGGCTATTAAAGTTTAAAGAGATATCTATTAGATGGAATACTTACTCTAAGTAAATATCTGCTTTTGATAATAATAAATCATCTCTTTTTTATTAGCAATAAATAATATAATCAATCTAAACTATATTTTATGAATTTATTTATTGATTTCAAAATTAATTAAAATTTTAACGCTAAGAAAGTAATCGTTTATTTCAAGCTCAAAAAGTATCCCTGTTTAAAAGAAAAGGAATTTGAAAAAGGGTGTGAAAACCCTATCGTAGACTTAATTAAGACCAGACAAATTAATAGCAAAAAATAAAAGTAGCAAAATATTAGCAAATATATTATGGAGTTAACAGAAGGAGACTCAGACATCGCCAATGATTTTAATTTAAAAAATGCATAGGGTGTCAATACACCGAAATAAGTAGCAACTGTTTACGAGTAAACATAAAAATAGCAAACAAGTTATCAAAAGACAGAAAAAACTATAGGCACTAAACAGTTCAAGCAAGCAAACACATTATGGACCAATCCGATGAATATTAACGATGAAAATTTGCCAGATTTAATGCAGGATAGCGAAGATGTAGGAACTCAAGCATAAACAAATTCTAATTTAAATAATATAAATAACAGAATAAATACTATTGAACGAGGAGGAATAGCCTAATAAAACTAGTAAAGAAACCAATAATAATTCTACGTTAGTAATTCCTCACTTTAAACAGGATAATTTAGACAGCTAATTCCTTATAATGGCTCAAGTTTAATGAATGTAATGCCTCAAACTGCTAGTTTTAGCCCAAATGATGATAACAATTACTCTGGCCATCATCAATATTAGAAAAGCAGATATTCTGACGATCAAGTTATATGTAATTAATATCTTATTAAAATAAATATAGGCATTTAATATATATTAATATGCTAAGAAAAGTTTTTCCAACAATGAAATAATTTTATGTCCTTGTTAAAATTAATTAAGCTTGGAGATTAATTATAAAAATCACTTTATTCGTTGCTGTTAAATTTAAGCAATTTTTAATAACAAAAGTATACAATGAAGGTATTACAGGCAGGATGCCTGCAAAGGTTAGATGCAAAAACTGCGATTAACTTGTTCAAACAATAGTAAAATTTGAACCAGGGTAATTTATTTAGTTTATTAAATTTAATATAAAAGTGAAATTATAATTTATTTAAAAAAATCTATCAGATAATCTACCAGTATTTGTTCTCTAGTTCTTTGTCTTTTAACTTGCACGCTTTGTTGTTTTCCATACTTACTTGACTAATGCAAAGATGCAGTTCACTACTGTCCAAATTGTATATTAAATTTCATATAAAAAAATTAATATCACATTTATTTATTATTGTTGGTAGAATCTAAATATTTATAATAAATTATTGTTAAAAAGGTGGCTTTGTGATTGGCGTGAAAAAATTTTGAACTCAAAATCAATCAACTTTTTCAAGTCTGTAACTATATCAAGATATTCATAAAATAGAAAAAAATTCTTTAAATTTAGAAATACAAATTAAATAAAATTAAAATAGATAAAAAAATAAATAATTGTATTTAGAATGATTAATTATACTCTTTAAAATAGATAAAAAATAAAATTTAATTTTGTCTCTCTCAAATAAAGCAAGCAAGCAGCAGAAAAAATAGATTTGCAAATTATACAATATAATGAATGAATGTATCTTTTTTGCTACTAGTAATATCTCACACTTTTTATTTAAATAAATAAATGAGTCTAAGTTAAAACCAAAAAATTTAATTAAGCAAGTGCCACTAAAAATATAAAATGTAAAAATTGTTAATAAATGGTAAATGAAATTATATTAAAATTTATAAATGAATTTTAAAGTTCTTTTTTTTAAAAAAATCGTTAATGTATTAATAATAAATTAATTAATGACTTTTAAATAATTATATTATTTTGAAGTATTTATTTATTTCATTATGTTTGTTTAGTTCAAATGCTTTTATGTATCTATTATTTTTAAAATCATGATAATAATTAATTCTCTCTATTTATGAAAAAGTAAACACAATTTGCTATTTTATTTATTTAAGAAAAAATCATCTCATTATTTGCTGATAAATCCTAAATAAAAAGGGATTAAATAAAAGAACAAATAAGAGTTTTTTAAAATATTATTAAAAATGAAAGTGATATCTAAACAAATTATTAATAAATTTAATCTATTACATATTGTAAATACAATTTTTCTTATGAGAAAATTTATTTTTTATCTATTTTAATTAAATACAAGATCTCTTTTAAAACTATTTGTAAATTTATTTAAAATGAATAAATATATTTAATTATTAAAAACATCTTATTTATTTTTTGTTAAAAGATAAAAGAATTTTTCTTCAATGAGTAATATTGACTCTATCCTACAATAAGTTACAGATGAATATATTTTCTCTAAGGAATCTTTAAAAGAATTATTGCTAAAAATCTAAACTACTAAATCTGAATGGACTTAGCTTGAATATGAAAATAATGATAATTACTCAGTAGACTTATTTGCTAAAGATCTGAATAAAAAATAAAACCTAATACTTTCAATCTACAAGAAGACTAAAAAATTTAGTTAAAACAAGAAAGCTAATGGTATTTTGATATAAGGATAGGATTTCTTTTCTTTGTCTGATATTTCTAATTGTTTCTAAACTTTTGATTATATAATTTAAGCAACAGAATACAATCAATGTAATCATTTATTAATATAATTTAGAATTTATCTTTTTTAAACCAACAATAAATAAATAAATTTATTTATTTAAATAATTAGATTTCAAATCACTAAGATCATATATTTCAGAAGAAGTAATTCTTATTCAAATTATTATTTGTCTCTTAAATTTTTTAATTTAAAAGATAAATGAAAGAACTATTCCTTACATAAAAACACTAAACATTAATAAAAGGTAAAAAATTAATTTTTGATTAAAACTTCATTAATTAAAATTATTAATTTTAATAGTTATCTAAACATAAGAAGTTAAAAGGCAAAAACAATTGCAGAAAATATATCTAAATGCTATAATTTATCCTAGTTAATAATAGATTTAAGGTAATATTTACTAAGTAAAATTTTATTTAACTTTACTTTAGTTTAAATTACTTAGGTTCTTTGGGTGCTGCTAGTTTTTCAATTCCTTTAAAAAGCTGTTTAAATTTACAAAAAGTTTATTTTAATTTTAAATTCTAGAATACATTTGATTAGTAAGTTTGTTTATTACTTATATCACTAATTAAATGTTTTTTTAGTAAATTAATGATAGGTGAAGAAGGTATTTAAGGATTAAGCGAAGGTCTTCGCAATCATCCTAGCATTCAAAGCTTTAGTCTTATTTTGGAGTATTATTATAAAAATTTATATGCTAATTATTTTAATATATTTAATAATAAATTATAGTAACAATGAAATTGGATTTGGTCTTAAATATTTAATTTAAAACCTAAATACTTGCTAAAATTTAATGAAACTTCATCTTTCTTTAAAGTAACACATAGATTATTTTTTAAAAACTAAAAGATTAAATTTTTTTTAATGATAGTAATTGCATGGTGTAGTATTCTAGTTATCATACCTACTCTTTAAATGGATGCTAAAATTTGACACAATTTTCGTTAAATCTATTGTAATAATATTTTAAATATAGTAAATAAATTTTAAATATCCTTTTAATTTAGCAATGGTAATATTACTCCTCAAATTGTTAAAGGTTTAACTTCTAGCCTCAGTCTCCAATATTTTAGCTTAGATTTAAGGTAAACTTAATTTTAATTATTCTTTTCTCCTATTATCTATTTTTTACTGAAATGCAATAAATAATTTATTTTATTATTTTATCTAAACAGATAAGATGGATAAATTTAATCTGAAACAAAAAAAATTAAAAAATTATTTTTTAAAAATAAATAAATGGTTTAAATTAAGTTAATTAACTGACAGTAACAGTAAATGATCATAATTTAATTATTTAAAAAAATTTTAATTTATAAAATACATTTTAAATTAAGCATTTTATTGAAAAATTAATTTTCTAATCTTCATATTTGCACTTTAATTTATTTCAAAATTTTATTAAAAAAAAATGAATTATATAAATTAAGAAATAAATTTTGAAATATAATAATTTAACACCACAAATTGAAAAAACTATTATTTTAAATAAAATTTTTTTTTTTAAAATATTATTTATTGCTTTTTACTTTATTGAGTTTTTTATTTTATCAATTTTTTTCAATAGTATCATTTCCTTATTCTTGCTATTAAAGTTCTATTTAGGTTTTATCTTGAATTTAACTAGGATCGTCTTATTCATCCATATCATATTATTAATAAACTTATTATTGTTTTAAGCATTTCTTTAATAATTTAAGTGCTTATAGAATTATAATTATTAAATAAACAGTAAAATTAAATATAAGTAAAGATAGATAAAAAACTTTAGAATTTATTTATTTTTAATCAGTTTTTTGATTTTGTTATTAATCTTCTTATTTTAGGATATTTATTTAGATAATTTATTAAATAAAGTATTATTTTTAGTTTTTGTTTACAAAGTGCTCATAACCTAAATATACATTTTTCCAATCTATTGCTCTCAATTCTAAAGTCAAATTTCCTTTCAGTTCTTTATCAAAATTTATTTCAATTTATATTTATGAGGGATAGAAGTTGTTGTATGAGAAATCATTTATTTCCAATAATCTATTGTTCTCCTCGATAACATAAATTTAAATGGGAATCAAAAAAAAGTTTTTTATTTTCTCTGAGTTATCATTTAAAGATATCTAAATCTTAGCTTTCAAAGATGAATATAGTTTTAAAGCTATTGATTAATTGCTACAAAAAATAAAATTTTCGCAACTAACTGACATAATAGAATTTAAAACAGAGTTGCCTCTTTCCAATTACCCTTAGTTAATTTCATATTTTTAAATTTAATTTAAATTAGCAAAGCTCAATGATTGAACAAGAATTATTTGAGACATAAAGTCAATATTTAACTTGATAGTTTTCTTTAACAAACTATTATTGTAAATTTATAAATAGAAAGTACAAGTTCTAATTGAGCATTTATTTTAATATTTTTATGTGATTTATGATATTAAAATTTAACATTCTATCGTATATTGAAAATTAGAATATTTATCAATTTTAAAATCTTTAAATTAAAGTTTCAACAATTCTTCTTAAAATTTAGGATCTACTCTCAACTAAAAATCATAGCACTCCTTTGGTGTTTGTAAAATAGTAATTATCATTTTAACACTCTGAATATAACTTGTAGAATGACTATTTTAAAAATGAAAAGTAATATATTTCTCTAAGTTTATCAAATTTTATTCACAATATTTAGAATTTTGGCCATTGAAATGACTCTCACATCTCTCAAAGATTCCATCATCATCAAAAACTGGGAAAGAATTATGATCAGGACAGTATTATTCGCAAATTCGATCATTGTTTTTTTGAATTTTTGTAAATCTTGGACAATCACGGTAGCATCTATTTTAAAAGAAAACTTTTTGATTAGCACATCTACATTTATGATCTGATTCAACCATATACCTTGATAAAGTACAGCTTAAACAATCATTTGATGATTTACTAGTGCAATTTGCACACAAAGGATGACATTATTCGCATTCATTATTTTCGTTTGAATAAGTTCCTTCTGGACAACTCTCTAAGCATGTGTTTAAATGAAGATAAGGATATTTCTTATTGCATTTTTAGCAAATGTTAATATTTTATTCACACTTAAAGCAATTTTTTATCTAACAACATTCATTTTAAAGAAGATACAATTATGGTCCTGATTATAGTTTACATTCTTTACTTTCGCATTTACAAAATAATTTATTATTGCATTAGTATTCTTTAAAATAATAATTGCATTCAGTGCAACTGGATTCATTTGTGCAAGAAAAGCAGTTATTAGGACATTATAAACATTCCTTGTAATCGACATTTCCTTATTTTATTGAAGGGAAATAACCAATAGGACACTCATCAATACAGTAACTAAATCCATATAATGTACCAATTATTAAATATTTATTAGGTTTACATCTTAAACATGATTCATTAGTTTTAGAACAAATTAAGCAATTTTCATCACATATTTTTATGCACGTATTAAGTAAACTCGATAATTGATATTGTTAAAAGCATTAACACTCGTTTATATTTAATTAATAATTTGAATTCGGAATACATTTTATACATTGGTTTTATTTTTACTCCAAACACAATTTAATTTACACATTTTAATCACAATCTTTAAAATCATAAACACTTAGATTATTTACACAATTAAAAATGCATTTGCCATCAAAAAGATTATATTCTAGATGGCATTAAATGCATATATTTTGCTAATTTTTACTGCATTTTAAACAATTATCAATTTTGCACTTTCTACACAAAAGTTACTGTTCATCTATTGAATAATTTAATTCACATTTAGATGTGCACCATTAAGGGTTATCTTCATATCTATATTATCCCTCACATGACTCAAGACATAGTTTCTAATCATTTTCAATTTTATAAAACTTTGGACATTTTTTAACACAAATATTGCCTAATAAAAAATCCTTACATTTACTTATGCATTCACCATCATTTTATTATTAAAGAACGCAAATACTTTTACATTATAACGATTCAATATAAAAAAAATAATTATGGTAGCAAGATAAGCATGGTAATTATTTTTATTAAATAAAATAATCATAATCCAAATAGCAACTTTTACAACCAGTAGGACAATTAAAACAATAGTTACCCTCTTCAGAAATAATAATTTACTAGGCAGAATCACATTTTAGATAGCATTTTAAATCATTCATCAAAAAATAATTTGGCTGACATTAAATACAGTTTTTCTCATCTTTTGATAAAATAAGACAATTTTTAATCTTTTCTATTTGGTCAATTTGAATTTCTTTTTTGCCAGCTATGCATGCTGAATTATCTTAATCTTTAAAAAAGCCATATTTACATTTTAAACAAATATTACCTTCATGGCATACTAAGCAGTCTTGGATTTAGCAATCAAGGACTTTATAATAATTACCATATTTTTCTAAGTATTATTTATGACCTAAATTTAATTATCCAAAAAACTAACTCCTAAATTTATTCAAACACTTTTTTTCATTACAATAAATGTAGTTCATACATTTTTAAGTTTGACAAAAGCATAATCCTTGAAATAAGACATATCCTTTTTCACATAAAATACATTATTTACCTTAATAAATATAGCTTATTTATCCTATCTAAAAGTTGTTTTAGTTAATTTTATCTACAATTTTACAGTCTGGAAATTATGAATCAATAAAACAATTATTATCTGAAGAATAATCTATATAGTATCCTTCAAAGCATTCTATGCATTTATCATTTATAAATTACTTACAAGGTATTTTGGTTTCTTTGCAAATTGTAAAATCAGAATCAAGGTTTTTATAAGTAAAAAATGAATGAAAACGATTTACACTCCCAGGTATACTAATTCCACATATAGCTTCGCAACGTGATCCTTTTACTAAATTATAACCACTTTAACATAAGATACAAGTATTTTATATGCTATGGATAATGCAATTTTAAATATTTTACTCGCACTTCATAGTTTTCGAGCTGAAATAAAATCCTTATTCACACTCCAAACAAAAAGAATGTTCATTATTGTATTTCGTACATTTTTCAAATGAAATATCCTTGATTTCTAGGTTAGAATTGTTATAAAGACATTTATAAATTAAGTAAGGGAAATCTTATCTACTTATAATATTTTTTTCACATTCAAAATAGTTATAATTATTAAAAATTTTCTCATTTTTTTCAAGCTTATAAAAAAAGTTTACACATATTTAATCTTGCTTGCCAAAATCAATACCATAAAACTAATATTATTTATTTTTTTTTTCTTTTTCAGTATCTGTCATTATATTTTCTGAACCTAAAAATATTTCTGATAAATGTTTTAAATAATTTAAAACCATTACATTTTTTAAATCAAAGTTTTCTATTAAATTTTAATTTATGGCTGAATTAATTTAGCACTACAAGCTTAAGCAAGCATCAATATTATATGCTTAATGCTCACAGTAAATAGATAGTATCCTAATAGAGCATTCGTTTCTTTACTCATTAACATAATAACTTCCATAATCAATGCAGTATATGCATTTCTTTTCATTGTTGAATATGCACTAATTATTCATTTTAGTTTAATCAAACTATTCTGAAGGCTGCTTTAAAAGAATAGGTTAACTAAAAGCTTTAATTTAATTATTTTAAAAGTCCTCTTCATTTTATAACTATTTTTTTTTAAACTCTATTAATCTTTGCTTCAAAAATAGCTAATTATATGAATTCTAAATTATTTTATTTTAATTAATCCTTATACCAAGAGATGTATAATTAAATAAGTTTTGTGAGTCATTTTGGTGATTTTATTAGATTTTTAAAAGCTTTTAACGTTTATCGTGAAGATTCTATTAACTAAAAAGGTGTCTTTAATTTTACATAATACATTCACCATTGATAAGTATGCTTTCAATGTTACAGCTTAAACATTGATTGGGATTCTTTCTGCTTATAATTAAGCATCCAGACATTTTAATACAACTTTAAAGATGAAGCTTATAGAAAGGAAAACATTTTGAACATAGTTCTTTTCCTTATATTTCAAAATACTCTTAACAAAAAGGTATAATTACTTAACACTTAGATTTATCATCTTTTAATGCATATGAATATGAACACCTAAAATTTTCTTTTTCAAGTATTTATTCTTATTTAAAGCATCCTACTAATTTGTCATAATATCTTTCAATATAAATATAGTTATCTTTACATTATATTAAATGAGAAAACATTGAAATTTAGTCTGGGTTGACAAAATTTTCTCCTAAATATATTCCTTATTAAGTTTAAAAATATGAATAAAATCCCTACTAAAACTACTAACATTTCTAAAATTATGAATCAAACAAAGCACAAAAAGTTTTAAATGTATCTTTGAATATATTTTTTGTAATAGTATCTAAAATAAACCCAAACCTTGGAAATAAGCATTCTGTTTCACTTTCATTTACTATAGCACATCTCTCCAAAAATTTTTAATCTTTGACCATAGTATACTAGTTATTTGGGAGCAACTGAATACCATCTAAAGCCTCTGCACATAAGCCATCCTACGCTAACCTCTTGCAGTTTGCATATTAAAGATGAGACAACTAAAATCTAAATTCAATGCATGATTTATAATTTTTTGAAACAATGTAACCTAATTCACATTCAATACAAAGCTATTAGTCATAAAGATATCTACTAAATGTACTTGGAGCATAGACATATTCAACACACATATCAATTTAATCAATCTCCTAACAGTTCAATATAAAAAATACTTTTAAAATATTCAATATTTAAAATGTGTTTATTTATCTATTTCGCTTCATTTTTTTACTCTAAAATTTTTATCAAATTGAATATAAAATATCCTTTATTAGGTATATTGTAATCACTTCATATATTTATTTATGCCTTTCAAAGTAATATATGAAGCGCAAAATTAATTTTTTTGGAATCTAATTTTTATTTTAATTCTAAATTGGATTAGTTTTATATATATTTCAAGACAAAAATAATAAATTAATTAATTAAGAAATAATTAAATTAGGATTTTCCATTTTAAGAACTTTGAGAATTTGAAAAAAAAGACACCAAATCTAAAAAACCTTTATATGAAAAAATAAATAAATAAATTATTTGATTAAAATATATTTTAATTCAAAAAAAAAAATTAATGAATTAGAGAGTCATTTATTGTTTGAATTTGCATTGTAAATTTTAGCATTTAGAGAAAAGAAAAAATAGTATTTAGATAGCTCAATATATTTGATAAATTAAAGTAATATATTTTATTTTTGATTAAACATTCTTTTGGAAATATATTGAAATAGATTATTACATTACCATTAAGTATCAAAAGCAAAAAAATAATAAAATTATTTTGTAATTTAATTTTAGTAAAATGCTAGATAATTTCATAATTTTTAAGTTATTATTGTAAACCTATCGAATTACATATTCTTCTTTTTTTGTTTTTAAAAATCAGCCAAAAATTAAAAATAAGTTTTGATTATAATTATTTTATATATTTTGAGCAAATGCTTTTATGGGTAGTTAATATAAAAAAAATTTGAAAGTATAAATGTTTGCTTAGATAATCAAATCTTTTAAATTGATATTATTAATTTATAAGATATTGTTAATTAATTCACAAAAAATATTAAAGTTTTATAGGTTCAAACAAAAATGAATAGTTTTCAAATGAGCAGCAATTCCTAATAAGTTTAAGCTGATCCTGAAATAGAGGAGAGAATAAAAAAAATAGTAGATGAGTTTGAAGATAATTTTATTTTTGATAGCTAATATGTTTAGGCCAATGAGTTCTTAAATTAGATTACAGATAAAACAATTAGAGAAGATATTAGGATACTTAGCATTGAAGCAAGAGTATTAATTTATGATGACCCGCTTAAATCAGAATAAATTTACCAAGCATTATTTGAAAAACATCCAACTTATTTTAAAAATACATTTGAATATTTAACACTCTTATTTGACTGTTATGAAGGAAAAGCTTAGGAAGTTAAAAAAAAAGTTCTTTAAATTGTCTAAAATTACTAAGGAAACTAAGAAAATGATGCTTACTTTTTAGCTTGCAAAAGTGTTGCAATGAAATCCAAAAAAAACATGGAATTATCTAGAAAGTTAATGAAATAAGCTATAGAAAAAGCTAATAAAGCTTACCAGATATCGGATATGTACGCATAATTAGGAAACACTTATTTAGAATTAGAATAATATTAAAAAGCAATAAAATACTACTTAGAGGGCTTGAAAATACAACCAAAAAATGATGAATGTTTAAATAACATAAGTTTTTGTTATTTAGAAATGCATGAACTAGAAAAATCTATTTAATTTGGGGAACTTGCTCTCTTGAATTACCCCTATAACTCTACTGTCCTTTGTAATTTAGCAATTGTATACGAAGAGCTGGACGATATAGATAAAGCAGAGTAAGCTTATCTTGCCTTGTTTTAAAACAAAACAAGTGGTTGTGTTTAACATGCAAATTACATGCAGTTTCTATATGAACACAGATTTAATGATCCTAATAAAAGACTTTTAATCATCGAACATTTAAAAAAAGGATTTATTTATGAGCCAACTGCATAAAATTCCATTTTTGAACCCTTTTACGTTTTTTTAAAGGAAACTGAGAAATTTGGTAAAGCTCTTTACTCCTATAAAATAATTGTATGTTTTATGGATTTTTTAGAGACAATAAGATAGCAAGCTCCTAATTTATTAGAAAATATAGCTTTAAAAGTTAATAAAATTATATAATCTCTTTAATAAATTGAAATCGACGAAGAATTCGAAGATATTTCAGATGATGAATATGAATATGAAGATGGCTATGAAGTAGAAGAAGATTATAGTAGTAATTAAGTGTAAGTTTAAGATAGTTAAGATAATTAGGAGGTTGATTAACAATAAAATCTTAACATAAAAACTGATGGATAATTTTTAGAAAATTTGATTTTAGGAAATTAAATTTATCAAGATCCTACTTTAGTAAAGCCAATTAGTACTCATTAGTAAATAGCTATATATAAGCTAATTTATGATATGATCTTATTAAAATCTAGAGAAAATTCAATTTTGTATAGTTTAATAATATATAATAGACACATATCTGAGAATTTGCATTTTTAAAGCAATATATAATTTTGGGATTTATATTTTGATTGATATTATTTTATATGTTTTTAAATTAGTATACCAATTTTAAAAAATAAGCATTTAACAACTCTATTAATTTCAATTAAATTTTAGCATTTTTTAAAATATCTTTATCTATCGCAAGTAAGGTTTTGACAGAAACAAAAGCAAATAAAATGAACCTTTAAATTTCATAAAATTATTCATTTTATGAAATGTACATATGATTTTTTAAATTTATTCTTTTTTTATTTTGAAAAAGCACAAAACCAGTAAATTAATTATAAATATTATCCTATACTTTAACAAAATAATTCTAAAATTAATTGATGAAAGAAGAATAATTAAAATTTTAAAAACGGAAGAGGAAATATTTGAATTGAGACTATAAAAACTATACATAGATTAAAATGAATATGGGTTAAATTAGAAATTATTTATGTAATTTTACAATTAAATTAAATAAGAATTAAATCCATTGAATATTCTTATAAATTTTAAGTTGATATTCATATAATTATTTATTATTATTATTATAAATAAATCAAACTTTGAGTTATATATCAACGGCATCTAAAAATTAACTTTATTGATTGCTTTTACTTTATAATTAATTTAAATCTTTTAGTTAGTAATCATTGTTGCCATTAAATTTTTCTTTATTATCTCTGTTTCTGTCATTTAAATAGTTTAAGATGTTAGGGTTTTAAGGTTGGATCATATTCATAATGTTTCCAAATTAATCGTCTTGTCTTTCTAAGTCTCCTAAGCTTTCATTTGTGTTCAAGCGAAGATAGTTATAATTAAGACTTTTTCTTTGATTTTTTTATGCTGTGTTGTTTAAAGAAATTTCATCTTCAAAGTTATAATTATTGAAGTCAATATCTCCAACTGCTGATGTAAAATTACGAGCGAATTAAGCTGTAAGTTAATCGAAATCTTATTCAGGATTCAAGCCTAAGGATTTCATTGTTTTCTAAATATTATCTTAGATTTAGGTGTTATTGAATATTTCATTATGAATATAAGGAGTTTCCGAGAGTTATTAGCATAACTTTTACAATTTAAGTTTATGTTCTTAAAGTGTTTAGATTATATCATCTTATGATTGGTATTATCCTGATGGGGAATTAGACTTTAAAGAAAAACTTTTCTGTTAAGATAAGGCTTTCGAGTAGTTTTCTACTTAGTAATTTAATTTTTTATTTAAATTTGATATTTCAATGTGCATTGTGAATATTTCTTGATAAATTTTATTAATGTGATTGTACTCTTTTGAGGCAATATTAGTTATTATGTGTTCTATTTCAGCAAATGAGTTTGTAGTATTATTAATAATTTATAGCTCGATAACTTTTAGTATCTAGCCTATTGCAAGCTGTGTGATATTGAAACAAGCAGGGTGTTTTTATACAGGCTATTAACCATTTCCTACTCCATTCTTTTGGATGGACTGAAGAACAAATTAGTTATTAGTTGAATTAAATAAATTGGCATCCAGATTAGAATTACCAACACCATTAACAGAAATACAATCTCTTTATGATTGATAATTTATGGTCTCTTTAATAAGCTTCATTAAATAAGCAACCACAGCTCTTATTTAGAAAACATTATTTCTTTTAGTGATCTCTTAAATAATTAAAAATGTATATTAGAAAATAACTACAGCAGTATTAATAGAATTTATGTCTTGCTACATATTTAAGTTAAATACACATTTTATCGTTTAATGGAAAATATGTAACAGAGAGTTCTAAGAAATTTATTAAAACATCTATGAAATGGAATTAAGTTAATTATTTTGACTATTACCGTTGCTTATACTGTATCCAACATTATCAGTTTAACTCCTCATATTTTACTGGGGGAGTGTTATTTGATGATTGAGTGATTATAAATTATAATTGGAGGCGCTTTCAGTTATAGGTTTCATTTTGAGTAATATCAATTTGCAAGTAACCTCATAAACCATTAAAGAAACATATTTTTGATTGCAAATGAAAATCAAATTGATTATGACTTCGTCTGTGATCATTGGAGAAGAAGTAAAATAGCTACTACAGTCTAAAGCAAGAAGCATCAAGTTGAGTCCTTCAATGATATATTTTGTTTGATCATTACCGTAGTACTGGTTAATTAAATTTATGGAGTTAGAGTGTTCAGATGGGGATTTGATCATATACATTTAATTATTAATACCATTTGTATTTGGAGATTGGAGAGGAGTGTGAGATCCTTGTTGCATACCCTTTGAGTAGCTAGAAGAAGACATATATTCACATATTTCATTCGAAAGGGCTGTCAATAAAGAGAGTAATGCACTTGAATCAGGAGCTAATTGTAGAGTATAGTGCACAAAACTTTATTAGATAGCTCTTTTAACTTCAAAAAGTTCATTGTATTCTTTCAAGTTGTCTAAATAACATCTAACAATTTTATTTGTGGAATGCATCAACAGAGGAATTTCTTTATCTTTCTAAGAAGTGAGCATGTTAAATATTTTAAAGGCGCGAATTTTAACTTTTGGGTCTGCAAAGTTTTCTAATTTAAGTAGTCCTTATGGTATGATTTCATCCTTATCTTTATTTTATTCTTTTTGGGCTGAGTTTTACTGAATTTTGCTATTTTTTTACGATTACGGTACATTATTATCTGCCCCTCCTATTCCTAAAGAAATTTCATTTTAGCTTTATGCATGAGCTTAGTTGCCAAAGACATTCACTTGCTTAAAATTGTTATTAAAATATAGAGAAGGCAAACCTGAAAGCTGCTTGCTAAGAGAGAGATATTCAATCAGCTGTTCCATCAAAAAGACTTTATAATTCAACTATACTGATTCAACCCTTGACACAGAAATGGTTTCATTTATGATGTTTTCAATTAGTAGCAAGGTATCCCATTTTACTTAATCAAAGAATTAGAATAAGTTAGAGAGAACTGAATTGTAATTTTTCAACATAAAGCCTCTTCTTGAAAAAACAGCTAAGATACCTAGGCAATTACTAGTGATTTCTGCTATCGTAAGATGCACAGACTTTTCAGAGCTTTTCATAGCTTATAAAAGGTTATCGTTGGCTCCGTTAAGAGGAGATTGAGGAACAGCATTATTGTTATTATTATTATTATTATCTGGCCTTATTTTTTATGAGTAATTTCGGAGAATTCTATTGAAATCAATAATAGTTTGAAGAGAGAAGAAAAAGAAATTTAGCTATTACTTTGTTCCAAATACGCTTTACAGTGTTTTTAATTTAGAAAGAGTTGCTTGGTAAGTAATCTAAAGATTAGATAAAGTTTGTACCTTTTACTTGTTGATAGCTTCCCATTAAGGAAGCTGATCTTCATTAGAAGTAGGTATGATTTCTTTTGTGAGATTAAATAAATCAGTCTCTAATTAATCTACCAATACATAAATTTTATCAGAAGTATAAGGATCTTTGTGAAGCTAAGAAAACTTAAGCAGTATTTTCATGAACTGGTTTTGAGATTAAAAATAAAAAGGATTGTACTTCTCATTCAAAATAAATAATGCTATATCAATAAAATCTATTTCGAATCTAATAAAATTATCACTAAAAAATGTAATCTAATCCTAAACATTATTCTAGTTTTAAATCCCATTAGCATTTTGCTGCCTCTCTTCCTTAGTTGAGTTGTTGGCTTCGTTGTTTTCTGTTAAAACGTCTAATTTTGAGACCAAATTCGAATCTTCGACTTAGCCGTGTTTTAGTGAAATATGCTTTTGGGTATAATTCTTTAAGTTTTACACTAAGACTTCTAAAATCATTAGAGTAACCCACTGCACTCCATAATCTGTTTAAAAGTTTTTTAATTGCGCCTTGAGATATTTAACAGTATCAATAAGACGAATATGTGTATCTTAAATATGGTCAGAGAGATTTTTTGCTTATAATTTGACTTAACCCTCTAACTTAGGAATATCGTATGACATAAATTCCTTATATGAAGCAGTAGCTTGAGCTTTTATAGATTCCGAAGTAAGTTCTTCGAAATGAGAAATAAAATCTTCATTTTCTTAGTTTTAGCCTGGCTCCATGTAACTCTTGTTATATCGTTTTTTTTACACTAGCTTGGTGTTTTATGTATTTACTTAAAATAAAATATTATAACATTCATCCAAAATGCTTTAGTAAACTAACACTGGTTTTCTCATACAACTACTACAGCCTCCCATCCTTAAAAATTTGTTCTTTTTTTTTTAAATATTGTGTATAAATTCTTTCTAACTAAATTAACTACTATTATTTATTTTCTATAGCTTACGAATTCTTATTTGCGTTCAATAATCTGGATTTGCTAGAAAGGAGTTGTTCAAAGAAATTTCTACTTGAATACAAGACAGGGTTTCCTATTTTAATATGTTTGTTTGCTTGTTTATTTGCTAAAGCTAGATTAATGTCTAACCTGATTATAAAAAATAGATAGATCCTTAGATTTTATTTAAATTGAAACAATAATTGATAAAGAAAGACTATTTACTTTTTAATAAATTAATTATCGATATACAAATCATTGAATTAATTTATTATTAATATTATATGATTTATTTCAATTTTTTTCAATACTTCCAACTAAAATCAAGATAAATAGATAGATTGAATGAATGATTCAAAGAAAGAAACTCACTCCACATGCGCATCAAGTAGTTACTAATTCCTTTTTTTTTTTTTTCTGTTTCATTAAAATCCATCACTCAACTTACCAAGATTTAAAAGTTTTAATTAACAAATAAAAATGGATAACCAGGTAAGATAAATAAACATTCATTTTTAATTAAAATTAAAATGTCATTTTTCAATAAAATGTTTTATCATTTCCATTCGATTATAACTGCATTTGGTTTGTATATTTACTTTGCTTTGAAGAATTTTATAAAGTTAACTTCCCTAGCAATATTACCATAAAAACAAATTTATTAAACATAATTTACTTTACAAGTAATGAATGATAATCAATATTTAAATAATCTTCTATTATCAATTCAAATTTTGATAGGGTCTTTCTTTATTTTATCTAAAATCGAATATACTTATTAACTTTTCATATATTATTTAGTTTACCATTCATTAAGAATTGGTCTATTTTATTTTCTATCATTTTTAATTTTTTGATTATATTTAATCTTTACATCAAGTGCATAAAAAGAGCCAAATTTAAATTTGATAAATACTTTTAAAAGTCATTTCATTTTTTTTGTTCAGTTAATAACAAATGAAGTATTTATTGTTTTTGTAAATAATTTTTCGATTTATACACGCAATTGAAACTTTAGTTTGCTTTAGCTTTTATTTTAATTCATAAATTATGTGACTGAAATTCATTTTAATCATGCAAAATCTTTTAAACATCATAAATTATCTTAGATTTAAAAAGAAGAAGAAATTTACTTATGAATATATCCATCCATGTATATATCTATCACTGACCAATTTAATTTAAAAAGTGTAAATTTTAATATAATTAGCGTTTGAAAGTAATTAGAATTTTATTAAGGGAGTATGTTTGTGACTTTGTATAATTGAAATAGAAAGATAAATATATTAATAAATTAATATTTGATGTACATTAAATTCTGTTATTTAGTAAGTATGAGAGAAACTATTTTTAATTTAAATTTTAAAATAAATCTTAAACTAGATTATTAATTTTTATTAAATATTTTGCTTTATTTTATTTCAAAATAAAAAACTGTTTTATTTTTAAATTTACCAATTTTCTAAAAATACCATATTAATTTAATTTTTTCCTTTGTAATTTAATAAATTAGCAATGCGCACCCTTATTTATAAAAGATATATTTATAAAATAAAATTAATAAAATCATTTATTTATTTTTTTGGAGTAATTTTTAGGAATTCTGATGAAATTAAATTTAAAATTGCAGGTTATTTTTCTATCCTTTTTTTTTATCAAAAATAGGTAATTATATTAAATGTTAAATACAAATAATAATAGTAGTCTATAATAAAAAGATACTGTCTATTGCAAATTGATAGAATAATTCAATACGTTGTATCAACAATTAAATATCATAGATTTAACTTAAATTTAACCTCAGCGCTAATTGTATGCAATGGGCCAAATTTAAGCTAAATTAAAAGTATTATTACTTAATCAATAATAACTTACATTTGTTGACAAATTAATCTTGTTTATTGTATTCAATATGAAATATTTAATTAAATTTATTTTGCTAAAATTAGAGCTGCCAATCAATCAATCAAATTTAATTCTTTGTCAATTCATAAGTCAATCAAAGTGTGCTTGAAGCTTACAAAATTAAATATTATTAAAATTTTATTGAGAAAGTGGGATAATCCACAATCTGAGGTGACATACAATATGACGCTATAATTATAAATAAAAGAAAAAGGGTTTTTTGATATAAGTTATTGATTTAAATAATATTATGTTGAGTTTTAAATATTATTACTACAGGAGGAAAATAGTACTTTCTCTATTGAAATAAAAATAAAGAATATTATTAAAAATATATGTTATGCATTATTTAGTTTGAATTTTCTTCTATTTTATTTTTCCTAGATTGAAGCTATATATTTCAAACATCCAACAATTAATAATATTATAATAAATTTTAATTAAAACTATATCTTAAAAAAAGTATTGGATTAAAGTAAGAGCAAAAATTTGAAAATAACTAGCATCCAACAAACAAGCTATTAATCAATCAAAAAGCTATCCTCAAACATATTATAAGCAACTAAAATATTATGAGTGACCCTATTCTAGCATAATTTAAAGAGGCGCTTAGGATATCTCTACTATATTTTATTCATTTTGCAGTTTTCATCCAGTGTTTCCTCATGTCCACTCTTCTTTATATCTTAAGAATAATTCTACACCTTTTCACAGCAATCCCTCAATTAAAACACTTGAGAAAATCTTTGATGAGATTTTTACCTTAAATCAATCCTGATGTTTATGCTAAAGCAGGTATATAACTTAATACATATTTTTTAACGAGTTCGCAGCTTCAAATTAGCGACTCAAAAATTTTTTTGGAATTTAATCAAACTATTTTTCTATTTTATAGAGGATTTAATTATGAGTCACATTGAATACAACATTGAAACTCATAAAATTCTCACTGAAGATGGTTACTATTTAACAGCCTGGCGTATTCTTTCTTCAGATAAGAAGAAATCTTAAGAAGCTCGCAGCAAAGCTCCCGTCATTTTGATGCATGGACTTTTAGATTGCAGTTTTTCTTGGTTTGTTAATAAAGAAAGATAGATGTGCTTGCCTTATATTTTGGCAGACTAGGGCTATGACGTTTGGTGCATGAATAACCGCGGTAATAGATACTCCTTAGGTCATAAGTACTTCAAACATATTAAATCAAATCCTCATTATTGGAACTATGGCTTTGATGAGCTAGCAAAATATGACGTTAAAGCTAATGTCTAATATGTTTTAGACACTACAAGCCACTCAAAAGTGTTTTATGTAGGCCACTCTTAAGGCTCTACTTAAATGTTTGCAAAATTAATGGAAGATCCTTAATTCTAAGAAAAAATTAAAGCTTTCATTGCTCTCGGTCCAGCTATTTATATTTAAAACTTGGTAATTATTTATTTCTCAACATTTTTGAACATCTTAATAAAAAAAAATATTAATACAAAATGAATACTTTGCTTGCTTTAGAAAAAGCAAAATTTAGAGCAATAAAAAACTAAATATAATTAATTACTATTAAAATAAAATTAATCAATTTATATTAAATTTTATTATGAACTTTAATACAGCTAAAATTCTTTTTTAAAAGAATTTAAAATTGAATTAATTAGAGAGAGTCATTTTTAATAAGAAATAATACTTTTAATCAAATGAAATATGATATAATTAATAATAGCAAGCATTAATTCATTACATTAAACTATATTTATTGAGAAAATATTAAATTAATATTTATTTTTTTATGAATAGGCAAGCAATTTCGTAAAGAAAATGTTTGGATGTGGTTTCTATCAACTTTTAGATAAATTGGGATACAGAAACTTCTTAGTGCTACCTAAATCCATTTCTAGAAGAGTTGGAGCACTGTGCCACTATTTACCATTTTTATATGATATCGGTCTATTTAAAGTTATGAATTTACTTTGCGGCTTCCCTGTTGAAAATAAAATTCCTCGTGACAAAATTTCAGTTATTGTAACACACGAACCTGGTGGTGCTTCAGTTAGAAATATTTTATAATGGTAATTTACTTACTCTTATATTTGAAATAATAAATTTATTTAATATTGAATATTCTAAAATTTAATTTTAATCATTAGGGAACAATTCATGAAATCTGGAGAGTTTAAAAAGTTTGATTTTGGAGCTTAAAAGAATATGAAGGTATATGGATAAACAAAACCTCCTTGCTATAATACAGAGAATCTTAAAAAGATAACAATTCCTCAACACTTGTTTATTGGTACTTCAGATATTGTTGGAAATAAAATAGATACTGATCGCTTACTATAACTAGTTAATCCTGATTCTTCCAAGATATATACGCTAAATGACTATGCCCATCTTGACTATGTATGGGGAACTGATGCTAACACTGTACTTTACCCCTAAATAATAAAAATATTAAAAGCTCACCAAACAACATGAAAAAAAAATGTTAAATTATTATTCTATTTATTTATCAATATTAAAATAAAATATAAATTATAATTTCCTTCTCTATATCTTCATATACATTAACCTTATTATCTATACATTAATTCTGTATTAAAATATCCATTTAAAGTATTCCATAGCTAAATTTCTCATATCAACATCACATTTTTATAAATTTACTTTCAATAATAATCAATGAATGAATTAGCATTTTTATGTTGTGAATTTAATATATTTATATTGTGTGTTAGAATATTATAGCTAAGAAAAAATTATAAATAATTTGCTTATTATTCGAAGTTTGAAAAGTTAATAACTTTAGTTATAGTGAAAAAAATTATTATTTGTTTTAATTTATTAAGGAAGAATTTTTAAAGAAAATGAAACAACATTTTTAAAATAAAATTTAACTATTAAGTTATATTGAATAATCCTTTTAGATGGATGCCTCTTAAATGATGATACATTTTGGCTAAAAGCCTTTAGGAAATGAATTTTATTGCTAATTAAAAGAAAATCATGTTCCTGAATAATATGCATAATATTTAATGGAAATCAAAACTTAGAAACCCCAAGATTTTTATATTATTTTGAAAGCCTTTAAGACAGGAGGTAGATTGAAACCGTTAGAGCAACTTTTAATACATAACAACAGTTATTTTAAACCTGAAGAGGCTTATGAAAGTAAAAAATAAAACAAATTTTTAAACAGAAATAGAAGTTAAGAAAATGTTGAAGTTTATAATGATGAATATTATAAAATGATCATAGAGAATCCATACTTTGAAAATTGCAATTTAATTGAAGAGAAAAAAGTTGCAGATATTCTAACTCAAGGATTTATACCTTAACAAGATAATTTTATTTGGGCTCTTGTAGTTGAGAAGTCATAGTTACTTAAGAAAGAAGTAAATTTTTTGGCACAAAACTAATTCAAAGAATAATTACAAATAAACGTCTATGGATAAGATATTTCTGATTAAAAAAAAGAATTTATATCTGGTTGGACAGAGCAAGATATTAATAAAAGAATATCTGCTCTTTTAAATGTTGAACCAGGTGATATAATTGGTTTGATTAACCCTGAAAAGTCACTTGATCGTTAAGCGTATGCTACTCTTGCGGTTAAATGTAATTAAATATTTTTTATTAAGTCTGGTATCGATTTGGATTAGTTCTTGGATAAATAGATACTAAATAAACCTATGAACTAGCTTCAATAGGAAAAGAGAAAAATATTTGTGTAAAAATACTTGAAAACGAGAAAAGCTATCTGGTCTGAAAAAAATATTGTAGATTTAATTTAAATTTTAACTAAAGCTTGTTATTACGACGAAGTAGATAAGTTCTGCAATATATTTAATAATATTAATATGGTTTTATCAAATTTAAGTAATTAGACCAAGCAAGAAATTAATAAAAGTTTATTTTTATGCAATATGAAAAGAGGGCTTCATTAAGAAGCTCTTAGTTATTATCAAAAAGCTTAGAATGAGGGATTAATTATGGACTAATACAAGGAAGAAATCATTCAAATCCTATTTAATTTTAGAAAATTCGATGAAGTATAAAAAGAATGGTAAACATTAGATAATAGATAGTAAAATAAATTAAAGCATATAATAGCTTAAACAAATCTTATCTTAGACTTTAAAAATGAAGGGAAAAACTTCGATAAAATAGTTGAATTAATGAAATAAAAAAAAAATTTTCATTAACTTATTTAGAACTACTATGGCCCAATAGAAATAAGAAAGGCTACAATTCAGTTAGGGAGAGATGATAGGGTTTAAGATATAGGCAGAGGAATTTTTTTAACTAAAAAAGTGAACAAAAGGCAGTTACTTTGGGCAGAAAGAGATCTGACATATAAGCCTAATTAAAGAAATAATGTCAAAACAATGTTTGAAACTTTAAAAGATATGCTTTCAAATAATTTACTAAGAGCTAGACTAAGGCATTTGTACTAAGATGGAATGACCAATTTTACATTTCCAGAGGTTTCTTTGTATAGCAATGATAATTATGACTTATAAAAGTAAGGCTGTGTTCCTTAAATTACAGATGAGGACCTATGGAATATAGTTAATAGCTCTTCTCATACAATTTATCCTAAGCTATATTAATCTGAGTAAACTAAAGAAGAAGAAGGATTATGGCCAATTTTCTCATTTGTAAATCATTCAATTTCTAACAGAAACATTGAAGTTATAGTGTAGCAAGGCTTTTTATTTGTTTTTTCGACAATGAGTCTTCCAGAAAACACTTAAATTTTTTACAACTATGTATTAAATATAGATAATGAGGATGTAATTAAATCTGTAAAATCAAAATATGGGCTGTAAGAGCTATGAAATAAAATATTTAAATATTAATTAACTAATCTAATAAAAGTTGCTTGTTAATAAAATACTTTAACATACTATAAAATTATATAATTTATTAAAAACTTTCTTAATTATATTAACTAAATAAATCTTTATATATTTCCTTTGAATTTGAGTTTTTTACTATGATTTACATTAACATTTGAATAATTATTTTGGTTTTTGGATTGTTTTATAAATTTAGGATTTTGGATTATTAAAATATTCTGAGCAAATGATTTTAATATACTGTCTAACGAAACAAATAAATTTTTTTTTTTTGATAATACTAAATTATTATTATTCTTAAATTTGTTGCTTTATTTTATTTATTAATTACTCGAATGTAAAAACAAATAAAATTGTTTTTTATTTCCAAAATAAAATAAAAAGTAAGTCAACATTTTAACATATTTTACACTTGTAAATTTTAAGCTAAAATACTTCGAATATAAAAAATGTAACTAAATTTAATTAGTATTTATTTATTATATTTGAAATTTAATGTATCAATACAAAAATATTTTATAAAATATAAGTTCTCCTAATTTAAATTATTTCTTTTTCTGATAGATCTATTGACAGACAGAATGAATATTCAACACGTTTCTTTAATTGATTAGTTTATATTTATATTTTATCATTTGATATATTTGGAAAGAATAAAAGAGAAGAAAATCTTTCTTTATAAAATAGAGAGCATTCAATCAAATTTAAATGAAAGTATTTGTAAAAATCATCAGTATTGATTGATTGATAATATCTATAAATATTGCTAATTTATTTTAATATCAGATTAAATTGATTGATAAAAATTAATTTTTCATATAAATAAATATCTTAATTAAAAAGATTCTTGAAAAAATGAAATTGTTCAAATTTCTATTAGCATTAGCAATAGCGACTACAGCTGTTACATGTTATTCAATACCAGGAGTTTCTAGTTAAGTAAACTATAAGCATTTATTATATTAAGTATCTATATCACATATTTTAATATTGCTTCTTTTAAAGCAATACAAGGAAAATTAGGAAATACAAGTTTATGCATTACAATTAGAATCTTTATAAAGCATGATTCCATATGCTTTTGAAGATTATTATCGCTTTTTTTAGACATAAGAATAAGATTAAAGTTTAACAGAGCAGCTTTTAGGTTAGAAAAAATTGCTACTTCCAACTATTGAATTCAAAGTAATTAATTTCTTTGAAAGTTAATAAGTAGCATTTTTAAAAATTTATAAAGTTTTTGAAGGATCAAAAATGCACAAAGTTCGGAGAAGGAAAATTTAAACGCTCAGATGTCAAAAAGTTTTAATACTTGATTGATAACGCTTATACCTATGATCTGTAAAATATTCTTTTTATTTAAGTTAACTCTTTTTTACTTAAAATGCACTTAAATGTCAACAAATAATAATTAAATTTTCATTAATATTAAACAGGATCATAGACAATCTGCCTGCTATAGTAGAAAATTAGAATTCAATTCCAGTAGGAGAAAAGGTGATTATTTATTTTAAATATTTTAAAAGTTGAATCATAGGTGTTAGATTGATAAAAAGACTAAATATTAAATAAAAGCAATTATTGCTTAGAATATTGATGGATTTTGGTTTTAAAAATACAAAAAATAAATATTAATATATGAATTCAATCAATAACATGCTTTAATTCAAATTTAAAAAAAAAGATTACAATTGGTGGCTCTTATAGGTATGAGATATACAATCACTTCAAGTTTGTAGTTGAATATAATAATAACAATATTGTTGGCTTCAATCTTACATAAGGTGTAAGTGGATACTTATTAAACACTTCAAGTAATCAGACTTTCCCTTCATGCGGACTAGAATCTGAAAATCTTATTGAATCTATTGAGTCTAGAGATTAAAATTTGGCAGAAGATATGCCTATTCACTTTACATATGAAGTTCTTTATGTTAAAAATGAATTAAAAACTTAAGCTTCAAGATGGGACAGGTATAAATAATAAGAAGGAGAAACTGTTCATTGGAATAACATTCTCTGCTCTTTTGGTGTAAATGTCTCTCTCTCAGCTCTAATTTACTTTATCCTCAAGCGTATTCTTAACAAGGACTTTGCCAATTATGAAAAAGTAAAAATTATTTTTATTTTCTTTTTCAAAGGATTATAAATTTTCAGTTATAATATACTTACTTACGAAAATATTATATTTATTTATAAAGGTTAATCAGAGTGATGAAGATGATATGGGTTGGAAATAGTTAAAATCTGATGTCTTTAGACCTCCTGGTAACCCAATCGTTTTAGCCTCAATGGTTGGAGTTGGCTTATAATTAGCAATTATGCTAATTTTAACAGTTTTCTTTATTGCTCTTTACTATTTAGCAGAGTAATACAGAACTGAAAAATTCTTGGAAGCTTTAATCATTCTGTATGTTATTACTGGACTTATTTCAGGTATATTTTTATTAAATTAAACAATAAAAAGCTCAACTTAAATTTTTATTTTTTAAATACAGGCTACTACAGTGCAAGATATTACAAGATGATGAGTGTAAAAAAATAATTATTTTATATGGCATTTTTAATTCTATTTTTATTGTAAAAGGGTGTTTATTGGATTAGATCTACCTTGTTAACTTCAGTCTTACTTCCAGGATTAGGAACACTTATTTTCTTTGAAATCGAATTCAGTTATTTGATCGAAGATTCCACAAATGCTTATGGCTTTGGAACAATCTTTAAGTTATTCTTTATTTGGTTTGCTGTTTAAATTCCTCTAACATTCCTTGGATCAGTTATAGGATTTAAAAGACCTAAAATGGAAGGAGGCTGCACTGTCAATCCTGTACCCTAATTTATTCCCCCTCAACCTAAATTTTTGAGCAGACATTTCTTATGTGTTTTAGGTGGAATTCTTCCTTTCGGGTAATTTAAAAATTATTTTTCTTTTTTAAATTAAAATTAAAATTTAGAACAATCTTGATGGAACTATAATATATTATGAACTCTGTTTGGACACACTCATTCTATCATCTCTTCGGTTTCATTCTTCTAGCCTTAATTTTACTCGTTATTACATGCGCTGAAATATCTATCCTCCTTACTTATCTCTAATTAAATAAGTATTTTTATTTATTTATTTACTTATTAATTTTTCAGATATATATCATATTAAATTAATATATATTTTTAAAAGTGGTAATCATAAATGGTGGTGGAATGCATTTTATAGTTCTGGTTTTTGTGGGGTCTATGTATTTGCCTATGGATTCTTTTATTGGCTTTTCTATTTACAAATTACTTAAGTATCTTCAACTATCATGTACTTTGGTATTATGGGTATGGCAAGCTTTGGTATGTTCCTTATTTGTGGTTCTGTTGGGTTTATAGCTTCTTACACTTTTGTCAAATTCATATATTCTCAAATCAAGGCTGATTGATTGATTTTTAATTATAATTTTTATAAATTACTGAACTTAATAATAAATTTTTTGTAATTTTAAAATTATTTTTATTTACAATTTTTTATATATTATTTTGTTTATAATACTCTTTTCTTTTTAAATTATTAATTCATTTTCTAAAACTTTTATCAACTTTCTTTTGATTATCATTAAATCAAATTCAACAAACAAAATTCCTTTAATATCAAGAATAATAATTAAATTTCAAAATTATTATCTCAAAAATAAATTATGAATAAATTTAAAAAAAATGTTTTTAACAATGTAAAAAAATGAAACAAAAATTGTTAATATAAAGTTAGAATTATTATTTTTTCTAAGCAGTTACTATAAATAAATATTGCTAATAGTTAAAACAAAATATAACCAATAGTGTTGCTACAAATTGAGATATTTAACATAATTTTTATTAATTTTGTCAGTGTAAAGCTTCTTTTATTTTATCAAATTTTAATAATTAATTATTTGGTTTATAAGAAGAAAAAATAAAAAACGAAAAAGTAAGCATAAGAAAAGTTAAGGTCTTTAAAATATTTAATTTTTTTAAATCATAAAATAAAATAAAAAAATTTTAATTTTATTTATTAAGTGAAAATTTTAATAAAAAAAATAACAAAAACAAAATGAATATTTATAGAGATTTATTAATTTTAATTTCCACTAAATAATACTTTATTAAAAAAATTTAACAATCTTCACATCACAAAGATTTTTATTATTTCTTTAACTTTGCTGGTTATTTATCATGCATACATAGGTTAAAGAGGTGTAATTTTATCATTAAATAATATTACAGCGATAAGATCTTATTATGTTAGTCTTTGAGTAAATTGACTAATGCATGTACGCAACTAGTTCCACCTTGGTCCACTCATAGAACCGGATATGTCTAAATTAAATATTACGATAAATTTTTTTACAGATAAATTTATAAACCCTCTCTATCTCTCCTAATATCTTAAAAAACCTGCATTATTTGTTAAGAGAGCTTATAAGTTAAATTAAGTTATTATTCCACATTAAGCTTGAATTCTGTTGAAAATTTCTTTTATACTCTAACTTGAAGCTAAATGAAAATAAGAAGTATCCCCTCCTAAAATCGAAAGAGCAAGTAATTCAGCAGCCTCTTTTGAATTCCTATTCATATCTATCCCTATAAAATGATTTGAAATCATTTATTTTGGGATTTTTTACCCTAACACTCGCATCAATTAACCTAAATCTTCAAGTGAATTTTTAGAACTAGTATCCTCTCCATCTGTAATTATAATATGTAAAAAGTGCCTATCTGTAACTCCGTAGTTGGTTATTAGATCTCCATTCATTTTTAAAATAGTAGCAATTCCTCCAGTAATTGAGTCTCTAAGGCGGGTACTCCCATTAGGGTTAACTTTGGATAAGGATGCTGTAAGGTTATTATGGTTATTAAAAAGTCCATATCTTGACTTAAATGAATTCAACATTATCTTTGTAAGAAGTGTTATTTTTTTTTATTTTACTATTTTTAGAGTTTGTTATCAATTGTTTGCTAATTATTATAAAATACTTCATCGAAGTATTCTAAATTTAAATAGGCGAACTTATTTCTCTTTTTATATGATTTAAAATAGACTAAATTATTTTTTAAATAAAGACTTAAATTATATTTAATAACTTTATGTGAAAAAATATAAAATCGGTTAATTATTTTGTATACAAATTTTAATATTAATTTAAAATTCCCCATACAAATGACAACTTGGAAAAGCTTTCTAAAAGCTATAATTGAATTAAATGAAAAATATTTAAAAGAAAGCTTTATTATGTCTTAGGAAAAATTGTTAATACTTTGAATTTACCTTACAATAGATTAAAAGTTTATATAAAATATAATTTTAATATTTACTTTTTTTACATAATATTTTTTAAAAACAGAAAAGTTATGAACACTCTTAAAAAATTATACTCAAAAACTGAAAAAATAATGAATGAAATAATTAAAATAATAGCTAATCATTACCCACAAAAATATATACAAATTACTTTTTAATCGATTTAAAATAGATTAAATTATTTTTTTAAATAAAGATTCAATTTATAATTAATAATACTTTTTGATTAAATATAATATCGATTAATTATTTTGTTTTTATTAATTTAAAATTCCTAAAACATAGGATGAGTTGGTAAAGCTTTTAAAAAATTATAATACAAGTAAATGATAATTATTTAAAACAAATCTTTTTATGTTTTAGAAATAATTGTTTATGTTTGAAAACTCCCTTACAATAGATTAAAATTAAATACGTAAACTATAATTATAATTATTTATTTTTTTACGTGATATTTTAAAAAGAGAAAAAAGATAAAGACTCTTAAAAAAATTACACTCAAAAAAAGAAACATGAATGATATAATAAAAATAATAGCAAGCTTACTACCCAAAAAAAAGTTTAAAAATGTAAACCATCTACTTTTTATCTGATTTAAAATATATTAAAGGTTAAATTTGTACTTAATAACACTTTTTGACTAAATATAAAATTGGTTTATTAATTTGTTTAAAATTTTAATATTAATTTAAAATTCCTCAAACATAGGATGAGTTGGTAAAGCTTTTTAAAAACTATAATTCAATTTAATGGTAAAAATTTAAAAGAAAGTTTTATTCTATCTTAGAAATAATTATTAATATTTTGAATTTACCTTACAATAGATTAAAATTAAATACGTAAAATATAATTCTAATTTTTTTTTTTTTACGTGATATTTTTAAAAAGTGCAAAAAGGTATTCAGAACACTCTTAAAAATAATTACACTTAAAAACAGAAACATTAAAGATATTTTTATACACAATAATACTTTTTGATAACATATAAAATTGGTTAATTATTTTGTATAAATATTTTAATATTAATTTAAAATTCGGCAAACATACGATGAGTTGGAAATTTTTTTAAAAAATACAATTGAATTAAATGGTAAAAATTTTATGAAAGCTTTTTTTATCTTAAAAAGATTATTAACATTTTGAATCTCCCTGACAATAGACTTAAATTAATATGCACGATTTTATTATCATTATTATTTTTTTTACGTAATATTTTTTATAATGGGAAAAATGATGAGCATTCTTAAAAAATTACACTAAAAATCAGAAAAACATGAATGTTTTAATAAAATAATAGCTAATCACTATTCCCCCTAAAAAAAAGCAGTCTATAAATGTATACCAACTACTTTTTAATTGATTTAAAATAGACTAAATTATTTTTTTAAATAAAGATTTAATTTATGTTTAATAGCACTTTTTGATTAAATATAAAATATCTTAATATTGATTTAAAATTCCTCAAACATAGGATGAGTTGTTAAAGCTTTTTAAAAACTAATATTGAAGTAAATGGTAAAAATTTAAAAGAAAGCTTTTTCTTTCTTAAAAATAATATTTAAAAATTTAAATCTCCCTTACTATAGATTCAAATTGATACACACAATATTCTTACAATTATTAATTTTTTTACGTAATATTTTAAAAAAGAGAAATAAAGATGAACATTCTTAAAAAATTTCTCTCAAAACACAAAAGAAATGAATAATATAATAAAAATTACAGCTAACTCAATACCCCTAAAAAAAATAATTTAAAAATGTAAGCTAACTACTTTTAATTTAATTTAACATAGATTAAATTATTCATTTCTCAACAAAGATTTTATTTGTATTAATACCTCTTAGTTTTTAAATATAAAAAGTAAATTATTTTATATAAAAATATATTGATTTTAAAATTACAATATAATTATAATTTAAAACTTAACATTTTTAAATATGAGAAAAGATAAAAAAACTTTATTAAAAAATTTGTCATAAAAGCAGAAAAAATAAAGTTAATAAAAATAATAACTAACTCTCTACCAAACAAAAAACTGTCTAAAAATTAAATCCTACTAATTATTAAAAATAAATTATTTTAAATGATATTATTTGATTTTTTGTTCTAAACTAATAATTTGAACCAAATGAATGAGTAGTCAACTTGTTTATATCAAATGATATATAATTAAAAAATCAAATTTTTATTATAATTTGAAAAAATACAATTATTTATTGTTGTAAAAGAAATTTTAATTTAAAAGTATAAATCTAATTTTTATCGCCACAGCAATTTAATAATTAAGTATTGTATATTAGAAAGCATTATTGATTATGAATTATTTTATTAAAAATAATAAGAAATAACATCTTCCAAAATGATTAATCAAAAAACCTTTAAAAAGTATTTGAAAAAATAAAATAATAGATTAAAGCTGAAAAAAAAGGTAAATAATGTCTAATTTGTAAATTATTTTTAAAGAGATTTTTTCTTAAAATTAAAAAATTTTAAATAAAATGAGTGTTGGTTGAAATAGTCAATCAAGCTTTGAATATCATAAGAATATTTTGTAAAAGAAATAAATTATTTAATTTTCATATCTGTAAAAAAGCATTTTTCTTTTATCATACATCAAAAAATGTCAATTTGAATTTTCTATATTTTGATTTAAATTGTTTGGTTTTTTAATTAAAATTTTTTTCATAAAATTAATGATTAACAATCATATGCAGCAATACATATATTTTACATATATTATTTATAATTAAATTTAAATTGAGTTATAAATACACTCACTCTTAAACATTTTATAAAAGTGTTTACAATAAATACAAGAGCGAGTTAATTACTTTCTTTGTATTTTCATAGTAAGAAATTTAAAATTAAGATGAGTTTTTTAACAATATAAAATCCTAACTTTCACTTTCAAAAACTAAGTTATAATTAATTAATAATTTAATAATAAAATTGATTATATTTTTTCAATAATATTTTTTTGAAAATATTTACAATTTTTAAAAATTTATATATCATCAATTATTTTATTTTTTTATCTGTTAAAAAAGGGCATTTCTATAACCAAATCACTAATTATTATAAATAATAAATTTGAATATTATTAGATCCTTATTAGAAGACATGTATGTGAATATACAAAATGTATAACAAAAAGTTTAAGTCAAAATAGAAGATTTTATATTAATTGAATAAGATTATTTTAATAAATTTATATATTATTTTTTTTCTCAACTTTAATATGATTGTTTTATTTGTTAAAAAAACTTTTTTTAAATTATTTATTTATTGAGAAAAATTATTTTTTTAAAGATTTGTTTAAGTTTTTTGTTTGGTGGAAAATCAGATAGGGTGGTAATTAAATAATTTAGTCAGTTGTTAAAGGTCAGACTATGAGATAGGGAATATTTATTAAAGCTGTTATAATTTTCAAAATGCATACTTTCAGATAAGGTATTTATCTTTTTTATCAAAGATTTATCCTTTTAATTACTTAAAAATAAAATTGATATTAATTTTAGATTTATGATTTAATTAAATTACATTATAAATTTTATATCACCTTCTTCTGGTACTCTGTGGAAATCATCATCGTATTCTATGCTATTAACTCTATGGTGAAATTTTTTTGTTTCGGTTAGAGATTTTTTAAAAAGTGAAGATCCAAGCTATTTCACTAATTTTATTATAATATTTTAAGTTTTTATGTAATCTTTGTATTCAATTATAATTAATTACTGCTCTTTTTTTATTAGTTTTCGTCTTTCTGATTTACATTGATTTTTTGATTAAATATTGGATCATTAGAACTTTACTTTTGTGATGATGGTTATGAAAATATTGTGCCAGTACAGTAGCGCTCTTCATTTTGTGATCGCTCACTGATTTCAGATAACTTATTTTGCTTTTGTAATTGCATACCTTTTATTAGATTTTATATTTTTACTCCAATTACCTTAATAAAAATGGTTTAAAGTTAGTATTTTTATTAAGTTACTTGGTGTCATTTCTTAGTGCTCACATACGCTGGGAAGACTGTTTAATGTGTATCTGAACCCGTTTTTAATCTTGGTGAAATGACTGTCTTCAACATCTCTATCCATTTCCATTATGACTTATAGATTTGGTAGTTTTTGCATTTAGACTATGACACCAGACATAGTTCCTTTTCATTAGAAAAATTAATTAAAAACATATTTAAAAATAGATAGATAGGTATCTACTATTTTTTTAGTAAGGTGTTAGAAGTTTTATTTTATTTTCTAAATAGAGCAAGTAGGTCCATAGATCAATAGTATCCTTCTCATTTGTGACTAAAAGTATATTTTTTTTCTTTATTTTCTAATTTTCTTTAAATTTTATTAACAATGTATGAACCCAATCTCCTAATGGCTTTTTAGTTTGGACACTAATATTTGGAACAGCGTAATCAATTTGCTTTTTTTGTAACATAATATTAGAATTTTAAAAGTAATAATTTATTTTTACATCAAATTTGAATGTTTTTTTCTTAGTAAATATTGAAGAATAGCTTATCTTTTATTCAGTCATATTTATAACAAAAGTGCGAGTATTATAGTTTCCATCAATATTTTACAAGTCATCTGATTATTTAATTTTTCTGAAAGTAGAAACTAACTTTTTAGGTGCCTGATTTTTTAACAAAATAATAAATACTACTGAGCTGAAATTATCAAAATTTTTTTAATATAAAAGTACATTTTTGAGAGCCTCTTTATTATTTAGCATTCTTTCAAATATTTTCAAACAATTTATTTAAACAAAGTGTTTTTTGTTTTAATTATAGAATAACTTTTAATCAATTTATTTACAGAGAGTAAGCAACAAATTAATCTATGTTTTCACCAAATAGAATTTTACAATAAAATATTGTTTTTATTTAGTTTTATTTTGATAATTATGTGCTTTGATTAAGTTTTTACAAATAAAATATTATGAATAATTTATTAATAATCAATCTAGCTTTTGTCCTACCAAATATTACTTAAGCTTGTCCTATAAAAATTCTACTAAATTAATTAATAAATTTGTTAGATTTATCAATATTCACCAGAAATTTTAATATTAGTTGATTAAATTATTTATTTGCTTTCAAAGCAAATACATGTACTTGAAAATGATAAAATTATATATTTTTTATTTAGACTTTAATTTTTATTTTTTTAAATTTAAATATTTTTCTTTTTCATTGATTACAAAATATTTATAAATAGTATTAAGATTTTTATAAATACTGAATTAAAATGAAAAAATAGTTTTTTTAAACATTTTTAATCATAATAAAACTTTAAAAGAAAATTTGAAATAATAATAATGATAAAATTCTTTTTTTAATAAGAAAAAATAAATTAAGTCTTTTTTAATAATCAAAATTTGTATTTTTTAATATTTAAAACGCAATAAATGAAACATGTTAAAAAAGTATCAAAATAAAAATATTATAAAAATTGAAAGTTAAATTGATCATTAATATTGATAAAAATTAAAAAAATGATTCAGTAAATCAATTATCATGAGGGAATTTTTAATTAGAAATATGCAGAATACTGAAGAATTAAAGCACAAAAGAAAAGTTAAGATAATGCTAAATTTATATTATTTTTTTTATTGATGTATAAAAAAATAATAAATATGTTTTTCTAATATAAAATATTTATATCCTTTCTATTCAGATTTTTTCATAAGATAAATAATTACTATATTCTTAAATTAGACACAATAATAAAAGATTATTATAATTTAAATTTTATCTAAGATTAAAAATCATTAAATATAAATGAAAATAGTTAATCTTCAAATTTTATGATAAAATTGTGATTTCTATTTTTATTTTAATTTTTATTAATTATGAGTCTAAAAAATGTTTTAAAATAGTCTTTTATATAGCATCAATTATACATTTTCTCACATTTTAAAGATTTAACTGCAAACTTTTCATAGAATTTAAAATATCTAGATCAACTTTTTGGTCTGGTAAATAATCAAAGAATTTACTGAAACAATAATTATATTTTAAATTTATTTAATTATTTTTATGAGTTTAATTATCTATTAAATAAGCAATTATCTCTTAGTTTAAAAATCTATACATTGCATTAATTATAATTTATGAAATATGAATAAAAATTAGGTTTTAGTTATTTAGATTTTTAGATTGATTATTTTAGATTTTAAAAATTATTTAGATTATCATATTAATAGATAGATTTTAGTATTTTTAATTTTAGTTAATAAATAATATATTAAAATAAATGAATTTTTTTTTAAATTAATAAAAGTAAAATAAGAATTTAATATTAAAATAATTAAATTAAATAATTCTAAATAAAAATATTCAAATAAAATTTAAATAATTAAGAGCATACAAAAATTATCACATAAAATTTATAATCTAAATTAAACAAATAATTAAAGAATATTATCTGTAAAAAAAGTTTTCGTGCGTGACCCTTATAAGATCCATTAATCTTGCTTTGAGATTATTTTTAATAAGATATAAAGACAGTACATAAATTATAATCTATTATCACACATTATAATTTGTTTTGATAATTATATTCAATATAATAAGCAAACAATTTATTTTTATTTTACTACCAAAATATGAAGGAAAATCAAAAACAAATTAAATATTCTAATACAATAAGAATCTTTTTTCTTTTAAAATCAAAAATAGATAGATTTTCATTTCTCTTCCCATGTTGTTTGCTGTAAGCTGAGGAGCTGAATTTTTAGGATGTATGGTATAAAATTCATATATTCATTTAGATAATATTGTTTTATTTTTGTTTATAATTAATGCTACATAAATATTTTTTTAAGATAGTTTAGAATAATCAATTATTTTATCTTTTTTACAAATTTAAAATAAATGGATTTTTTATTTAATAGTTTTGTTTGATAACAAGTTCTAAAACAAAATCTTTAGGAAGTTCTGGCTGTTAATACTTTTTTATAAATTCTATCAGAACTATCTTTGCTTATAAATTAGCAAGATGTTATCCTATACAATTCCTCATACCTCCAGAGAATGGCAAATAAACAAAAGGATTTTCTTTTATTACATTTTCAGTTGATTAATCGAACCATCTATTAGGATTAAATGTAAGAGGATCTTTAAAGTATCTTTCGTTCAGTTAATTACTTATTAAGCCTACATTAACAAAAGTACCTTTTTAAATCTTATAATTTCCGATTTTGTGATCAACCTTAGCTTCACGCATCAATATGATAGGTGCACTTGTATTTATCCTAATTGTTTCCTTAAAGCAAGCCTACAGAAAATCCAATTTCTAAATATCTGAGAAGGTGTAATTTTAAGGTAAGCTCAATATTTCTTTTTCTACAGTTTAAAAACAATCAGGGTTTTTTAGTAAGTAGTAAAGCATGATAGTTAATACACTTGCTAAAGTATCTCTAGATGCAAAATAAAGGCTAAATGTAAGCTCTAAAACATCAATAATATCTTTTTCTTCTTGTATTTAATGTCCTTATTTTAGCAATAGAGCAATTATACTAATATTTTCAGACTCTTTATTCTGCTAAATATTAATTTTTTCTCTATTAATTGTATCTAAAATAATATTTTTCATTTATTGGCGCACATATTAAACCTTATCGCAGATCACTTTATCAGATTACCTTAACTTTAGTTTTACAAATTTCTCACCTAAAAAGGCTGTTGTTATGTTCTGATAGTGATAGAAAATATCTGAGCACATCTAATCTATGGCATCGTATGAGTTTTTATCATCTATTTTGTACTCGTCTATATTAGCTCCCATAAAAATTTAAACAGAGATTGCACTATTAAGAGCTTCAAACTACTTTTAAACCTAAAAGTTTGAGTCTTCAACTCTATTTAACATCATTTAGGTAACTTTTCGTATACTGCTTAGGTAGTTTACCACTACATCAAATTTAAACAATTATGAAACAAATCTTCTTTTACTTTTCCATTTTTCTCCTTCTTCAAAAGCAATACCGTTTCCAAGAAATTATTTAAATCCAGTTAAAGCATTCTCAAATTTAACGTAATTCTATTGATTCTACAAAAATTCATTTATAAGATTAGGATTGATAAATATTAATAAAGCTTTATCCAGAAAATTCGATAAAATAGCGTCTTGTGATTTAAACTTATCATCAAAATAGATATACTTAATTGTTTTCAAACTGTCATCCAATGATTAATCAATCCACTCACTAGCTATTCCTGTAAAAGGATAGTATTTATACTCCTTGATTCCTTATTTAGAATAGTATCTCATAGCAATTTTTGTTAAGACATAATATTTTAGGAATAATAGGATTATAAAAACCAGACAAACTAGAACTAGTAGTTGCAGTAAACCCATAGTTATTTATTAATTAATTTATTTTTAAATTTTATTTAATTATTCTTTTTCATTTTTATTTCTCAAATCTATTTAAATATATCAAATATCTTATTTACAAGTAACAAGTTTCTGATCATAACTAGATTTAGTAAAATCTAATTTTCTCAAAATTAATTCAGGCTTAGAAATTCCGAAAACGCTGTAATTACAATATAAATATGATATTTTCTGTTGCTATATTATTTATTATGTTTATAATACTATATAAGTTTATCTATTCTGGAATAAACTTCTTCTATTTGAAAGTTTTGTTTTGCTCATGTTTATTTTTTTAATTAAGCTTGTTAAATAATAAATATTTTTAAATAATTTTAACCAAAATTAATAAAAATTTACTTTCAATATTAGAATTTTTTAATTTATTTTGGCTTTAAAATCTTCTTTTATAATTTTTAAATTAAATTTGTAATTTACGACATAGTTTTTTATTTTTAAATAATAATTAAAAAAAATATTTATAAAATTTACTTAATTTAAAATTTGCTGTTTATATGATTTGTTTTTCTATTAATTCTTGTTGTGCTTATGTGTTTTCTTCTTAATTTATTCATTTTATTTTTGATTTTCAGCTTTTGTTTAAATTTTTATTTTATTTATTACTTATTATTTCTATTTCAAATTTTTTCTTCATTCTTTTCTTCAATTAAATAATTAATTATAAATTTTTTTCTTCAATATTTAAATTGTTCCAATAATATTGGCATAATTTCTATCAGATAAAGGCTCTGCTTTAGAAAACTGCCCTAATCTCTCAAATTTGATATTTTATCTCTTTTAAAAATAGTTTATTTGTTTTTGATTGTGATATTATTTAATTTCAAAAATGAATTTAAAAAAATACAACTGTTTACATTATTTGTTAGCTTTTTATTTATTTATTTTTTTTATTCTAATTGTTTTTTGTTTTTCATATGAATTTAAATCATTTTTTATATTAAATTTTTGGTTTATTAAAAATTAATTTAATTCTATTAAAAAAATAATAAAAAAAATATTTTTAAAATTAATTTAAAATTTTACAAAAATTATAATATTTATCAGCACTTTATTTTTCTTTTTAAGCTTGTATTAAAATGTGACTTAAATTATTGTTGATTGAATATTTTTTTATTTTATATATGATAACTGAGCAAGTTTATAATGAGTGATGCCCTATTAATTAAGAGTTATTTTTTTATTTTTACATCATAATTCAAAATACATTTAAGTAAATTAAATATAAATAATAATTAAAGGGGGAAAAAATTAATTAAAGTATTTTTTGTATCTTAATTGATAATGTTTTATATTAATTAAATATGATTATCACTATTAATGAAATAGTTTTACATTATAAATAAGTATTAAATTTGTTAGAAATGATGCATAAAATATTTTATATTTAAAAAAAAATATCATAACGATAAGCTAAAATTTTCTAATGTAAGCAGAAAGATTTTTAGGTTAAAAATGAAAATAGTTCTACATAAAATAGTACATGATCTGTAATCAGGTTTATTTATACTAAGCTTAAAAGATAAGATAATCAAAAATGTGAGTAAGAAAAGAAAAAAGTTATTATAGATAAAAAAAATAGTTTGTTGTAAAGAAAATTTGCATTAGAAATTTAATTTTAATAAAAAAAGAATATATTTATTCCTAAAAGAAATTAATTAATTAATTATCACTTTTACATCTTAAGATATATTAACATTTTAAGCAATTTTAAAAGTAACCTATATTTTAAGTCATTTTACCTAAGGGATAATGAACGCAATATCAAGGAAAGAAAGTAGTGATCAGGGTTCACGAAATTAAGTGTAAATCAAAGCATGGAGGAAGAAAAATTCAAGCTAAATTAGTGATTTTTAATCTTTGTATGGATCATTAAACTAATCATTAAATGATGAATAAATTAATGATTTTAGATTAAACCGTAATACAAATAGTGGATCTAATCCAAACAATTCATCTAGTATAAATAGAAACAGTAGTGGAGATGAATCATTTTATAGTGTAAACTCTAATCTTTAAGATAATATTATGGGTTCAGTCAGTGAAAAAGATAAAGAAGATTTGAGAGATGAGGATTTTAAAAGTATTAAAGATAATAATTCTATGATTAGTTTTAACTAAGTTAACTTTTATCAAGCTGCAAACAATAACTTTTCTGGGAAAACTAATTAAGATGAAGATAAAGAGCTGAACAATTCTATTCTATATTAGGGTTTCCACACTCCTAAAAATCAAAGTTCTTTAGAAAATGAAAATGATAATTTTAAATTGAGCTAAGAAATTAAGCATAAATAAAATATTTATAAAATCAGCAATACCAGTTAAAGGCACTCAGATGTACATTCAAACTATCAGTAGCAAAATTATTAAATTTATGGAAAAAGTGGGAGATATAGCTAATAGCCAATAAATAGACCTCATAACTATCACATAAATGGTGCTTGTGTAAATTAAAAAAAAAGTGATACTTCTTCCTAGGATGATTATTCTCATAGGTCAAGTGTTTATAATACAAATCATCCTTTTATGTAAACTTCAAAAAATTAACAAGAAGAATCTAGGAGATCTATAGGTTAGCCACTTCTGGCTGAGAATAGCTAAAGAAAATAGAAAAACTCTGTTTAATTCAATGAGCAAACTACTCAAAATTCAAAGATGCAAAATAAATATTAATCTCCTTCAATTTAAGGTAAAATAAATGATTTAAAAGGAAATTAATCAGAAAGTTAGAGGCAATTGTTAGAAAGAAAAAATAAAGTGAATAGAGGAAAATCACTTTCAACTTTGAAAAAGATGATGTAATAAGATAATAGCTAATAACAAAATTAAGAAGATGTTGATGCAAATTAATTTAATTATTATTAATAAAACAATTAATAAGAAAATATAAATTTAGGACAGAATAATTACTATTAAAATGTAAATAAAATTTAAAATTCAAATTACTCAAACCAAGATTATTACATAATGAGTAGACAAAACACAATATAATCTCATTAAAGAATTAAAAGTTAATCTAGATCGACATAATAAAATTTCTCTGAAGAACATATTACAGACTAAATACTATAAAAGAATTCTTCAAGCAACTTTAAGCTTAGCTTAGATCGCTCAGAAAATTCCAACTATGAAAAGTAGCTGCAGCAATTTTTATATTATGAAAGGTTAAGAAAGAAATAGAAATTTAGACTTGCCCATAATAATAGATTAATTGAAAGAAAAAAGAATGATAACCAGTCTAAGCCTTTATAAGAATAAAAATAGAGTAGAATTACGATGAATTTAACTTTTCTCATTTACATAATTTTGGAAAAACATCCTAAACTAAAATATCTCCTTTTTTTAAACCACATCATAGGTGCTATCTCTAGAGGTTTTGTTTATGCGATCTTGATCTTAATTAGTATGAGAGCTAGTTAGTATTTTATTATTTTTGGTTCTGCAATTATGTTGACTCGTTTATACTATGTTGTTAGCATGTACTATGTCCTATTTTATTTTGAATAAAAATCTGTATCTTTCCGCAAAATCAGCAAAATATTTAACAGTTTTTTCTAGCTACCTTCTGAATATAAAAAACCTGTCATGTCTGAAATGATCGATATGATTAATTTTAATTAAAGAGATCAAGAAGAAAAGTAGATGAAAAGAAAATTTATATTCTGTCCAGTTGAAATAAATTATCTCTGTTTGAATAATTATGACAGTCGTAAAAAGTGGAATCTATTTTATTTAAGCAATTTTATTTACTAAGGCATAGAATCAATATTTCTGTTTCCAATAGTAATTGCTATATCAGTCCACTACTATGAACAAAGTTAAGTCCTACTAAAAATCGACTTTCTAGTTTTCTCTAGATATATCATAGTAGGATCTGTATCTATATTTTTCATATTTTGCCTCTTCATTTTAATTTACGGAAACAGAAACTTCAAGGTTTTATGATAACATTAATTTGAGACAGAATCTATGAGTAGTAAATTAATTGTAAGCAATTTTAAAAAAAATCTACAAAAATAAAAGCTATTTATTACCTCTATTCCAATAAAAAAATATAATTGTATATAAAGAAATGCATTTGTAACAAATTAAATATTATATTATTTTTGCAATCATTTATAACTAAGAATCTATTTATAATTTGACAGTCATAAAATAAATACTCATAATATTTGTAAAAATCCATCATATAATTTTCATTATTTTTAAAAAATTTCTTTATTCAAGTTTTTGGCAAAATATTTATTTATTATTTAATAATTAATATCAATCTTTCACCATATTTTTTTATTTTTATTTTTTGAAATTTGATAAAATTTTAATTTTTATACTTGCTCTTAATATGCTAAATATAGTTAAATAACTAAAAAATATTAAGGTTATTTATTTATATTTATTAATAATTTAGATTATAAAATTATTAAAAATTTTTTTGTAAAATAAATAAAATACTTCATCACGATATTTCAAAATAAAATTAATACATTTGATTCAAATAGAAATAAAAAAATAACATATCTTATTGTATCAGATAGGAGGTAGTAGATAAGAAATTTAGTCTCAAACAAAAATGATAAATTTGTTTATTAAATTAGATTAATATTACATTTTCTAAAGAAATTTGTTAGCATAAACTGATTAATTTTACATTTTTAAAAAGATATTTCGTAAATGTAAACTAAACTGGGTTAGAATCCTTTATTATACCCAGTTGTAATTTAAAAGGGTTTATTTCTAGCATCATTAATTAAAGTTAAATTTTTTTGTATTTGAATGAATGGCCATGAAAATATTAAATTATTAGGAGAGATTAGCATGGTTATATTAATGGATAAGGATTTTAAAATATTTACTTTATTAATTCTTTTACCTATTAAAAATGTTAAATAATTGTATTGATTTTTAATAGCTTATCAGGGTTTTTATTGTAAATGAAAAACAAAATAGATATATTCATATCTATAGTTTTGCAATCAATTAATCAATTAATTAAATAAAAAAATCTGATTAAACTCACAACTTAGCAGCTTTGATAGAAACTAATTTTTAGAAATGGCAGCATTATAAAAAAAGCAATCCATAAACTGTAAAGTGTTAGTTTTAGGTAAATCAGGAGTTGGAAAGAGTTATATTCTTCTTTAATATACAGCTCCTCCTCAAGAAATAGTCTAGATGCCAAAATTAACAAGTAAAATTTGAAAATTTAAAATGATTATTTATAAAATGGAAATCTGAGATAATCAGATTAAACTGTAAAATAATAATTTTTAATTTCTTTTTTCCATAATTAAAAAAATTACCATCTAATTGAAAAATTAAGCTATTTTTATAATAAGCAGTTGGTGTAGATTATAAATATGGGACTGAAAAGATTGAAGATACAGAAGTTAAAATGTCAATATGGGATACTGCTGGCCAAGAGAAATATCGCCCTATTATTTAGACTTATTTTAAGAATTCAAAGGCAGCAATTCTTGTGTTTGATTTAACAGATAAGTAATCCTTGTAAGATGTGAGATACTGGCTAAGAGAAGTAAAATTGTAATGTGGTAAGGATGTAGCAAAAATTTTAGTAGGAAATAAATGTGATTTGCCTCACGAATAGCCTGATTAAGCTTTGATATAAGAATATTGCGAAGAATTTCAAATGGAATATATAGAATCAAGTGCTTTATAAAAGATTAATATTTAAGAAATATTTGTAAAGTTAGCTAAAAAGATATATTAATAGCACAAAGCAAGTATTCCATAAAATCAATTAAAATAAAATAGTTTACCAGCAAATGAAGCTTAAAATTAAAATTCTACATCATCAAATAAATAAATAAGTTTAAAAAATTCTAAACCAAAATAGAAAAAAGAAAATGATGGGTGTTGCTGATGAAATATGTTCATTTATTCAACCATATTTATTCAGAGCAAATCTAAGCAAATATTTCTGTGAGATAAAAAAATTAATAAAAGCAAATTCTTTAATTTGTAAAAATATTTCTAAATTATATTCTAAAATAATATTTTACTAACAAAAATAATTTTTAATAAACTAAATTTAACTATCACGAAAGTGTGTAAATAATTTATATTAATTTCAGAATGTTTAATATTTACATAGAATAATTGTCTATTAAAAATGCATTTTTATCAAATAAATAATTTAAATTAAAAAAAATTTATCTTCTAAAAATTAAAAGTAAAATCATATTTTAAGATTTTTCATAATTTTTACAACATTTTGATAAATCGTTATTAAAATTCAATTTATTTTTGCGATCTTTGTTAATTAAATTTTAAATTTATTAATTAAACGTTTTTAAAAATTGATGAAAATAAATTTTAAAAGCTTTTTTGTTTTTTAAATTCATTTCACTCAAGTATTTCTATAAATAAAATGCATTTTTAAAATTAAATTTATAAGATTTTTTAAAATTTAACAGATTGATTTTTATTCTTTCAATTGTACACTACTTAGAATTAAATAATAACAGCTTTTTAGATCTTAAATATAAATAAATTCTAAGTTTTTGCAAATAAATTGGTTGACTTTCAAATAATAATAAATTTTGACAAGAAAGTTACAAAATGTTTTAACTAGATTTAGAATGCTGTAAATACATAGTTAAATAGTTTTAGTATTATAGAGTTATTACAAATTATTTTATTAATTTTAGTTCAAATCATTCTTATTTCTTTTGCTCTGTTTGAGGGATTTATTATTATTGCTAAGGAATTTGCTATTGCTCTTAAGTTTGGTTTTCATTTTTAGGTTAACTATCTTAATTTGCTTTTTATTATTATTATTATTATTATTACTGCTTTTATATTTTATTTATTTTTTATTCTTCCATTTTTTCTACAATAATTTTGAATTCTTTTTCGATAATACCTGCCCAGTTAACGACATCTCCTAATTCCTATGTTAAAAATTAAATCTTTAAGAAAGTTTATTAACTTTTAACAATACTTTCAATGCTCCATTCAAATCATCATATAATGCAGTCCATGATTAAACTTCCTTATAAAATTTACTAACTTCTGACTTTAACTCTTTAGTTTCTTTTTCTATAATTTTTTGATTGCTGTGTAGAACTTAAACATCCTATCATGTTATATTATCAAATTTATTTTTGTTAACAAGATAAATCTTCTATAAAATAAAATAATCTACGCTATTCACTCCAATTAGAACTTTTTTAGTTATGTTTTCAGACAATAATTTTATTTCCTTCTTTAAAAGTTCTTTTTTTATAAAAATAAGCCATCATTTTTAATAATCATGCAAACTAAATTAAAAAAAAAAGCTTCTTATTGCTTTTAAAAAGCTAAATTATATTTGATTTTCGCTTAAAAATACTTATCATAATTTTGATTTGAATAAAAATTTATTTATTTAAAATAGCATTTACCATTTTCCTTTTCAACAGTCTTTTTAGACTTTTCGTATTCTTTGAGAATTCCGTCAAACATAAAATAATATCTTAACTAAAAATTTTGATAAAATTGTGATAAAAAAATAATATGCTTTACTTTAATTGAAAATATCTTTCTAAAATGCGTTTTATATATTATTTGACTTTATTTACATAGTAATATTTAAGTAATTATTGCAGTACATTAAAATTTTGAGCTGTTTGATTATTTATTAGATTACCTCAGTGGAATTTGTTGAAACATTTTAAATATTATTTCATTTTGTTTTAAAATGAACTTACTTATTTTTAGACTATCAATAAAAATGCAATAAGTATATATTTTTTTGATGAAATAAAAGGATAGATCTGATCCCTTTTGTGTATAAATAGTGTAATTTTTTAAACAAGAATCAAATATCTTAGAAAAAATCAAGAGAAAATAGATATGTACTTAAAACAGAAAAGTTGAAATAATCTAAATAAAATGATCTAATATAGCAGCGATATGCACTAAAGTTAATTCTTTTATTAATTAATTCTTTTAGAATTGAATAATAGGCAAAATATAAACAAAAATCAAATTAAATTTTTAATCTGCTTTTCTTCATAGAAAAATTTTCATCAAATCAAATCAAATCAATTTGCAAAATGCATAGTTTTGTATCTGACCAATTTATTTTTTTTATTGAATTGAATGATGAGAATAGCTATGAATTTTTGGAAATTAAATTCTCAAATAAACTTACTAAAATATATTTTATTACTCTGTTTGTACTTTTTATTTAGAGTTTTAAAAGTTAAGCAAGTAAAATACAACAAAGTAAATAAGTAGAAAATTTCTAATTCTTTTATTTTATAAGTAAACAAAAATGAAATTTAACTTGGAATAATAGCTAATTTTTTACTCTAATCGGTATCAAATGTAAGTAAATTATCTTGTTTTAAGTATGGGATTATAAATTAAAGATAAGCGGCGCAGTGAGGCTTTAATTAATATTGACAGTGGAAAAGGCGATATTAAAAATAAATAAATGAATGAATAAGTTCAAACAGAAATAATTTAATAAACCAGTCTATCTATTTATTTATTAATGCAGTGAATGAGCGAGTATTTGTTTATTTATTTAATTAATATTGTGAGTGTGCATTGATGCATGATGAATGTGTTTGTTTGTTTGTTTATCTTAATATCTATTTATCTTTCTTTGTTTATTTGTTAAGTTATGCATATTTAGATATAAATAAATTAGAAATTATATATTTATTTTTTCTTGAAATTTTTACAAGTCAAAAACTATCTATCTATCTAACTAAATAAATAAATAAGCAAGAACGGCAATATAGAGATAGAATACACATTACTAATTTAGATTAACAAATAAATAGAAGAAACAACAATATTTGATTTATGAGAATCATTATTTAGTATTATTATGATTTTCTGAGAAAGAAAACAGCTGCCATAGATATTGAGGATGAAGAATCAGACTGTAGCGTTCTTCTGAAGGCAATTTCAGTCAAAATTGATAGATAAATCCATGATTTCATAGCTACTGTTAAAAAAGATAATATTTCGGTAAGCATATGTTTCATACTTTAAGACATTAATTTATCAAAAGGGCTTACACATTTTCATTAAAAAAATTCGTTTCAATATTCCAATAGTCTATAATCATTATATTTATATCTGCAAATAAGAAAAGAAGAGCTCTATAAACTTTAACTTTATATATTTTATAAATTAGGTCAGAATCATTTAGGGATGGCCACTATCTTTTTATGAGATCAAAGAAAAATAAATCTTAAATGTAGAATTTAAAGAATTCGAAAGCCAAGAATCAGTAAGAATCTTAATTTTATTTTAAGAATGCTCCATAACTGATTATAGAAGAGAATTTAAAATATCTTTTTTGTATTCAACAGAAAAAGCAAGGATAAGTCCTCAACTAGCGTTACTTGATGAAATTAGGTTTCAATAAAATGCAGGATAGAAATCTAAGTGTAATTAAAGACTACGAAGAAGAAGAAGGTGATGAAGAAAACGAAGCAGATAACTCGTTTGGCAGAAAGAAAAGCTATTTCTAATAAAAAGATAGAACTTCCCAAAACAAAAAAGTGGGAAGTCAATATTCAAATAGCTCGTCAAGCGATGAAGAGAGTGGAAGAACAAAAAATATAGACCTTAAGAAGATATTAGAAAATTTTTTAGAATAATTGATAATAGAAACATAAAACAATCGTTTAGAGGAAGTTAAAAAGTTGTTTAACGAAGTCTCTGATAGATTGACTTAAGAGCAAAAGGATGAGTTATAAAAATAAAAACTTGTAATTATTAATAATCTCGGAAAACGTGGCTCTAATCCACTTCATGTTGCAGTTTATAATTAGTTTTATGAGTTAACCAAAGAGTTGGTAGAAAGGGGTGCAAATGTCAATGTTCCAAGCAACTAAGGATGGACTAGTGTACAAATCGCTATTTTCAAAAATAATATAAAAAGTAAATATTTAAATTCATCTATTTCAAATACATAAATGTAAAATATAATAAGATCTCTATTTCGCACTTATTTTTTTCACTCGAAAAATATCCAAAAATATCCTCCTGCCTATCATACATTAAAAGCCATCCGTGCAACTACAATTCAGCCTTTAATAATATTCTTAAACATCATCATAAATTTAATTTTATAAAGATAGGTGTCAATATTTAAATAAATTTTAAATTTATTTAAAAGCAAATTGAGAAATGAAATTCTTTTATAAAAATAATTAAAATTACTTTAATTTCATTCAAATTTGTTAAGAAAATTAACTCAATTTAAATTTATAGTTTTAAAGCTTCTTTTGGATTCACAATCTCTAGACTTAAATTATGTTTCTAGTGTAGGAACTCCTCTTACAGTTTGTTGCTAATTTTCAAAAGCTCAAGCACTTGATTTAGTTCTTAAAAAGAACCCAGATTTAAGGTATAAAATTAATCCTCTTAAAGATTCTGAAACCATAATAAATTACTTTAATAATCCAAAAGCATCTTAGACTAATCAGGTAAATCTTGCTTTGACCATTGCCAAAATGAGGAATGTAAAAATATACTGAAATCCTTCAAGCAGAAAGAAGCCATAGAAGAGCAAAAATAAAATGAATTAAAATCTGAAATAAAATCAAATTAGTAAAATCAACAACCTGGAGTATTTTTACCTCCTAAACCTCCAATTGTAACAGGAACTTTGTTTAAAGTAAAATTTTTATTAGCTCATTGAATTAATCAGGTTTTATAGATTAAATCTAAATATGTATATATTATTTAGGGATAATAATATTACAATAATATATTTTCTATCTAATGAACATATATTAAATTTATCTTATTTCTCTTTTTATTTTAAAAATTAGATTGGAGCTTTTTTGTTTAACATGCGTGAAAGATTTTTTGTTATTAATCCTGATGAAGGAACTTTAATTAGATATAAGAATAAATCTCACTACCCATTAAAACCATTAGAAGTTATACCACTAAAAGATATTAATTTAATCCAAACAATTAAAAAATCTTGGTTCATGTCAAGTGATTATACTTATTTTGAAATTAACTACCCTAACAGATAAGTGCTAGCTTGTAAGCACGAGTAAGCTGCAAAAAAATGGGTCGAGTATTTATTCTCTGCTTGTGTTTATTCCCTCTACATTGAAACCAGGTAATAAACGTTAATAAATTTACTTAACTCTTTAATAATTAATAGGCTAAAATAGTTAATTTTTTACTTATTTATTTATCAAATAAATAATAAGATATTCAATTAATCTGCCTTAATTTTAAATTTTAAATATAAAAAATATAGTTTAAATATTGAATGAGAGTATTTTTTATTTAAAAATATGACAAATGAATAAATAAATTTATTTATTGGGAATTAAAGTAATTAATGTTATTTAAATATTATAGGAATGCTTTCAATTAAATACAAATGCAAGATAACACTGTTATAGAATTATAAGACTCACCTAATTAGTAAAATATTTTAGACACTGTTGGAGGAAATATTAAGGAAGCAGTTAAAAAGTTTGAAAATTAAAATAAGAGAGATACTAAAAATAAAAGTAACGAAAATGCAAACGAGTAATAAAGTATTAGCAAAACCTAATAAGATAGCAAAATATCTACAAATAGTAAAATAGCATCTAAAAATACAAATGCAAAACCCGATTCTAGCAACAATTTAGAACTACCTTCTCCTGGATCATCAAAAATGAACTAAGGTCCTAAAATTGATATACCTTCTGATGCTAGAAAAAATGATAGATCTCAATCTCCTTCCTCATAAGATAATTCCACTAGAAGTACTTCCGTTTCTCCTGAAGATCCTAATGTTGATCTTGGATCATTACAAGATGAAAAAGTTACATTTGAATCCTTCTAGATTCTTAAGGTATTAGGTGCAGGTTCGTTTGGTAAAGTATTTTTGGCCAAAAAGAAGGACTCAGGAAACATATATGCTATTAAAGCACTCAAAAAAAGACCTCTCATCATGAAGAGATAGCTGAGATATGCTGTTACAGAAGCTAACGTTCTTAAAATGTGCAACCATCCATTTATTTTAGGTCTTCACTATGCTTTATAAGTAATCAAATAATATCATTTGTGTAAATATTAACTAACTTTTTCTCTTAAAAAAAGACTCCAAATTACTTGTATTTAGTCTTGGATTACTGCAGTGGAGGTGATATTTCTTCACATCTTGCTTACAAGAGAAGATTTAGTGAAGAAGAAGCCTTGTTTTATATTGCTGAATTAGTCCTTGCTATCTAACATATTCACGAAAAAGATGTAGTTTATAGAGATTTAAAACCAGAAAATATTTTGATTGCTTCAGATGGACATATTAAATTAGCTGACTTTGGGTTGTCAAAGGATAATGTCACAGATTAATCTAAAACCAAATCATTTTGTGGTACTCCTGCATATTTGTCTCCAGAAATGTTAAATAATAAAGGTGCTACTAAAGCCTCTGATCTCTATGGTATTGGTGCAGTTTTATATGAAATGCTAACTGGTGATCCTCCTTATTATAATGATGATATTCCAACAATGTATAAAAAAATAAAAGAAGGAAATCTCACATATCCATCTTATGTTAGCTAGAAAGCAAGAAATATAATTAATGTAACTAATTTATTTTAAATAAATTTATATTTCATAAAAAAATAAATATATTATACTAAAGGGTTTACTTGATAGAAATCCAAAAACACGTCTTGGAGCCTAAGATAGAGAATAACTCAAAAGAGATCCTTTCTTTGAAGGAATAGATTGGGAAAAACTTTATAACAAGCAATACAAACCTCCTATTACAGAATTTGAAAATAGTGATATAGAAGATGATTTTGAAGATGCTTCTGACAAGGTAAAATTTTATTAAAAATAATTTAAAAAAACACTAATAAATGAATTTATCTTTAATAGAAAATATTCCATGATTTTGATTACGAATAGCACAATCATAACATTAATAGAGTTAAGTAGTTCAGTTTTGTAAGAAAGTGATCTGCCTAAATTGGAACCTTTATCAGGCGACTGCATTATTAAAATCCATTTTTCATTTAGAAAAAAAACAATAAACTTTTAATCAATAAATTCTCAAAATAAAAAAAATCTTCCAATTAACTCAAGCTATCAATAAATAAATAAATAAATAAAAATTACCAATCATCAAATCCAACAATCAACCAAAAATACAATTTACTTCTAATTCTTTTTGTTACATATTAATATACATAATTAAAATATTAAATTTATATTTATCTATTATCATTAATTAATTTATTTATGTGTATGATTACCTTTTAAAATCTTCCTTTCTTCTTTTAGTTATCAATCAGTTCATTCTTACTTTCATTGATTCATTTGTTGGTTTTATAATTTTCAAAAATATATATCAAAAATGAAAAAATTGCAAATATATTTTATTAAATAGCTATTAATAGAAATCTTTAATATTCTAAGTTTTATTTAGAAAATACAAAAAAAAAAAAATCAATTATAACTTAATTTCATATTATATATAGTTATTATAATGTAGTGTTTTAAAAAAAATATATTGCACATTGATTTACTGAAAATTCTCATTAATTTAGCCCTCAACCCCTCCTAATTTTTAAATATTTTTTTGTAATGAATTTAAAAAAATAAAAAATAATTTTAAAAATAAATGCCATAATTTATTAGAATTTATAGCGTATGAGTTTAGAAAGTTCTTTATCAAATTGAATAAGTAATAGATATAATTCAGAAAATTTTAGAAAATAAAAGGAAATAAAATCATTGGTGTGTTTGAAATTAAACAAAGTTATCAATTAAATATATCTAATTCTGTCAAAATTTAAGTATTAAAAACAAAAGATATTTATAAATTTAATAAAATACAATGAGTTTTAGATAATTTTTAGGGTTAGGTAAAAACATTTTTAGAAGTGGAGAATTCAAAAAAAAAGCAATTTTAGGAGCTGGAGTTTGTTTAACAGCAGGAGGATTTATCTATTAATCTATTTTAGCAAATGAATACCCTGAAACAATAGTTTATTCATGGGGTTATGGAGGATTTGGATAACTAGGATTATAAAATGAAAATAATTACTATACTCCTACTGAAATAGAGGTATTAACTGATAAAAAAATCAAGAAAGTAGAGGCAGGAAAATCAATATCTATGGCATTAACACATAATGGTACACTATTTTAAAACATTTAAGCTTATAAAAAGTTAGAAATGCTTGTTTTTCAACAAATATTTTTCAAAAAAGACTATTAAACTCGTAATAGTTATTGTTTCATTTAAAATTAACTTTTATTATGTAGGAGAAGTATACTCTTGGGGTAAAAATAAAGGAGGTATTCTAGGACATGAAGATCGTTTAAGCTTTAATATGACTCAACCAGAGAGAATTGAAAAATTATTAGGAAAAAAGATAAAGTAGATTTCTTGTGGATAATTCCATATGGCTGCAGTGACAGAAGATGGAGAGGTTTATACATGGGGAAACAAAGAATTTGGCAAATTAGGTCATGAAGAAGAATTAAAATAAGAATAAAAGATTAAAATTAAACGTGGCAATCTCTCTCATGATTACTTGTAAGATAGCATGCTTCCTTAAAAAATTGAGTCTTTGGGTAATATCAAAGCCAAATAAGTTGCTTGTGGAATTTAATTTACAGTCGTACTTAGTGAAGATGGAAAAGTAAATATTTTAAGCTAATCATATAGAAGAAAATTATTAATTTAATAAAAGGTATACACTTTTGGATATAATTAATATGGATCATTAGGTTATGTTTCTGATTAAAATAGTGTTACAACTCCATAACTCATTAAGGATTTAAATGATATTGTTAAAATTAGTGCTGGCTATAGCTTTTGTGCAGCTATCACAAAATAGGGAAAGTAAATGCATCTCATTTTATAATAGAAATTTAAATTAAAAAAATTATATTATATTATATCAACAGGCTTTACACTTGGGGAAACAATAGAAATGGTTAGTTGGGTAATAGTTAAAGCTTATATTAAACAAAACCCTCCATAGTTACTGGTTTTGGCAGTTAAAACTCTATTGTTGATGTTTCTTGTGGTGATAATTTCATTGCAGCTCTTACTTAATAGGGATAATTATATACGTATAGCAATGTTTTTTTAACTAATACATTAATTTATAATTAAATTGATTTTCAATATTATAAACAGTTGGGGTTTCGGAGGTGATGGATAGCTAGGTCATGGTAACAAAAGCGATTTATATGCACCAAGACATGTTGAATTTAAATAAAAAATTATTAAAATTGCTTGTGGAGGTTCACATGCAGCATTCATTACTGAAGATAATTAGCTTTATTAGTTTGGTAGAGGAAGTGAAGTAATACATTTAATCATTTTAATTTGATATAATTATAACTATACTATTTTTCAAGGGTTAATTGGGTATTGGATAAAACGTAGCAAGTGAAGCATCTATTAGATCAACACCAAATTTAGTTCAATATTTTAAGGGTAAATAAGTTGTTGATGTTACTTGCGGAGGAGAACACACAATAGCTATAACTTAAGAATTTTAGAAGCCAAATAAAAAATGAAATAGCAAATTTAATTGATATTTTCATTAAAATAAATTTTAAATTAATTTTAATATGTAATTCTGTTTTTGTAATTCTAAAAAGTATTCAAAGGTTATTTTTTAAAATTGAATATGTATCAAATAGATTTTTGTTTCAATTTAATCAAAAAGATAAAAAGGGATGTAACTTCTTACAATAAATCACTTGAGCTATTTTTTTTTAATTTTTGCACAAAATTTATAAATAAATATTTTGATGATATACTCACTCACTATTTTTCATTTAATATTTCAAAATATATCAGAAAATAAATTTTTTATATATACATTATCTTTAATTTAATTATGTTTATATCTAAATATTATTTAAATCATTGCTAATAAACAGGGATGATTACTTTTTAGTATTGCAAAGAGCTTTATTTACTTTAAATTTCTTGATAAAATTCTAAAGTTTTAAATATTTATTATATTACGCTTTCAGAAAATTAAAAGTGTATATAAATAATATAAAATAAAAATATGTTTTTTATTTATAAAATTGTTTATAAATAATACAATAAAATTTATTAATTTCCTTAACGTATCTTTCTATTCAATAAAAGTAGATGAAAGTGAAAATTTTAATTAATTAGTTTAAAATTTCAAAATTAACAATTTATTTTATAGTAAAAATTTTGAGTTTGAAAAACCAATAAAATATAACACGAAAAATTCGAATACATAAATTTTGTGATTTACATGAACTTAGCTTGATTTTGTATGTTAGAGTGAATTACTTGTTTGTAATTTATAATTTATCTTAGTTGTTAAATGATAAACAACTATTTTATATTTACTAAAACCTTCCTAAAAGTAAGAGCAGCTCTTTTTTCAAGAACAAATTAACATTCCTGAAGTTTTTTATATTAATAAGCTAACTTTTATCATGAGATTTAAAATAGAAGTAATTTTATATGAGTGGACTTAAGCTATCAAGATCTTGTGTAGGAGACAATAGCAATCTTGGAAATCATGTTGGCTAAACGGAGGAAAAGAGTAAATAAATTTAAGAAGAAAGCAATAGAGCCAACAACTGGATCTTCACGTGACCACTCTGTTTTAGCTCCACTGATAACAGTTTCGTTTTCCCAAATGACGTAATAACCGAAAAGGATTGCTAAAGTGCTAAGGACGTATATAGTTTGCATTCCAATTTGAGTAAAGATTTCCATTTTAAGAGTGACTAATAGAACGCTTCCTATAATGAATATAGAAGCATTTTAGAAGGTGATAATACCAAAACAAAGCAAAGCATGAAGGAAAAGGCCGAAAGTTAAATAAGCCAATACTACAAAAGTATGATGGAAATTGCTTGAATATTTAGCATCAAAATAAGAGAAAAGAACACCAAAAGCAAGAGTGTATAAAATATAGGATACGTAGTTAACAATTGGGCGTGAAAGTTAAGATTTTTACAAGAATGCACCCAAACTCAAAACAATTGTTACGATTAAACAGAAAACGAAGGTGAATCCAGTGGTGTTTAAAACCCATGAGCGGTAATTGACTGAATATTCTGCTTGGTGGGTGAAGAAGGTGGTTACCAAAATCTAGAAAAATACTGCGAGATACAACTTTCTGAGATAAGTAACTCTGCTTTGTGGTTCGTTTGGAATAAATTGTTCCTCCTCATATGGCTTAGCACTAACCATTTAGGAATTCTTGACAGGGCTGTTTTGCTAAAAGTTTCTATCTGGTTAACTTGCTTGGTAGCTGTTTCCGTAATAGCCACCGCCTCCATATTGGCTTTGTACAAACTACATAGGTTGATTAAAGGTTGACATTTCTCTTTCTAATTTTGTTGTTGAAATACTTTCTAAAATCTGTTATAATAAATTTTATAATTGATTGATTGAATATTCTTGTTTTTTATTCCTTTCTAATATAAATGCAAAATTTATTTATTTATTTTGTTGTTATATATAAAATTCTTAATTTATTTATTTATCTATTTACTTGTTTTTCTTATAATTTTGTTTGCATGCATGCTTGTTAGCTTGTTTTCTTTCAGTGCCTTATCTATCTATCTATCGTTTTTTTTTTCAAAAATCGTAAGATCATTCTATGTATATTATAGATTGAATGAACTACTAAAAATATTAATAGTTTTTATTTTTATTTTATTTTTATTGAACATTGTAATATATCTTAATACTTTAACTGCACCAAAATATAATAATAGTTAGATACTCCTTTTTTATAAATGTATATTAAATAAAAATATAAAATAATATTTTTGTGATGATTTCATTTATTTTTTCTAAACTAAATTTTATTAAATATTATAAGCATAAATTTTACTTAAGAAAGAAATTTAATATTTTATTTTATTGCTGCTCAATAAAAAATATTATTTTGAATTGTATAAAAATTCCAAGAAAGTGCTTTTTATAAATAATTCAAATTGTTTGAGTATATTTTTGTTATTTTAAATTTTTGATAAAAATATTTTATTTGAAAATACATTTTTTAAAAATAGAAAAAACATTGTAATTGAATAAATTAAAAAATCATGTAATTTAATTGAATTTAGTTCTTGAAAATTATCTTTTTAAAATCAAAGCCTGAAGGCATTATTTAGAATATAAAATGTATCTTTGTTTGCCTCTAAATAATTAATTAAAGTTTTATTTTAAAAAGAAGAAGACATTAAAAATAAACATTTTATGAAAGATAAATGTGTAATTATTGCATTTTAAAAGAACAAATCCTACATGTGAGAGCAAATAAATGATTGAATTGTTTTTGATTTTTGGTTGGAAGCGTATAGACATTTAATTTGATATAAAACACCCATACGTACTTGCTAAAGATTTTATTACAAAGAAGCATTTATTTATTTATTTGCTATCTTTTGTGTATACTTTTGAAAGTGTTAATTTGTATTTATTTAATATTGGATATTATTATATAAATAAATCAATCGTCACCACCTTCATCACCACCTTCTTCTAAATCACCATAAGCAGGGACCTAATGCTTTGGTTCTTAGGTATCTTACCTATTTATTAAATAAAACATGTGAATTAAAACATTTTCTTATATAGCTTTGCAATTTATTATAGCTAATTTTGCTTGCTTATTTTATAATATTTTAAATTGTGCTGCTATCTTTTGTACAAAAAAGTTTAAGATTAATAAAATATATTTTACCAGTCGTAAGTCTTAGGTAATTCGTAAAATTGGTAGAAGAGAGCCCAACCGAGTAAGAAGGAAACGGTTCTAAATAAGAATTCTATTTTATAAAAATAATTGCTATTGCTTAATTCCTAAAGATGTTTTTTTCGATCTAATTTTATGCTAATTAATAAATGAATTAATTACAGCGAGAATTTTGGTAATTAAGTTCGTTGTGGAGAGCTTCTAATTCGTTTACGTATTCAAGGTTCTTGGCTTCATGAGGAGAATTGCTAATATACCACATTCTCAAATCGTAAGCCTTGGTAAGATTATCGAAATTTTGCTTGAAAGGCAAATTTTCAAACTTTCTATGTTATAAACCAGCTTAAATAATATTGCCTCTGTTGGTTCTTTACAAATATTTCCAAATCATTCTTCCTTTATTTTTCTCTTTCCCTTGTTTAATTTTTTGATTTATTAATAAATTATCATTAATGTTTCCTTTTATTTTCAATATTCTCTATTAAGTAATTAGTTAGTGAGTGAGTGCAATTTATTTATTTAATTCTTTTCTTCTGTTTGTTTGTTGCAGTATCTTACTTGTCTCTCTTTCTTTATGAATTTTATTATTTTCATTGTAAACAATATCTTTTCCATCACCTTGTTGTTTCTTAATATTATTTATATAAATAAATAAACATATCTCATAAAATCTATTATTTAATCCATTCAATATGATCACTTAGAAATATTTTAATTTTCTCTACTGCAATATTTGACATTAGAAGCATTCAATAGATTTTAAATTTTAATTTTATGAAAATAACTAGGTAGAATTAACACTTTCAAATAATTGATAAGCAAATATAAAAACATGTACAATATAGATAATTTAATATTTAGTTATATTCTACTATTTCTGATGCTAACTCAACGCTTTACTTTCTCAAATACTGGTTCTTTGTCATTCTTTAGGTAAGGGTTCATTTCTCTCTCACCAGGTGCATATAAATTCTCTTCCTCAATAATACTTTTAGGACGACCTTTACCTTACCATACAGGCCCGCCAAAGTGTTGTCTGTCCATCAACTCTTTGTGTCTTTTTAAATCTTCGGGATCGACATTTGCTGCAAACCAGTTCGACCAATCAACAAATTCCCTTTTTATTGCTTCTCCTTTAACTAATTTACCATCTTTCATGATATATGTACCTAAGTATAATTTTTAAAAAGTAATTGCTAAATATTAAGAGCATTTAAAAGACAACAAAAATAAAAAAATAAATACCTGCTCCTATTTTTTGATTTTTTTCTTCATCAGTTTATTCAATTAAATTTTCAATTTCTGAATTATGAAGCATTTTGTCTGCTTCTTTATTGGAAATTTCTTTATCAGAAGACTACTCTTAATTTTGTTATTCTACTTGGTTAATTATATTAGGATATGCTAATTTAAAGAAGTTTATTTTATACTAAAGATCTTTCTAAAGTTTCAACAAATCATCTTTGCTATTTGGATTATATTTCTTGATTAACTCCTGCATTTACAATTTGTTTAAATCCTATTTTGTTGCAGGAAGCTTGTTAATTATTTAATGCACTGAACTAAGCAATACCCTAACTTGAGTTTTTAGAATTTAGCACATGTTTATAAATATTTATATTAATAAATTCTATTTTTAGATCTTTCTCGTAAATGAAAAAAATATTTATTTAATTAATTTGCATGAATATCTTTTATCAATAGTCTTAAAATTTAATATAAAAAATCATTCAAATTAAAAATATTAAACTAAAATCTTGTTTGATTGATTGAGAATTAAAAATTAAGTACTAAAACACATACAAATTAAAATAAATCAGCAATTAGAAATAGTATTTAGCATCTAATTGTAAGATTGATAAACATTTATTAGATCTTAAGTTAAAGCCAATTGCTACTAGAACAGCTCTGGTGTATACTCCTCAGTAATCTTTTTGCACATTTTTAATTCTTATTAAGGTTATTAATTCGCTTGAATTATTTCATTTTGATCCTTTTATTCTTCTTCTTAATTAGCATTTAAGTTTATATTTCTATCTTCTAAGCCATCTATTATACCCAAAGCAATAACTTTGTCTCCTTCATTTAGCTAAGTATAAAATGGTGGAGGATTTAGCAATAAACAGTCTGCATTAAGCTTAAGAATGTCAACTTATTCTTACAAGAGATGTCCCTTGATCTTTTTATTTTGGTCTTTTTTATTTATTTAATTTGTTAAAAAATAACATTTTTTTAATTAAAATAATTATTTTTCAATCTTTTAAACAAGTTTATTATTTTTATAAAAACAAACTAATTTTGATTCTTTAAAAGGAATAATTAATTGACTTAAAAGTTAATAAAATGAATAAAATTCAAATTTATTTACGTTCAAAATAGAAATTATCATTCTATTGATCTAATTTTTGTTTCTGATTATCTTTTTCTGAGATATTATCTTCATCTTCTTAGTGAATATCATACATTTATTAGAGACTTGGCTACTAGATTTATTAAGCCTTCTTCTAAATACACAATGCAATAAAAGGTCTTTTTCTGTTTAAAAAGTGGTATTGCAAATCACCAAAATACTTAATCTCCTAGATTATTTATATTCAATTTATAAAAGTGTTTAGAATAAATTTTTTTTTACTTTTGCACACCTTTTTGTAATGGTGAAAGTATAGAGTCCTCCTTTGTATTTCTCGTTTCCTCCAAGGAAGGATTAAGATGGCATGGCTGATTAAGGTTCAAATTATTTGTTGGCTACATTTTCATTTAGTGCTGATAAATTTGAGTTTTGTTCTTAATTATTCTGATTAGATCTAACAGATATACTTGCTATTTACATTATCAAACTAGAAACTGATTTTTCATAATATATCAACGTGTTCATAGAATGGAAGAGAATAGGTTCTAATATGGTATTGCCACTTGTTATTTATGGCCAATACATCCATGTTAGCTTTTATTAAAATGGTCTTCTGTCTAATATATCCAAATACTTTTCATCATTTAATGTAAGTAAAATCTTTTAACTAGGATAAAATTCTTAAACTAATCTATAAAATTTAAATAGCTTAATATCATCAAGATTTGTTAAGTCAGAAGTTAAACGGATAACAACCTTTTCTGAAGATTAAATATTAAGCATTCTTAGGTGTTGCTCTAGCTTCAAGCTGCATTAAATAAAGAATAAATTTCTTTGGTCCTTAAGTCTTGTTGGCATTGACTTTAATATGAAAATGAATAATGAAATTTTTAAATAGAAAAATTTTGTATTACATGGAAAGGTTCTTCTTAGAGGAATACAAGTACTCTATTTTAATTTGCTTTACGAATATTATAATAAATATCAATAATATCTTCTTCAGTGACTCCAGCCAGTATCACATGATTTGTAAGATTTAAAATTCTAGGGTTATCATACAAATTAACATATGTTGTATCTTAGTCAACATCAGTACTTCTAGCCTAAGTTATTTGAGCATGTATCATTTCGTTTAAAATCTCGTTAGCAATAGTAATTTATAATGAAGGCTATTCAAAGTTTTAGTCAAAAAATTATTTTGCCTAAATATTTAAATTCTTGAAGAAATTAACAGATGCTTCATTTTGTGCTATAAATAGCCCCTTTTATTTATAAAAGAATTTTATAAGATAAATAATAAAATTATTTTTTTTACCTTATCTCCTTCTTTAATCCTATAGTGGCCAGGATTCGGATAAACTTTCTTCATATATTCATAGAAAATTATTATAGATATTTATTACATTAATTAATTTACCTTTGACTATTTTGACTTCACTCCCAATAGAATTATTCTGATTTCATTTTGACCAGTGTGATTATTTTGGTTTTGTTCGTTTGATTAAGAGTTTGTGTATTAAAATCTTTTCATTTTTTAATATTAATTTAAGTTTTAAATATTAATTTAATATTTTACAGGTATAAGAACTTGGCTACGTTCACAAAACTCTCACCAATCAAAAATGGAGGGAAAGGAAAACAGTAAAATTAGTTCTTTGAGCCTTAATAATAATCTATTAAAGTATTTTTAATAACAGGCTGAATCTCTTAATCTTCTCCTAATCCCTCAAAAAAGTTAAGAGAATACTAATTAATTTTATCTTTGTTAAACAAGAGCATTTAAAGTAATGAGCCTACACCATCATTTTCTATTGATTATGTTAAACAGTAATTCATGTATTTTTTTCTGCAGTTAATTCTTTATATAAAATTTTTAGAGGAGTCAAGTAACTTTGTTTCATTTAGAATTAAATCTGTAGTAAAATAAACATAAATTTTGAGATCAGGAAATCTATTTATTTTAAAAATAAATTCATATTATTTAGATAGTCTTAATTTTAATTTACTATTTTTTTATTAAGCTTAGAGAAAAAATCATATTTCTCTCTGAATTTTAAGCATCACTTTCTTTGTCTTCATAGTTAAAGCACATTAAACAGCTTGCCTTAATTTATTTTTATAATTAAATATTTCGAAATCCTTCAACAAAATTAAATTTATAATTACTGTACTAAGTCCAGCTTTTTTTATCCATTACAAATTATTTTCCAAAGATTAAACAATGATGTATCTAATTTTGTGTATTTTGTAGCTAATTTTTAAGCTTTCGAATTTTATATATGAATTAGGGTCATGCTTTGGTGGTGTGGTTGACACAAATACAATCTTTTTGTTGAATTTACTTTTCTATTTGTTATTTTTATTAATAAAATTAGTTTTTTCTCTCTTTTTTAATTCTATCTAAAAACATTACTTTTTCAGCATAAATTTTGGAGTAGTGATTTTTTAAGAACTTTTCTATATGGTTTGAGCTTGAAAAAATATTTCCTATGATTACGATATTATCAAAAGACTTATTTTTGAGCAAAGATTCTGTTTTATCTTGCTTAGCAACTAAGCTTAGGATTTTCCCCAGCCATTTAGTGAATAAAACAGCACAAATTAATATAAATATTGTGGTAATTATTCTTCCAGAAGTCTAAATTGGAGTGACATCTCCGTATCCTTTAAAATATATTTTGAAAAGTTAATATTATAAAAATTTATTGTTATTTTTTTACCAATTGTTGTCATAGTTATAATTTAGAAGTAAAGTGCATTATGAAATCTTAAATTGTGATTGTGGAAGGGCTGAATCAGCTCTCCTCCTGAGGCTTCATCAACAAACAGAATAACAGAAGTGTTAATAAGACACAGTGCAAAGATATTAATAACAGTAGCAAATATTGCTTGTTTGAGCTATTCATGTTATGGAAGTATTTTAGGCATTTTATCTGGATTAGGTTATATATGAGTTTTGAAAACAAGTTGCTAAATTAAGGTTTTGACCTTCAAAAACTTCAAACAAAGCAAAGCCCATACAAATTTATCTTCTAGCAAATTATTTTTTTTCATCAAATTTCCATATAAATCGTGTGATAAAATCACAATTGTAGTTAAATCTAACATCATAGTAAATTTCTAAAATTCCTACAATTTGTTTGATGAATTAAACAAATGCTCTATATATTCCAAAGTAAAGCAAGTGAGAAGAATTGATTTTATTATTATGCGATACGAAGTAGCAACATTAATCTGTTTTTTAATTATTTTGCATTAAAAAATATTTTAGTAGATGGAAAAATATTTTCATTATGAATTAATATAAATAACCAATAAAAAGTGGAAAAACTAATCCTTAAATGCCAATTAAAAGATGAATTTACCTCACTGGCTATTAAATAAGAATTCACTATAAATAATAAAACTGCTAATCCATTATATGAAAGAGAGAGAAGAATGTATGCTATTTTTGACTTCAAAAATGTTAGAATTTTTATTGACAATTTCTATTAGTTCTATACTTTTTGGAGATATTGGCTATGAGTCGATTTATAATAAGGAACTTAATCCGTAAGGTGGCTTCCTCCTTACTAGATAGAAGCTTGATAAATTTAAATCTTATTTTAATCGTGAAGCTTTATCCTTCCACCTTTTTCTCCCTAAGATCTCTATATATTATTCATAGATCCTAACTAAGTTAATAATTTTTACCTTTTGAAATAAAAATATTTATTAATCAAGCTGGCAATCAATCAATCAATTAGCAAGCAAGCAAACAAGTAAGCAACCAAGTACTACTATAAAAATCTAAAATTATAAGATTTTGTGATTTCTAATATCAAAATATTTACAATCATCAAATCTTTAAGTTTTAAAACAAATAAAAAAATTACTGCAAATAGTGAGGATCGAGAGTAGCCTCATTACCTTTTTCCATTTGACTAAAGATGAATACAAATTTTTTTTGAAAGAGCTAAATTAGATCTATATAGATTTTTATTTACTTTATTAGAATTAATTAATTTTTAGTTGTAATAATTTGTTTCTAATATTTGAATTATAGGCTAAGATTACTACTAATTTATTTAACAGTATATGCTAACAATTTTATGTTATTCATAATTGAATTTATTTTTTTTAATTAATTTAAATTTCTGATATGAAAAAAAGCCAAACAACAAATGATACTATAAATTATAATCCTAAATCCCTTGAAGAAAGATTAGACTTATTTGAAATATAAAAGAAGGAAATGAGAGAAGAATTTTCCTTTTAAATTAGATGTCTCAGTGAGCATTACGATGAATAATTCGAATTATATTCTTTAGATATGGAAAGATTTAATCAATAGCTTAAGAAATAATTTATGGATATGTTTCACTAAAAGTATGAGTAATCACAGATAAAAACCTATCAGTCTATCTTAAAAGAGGAATATGAAAAGAAAATTAAACATTATAATCAAAAGCTGAGATTTTTTCAAGAAAAATTTGAAAGCTTTTAAAAAGTAATTGAACCACTTTTAGATCTATTTAAAAAAAATCAGAATAGTTATTCAGATGAAGTAATTAAACTTATGTTTGAGTATCAAGACAAAGTTAAAGACTATCTCAGTGATAAGAAGGAATAATCTGATATAATTAAATTTTTAAAAGAAGAAAATAACTAGTTAGAGAGTACAGTTAAAAATTTGACTTATTCTAGTCGTTCTCAGTTGCAAAAATAAAAGCAGTATTCAAATTAAATTCTAGTTGAAAATAATAGGCTTAAGCAAATTGTTTAAAATCTTGAATTAGAAAAAATAAATCTTATTGCTTTGAACTCAAATTATTAGCAAAAAAATACTATTTTTCAATCAGAGTTAGATAGAAAAAAAAATTTATAGAAAAACGCTAGTGACCTAGGAAATATATCAGCTTGCTTAAAAATAGAATTAATAGGGAAAGAAGATAAAATTACAGAACTTAAAAATACTTTAGAAACTGAAAAAATAACTAACTAAAAAACTTTAAAAGAACTTGAAGAAATAAATTAAAGTTGCATTAGAGAAATAGAATTATTAAAAAATTAGTTAAAAATCGAAATTTAAACCAAATAAAAGTATTTATTTATAATTAAAAATTTATTTTATTTCTAATATAGATTATTTTGACTTATAAATAATAATTTTTAGATAAAACTAAGAAATTTTATTATATTTTGTAAAGTTTAGTTTAAAGCAAAGATAAAGAAATAGAAAGATTAGAGTAGAGGTATTAAAAAGATATTGCAGCAATAGAAGAAAAGAGACTTATATTTTAAGAAAGCCTGACTAAAAATGAAAATGATTATTTCTAGCTAAAGAATAAATATAAAGATTTAAGTGAAGATCATATCTTATTATAATAAAAAATTAAATAATTGAATAAAGAATATGAAGAAGGCTATGAAATGTAATAACAAAAATTTGAAAAAGATGTAAAATTAATTTAAGAACAGTAATACAAGAAAATTATGGAAGTAAAATATGATTACGAAAACTAACTTGGGAAATTAAAATAAGATCACCTTTAAAAAATATTTAACTTAAATACTTAGATAAACTCACTAGAGAGTTTATTAAAACATGAAGAAGAAACAGTAAAATAAAAGTGTAATTAGATTATGCAAATAGAATCAGATCACAAAAACTATGTAGATGAATTATTAAGTAAAATATCACAGCTCAACTTGTAGTTATATTAATAGAATGATCTGATAAATGAAACAAATACTACTAATACTAGATCAATTTAGTAATTAGAAGCTGTATAGCAAGAAAATGATAATTTTAGGAATAAATTAGCATCCTTGCAAATAGAAATAACACAATTGAATGATACGATTTAAAAACAAGATTAAATTATCTATCAAAACATAGAAGAAAAACAAGCTTTAATAAATAAAAGAGATGCAGATTTTCAAGAATAGATTTAAAATATTTTGGCTTTAGAAAAACAAAAATATTATGAAAAAATTGCTGAATTTGTAAATAAATATGAAAAAGTTACTACCGAAGCTGAAATATAAACAGAATTTGACTTAGAAAAATTCATACATGAAACTGAAAAAAAATAGGCACAAGAAATAAAATAAATAAATTGCTAAAAGAATTAAGAGTTTTTATAAAAGGAGGAATAAATTATTTTGAAAATGTAAGCTTTAGAAGAATAAATTACCTCCTTGAATACATAAGTAGCAAGTGAGAAATAAAACACCCAAAATATCATAGAAAAATATAAAAAGTAAATGACTGAGCTTGAAGAAAGGAATAAACAAGAAATTAATCAAATTAAAAATAATGTAAGGAAGGACAAAAATGAGAAGTTTATCAATTAAATAAAATTATTAGAAAAAGAAAAATAGGAAATGAAAGTGGAATTAGATAATTTTAAAGAATTAAATAAAATACACTTCGAAAGACTCTTTAAAAACTAGAAAGAAGATTTCGAAAAAAAAGTATTTGAGCTAGAGCAAGTTATAAAAAATGAAAAGCATAAGTAACATTTAATTTAAACCGAGTCTCTTTTAGTTTAGTAAAATTTAAAATCTAAATATGAACAATCATTACAAGCAAATTAAAAAGATCTCAAAGATATCTAAGAAAAATTAAATAAAAAGAATAGTAAACAAATTAATACTTACGTTCAAACTTGTCAAACTGAGCAAGCTATTATATTAAACTCTAAGATTTCATAAACCGATTCAGATCTAATTTAAGAACTCTACATTTAAGAAAAATAAGTAATATTTTATTTTTTAATATTAAATATAAATCCTCATTAAAAAAAATGCAAATTGCTTGATTTATCTGTTTCAGAAATAAATAATAAAAATTTTTAAATTTCTAATAATTTTTTTCTAGGTTTCATTTAAAAAATGAGGATGTTTGGTATTATTATTTTTAATTTATTTTTTTTAAAAAAGAGAGAAATGGAATTAAAGATGGTTAATTTTTAAGAAAAATGCAATTAAGAAAGAGAAAGCCTATTAAGAGAATAAGAAGATTACTTGAAAAAAATGATGTTGGAGATTTAAACTTTATAAGATTTGTTTAATAAAAAATATAATGATTTGAATGCTTAATATTAGAAATTAGAGTTGGAATATGAGTCAAGACCTTCAAGATTTGAAGATATTGAGCTTATAGATAAATTAAATAAAAAAATTTTATAAATTTAAAAACAAAATAAAGATCTTGTTTTGGATATTTAAAACAGAGAAGTAAATTACAATAAAGTATTTAAGTCTAATCCGATTGTAGGGGTGTATGCTCCTGTAAATAACTTAAAATCTTTTGTTGATAGTGAAAAATCAACTTAATTTAATAAACAATTAATTAGCTTTGATTAGTAAAACTCTTAATCTATAGATTTAGATTCTTAAATGAAAAGCACTTTTTAGAATAAGTTTGTTTAATCGTCATTATAAAATATTTTAGAAGATAGTTCTTGCAAAATCGATGAAGAAAGGAAATTGGAGTCTGATCGTAAGGTATAAAATGAGGAATTGTATTTACATAAAAAGAATTCTTCAAATAATAATGCTTAATCAATACAAAATAGCTATGAAGATATTGACAACTAAATTGAAAATAGACCTGGCCTGATAAATTTACCTCCAAAATACCTTAATTAGAATGGAAAAGAAAATTATAGCTTAAATTAGCCATTAATAAATATCATTTTATCTAAAACTTAAAATAGGAGATATAAAAAGAATTCACTTGATATCAATCAATCTTAAGAATCTATAGTTGATGCTATCAAAATATAAAGAAGAGATATTAAAACAAGTATTTCACCAATTATAGTTAACAAGGAAGAAAATTAAAGAATTATCAGAAACAATTCTTAACCTGAATAACTTTTAGGTGATTTTTTAGACAGTGATTTACCTGTGTCTTTCAGTTGCGAAGCTAACAAAAGAACTCCAGAAGTTGGCAGTAAGAATGATAGAAATGAAAAGCAAATGAACGTGATTCAAGAAGATACTCAAGAGTCAGATAAGACTCCTTTCAGAAAAAAAAAAAAGTTAATAGTAAAAGGAATAAATATGAAAAAGGTAGACAATTCATAAATCCAATATGTTATTGAGTCAAATAGATCTATGATAAAAAAAAATATAGAAGGTTTTAAAAATTCTAATTAGATTTTCCCTCCTAAATCTTCCTCTTCATAATCCTAGAATTAAGCTAATACATTTCAATACCCTGTCAATAATTAAAAAACAGGAATTGTACAGTAATTTAATAGGAAAATAAAATCATAAAACAGTAATTACACTTCTATTGATGCTCAATATCATCAATAAAGCTCCAGCATTGATAATTACTCAAATAAAAAAATAAATTTATCATTATAATCTGATTCAATCAATATAAATAGATGCTCTACAGCGATTACAGCATAATATAAACCTATAGAAAACGATGCCAGCTAATCTAAGTCTCTAGAAAGATCAACACTTGATTTGGAAGTTAGTTTTTCAAAGCAAATGAAAAGGAAATATTTAAACTAAAGTATTGATTTACCTTCAACAACAGCTAATTTAAAATACTTTGATAAATTTTTTTCGCTTTCTAAAAATACCAACTAAAATATTCATGTAAACTCATCAACAAATGCAAGTCTTATATCAGGATAATAGAATAATTTATATTTAGAAAGCTGCACAAACAAGTATTTAGATTAGATATAAATTAATGACGTGCTTTCATCAAATAGTGGAAATGCTCTCCCATAAACATCTTTTACTAAACATAGTTTTAAACAAAAGCAAGTTCCTTTAAACAAATTATACAAGACTATTTCAAACAATTGAATGATAGTATCTAAAATATTTATAAAGCTTTAAACTAATTTAAAAATAATATTTGTAAATAGCTACTGTAATTACTTTAATTTAAAGTGTTTCTAATTTAAGATGGTGCTCTATTTTAAGCAGTTTCAAAAAATAAATGAAGTACCCTAATGTTAGATTTTAGCAATTCGGTTTAGATTAAAGTAATTATGGTATTATTAATTAAATAACTTACTAATTTTTTCACATTTTCTATATCTGAATTACTCCAAATAAGATAAATAATAGAGTAATTTTAATAAAGCATAAAATAACTGATAAAGAAGACACTTTATATCAAGCTAAGCTTAAAAAAAATGGTTTTTTAAAATTAAACTTATTAAAATTTAAATTGAAAATAATTTTTTTAGATGAAAATATGAAAATTATGTTTAAAAAATGCATGAAATTAAAATTAAATTAAAAAAAACACTAACTATGTTGAATGTAATTGTGATTTATTAGCTTAATTTTATACAAAATAAAAAGATTTAACATTTAATTATACTCATTTATTTATTGAATGTAAATAATAGATTTTATTTTTAGTAATAATATTTTAGTATGTATGTATTAATGTATATTCTACGTAAATTACTTTTTATAAATAATTTCTCTAAATCAATTTTAATTTTTACAAATTTTTTATTTTTTTATTTGTCTCATTTGAATGAGAGAGAGTTAATAATTTAATTATTTTCTTAATAAACAGAAATCAAGTTTAGGATTTTTGATTTAAGCTAATTTGCTTAAAAGTTTACAACTTCTTATTATCCTGGTATTTAGGTTGATGAAGGAATGCTTGTCTGGCTGCTTAAAGTATATTTTATGTTAGATCTTTAACTCTATACACCTGTTAGATTATTCAAATCTTATATTCTATCGTTTGTTGCCTAGGTTGATAGTATTTATTCAGTAGTGCTTCCACTTTTTACTTTTGCGTCTGATTCAGTTTTCATTCTATAAGAGGTTTTCCCATAATTAGAATCAGCATTAACTCCTCTACCATTCAAACTTTGTATACTGATTGTTGGACTTTAGAATAAATGCTTAGTGTTAAATGACTTTGATTATTATTATCCTTTAATAGGAGAGATGCAATTTTCAAAATTTTATTTTTAGCCATATTAGGAAGGTACTTAGTAGGAATTTAAGTTAATTACTTTGCTTTAAGATGACTTTTAATAGACTTTTCCTGCAGATTAATTAATTTTTGTAGATTCAAAAAATTTGTTGTCTAAATTTTCTTTAGATATTTCGTTTTCCTTAGATACATAATAGGCATATCTGTCATTCTCTTTAGTAGATTCTTCTTAACTTGAATGCAAATTAGTATAGGTATTTTAGGAATTATTAACTATTGTTTTACTATTTGATTAGTTTAATTGTGCTCTTTGTGATGATTATAACTGTTAATTGAGTGAATTATTAGCTAATAAAGTAATACCTTATAAAGGTTTATTCTAAATATTTTAATGAGTACTGCTAGTTATTGCTGATATTTGTTACTGCTATAAAATTTAATTAAATGCCTTTTAAGATAAGCTAGAAGAAGAGTGAACTGAAATTCCTTAATTTTGTTAACTCTGATTGATGGGGTTAGTCAAAAAATTAATTGAGCTAAAATTACTATTTAAATTCTGATTACTTGTCAAAGATTATTAGGATAATTATTACAATTATTATTTTTTAATTTGCTTTGGAGAAATCTAATTATTATTTTAAACCTTTTATTAATTGAATTCATTTATTTATAAATTTTATCTATGTGAATCACTGCTATTGACCTACACTAACGTTTAAGATTTGCTATCATACATCAACTTAGTAATACTGGATTTCTCTTATGATTGTGATGTTTATCTAGCAAGAGACTCTCTTTATTGCTACAAGAAAGTGTGATGTTGTTAGAAATTTGTTTATGAAGACTACATTCTTTTTTCATACTAAGAATTACCACGTTTGAAAGTAGAATTTGGCTAATTTTGTGTTACAGGAGTTTATGATAAGTCAGATACTTACTATTGCAGTTCATTTTCATTACACACTATACTTGTTTATGATTAGATACCTTAGCTATTATTCTAAGAGTTTTAATGCATGTGTTTGTTCATTCTTGGTACATCTAATTTAAAAGTTGAAATAGGGACAGCTTTATACTGAGACCAATTACCATCCTTTTTACTTCTTGAGGTAATTGAAATAGTTTACTACTAGAGTAATGGTTATCCTTGCATATTTTCTTTTTTAACTTCATTCTAAAACTAGTTATTTTATATAGATGTGCAGGTGTTGGTATCGTTGTTTTAATTAATATTATTAAATGCAGTGCTTATTTCGAAGTTAGATACTTATGGATAATTAGTAGTGGTGAAGCTGTTACATCTAGAAACACTTGTTATTGTGTATGAAGGTGAAATAGCATCATCTCTGCAACCTTAGTTGTATTGCAAAAGATTGCTAATTAGTGGTTGAGAGCTAACACTTTTGACGCAGTTTTATGATTAAATCTAATACTAGCTGGTGTTAACTGGAGGTGGAGTGTGAGAAGAAATTGTTTGAGGGATTAAAGAAGGAGCAGATGGACTCTAACAATTGTTCAAAAATAAATTTGGTTTATGAGAAGTATTAGTATTTTGAACTGTTATAAAAGCTTTAGCCATTTCATTAGGATTGCTGACATTTTCTTGAGGATTTTAAGTGTTAGCAGACTATTGCTTATTTCTGGTAGAAGTAGGCATAGACTTTGGAGGTATAGCTGTATCTAACGAAGTGTCATTATTATAATTCATAAGATTCAAATTGCTATCAATATTGCTAACCTATTCAGATAGATTTCTGTAGCTGCTGTGATAAGATTGATTTCTGCTGCTATTGTTTGTCTGCTTGAAATATTCAGTAATTTTTTGCTGATTAAAAGGCTGTAAATGTGTTTTTAACATATTCCATTAGGATTTGATGAAATCAAAATCCACACTCGTCCCTGTGCTAGAAATATGATCAATAAATTATGAAAAAATATAAATCAATGTGTCACCAATGCTTTTAGCACTTTACTTAAGGTCCAAAATAGCTCCAATAGCTTGCTAAGAATTAACTTCTGAAGCAATCAATATTGATGGTTTTTCATAATTTTTCTGTTGAGAGCCAACTTGCTAATAAGACTAAGTCGTTTATTTAGAAGTGTTAAAAAACGAAGGCTCGCTATTTGAATTAGAGGTTAAGTTGCTGTTTGAAGAATTAGTGTATAATTGATTTTTTGTCAGAAGCGGTTAAGGAGATATCATTGTATTATTATCCTATATATTTTTAAGCATTTATAAAATTTTAAGTATTTTATTATTAATTAATTATTAGCTATATTTTTTAACTATCTGATTGATTCTATGTAGCTGTTGAATATGTTAATAAGATAAATAGCGATATATTTATTGATTTATCAAATGACTGGGCAATCTTTTTTAAGACTATATTTTGATTAAAGATAAATTCCCAAGCAAATTTCATCTGATTTTCTTAATTTTTATTTTTAACTGGAATAATATTAACTCATACAAAACATAATGCAGAAAATGATAAATTAATTAATCTTACCATTAATTTTATAAATTTTTAGTTTGAAATTTTATTTTCAAAATATAAAAAACAATAAACTAAAGATTTCTTTGTTATCTGATATAATTTAAAAATGTTTTATACTCATCTTAAATATTTCTAGAAAAATAAAAATGTTTATATAATTTGTAAATAATTAAAATGTTATTTTATTCTAAAAAATTTAATTTGAAAAATAAATTAGCTGCTTATTCAAATAATAAATGCATAAAATATAATTAATTAAAAAAAATAAATATAATTCAAACATTAACATTTTATTTTAAATTTCTTGTCACTTAAATTTGAAGTCTTACTTTAATTATTAATCTTTTTTAAATAAAATAAATGAAAAAATTAAATATTTTAAAAATTAAACATTTTTTTTATTTATTTCAAATAATATTTTTATGAAATGATTTTTTAGATGAATAAAAAAAGTAGTAAATTTTATTAAATAAAAATAATTTTAAAAATATAAATAAACTTTTTTACTCTTAGTTGTTGGTTGAGTTGCTAGAATTCTATTTAAAGTTATTTATTATTATGAGATTTGTTAAAAAAATAGTGAAGATAATTTAAAATAAAGTTTGTTTGTTAATTTTTATTTAAATTTGTTCGTATACTTTAAATTAAGGACTTACTTGCTTATGTAATTTAATCACTTTAAGCTTTAGAAAACTTAATTAAAAATTAGTAGAAGTAAAAAAAAATAGAATGCATAATAAAATAAACATGATTGATGATTAAGTATCGGAAAGTGATGTGCTTAAATAAAGAGAAAAATAAAGTCATTTATTTGCAGAAAAAAATGATAGTAATATAGACTTTAAAGCAATTAATTATAGGAGGGATGATTCTATCATAGAAAAATTAGATGAAAATACAAAAGATAATGAATGTGATTTGAAATTAGTTGAATAAAATAATCTCACCTTTGTCTCAAAAGAACATATCTAAGTAGTAAATAACTCCCTAAAACTTACAGAAAGAGAAATTTCTTCTAGAGAACCTTTTCAAAACCATAATTCACATAATCCACGGTCAAAAATATACGGTAAAATGGACATTTAGATTAAAAGTCAATTAGTTTATTAAGATGGTAAGGAGAGTATAGTATAATTAATTCATTTTATTTATTTATTTTTTTAAATAAATTGGAAGGTTCACCATCCAAAATTAGAAAAACTCAATAAACAGCTCAACAACAAGATCCTAGATTGCAAGTAGTTATGAGAATAAAAAAATAAATAAATAAATTTTTCTTTAACTTTACATACAATGGAAGAAAGATTAATTTGTAGAATTAATAATGTAGGAAAATGATTAATGATCTAAGTGACTATACAGAAGTTAACACTCGATTTAGCACAAGCTAGGTAAAATATCAGATTAGTTTAAGCATACAAAAACTATTTACAAAATGTAAATTGAGTATGTTTAAAGTGTTTACTCTACAAAATAAATACGTTTTGTTGTTTAAGATGTTTACAACAATCACTACTAATATTTTTTTGATATTTCAGTCTATCGTTATACTATTTAATCTAAGATACGATATACCCTACACCGAGTCGATAGTTTAAAACTACTTTTTCATATAATGGATTGTAGAAATTTTACTTAGATTGAACTGTGCAACCTATCTTAATAATCAATATATAGAAGAAAGAAGTCAAATCATCAGTATATACTTTAAAAATTTATTTATTTATGATATTATACCTCTCATCGCAATTTAGATGTAATTCTAGGACACATTTTCATGGTAGTACATATTCGTAAAATCTCTGATTTTTTTAAAGGTTTTTATAACAGATTAAGACCATAAGGAAATTTAGAAACAATTGATTATTATAATCAGAAAATATTTTATAGTTTAAATAATAAATCTAATCATAAAGCTATTTATGGTTGGGCATTACATAGCCTGTTTATGGCAATTAGTAGGTGTAATAGATTCAAAATACTTTGAGAGCAAAAACTCTTGGATAGTAACAACCTATGATTTTAATGAAGGAATTTGGTGGAAAGTGTATGTCTAAGCTTTTTCTTGGGCATTTACCCTCATGGCAACAGGTTCGAACATAGCATCTTCAGTCCTTGAATTGTACTTCCTGTCTATCGTGATGCCTTTTACAACTATTATTTTTGGCTACATGATAAATACAATAGGTATAATTCTCTCTGAGATAGATTTACAAGAGGAGTTTCGAAGAAAAGATATAAACATAATTAACAAATACATGGATAGGAAATAGATTTCATAGTATATTAATTAATATTCATTCATTTGTAAATGGTGTTTATTCAAATTTTAAAATAATATAGAGACTTATAGGCAAGAGTAAACCTTGACTTAGAATATTTTTATTAGAAGAATTTTAAGAAAATGTAAGAAGAGGAAGAGGGAGTTCTAAGTAAAATTTCAGAATAGCTTTACAGATCATTGTAATATGAATATAACATGGGTATATTTAAAAAAATGAAAAACCTCTATGACAACTTCAGTTATCAATCTCTTACTCAGCTTTGTTACAAAGCACAGGAAATTACTTTTTCTCCCAATTAAATTATTTTTGTAGAAAACTAAATTTCTGATTCTTGTCTTATGTACATTATATCAGGATAAGGTAAATTTGATCAAGAAGTATTATGTCTTTTATATGTTAGCTAAAAAAATAAATTTTTTATATTTTTTATTCTTTGGTACCTTTAACATATGAGAATTTACTTTATTTAATTTTAAATAATTAATTTTTGGTTTATAAAAGTGTAAATCACACAGTAAGTGCTAGTAAAAATGAGCGAAGATAAGGAAGAATCATCTTCTTAGTAATTTTTAGAATTAAAAAATTACATAAAAATCTTTAAATCATCTTTAAAATTTAGAATAAAAGACGAAGAACCTAATAAAATACGTTAAGAGAACTATACACAAAGAGTACTTGGTTACTTGAAAGAAGGATAAACATTTGGAGATTTAAATTTTTTCACAGGTTTTGGTAGAAATGCGACAATTAAATCAAGTGCTTTTACTAGAATTTTAAAAATTCCTAGAGATTAATTTATGGAAATAATATAGAATAACTCAAAAGATTTAGAGAGATATTGCGAAATTAGAGATTAAATATCTTTGTATTCCAATTACGCTGATTTAAAATTTTTTTGTTCAATTTGTAAGAAGCATGATCATTTAAACAACTTTTGTCCATTAGCTCATTTTGATAAAAAAAATCCTTTTATTTATGCAAGAATCAACTTTTCAGATACCTAAAAGCGAGATCATACATTTTAAAGGAAGAGATAATATTATAGGTAATTTTTTAATAATCTAGAGGAGGTACAATCTTAAGCAAGAGAAGCATAAGAATTTTTTGCTTAGATTCCTGAAGATGAAGATGAAGATTACAGTAATGAGTATGAAGAAGACGAAGAAAGCAATCAATCAGATCATAATCCCTCTTAGAGAAGTATACCGGTATCTCAAAAGAATCAGTCAAAAATAATTGAAAAAAATGATTTAGATTCTGAAAAACAAAAAAGTAGCATTATGGATATTTCATAATTGCCTATGAAATAGCAGGTATTATTATCAACCTAATTATTTGCTATAAATATATTTTATTGAAGGGCAGATTTTGTTTTAATAGGTTATTTCTTTTTTACTAAAAATAATTTTTAGAAAGAAATTATTAATAAATAAATAAAGAAATAATTTTGTAAAATAAAAAATATTATTTTCTCATTAGTTTTAAAAATTAAATTAAATATTAAGAAAAATAATTTAATTTAAATTAAAGGATGATTCCAATAGGAAAAGTATGATGCATTAAAAAGAGGAAAATTAATCTTTAGTAAAAATTGATACTCGATCAGAAATAAAAAAGAAAAGCTCAAGGATAAGTATAGTGGTAAAATTAAACATTTTATAAATATTTTTTAAAAGAAATTAAAAATAGGCCAAAGAAGATCTAAAAGAAGACCATGGACATTAGAGAAAAAAGTCTTAGCGTTAGAGTCATGGAATTTCGATACTGCACCCTGATGAAAAAAATACTGGGTATTCCAACAACTAATAAGTATTTATTCATAACCAGACTATGCATTCAAATTTCTCTGGATAAAAACCTAAAGATATTTCATATTGTAACTACAATAAATCAGATGAGATTATAAAGGACATATTGTTATGGAACCTAGATAAAATTAAATAATATAATTATTACTTCTCAAATGGAAATTTTAAAGCTATTATGAGTAAAATACAAACAATAAGAAAGAGGTAACAATCATTAAAGGCAAAAGAAAAGATGTAAAGCTTGTAAGGACAATAACAGAATCCTCGGCCTTCTAAAAATTTTATCTCCAAAAAATATATATAACAATGAATGAGTCAAGAATAAAATTTAAAATTAAATATGAACCAAAAATATAATCGAAATTTAAAAATGAGTTAATAAATATCTATGTTTCGAAGAGATTATAATATTTTTTATATTATTAATGTCATTTAAAGTGTTTAAATATTATTTATTTAATTTATTTTAGTAATTTATTATTTTTGACATTAAAAAATTGAATATTTCTTTATTTGGATTAAATATCTTCATTCAGTTTAATTTTTATTTCAATTACTATAATTGTTTATTTATAGCTTTTTATTGTTAACAATTAAAATATTTAAATTTGATAAAATTGAAAATAATTTTATTTATGAAATTTGCTCTTACTTTTGTAAATAGGATCAAATTCTTAGTAAAGAAAAAGTTTTATTTTTTTAGTTTTAGATTTAAAATCTTCATTTGATTAAAATTTTATTCTTATTATGAAAATTATTTAATTTTAGCTTTTTTTGTAAACTTTTTATTAAAAATTTAAATATAAAAAAATAAATTACAAAATTTTTTATTTGTCAAATTTTCTATTATAAAATTCTTACAACAGAAATTAAGATAATTATATTTATAATTTATTTATTTTTATTTAATTAAAATAATGTAACATGAAATAATTAATAATGAACAAGAGTAAATTAAATTCGATAACCACAAAAATATCTTTACTTTCTTATTAGCTTTTAAAAAGGTAACATTAAATTTGGCATCAAAAATAATTAATGAACTATATTAATGTTTACTCTTTCTCTCCAATCTTTAAAGCCTTTAAAAATTACAGCCAGATAATATAAAATAAATAAATAGAACCAAAAATTGTTTTGTGCAATAATTTTTAAAAAAAACTTAGTTTGTGAAGTGAATGACACTAAATTTTTTTGTTAAAATGAGACTAAAAACCCACCTCAATATTGAATTTTGACAGTTTCTGAACAAATAAACAAATTAATTAGATTACAGTAATTAGAGGAAAATTGAAAAAATTATGCGATCCTTAAGAAAATTATTTGTTATTTTTAAAAATTTAGAAGAGACTAAAGACGCTTCAAAAAATTTCAATATTTGCATGAAGAATTTTTTCAAAAAAATTTAAGAAAAAAACAATATTCTCTATCAAAAAACTTAAATCAAAATAATATTTAAATTTCTTGGAAAAGAATATCTTGAATTGACATTTATTGTATGCATGCGAATTGCATCTCTAAAAAAAGCTTTTAAAATTACTTTAAGATTAAAAAATTTAATATTTATTAATGATAAGCTGACTAAATTTTAGCCACAAACAGATGCTAAAGTTGGATAAAAATAAGGAAAAAAAAATAATGAATCGATTCATTAAAAATTATTAAATAATAAAATTTACTAGACTTGAAAGTGAGAGAGAGAATAATCATCTTGCACTTTTGAAAAATCTTAAATTTTGATTTGAAATAAAGTAAAAGCAAGTCATCTAAACAAAAGAAATAAAAAATAAAAACCTAATTTACACTTAACTCTTAATCTTTCTATCTTCAAAAAATACAAAAAGTAGTTAAGATTTCTTTAAAGTAAAATTATTATTATTTCAATTCTCTTATTACTTCATCATAAATTTGTTTTAACTATGCCTTAATTGCAGCTCAAATAAGATTATTAGCAGTAAAAAAATAATTTTACTCATTTTTAAACTATAAATTTTGATAGTTCTGTCATTAGTTATTCTTCTATCTTTAAAAAATATATAAAACACTCAATTTTGTATTATATATATATACTTAATATCAACTAAATAAAAAAGTAGGAATATTAAAAATCTTAAATTCAAAGAATAAGTATAAGTTTATAATTTTAAGTTATGTCTTTATAAAACCCTGATCAGGATACTTTGAAATAAGCGGAGTTTAGACAAAGCCCTACCCTAGTATAGAATGACTAAAGTAATTTTAAAAGGCAGTGCTCTCCTAGTTCAGGTTAATTTGAAGAAAGTGTGGTAAAGGAGCAAAAATAGCAAGTTTAGACTTCTACGATTAGAAACAGCTAAAGTCCAAATAGAAAGTAATCATAAGAAAAAAGCAAGAGCAATTCTAGAAAGCAGTCAATAGAAGATAATAATAATAATAATCATGATGTATAAGTTGATAAAGTATTAGAGAACTAGGATGAAGAAGTAGAGGATGATTATGAAGAGGAAGATGCTGTTGAAGAAGATGATCGAAACACACTCCAAAAAAGCATTCATAATCCTGAATTTTTGAAATAGCAATAAAAAAAATCTGATGCGTTTTATGCATAACTACAAAAAAAATACGAAGAATAAAAATAGTTGATGGAAACAGGATTAGGTAACCAAATTTATGATAACCAATTGATTAAAATTAAAACTTCATTTGTATCGAATGAAATAAAAGACTAGAAATAGTAAGAAACAGAGAAATAAAATTAGAATTCTACTCAATAGCTATATGCAGATAATTCTGAAGAAAGTAAGCATAATTAGCAAAGCATCCTTATTTAGGCAAATTCGTAGCTCTTAGATGGAAGGAATATTGTCAGTTCCGTGGGAATGGTAATTTATACCTTTGCATTAAAAATTTGTATAAAAAAAGCATGTTTACATACAATAAAAAAACTTAAAATAGTCTAAATTCTAAATAAAAACAATTAGATAAATAGATATAAAAAGGACTTAATTAATTTATTAATTAATTAGAGTTATGTAATTTTTGTTATTATTAAAATTTATAAGAAAACAAAAAGCTTGATTGATTTCCATGCATTTAATTTAGTCATTTTAAAAAAAATAAAAATTACTGTCTATTCAAAAAATAATCCTTACAATTATCTGCATTTGAATTTTTAGCTTAATCAAATAATCAGCATTAAAAGCAAGCAAACAAGCAAGCGCATCTTAGATTACTATTCTATAATTCAAAGTTTTCTTTTTACTCATAATATATTTCATTAATACCAAAAAAAGCTTATTTTTTATTGTTTTAAATTAATTTTAGGTATTTTTACATTCTTTATTATTTTTAAATATATTTTTATTTTTTTAAATAAAAATGTTCCTTTAATGATTAGAGCAATATCAACTAGCCACTGCAAGGTAAAAAAAAAAAAAAATTAGTTATTAAATATTATTAAAGTAGCAACAAACTTTATTTAAAATTAATAAATTTAGATTCAAGTAAATGGGAATGGATGACTTGCAATTTTTTGATTAAGCAAATCTAGGCTGAAAGCACAATAGTCTGGTCTCTCCAACCAACTGTCACTTTTGGTAATCCCAGGAATGATGTAATTTCAAATAAGCATTAAAATAATAAATTATCAATAATAAAACAATTTTATTTCTTCCTTAACAATAAATTATAATTTAAAATAAAAATTGATTAAGATCTAAGAAAATGTTTAATTTTACTTTTTTATATTTATTTCAATCAGATCTTAAAAAATTTTCTCAAATATTTCTTTCGTATTAAAAGCAAAATATTCAGGTACCAAAAATGAGTTTGATAATGGAAAGAAATTTCACTTATGATAGTGAACTTGGATGGAACTGGCATAAAAGTTGGATTTTACCAACTATTTGCCTGAAGTTGGAAGTAAATTAAATTATTTTAAAGCCGAAAAATTTATCATTCATTTTTTATAATTACTATAAAATTAAGATTATAGATCCAGAAACTAAAGAAGTATTCAGTCCTCCTAAAAACACATATGCCTAAATTTACGCTGTCAAGGCAAATACTAAAGAAATTTCTAAATTTCATATAATAGATGTTGGTTTAAAAGGAACAGATAGACTACCTTTAGAAAATGGCACTGTGACTTTTCAGGCTTTGAAATTTACTTCTACCTCTTATAACAACGAAGGTAGTAAATTCAACTTAGTAGTTGCTATAATCGTATAAAATGATAATGATCCTCACCCAAAGGTTATTGAAGCTATGATATCTCCTCCTGTTTTTGTTGATTCTCGTAAGAGTGCAAGAGAAACTCAAATTATTAAGGTAAAAATTAGTTAAAAGAAGCAAAAGAAATTTTTTACATAAACTCAAAATCGTAATTTAATAAAAATTAAATTTTTTTTTAATAAAGCATGTAAAACTGTCAAGTTTCTATGATTTATTTACGCCAGACAACTTCTAAAAGCATTTGATAAAGAGGAAGAAAAAAGAAAATGAGCCAAGCCAAGAAGAAATCTAAAATGATATTGGAGGTTTTACTGGATATTTTACTGCTCCTAATATCAGAAATAAAGTATAATTAAAATTTAATTAATTAACTAAATATAATTTATTACTTACTTACTTACTTACTTACTTAATAGGTTAAACACCCATTTTTCTTGGCATATAAATTTTCTAATTGCATGCAACTATATTATAATAGTGATGAATTTAAAGGAAATCTAAATTATGAAAAATTTGTAGAAAGAGTTGTTGAAAGTCTTTTAGAAAAGGGTAGAATTCACTGCTCATAAAATGGAAAATCAAAGAAAGTAGTAAATGGGATAGATAAAATTAATTAGCAAGCACTCATGACAATTGTATTGACTACTTAAAAGTAAAATATATTCTTCATGAATAAAAAAATAGCAGAACTGCTTGGACCAGTTGATAATAGTGTTGTCAATATCATATTTGACAAGAGTTACTTGCCTGAAAAATATGTTTTGATTCCAAATATCGAAAAAATTCGTAAAGCATATGAAGATATTTATCAAAAAATACTAAAGAAACAACCACTAACTAAGAGATCTCCAAGTAATTAATAAATTAAATTATTCAAATAATTAAAAATAAATAAAATTAATAATATTATCTAACAAAAAAGGTGAAGAAGACATGAATTATGCCAAACACGAAGATATCACTTACAAAAAATTGAAAATTGATGAAGATGACAAAATGAACTCCGACGAAAGTAGTCCTTAACCACCTCAAATTACCTAAGCTTAAAAATTATAGTTTTAAATGAATTCTAAACCACCTGATGTTGTTCCAAAGCTTTAAGCCTATATTGCTCCTCAGACAAAATTATAACAAGCCTCTCCATAAGTTAAAGAAGAAAAGTCAGCTAAATAACCAAAATAAGTAAATGTAGCAACTCCTGCTTTATAAGAACAATCTGCAATCCCATAAGTGAAAGTTTAATCAAGTCCTGGAAAAAACAATATAATTTTACAATAACAATAGTAAAATCAGTAATAAGTTTTATTATAATAGCAATTTGATTAGAATAATTTATAGCAACAGCAATAGTAAGCTTAATAAAAAATATTAATTGCAGGAAATAGCTTAGCAGCGAATCAATAGCAAGTTCCCTAATAAATTTTACCTATGCATTAATAGTTAGTTGGAAATTAAATAAATGGGCTGATGTAGTAACAGTAACTATAATAACCAATTCAGTAAAACTAGTAATTAAGCTAAGTTTAGCAATAGTAATAGTAATAATAACAACAACAAATAATTCAATAAAATATGATGATCTAATAGCATTAATAGCAATAGCCATAGCAACAGCATTAAAATCTATCTCAATAACTTTTGTTAGTGTAAGATCCTTAGGCTTTTAATCTAATCTAATTGTAAATGTTATAGCAATAAGCTCAACCTTAATAAAACCAATAATTAATAGGGTAAATAGGAAATTAAGCATATACAATTCCTTCAACTGCAGATATTAACCAAATATAACTAAATTAATTACTGCAGTAATAACAAAATTAAAATTTGCAAATGCTTAATAATTAAATAAATTAAAATGCATAAAACTTGATTCAACTACAAAACCAACCAGGCAGTTAAATACAAGTAATCAATGGATAAATAATACCAAAATAAATGGAAGTATAAATGGGTTAGTTTGCACTTCAAAACTAATAAGGAATCGGGTAAATAAATGCAAATTAAAATATTTTTGTAGGATAATAAATGAACTAAAAATAACAATAGAACTTAATTCAATAGTAGCATCAACAATAATAAGCTAGACTAATCTAGCAATAATAGCAATAGCCCTTCATGACTCAGTAGCTAGTATATAATAGTTAAGGTATTTTAGACCCTAATTATTAGCTTTAATTAGCCAACTAACAAATTTAATCAGCTAATTAATAAATTCAGTAAATATAAGGCATCAAAACCATAAATCAAAATGATAATGCACTCTTGTTGCAGCAGCTTGGCATGTAGCAACAGCCTCAAACACAATAACAAGCTAATGGTATAAATCAGATATTTTAGTAACAGGCTTAGCCAAATCGTTAAATTCAACAACCTCAATTTAACCCAGCATAGTAACAGTAATAATAGCAGTACTAAATGTTTAATAACATGATATTAAATCCTAATGACCCTTCATCTTTCAAATAAATTAATGGAAATATTTAAGATTTTATAAATAACACTCAACTTTAGCAGATTATGGGTGGTAAAAATACTAAAATAGAATGAAATTATATTTTTATTGATTGAATTAAATTAATAAACAACTAAAAAAAAAATATTTTGAAATTAATTGCTTATAACCGTTTTATTAATATTTTAAATCTTCTTATGTCAACTTCATCTCCTCAAATAATATGTCATTACATACTTTCAATTATAAATTAATTATTTTTGTTTTTCATATAATTTAATCAGTTTTTATTATTGACTAATCACTTTTTAAATTTTTCTTTTCAGCAAATATAAAACGCGAAATTTAAATAAATCATTTAATGATAAAAATAAAATCAGAATTTACTTTATTTGTCCTGCCATATTTTGGGAATGATCTAGGCAAGTTTTATTATATTTAATTATTATTTTTCGATTAAATAAGAGTAAAGTAGATTTAATCAATCTTTTTATCAAAGAAATTAGTGAAATAAAGAATTTAAAAATCCTTGTAAATGCTTCTTCTTTTATCCTGTTAGCATTTATTTTATATAAATTTCAATTTATAATTTAAAACATTTATCAGACAGTTTATGTTTTAATTAAATTATAGCTTATTAAATGTATACATAATTCATTTATTTATTACCTAAAAAATTTAAATATATTTTAGAATTATCATTTTTCTAGCTTTTACTTAATTTTTAAAGCAAGTTAGGAATTAATTTATTTACTAATTAAACGATTATTTATTTTTTTAATAGAAAATATACATCTTAATCTAAATAAATAAATAAGCTCTATTTCTAAAGTAAATGCTACCTTCTATAAAAAAACCTAAAAAATAAATTAGAAAAGATAAATTCATTGACAATTTATTTAAAAGTTTTGAAGAGAAGGCACCTAAAACAAAAGAAGATTTTAATTATGAAATATTATAAAATTTAGAGCCTGTGCATATTGAAGTAATTTTTGGGTTTTATAATTTAAATTAAAAAAGTAATTAGTTTGTGCAATTTATTTTAATAGGGAATATATTTTGAAAAGAAGAATTCAAGCTAACCTTATTATAGTAGGTAGATAGGGATTAATAATCCTTATTATTCTTCTTCTTCTAAAAATCATATGCGTAATAGCTCTATGCAAGAATTATACAATACAAAAGAATTAGATGCTAATATATTGCAAAATGCATTCACTCCAAGAGGCAATAATCTCAACTTTCTTGAAAATTATAAAAACGCATTTAACAAAATAGTCTCACCAAGAAGTTCAAGGAGCCCAAGGAGTCCACGTAGTCCCAGGGAACTTGAAAACTCTGGGAATCTTTCGTAGAGAGGATTTATGAAATCAAAATCATAACAAGCTATTCAAGTAGATTAAATTGAAGAGTAGATAGATAGATTAATTTATTTGTTTATTATTTGTTACATTTAATTTAAAGCATTAATGAATTAATTAATAGTTTTTAAATCAGTTACTAAGAAAGACTTTTTTTGATTGTTTATAAAACTGATTCTTACCAATTATTTAAAAAATAATATATTTTAATTTAAATAGGACCAATTACTTTGAGGAAGTGTTTCAAAAAAAGTAGTAATAGATTGAAGAAAATGAAAATTTGGCAAATGAGAATTTACCTCCTCATATTTTAAAAGAATACACTAAAAGATGGGGTGAAGTAGATATTTCTATGAAAAAAACAGATAGACTTCTTCAACAAGAAGTCTCTCAGACAATGAATACGATAAACTCAAACTTAAAGCAAATAGTTGTTGAGTAAAAATTTATTAAAATTGGATAATTGCTTGTAACTTAACAATTTTTTAACAAAAATAGATAAGACAAAAAAAGAATCATTCGAAACTTAACATCTTTGGATTCAATATTTTAAGTTGCCAAAAACGAAGTTTTAGAACTTAAGGTGATTGACCTTACAAATGAGAAAGAAAAAAAGTAGATTAGGCCAAGATAATCAATGCAGGATTCAATTAATAATCTTCCAGCCATACCTAAAGTATTTACCATAAAAACTGAGCCAAGTTAATATGATTTTTAAAATAAAAATTCTCATAAATTCAAAAAAATCACAAATATCAATCCTAAATTTTCCTTAATGTACTCAAGATTTATAAAAAAATTGCATTATCCTCATCTTAAGTCAGATACACATTTAGAAAAAAAGAAGTTCTTAACCAAATTTAGATAGTAGCAATTAGAATATAAACCCAAAACTAATCTAATTCTTTATTAAGGCTTACAAGACATTCTTTAAGAGAATACATTTTAATAGTAAAATTAAGAAAATTCGTACACTACTTAAAACATAAGCAAAGTAAATTACTTTAATTTATCATTAGTCAAAAATTGTTTAAAAAATTCAATAGGATAACAGCTAATACTTACCTATCTTGCAAATAAACAAAAGCATAAAGAATAAAGTTACAAACAAAAGTGTTGAATAAACGTTGAATGGATCAAGTGTGTTTGATAAATCTAAGCTTAGTACCACAATTGACACTTACTATGGTAAATAAATGGATAGGACTTTATCTCTTCATAAAACATATGATAGTTCTGCTAAAAAGACAACTTAGATTTAACCTAATAAATTGTTAAACAAATCTCAGTCTTCAAAAAACATATATCACAAAAAGCAAAAGAATTTACCTAAATTTTTGGTTCCATTTAAAGACCTTGTGCTCAATACATGGAAAGGTAAAATAGGTCCTACATAAGAAGAGAATGTGCTATTTTCTAATTGCTTGGGAATGCTTTCACTCCACAAAGAAATGAAAGAAGATATACATGATATAAAAGAATACTAATTCGATTTGAAATCTTAATACACAGCAGTGCCTTCTAAGTCTACAAGATGTATTTTAATTTCTTTTAAACTTTTAGTTTGAAAATTTTTTTAATTTTTGATAATTAAAAATAAAAGTGCAAAAGAATGCAGAAAAGAAATTCAAAAAAGTAATTAAACAGAATGTAGATACAAAATAAATGTTAATTAACATGAATATTCAGCAACTTGATTAAATAGTTGAGTTAGATGATCCTATTGATTACTTAATATCTGACAATTATTGAATGTGTATCTTCTTTTTTAAAGAATTTTAATCATTAAAATAATCATTAAATATATAATTTGTTATGTATTTTTAAATTAATTTTAATTATTGAAAAATCTATGTATTAATTTTTTTTAATAATTAGCAAGATAAAAAATAACTTATTTTTGAAAAAATAAACTGGTTTAAAGTTTTTAATTTAATTATAAAATTTTTAATTATCGTTTTTTACTAATAAAGTTTTTATATTATGCACATTTTATCAAATAATAGTGTAAAGGTAATTAAATGTCTTATATCAAATAAATCTTTTATATTTTGATATTAAATAATAAAATTAAAAATAAATTTTAATAAAATAAATGATTTTTGATATTAAAATACAAAGAAATAGCATAATTATACTAAATATCTAACTAAATAAATATCAAATTAGGAAATAATTTTAAACTGTTATTATTTAATTAAGTTTATAATTTTAAAAAGATGTTGCCAACTTGATTACAATTAGAAGCATTTTGTTATTTGTTATATTCATTCATTAAATAAAAATCTTACTTTATTTGTATGATTGATTAGATTATTTTTGATGATTTTAATTATTTTAGTTAATTATTTTATTCTTAAAAATTTTAATTAATTAAAAATTGGTGGGTTTTTTTATAAGAAAAATGATAGACACAAATTTATTTTTATTTATTAAAGTAATAGAGTTGACTAGACTTTAAATTTTTTTTAAATATCTTTAAATTCAATCAAATTTAAGTAATTAATTATATTTTTATTGGAATTTATTTAACTATTGGTAATTATGTTTTGAAAAATGAGCTTATGTTTTAATCATTATACATCTATCTATCTATCAATCTATCTTTTTATTTATTTAATTAGAAATATATTAAGGGAAGATACAACTTAATTTTAAAGAGCTGATAGAAAGCAAAAATCAAAAGGATATTTATATATTCTGAAAAGAATTAATTAAAGAAAAACAGAAAAAGTAAATAAACACAAGGTATGGCAAACCGTAGCAAATTTATGCAATGGATTGACTACCGTGTCCGTGTTACTATTTAAGACGGGCGTATGTTAGTTGGTACCTTCCTTGCATTTGATAAACACTTAAATCTTGTTTTAAGTGAAACTGAAGAATTCAGACCCATCAAGCCTAAGACTAAGGGTAATTAATTAAAATTCAATTTATTTCATGTTTTTTTTCAGGTTAAATGTTCTTTAAAACAAATCATCAATTACCAAGAAATGCATAGCTCAATTAGGAAACAAAAGAAATGATATTAGTGTTCTAGTTATTGGGTTTAAATTTAAAATAAATAAAGCAATAGATGTTAAAATAATAATTATTATTAGTATCTTTCACTAAATTAGTGTTAGACAGTGATAATTTAATAATTGTCTTCATAATATGAAAAATAAATCTCAACAAATGAGTTTTTTGATAAATTTTAAAAAGCTTATAAATAGTTTGAAAAAAAAAAACTTAAACTTTCTCTAAATGTTTTAAATAACCTGCATTTTTGAAAATTATTATTAAATAAGCTCTGTGAAAGAGTATTTGTGAATGATAATAATATAATTTATCAATTAATTATTAGGTGAACCTGAGAGACAAACTAAGCGTATTCTTGGATTGGTTATCATCAGAGGTGAAAATATAGTATCTATAAATGCAGAAGCTCCTCCTTCTCAGCAGGTAAATAATTTTTATGTTATTTAAGAACGAAAATTTGAATTCTATTATGCATAATTGAATAAAGATAAACTATAAAATTTATTTTTTATAACCTAAAATTAGGCAAAAAAGATAGATACAAGTGCCACTGGGCCAGGTACTGCCCAGCCTATTAATAGAGTTGGCACAGTTCCCCCAATGATGGATAGACCTCCTTAGATGCCTCCAGGTCAACCCCCAATGGGCATGATGCCTCCTCCTATGCCCGGAATGCCTCCTATGCATCCTGGTATGCTACCTCCTAATCTTAGACCTCCTGGTACTCTTCCTCCAAGCTATTGAAATATATAAAAAGATAATAAAGGAATGTAACAGCTGTAATAAGTAGTAAAATAGATAAAAACAAACTCACTTAAGATAAATATAATACAAAAATCAATAAAAATCTAATTAAATTCATTTAGAGGTATTTTGCAACACAAAATAGGAGTTTTTTTATATAAAATTAAAGGATGAAAGGTATAGCAAAATTAGCTAAAAATATAATGCTTTCTTAAATATAATATAAATATCTTTTAACTGTATATTAAATGCATCTTTTATATTTGAGCTTTTTCTTAGCACTTCTTCCTTTTCCTTACCTTCCTTCAATCATTTCAAAAATATTTTTTTCAAATAAAAATGATAAAAAATACTTTTATATTTATCAGTATTTATTCATAAAAAAAAATATTAATAAAAGTATAAATAAAGCTATAGCTTTATCTGTTATTATTTATTATAGAATTAATTTTCTAAAATAAAATATAATTATTATAAAATCTTTATATTTAGATGATCATAAATTATATAAAAATAGAAAAACTTTTAAATCCAACAATTTAAATAATTGTTTGTGTTTAAAAAAGATAAAATCCTATAAAAAAACAAAAACAAACTGTAAAGATAACGTAGTTGTCTTTAGTTTGATTCTATTTAAAGTAATTAAAGTAGAACTTTTTAATAACAACTCAACTTATTTAATTAGAAGCAAAGAATATTTTTTTATTCTTAGTAAAATGAATTTAAGTGAAATTAAGAATTAATTTAAAGATGTAAAATCTCCTCGATTTAGAGAATCTAATGCTTTTAGTTAATAAGTAAAGGGTACTAAAAAAAAATCTATCCCAAATAGCTTACCTAGAAGTCCAGAATTATTTGGTAGCACTAATAACTCTTTTTACTAAAATGGTTTGCCTTTGTCGCCTAAAATTTAATTAAGTTAGAACGAAAAGGTTATTAATATACTCGATTAAAGTGGCATTCTATTATCTAAACCAGCTTGGATGCTATCAGGAACAGTAACTAATAAAAGGACTAAAAACTATAAAAATAATATCAATCTAAATATTGTAAGTAAATTCAACTTAGATGATAAGAAAAAGATTCCAAAATTAACTCCAGTCTTGATAACTCATTAAACTTAAACAGAGCCAGATGAAAAAGCGAAAAATGAAAGTGTACATAAATACTCTGAAGGTAAAGAGCTGCCTGATTATAAATAATATGGTGGGCCGTTTAATATCGCTCATATCCCAGAAGAAGGGGTTTAAGTTGAATTAGATCAATCGGAAATTGAAATAATTGATAAAATTGCTAATTTTGAAACATAGGACGATGATCCTCTCAAGGTTAAAATGTCTTGTTTCACAGAAATTAAATAAAATTTAGTAAAAAATGAAGCAGATTATTATGATTAATTCAAAAATTTAAATCACATAATTGAAGCAGAGAAGTTTTTTTAAGGAAATAAAGTTTCAAGCTATTCGGAAATGCTTCAAAAAATTCAAAACAATAAATTATTTCCTAAAACGTTAGGTTTAGTAAAAAGTAATATTTAAAGTTAGTACTAATCAAATGCTTCTTCTAGGAGAAATAGCGAAATTTTAAATAAATATGATTAAAATCAAAAGCTTCAAACCTAGGGAGCAATTGAATCTTCTCGGTCAATAGCATTATCTATAAATACTCCAAAAAATAAAAATAATTTAAGTAGAATGACATCTATTTCTTTCAGCTAAAAGCCAAGCAGCAAAAATATTTAACAACCTCTAGAAAGAACAAATTCATAATACTTTAATTTGATTTCATCAGCAATTAACAAAATCTAAGCATAGTAAATAGGGTCTTTAGGTAATTTGAAAAGAAGTGAAAGCTATATGAACTTTTAGAGTCGATAAGATTCTCCTATTAACTCTCCTATGAATATTGATAAAATTATAAAAACTTCTAAATTTCGCAAAGGAAGTTTTTCTATTGCCAAAAATAATTTTACTGCTGAGATTTAAAATATGAATTTAGGTTCAAATAAATTTATTGAAAATGAAAAGCAGCAAGAAGAAATCGATGCCTCTTTAGATAAAAAATAAGAAACTCAGTCAAAAAAAAAGATTCCTTTTTTCATGAAATTAAAAAGTTAAAATAAAAATAAATAAGGGAATTTTTCATAAGATTTTAGTAAAGAATTTTATTAAAAATAGCAAATACTCACTGAAGCTAGTGAAAGATTTATTCCCATTAATAGATAAAATACCCAGCAATCTATATCTTCTCGCTCAGAGATTATTATGAATAATTATAAAAAAAATAATAGTAATTCACGTTATCCTATGAATTCAGAGTATATGGAAGAAGAATAACTAAATTTAAACTACTTTTCTATTAATGATAAATAAGTGGATGTAGTGAGCACAGTAGTAAGTGAAGGAAAAAAGTATAAAGTTATTAAGCTAAGCAAAAATAGGATAACTAATGAAGGGCTATCTAATTTTTTACAAAATTTACCTTCAAATATTAAGAAAATTGATATAAGTTATAACTCCTTTAGTCATGTTGGAATAATACCTTTAATAAACAGAATTAGTAAGTCAGAATTTACATAATTATAAGAAATCAATATAGAAGGCAATAACTTAGGAGATAAATCAATATCTAAGCTTCTAACATCACTTTATGATTATACCAAACTGTTAAAATTAAATATATCAAAAAATTCTTTAACAATTGATTCCATCCCATATCTAGTAAATTTAATTACTTAAAGCTCCTGTATTTAAGAGCTCTATCTAAAATGGAATAAGTTTAAATCAGAATCTGGTTAAAAAATAGCTGAAGCTCTTATGGAAAATGACACTATAAAAGTACTTGATTTATCATATAATTCTTTGGGAATTTCAAATAACTAGAAATGCTAATTTTCAAAAACATTTGCAAAGCTAATTGAAAAAGACTCTGACTGTAGCATTATTCATATCGATATATCTTATAATTAAATTAATTTTTAAGAATCTTCTATCATCTCTGAAGCACTCAAAAAAAATTTTACAATACTTGGGTTCCACTTTAACGGAAATTGTGGTTTTATAGATAAATCTGGATTTCTAATTCCTACAAAAGACGTTTCAAATTTATTAAGCCCACTTGAATCAAAAATATAAGGGGTTAGAGTAAAATTAATTAACATTCCTTTGTAAATTTTAAAATATAATAAAAACATTAAATAAAAAATAGAGGCTTGAGTAATCAAGTCTTATGATTGAAGCTACTTAAGATAATTGCTGGATATGCTAAGGATGGGAAGAAAAAAAGTTTATTTGGAGACCTATGATTTCAGGGTAAGTATAGGTAGAACCAATATTTGTCCACATTAGTACAGAACAATATACTCCTAAAAAATTGGAAAAAGAGATAAATGGTAACTTAGTTTATTATGTCTATAGAGGAATGTTCCCTCCTAATACAAAGATTAACTATTTTTTTACTTCAAATGGTCATTGTTTGTTTGCCAAAGAACAAACAAACGAGGAAATAAACTTAACAAACATTTAAATCAGCTACAGTGATGAAACCACTTTAATCCCATAAATACAGATAGTAAATACTTTTACTACCAACAAAAATAACTAAATAATTGATGAATCAAACTATCAAATTAAAATAAAATCAAAACCGAGAGTATAAATTTTCAAATATCCAAAACCAGAGCTCAAAGAGCTTTAAATTATTTGGAACTTAAGCTAATCATTATTTTATGAGTATTAAAATGAAAACGATGAATAATTGATTGAATAATGCTTTGAATTTGATATTAGATATAGCTAGATAGAACACTATATTATGAATGATTTCTTGAGCTTTAAAAGGACTATCAGGAAATATTATAAGTAAATTAAAGATGTCTTCAAATACTATTCTTCTTACAAACCATTTCTTGGTGAGAAATGGACAATCCCAATAGAAGTGTTTATCTAGTTGCTTAGTTCTGGACCAATAGAGATCATTGATGAAAAATACCTTAAAAAATGCTCAATAGCAGTTATATTTGACTAAACTAATTAGAACGAAAAAAAAAACAACAACATACCTCCGAAATAATTGGCGAGGTAAATAAATTCATTGTCTTTTAAAAACTAAAAATTATTTTTTATTATTAAAAAATAGGCATAACTTTTTACTTGCAATTTTAAGGTAAATAATTTTAAATTTTAGCTTTTTTTAAATTAATTATTATTAAAGAGTTGCTGAAATTAAATATTTGCAGTCTGGTTTAGCTTAAGACCATAAGACAGCCTTTGAAATGCTATTTGAAAAAGGATTTTAGCAAGTTTGTAATTAAGTTTAATGTGAACATCTTTGGAGGATAAATAATTTATGGAATTAAGAAGTAGATTTAGTCCTTTAGTATTATAAGCCGTTAATTAACTACTTATTTAATAAGGTAAATAGAAATTATTTAAATATTATTGTTGAAAAATAATAAATAACATACCATAAATTTAAATTATTAAACAAATCAAAATATTTAAAAATTCAAATTTTTATTAATATTTTTGTTAAACCCATTATTTTTTAATTAAAAATTTTTTAACTAACTACACCAAAAATTAACAGTATTTAAATCTTAGTTGACCAAATATTTTTAATTTCAATTAATATATTTTAGAAAACCAATTAAATATTCAATAAATTAAAATAAAGTGTATTTTTTATTGAAAAATATTTTTATTTTTAAAATATAAATTTAGTACTCTTATAGGACTTAAGATAGCTAACTGTAGCTTTTTATTTAGTAACAGTAAATTTATTATTAAAACGCAAACTAGAGTTAAAACACTAATAATTTACCTAAATTTATGTGTTTAAATGACTTTAAAGCTTTTGTTTATGAGAATATAAAAGAATTTAGCTTTCTTTCATTAATAGATATTCAAAAATGCTTTAATTTAAGTATATAGACATAAGTTGACTGTATTAACAAATATAAACATTTATATTTGAATTTACTAGAATTCTATGAAGCTGTAGCTAGGCTTGCAAATTTACTTATAATATACCCAGTAGGCTTTGATTTTTTGGATGAGAGTACTCTTTGCTATTTTAAAGATATGGATATTTGTTGCAAGTTAGAATCAATGCTAGTAAAAATCTTTCAAAAAAGAAAAAATGAGACGAAAACTCTTTCTGAAATAACTGTTTCATAAACTTCTCTATTTGATTAAAAGATTAGACAATTCATATAATAAAAATAAATATTTAAACCAATAACTCAAAATAATTAAGAATAAGCCTAGACTATTACTACAAATATATAATTATAAGTTTCCTCTTTAAAAAGATAATCTATTGTATTACCAACACCGATAGATTATGCTTAGTCTACATTTTAGCATAGCAACCCTTAAATATTTAACACAGATGATAAATGTTCAGAAACTTTTGACTCTGTTAAAAGCAATTTTGTAAATGGTTAATTAGTACGTAGATCAGGTTCAATGACACAAAACTTTAAATCAATTTACTTTTAACCATCTCCTTAATAAGAAAAATATAGTATTGATATGCAAGATTCAATAAGAATGTCATAAAATATTAAATAAATTATATGAATTAACTATTTGATGCTTCAACTAAACTAACGGACTAAATTTGTATTTTATATTATAAGATATATTAATTCATTATTAAATTATAATTAATTTACATTTTTAATAATTAAAAATTACATTTTATAATATTTTAGAATAAATAATTATTAATTCTTTTATTATTATTTTATGTTTTAAATGTTAAAACTATAAATTTGTCAAATTAAAAACTCAAAATCTTTACAAAATATTTATCCCTCAAAAATTAATTTAAGAAACAAAACATTTTCAATCACAAAGTTATATTTAAAATATGGAGTAGATAGCACTAATACAAAATATTTATTTCATAGTCAAATAAATATTAGAGAATATTTGTTACATTTACAAAAATAAGCATTAAATAAATTATTTATTAGAAAAACAGATTTGTTTGTTATTTTTAAAATCATTAGGAAATATTTGGTTATGATAAACCAAGTTAGAATTCACATTCAGAACTAACCAATAGGACTAAAACTTAGAATTTAATTAGAGTTTAATTTTGATAAATTTATGAAGACATATAGTTCCTATAATGAAAGACAAACCAATAAAATTAGTTTTCTTAGTTGAACAAGCTAGATTATTAAATAAAAACTATTTATCATAATATTAAATTTCATAGTATAATCCCTTTAAGTTAATATTTGTTATATATTAGTGTATGAATATTTATTATGTATGAGAATATTACAATTTGTTTAGCTAAAAAAAAATATTTAAAATGATTTTGAATTAAAATTTGGTTTTTATTTTTGTTTATTTATTTTGAAATAAAATGTAAATTAGAAAATAAAAAGAAATAATGATTGATAATTAAATTAAAAATCTAAAAGAATATGTTAGAATGTTTTAAATAATTTCTAAAGAAATTAGATTCAGCAAAAATTTCATACATTCATTTATAAATAAATAGATAGATATATCTTACTTAAAATAAAATTTGTATACATTTAATATATAAAAATAATATTTTCTAGAATGAAAAAATTAATCTTGCCATACGCATTTAGAGGAATAGCATTTGATCACTTGTAGTTATATTATCCTGGTAGGTTAGTAGATAGACCAAAGGCTATATAATACTTGGGTGAAGGCACTCATACTTAGTTTTCTAGAGTTTATTCAGACGTTTTATAAGCAATTGCAGAAGATGATAGAGAATATCTTGAATCTATCATGGAAAAAAGATTATATAAAAGAACTATCGAAGGAATAGAATAAATTTAAAAGAAAAATATGAAAATTAACTATTTAGAAGATTCTCGTGCTAACTTTGAAGAAATTTTTGATAAAGATGAAGATGGAGAAGATCTTAACATTAAAAACTAATAGGTTTCTTAGTTTGTTTAAAATTAAATTATAAATGCAACTCAATACAAAGAAATAGATATGAAAATTATGCTTGAAGCTCATGGCGTTTTTGGCGCTCGTATTAATAGAGAAGAGAATGTGGGAAAAGTAATGGAATTAAGAGGAAGATTATCTTCAAGATCCTACTTTGTCAACTTTTCTAATTTAATGAATCTCTATCACAATTAGATTTTATCATTAAATGTTTACTTCTAAACAACTAGAAGACTTTATGTAACTGATGAAGATGGTGATCTCATCCATGGTGAAGATACTTTGAATAAAGAAATAAGTCATGTATGGAGATTTGAAACATACACTCCTAATTTCGATTGGGTTTTAACTGACATGGATACATTTTTAGAAGGAAATCCTTATTATAGATAGCCACCTAACAAAGGACAAAACGAAGAATAAACTAATTCAAATTGATGCTTTTTATTTAATTTTATTATTAATTCTAAGAAATCTCTAAATCTTTTTAAGTGAATTTTGTTCTTATGTATTTATGCTGTAGTCTATGTTATTTCTTATATTTTGCCTATTAAATATATTAATAACTTTTACGCACAGTAATCCATTATAAAATATTTTAAACTGCATTCTATAATATTATTTGTATATAAAAAAATTTTATGGCTAAGTTTTATCCACTTAAAGAAAATAATTTTTTATATAATTGATTGTTAAAACTTGAAATAGGACAAATTTGACATAAGCCTTTTAAATTTTATATTTAATTTAGAATAAGTAATTAATAGGTTGGTTAGGGATATTTTCATCTCTAAATACTAAGGCTGAAAAAAAAGTACTAGTTTCTATATCATGACTAGACGCAATTCTATCATTTTAAATAGCAAATTATTTATTTTCTGATATTTTTTATTGTAATTTACTAAATAGAAATAAATATGAATAAATTTTTAAACGTTTTATAAAAAAATTTATCATAAATGTATTTTTAGTAATAATTAGATAATTAATTAAAGAACAAAGAATACTACTTCTTAAATTAAAATAAATTTAATGCAAAATTTGTTGGCAAAAGTAAATTAAAATAAATTAAAAGTGTAATTAATTTTTAGATTTGTATGCTAAAATATTTAATTAGTTTTTTAATTAAATAATTAGGTAACTAAGTACTATTTAAGGATTTTTTTTACTTTAATTAAAAGTAAACTGTGGGTGAAGACTGTATCTTATTTACATTTATTTGTACATAAATTCGATGTTTTCAAATTGTAACATAATTGTTCTTTTTTTGGTTTAATTAATATGTGGTTTATTATTAAGTCTTGATCGAGCATATTTTCCAATTATTTCATATATAAGATTATAGTGAGTTTCATTCCAAAAATTTTATTTTTAAAATAACACTAAATTATTTATTGAATGCATTAGTTTGGTAAAAAGTTATTTACTTTTTGTAAGTTATAGAGTCTGTTTTTTTAAATAAAATACCATTACTTCAAAAATAGATGTGAGACTTTGTAGTTTAATTTATAATTATTGTACAGTAAATGAAAATGTAAAATTAAGAATTTTTTTTATCTTGATCATAATTAAATTAATAGATAAATGCTATGTGTTGTTTTTTTTGATCAGAAAAAAATTAAAAATATTCTTTGTTTTATTTTAGTGTTCAAGTAATTTATTATCATACTTTTAAAACAAAATAATATTTTTTTAGATATCTAAAGTGATTAAAATCAATGAGTTATCTTATTTTTAAATTTTGATTTACTGAAAGTCGTGAATCTGTATAAAAAACATACTCTAAAATTATTAATTAATTAATTATTTTTTTTAATTCATAATAACTAAATCAATTTTTGAAAATAAAGCCTAACTCTCATAAACAATCAAATAATTAATTATGATGGATGCAAAGAATGTAAATTTGTCTGCTACAAGCGACTACAATGAACAAGATACCTTTGATGATAGTAAAAATAACTTAATTTATTAATAACTTTTTGAAAATTTTCAGTTTTTTTTTAGAAGTTAGTTAATTTACTAACTCTCTTTTCAAGAGTTAGCAATTAACAAAAATATGCTAATAACTTTTTATGAATAGATAATGCTTTACAATAAAGAATTCTTTCTTAAGATGGAAGAGACTCAAAGTAGGAGAATCCATATATTCAATCAAAAAGAATTTGGATGCTACCTATGGTTGCAACTGTTTTGTTTGGCGCTTATTTTAGTGTTAATTTTTAATCTTTTGTTAAAGAACAACTAATGAGTTCAATGAATATGTCTAACAGTGATTACTCTCTATTCGTACTAATTCCAACTCTGCCAAATATTCCTCTGCCTTTATTAATTGGTCCTCTTTTAGATTCAATCGGACCTCGTTTGGGAGTTACTTTATTTACTTTCTTACTCTCAGTAGGAATGGCGATTTGTATGATTTCTATAAGCACTGGATCCTTTTTTACTCTTCTTATTGGCAAAACTATACTATAAACTGCAGTCGAATGCTAAGGCATCGCTCATGGTAAATACTTAAAAATTTTAGCTTGAATGATTTAATAATATTTAAAATCTTCTCTCAAAAAAAATTACCACTAATTTTTATAGTGTTACTATTACAGAAGTAAAATATGTATGTAAGTCAGCTAAATAAATTTGAGGTGATATTAAAAAATCCTTTTTTTAGTACTATATTATTTATCAAATAGAAGTTATCAAATAATTTAGCTAAAATTATTAATTGCATCATTTAAAATCTTTAATTACTTTCAATTGATGGTTTATTTATTAATTTTGCGTTTTCAAGCTTTTTGTTAATTTTTCTATTTCCTCTTTGGTTTGTTGAATAATATTTTTACATTATTAGGTGGTGTTGTTGGAAAGTGGTTTACAGCCAAGGGATTAGCTTTTGCTTTTACATTAACAAGTTTATTCTGTAAAATTGCCAGCTCTACTTCTGGAATTATTTATCCTTAACTCTATAATATTAATGATAATTTGATGGCTCCTATGTCTCTTGGTATAGCTTTGTGTGCTATTACTCTTATTTAGGCTTTTGTTATTTTCTATTTCGACAAGCATTCAGAAAATTATAATCACAGTAACAGCAGTGTATAATCAGAAGGAACTATTGTATAAAAGAAGAAATTTAAATTAAGCGATTTTAAAAAGTTTGATAGAATGTTTTGGATGTATGCAATCCAATGCCCTATGATGTTTGGTGCTTTCTATGCATTCGAAAATTATCTTTAAAGTGTTTTAATTCATAAATTCTTGATTGAAAAAACATTAGCTGGTGAACTTGTGTCTATTCCTTATTGGATTGCTTTTAGTACTCCTATTTTTGGATTCTTAGCAGATAAATTTGGTTTAAGATGCATATTCTTAGGAGTTACTACCTTCCTCTCATTTATTTCTGTCTTTATTTTATGGTTATTGCCAACTGGAGAAAATGATTTTGTAGTCTATACTGCCTTGATTATTTTTGGTATATTTTTGAGTGCTATGTGTGCTTTCCTTTATCCTACTCTTCCTTTGATTTCTCAGAAAGAACTCCTTAGTACAGCATTTGCTATTTGTTATACTACTAAAAATGGAGGTAATCAATCAATTAATCGTTTATTTATTAGAAATTAGTTAAATATTTCCATAAAGTATTTTAAAAATTCATCTAATAATATTTAAAATAAATTATTAAAATATTAAAATTAATTTTATATTAATTTAAAACTCTTAGGTCTTGCACTTCTAAATTATTTGAGTGGCTTACTTTTAGGTGACGATGATTAAGGATATAATAGCTTCTTACTATGCTACGTAATTCTTTTCTTTATATCATTATGTCTATCCGGTTTGATCTACTACTATGATCGTAAGCATGGGTCTATAATAAATTCCACTACTCCTTAGCGTTATATTGATTATGTGGTAGTTAAAAGATAAAACAGATAAATGAAGAAATTAACAGAAGAATAATTTGAAAAATGAATTTTTTAATTGTAATAAATTTATTGAAACATAAAAAATTACTAGTAGTTATTATATAAAGTGTATCAAATATTTTTATTAAATAAATTCTTTCACTAAAAAAATATAAAATATTCTTTAAAAAATTAATTATCAAATAAAATTTGTTGTTTATATCTTCTTTATGTGAAATTCTTGATTTTATGTTATTAATAAATTTATTGTATCATAAAAAATTACTCATATTTATTAAAAAGCACCAAATCATAAAAAAGTAAATTACCAATAGTAATCTCTCTTTAAGAAATTGAATAAATATCATAAGTTAAATGCTAATTATCTTTTTTGTAAAAATGTTTAGTATGAGATACACCAAAAATTAATCAGTAAGATTAAAACCTTCTTAGTTTTTTATTTTAAATTAGAATAGTAAGTAAGAAGCTAAATTATTGAAGATTTAGCATCTCTAGATTTTATTTAAGGTTTCATATCTTAATTTGAGATATTATAATTGTTCTAGTAAATATACCAGGAATTTCTAGTATTTTATTAGTAAATATTTTATATAATTACTTTAATTCTTTTATTGATACAAGTTTTATTAACTAGTTTGAAATATTAATTAAACCAATTAATCCTTCAAAAAAGTAATATAAATAAGCAATTCTTTTTTCTAAAGCTATGCATTTAGTTAATAAAAAAATATGTCTATATCTATGCATTAAAAAATCATTTTTTAAATATTTTAATAATTTTTTATAAAAGATTAATTATTTTTATTTCCAAAGCTTCTTTACAAAATTTATAATTTTATTTACATTGCCATATTTAATAGCAACAAATCTTGGAACGAAATAATTAAAATGGTTTTTATTTGTTGGATAATAAATTAAAATAGAAAAATTAATATATTTTAATAACTTAGTAACTTATTCTCAAAAATGGTAAAATTTATATTTAACGAATTTAAAATCTTAAAAAATTTTAATTCTTACATTTTTAAACATTTATTCTTTAATAGTAAAAGAAAAATATCTGAGCTTAAGATCTTAAAAGATATGTAATATCTTATCTTTAATATAACATTAGATCTTATCTCATCAATCAAGTATTAATTTGAAATAATTCTAATTAAAAAAAATGAGCATATAGTTTTTATGATTTTGGAAAATGGGTGCTAATATTTCCTCGGCGTTAATTATTGAGGATCTTTTACAATATTTCAATTTACAGCATTTTAAATAGATCATGTAGCTTAGTAATTAAATTTTATTAGTATGCTAAGAGAATTGTAAATTTTTCATTTAATTTGATATAAATATGGGTTTAATAAATTATTTCGGAATATTAAATCATTCTATTAAATCAAAACTTATTTTATTAGGTATAAATTATATTTATGATTAATCAAAATAGAATTGAAGATACCTTTTTTTTCTATAACACCTATTACCAAAGAATCAAATAATTAATTATCAAAAATAATCCAAATTATGGAATACACACATTTGATTTATTTTATTCTCGTGAGTCTATCTCAATTTTGTAAAATTTATCTTTCGATTTTTTCCACAAAAATATAATTTGATAATTAAAAAAGTGATATTATCCATTTACTCTGCTGACCTTCTTGAATCAAATAAAATAAAGCTTAACTTAAATTGGTATTAAAGGATTGGTTTATTGATTCTATCATATTATTAAACCAACAAAATATTGTCTAAATCTTATTTGTAAAAAAATAATAACTTTTGCCTAATTAAAAAATGATAAAAAAATAAGAAAATGTTAATGACTCAACAGTTAGTGACCTCAGCGACCAAGACACTATAAGTAATGATAAAATATATTCGTTTTAAAACCTTAAAGCTTAAACTTATTACAATTTATGTTATATTTTAATCCAAATACCTTACAAAATTTACTTGGATTTGACAGATTTTTAATATTAATTCCTTATAGATTAGGAAATTAAATTAACAAATTAATTATTAACTCTCATTTATTTTCAATAAATATTTTTCTAAAATTATTCTAAATTTCAAAAAGTTACTCCTTTGTAAGATAGCGGACAGACTCATAAAAATGGCTTTTGTGAAAAAAAAAGAATGATCATGCTTCCTTCTACTTCAATACTTTAATTTGGCTCATATTTCAGTATTAATTTTTAATCGTTCGTAAAAGAACAATTAATGGATTCAATGCACTTGTCAAATAATGACTACAGCTTGTTTGTCCTAATACCTAATTTACCTTGCATTCCCTTACCATTAATGATAGGTCCTATTTTAGATTCAATTGGAGCTCGTTTAGGTACTCTCGTATTTTCATTTTTGCTTTCTGTCGGATTAGCCTTGTGCATGATTTCTATATTCCAAGAGTCCTTTGTCTGGCTTGTTATTGGAAAAACAATATTTGCTATAGCTAATGCAGGTCTAGGTGTTTCTCATGGTACCAAAATAAATATAAATTTATAAAATTTAAAATAATTTTTAATAATCAGAGTTTAAGAAACAATAAATAGATAGATAAATTAATTATAATTATTTTTTATTTTTATTTGGTTATTTAAAATAAAAATTTCCAAATCTCATAAAATGAAATACATTTATTTTAAACATAAAAATTATTATTTTTGCTAACCACTAGAACTCAATAAAAAAATAAATAATATTTAAAATAATTTTTGTATTCAAAAATAATATTTAATTTTATTTGATATTTTCTTGATTTCCTATAAATAATCAACAAATAATAATATCTATCTATATTCTTCACAATTTATATAAGCATTTATTTAATTTTTTTAATAATTTTAAGTTTATTAAGAATTAAAAATTAAACTTAATTTTTTAAATTAAACTATATTTATTTAAAATTAATTAGGGTGTATTGCTGGAAAATGGTTTACTTCTAAGGGCTTAGGGGTTGCATTTACCTTATCAAGCTTTTTTTGTAAAATTGCCAGTTCAAGTTCTGGAATACTCTTTCCATAGCTTTATGATATCAATAATAATTTAATGGCCCCTTTATCTCTTGGTTTAGCATTTTGCTTAATTTGTTTAGTATTATCAGTAGTTATATTTGTTGTTGATAAAAATGCCGAAAAACAATAAAATTTACAATTATAGGAAGGTTAAGTGATAGAAAAGTATAAATTTAAATTTAGTGACCTAAAAAAATTTGGAGTAGTTTTTTGGATGTTTGTGATACAATGCCCATTGATGTTTGGAGCATTTTATGCTTTTGAAAATTATCTTTAAAGTGTTTTGATACATAAATTCATGATAGAAAAGACCTTAGCAGGCGAACTTGTATCAATTCCTTATTGGATTGCATATACCACTCCTTTATTTGGTTTTGTGGCTGATAAATTTGGTTTGAGAATTATATTCTTCGTATTAACCTCTCTACTTTCTTTTGTTTCAGTTTTTATCTTATGGATTTTACCTACTGGTGAAAATGATGTAATTGTTTACATTTCCCTTGTAATTTTTGGTCTCTTTTTGAGTGCTATGTGTGCTTATCTTTACCCTTCCTTTCCTTTACTTTCAGAAAAAGAACTTTTAAGTACAGCTTTTGCACTAGGAGTTTCATCTAAAAATGCAGGTATTTTAATTAACTTAATTAACAAAACAATTAAATTCAAATAAAAAAATCAATAATAGGACTTGCTATTTTTAACTACGTAAGCAATTTGATTTTGGGAAGCAAATCTGAAGGATATAATAATTTTTTGCTTTTTTACTTGATTATCTTCTTAGTTTCATTAATTATATCTTGCTTTATATATTTTTATGATCGTAAGCATGGCTCAATATTAAATTCAGCTACTCCTTAGCGTTATGTTGAATATCTAGCTGAAAAAAGAAATAAAATCAACGAAAGTTGCTATAGTGAAGAGGAAGATAAATTGACATCTTGAAAATAAATATTAATTATATTTTTTATAAATCATTTTTATTTTCAACTTTCAATCATTTTAAAGATAAATTTGTGTACATATTTATTAATTTGTACTTACTTTTCTGTTATTAAATGTTATAGTAATTATTCAAAAGATAACAATTAATAATAAACTCCAATGAATTTTATACAAAACTTACTCAAATAAAGATATAAAATAACATAAATTATTAGATTTATATTTCAGATTTTTTTAGATGTGTTTATAACTGATTTAGATCTTCCTATGCTGTGCAATGTTGTGATTGAATTTGTTGTTTTTGTAGGCTTCTTATTAACTGAAGTTTTTCTCGATTTTGTAGTTTTTAATTTAGGTTTTAGTCTATACTGACTTTCTTCTTCTAAATCACATTTCTTCTGATTGATAGATTTAGAAAGCTCTTCTATTCTTTGTTGCTTATCTTGGACTTCTTTTTAGTACAATTATTCGATTTTTTCATATGACTTCTCTAGCTAGGAAGCATATAATTTATAGTTTTCTAACATAACTTGAGCCTCTGTAGGAGCAACAATATTACTTTAATGATTTTAACCTCCATTTTATGAGGAATGGCTGATTCCATTCTAATTTTTGAAATCATTTATTTTTTAAACCATATTTGTGTTATCAACTTTTTAACGAACTAGCTCATCTTTTATTTTAGATATTTCTTCTTTTAAATTATCACCTTGATTTATTCTATTTCTTCTTGTGGAAGGTTCTTCTAAAAAGCTATAACTATTTTCATTTAAAGCTTTACTATCTTATTAATAAGATTATCCTTAATAAGAGTGTGTATTATACTGCTAAGAATTTTAATTAGCCAAGCTTTCATAATTATTTTTAAACTGCTAATAGTGCGGCTCTTAGTTACCTTATTAGAAGCTAACATCAGAAGATTATTTATTTTTCAAGTATTATTGACTAGTTTCGTTTGTAAGAGGATGCTTTTTGTGTTAGATTTCATTTAATGTCATTCTCCCATCTTTCACATTATTTTTTATGTTTGTGTACTAACCTGTGGTCAATAAATCTTCTTCATAATTTTACTGAGGTTTTTTATCTGTAACTTTAGGAATATTATACTTATTTCTCATATCTTCTAAAATATTAGCTGTGTTATCAAAAGTTTTTATTGGTCCAGAAATATCATCATTTTATTGATAATTATTCCTTTATGTTTAACTTGAAAGCTAGTGGTTTCCTTTATAATAATTAATTAGTGAATTATTAGATCCTTATCTTCTCATGCTTGAGCTGCTCATATTTCTTTCTATATAATCAGTTTAAATTTTATGAACTTTGAAAATAATTTTATTCAAATATTTAAAATTCTAAATTTTCACTACTCAAAATTAAAAAATAAATTATTTATTTATTTAAAAAAATCTTCAAACATATTTTTTCTTTTTTTAATAAAGCTGTATAAAAATTTGATTTTAAAAATCAAGAAATAATTCTATTTTTTAGAAATTGATAAAAGAAAAATTATTTTATTTTATAAGAATCAAACACATAATTTTTTACCTCTCATTTCTTATCTTAAAGATTAATTTTCATCAATTAATTTAAAATTTTAGTTTTTCAACTCTTGAATTTCATGCTACAGACTATCTACTAATACTTTCTTTTCTTTTTCAAGATTGGAATTTTATAAGCTAAGTTCTTGGATTTGTTGTTCTAATCTAATTATTTTTCTCTCTTGCTCTTTGCTTGTTTTATCATGGGTAGAAAACTTACTACTATTATGGTTACTAGTAGATGATAAAGGTATATTCTGTTTTAGTTTGATGACCTCTAAATTTAAATCACTTTTCTATTCAATTAGTACTTGGTTTTCTTTTTCTAACAAACTTACTCTTTCACTCAGAATTTTTATCTTATTTTCGTAGAATTTGTCCATCCTATCAATTCTTTAAACCAATAATTCGTCATTATTTTAAGGTTTTTAAAATAGCTAATTTTAAGGACTCCTTATAGTTAAACCATTTGCTTCCCTTAGTTTATCTGAAATTCTAGGTAGTTTTATGTTATAGATTTAATTTTGTATTGAAAAAAAATTTTACCTTTAAGATTCTTAGTTATTGAATTTATTATCTTAATTTAGTTGCTATCTTGATTTGTATGAATTCATATCTGCTGAATCAATTTCAAGTTATTTGTTTGCTGAGTTAAAGTGATTGCTCTTTGTATATTCTAATGTACCACCTAGTATTTATTGATTGTTGCCAGATGAAATTTAACTTGGAGAGGGATCTTAATCTTCTCTTCCTAAAAGCAAGTAATTCAGCTCATCAAATTTATTTCTGTTGCTGCTTGTATTATCTTCAACTCTTTGCAAATTATTTATAAACATAGGTTAAAACTCTGACTAACTTCTATTTGATTTAGTACTGGTTATACCATTATTTTGTGGATTGAATAACAAACTATTCATTTAACTGCTCTAATTATTTTTATTTGAATTTACACCTTAAGGATTTTAATTGCTTTTATAGAGGTTTCTTGTAGAATTTGAAAATAGCTATGGTTAATTAGAATATTGATTTGAATAATTTGAGTTATTTATGTAATTTTCTTAGAATTCATCTGGCTATTATTATAAGGCTCCTTAATGAAAAAATTGACCAGTCTAAGCTTGATTTACTTTATTAGTTCTAATAAAATCATTTTAATTTATATTTTCATGAAAAGAGCTCTTCCCCCTATTAAAGTCTTAGTTATTTTTGTCTATATATGCCTATTAACTTTCTGCATTTTTTTTAGTGAATGTAGAAAATTTATTGGCTTTAGGAGATTGCTTTTTGTTATAAATTAAGTTGTTAAGCTTGTCTTCAATATGAGCTAGTAGACGATTTGTTGTTTCTATTTACCTAATGTTTGACTAGAAAATATCAGCATTTTCTTAATCAGGGTTTGCGTCAACTTCGTAATCAGCCATTACTCTACTTGCTTATTTAATGAAAATTATCTTTAAATTTCGATATAATTTTTAATGAATAAATGCTACTAATCTTATTATTGATGAAAGAAATGCAGAAGTATCTCTTATTATTTAATTAATTAAAAAACCTATAAATATTATATTCTGTTTGATTTTTTAGATTTCATAGAAAATTCAAAATAATCAATCTAATTTGAAATTTTTTGAGCAGTTATTGCATTAAAATAACAAACAACTTTTGATTTAAAATTTAAGATTCTAAAATTATGAATTTTTTTATAAACATAAAAGTGGAAAACTACACACAAAAAATAATATAATAATAAAATTTTTCAACATTTTAACATTTCCCAAATTATTAATATAATGCAATCATCATTAACTAAGGCTTCATTTAATTAATACCATTTAAAAAAATTTTAGTAAAAAAAGGTATAAAAATGCATTTAATACCTAAAACCTGAACTTTATATATAATATAATAAAATAAAGTATATTATTAAATTAAATTTGTTAAATTTATATATTATTTTTCAATCTATTGTTATTGATTTATCTATTTATTTATTCATTTGTGTATTTGCTTGTTTACTATTTGTTTAAAATGTTTATCTATTTTTGGCTTATTAATTTATTTAGTCTATTTTTAATCAAATAATTTATCTTTATAGCTCAAAATATATCCTATTTTAGTATCATTCATTAATTTATTCATTCATTCATCTACATAAGCAATATTGATTTCTTCTGGAACTATTGCAAGAATTGTTTTAAGTAAACCTTTAGGATTAGGATTTAGATTACCTCCTTTACTTTTCTTTTTTCTCAAGACTAACTAATTTATATTTGCTTAATCATCACCTAAGCTACTTTTTTAAGAGCCATTACTCGATGGAGCAGATTCATCATCTGAATCTTTACTATTACTTCCATTACTATTACTGCTACTACTAATTTTAGAGAGTAATTATTTTTTTAAGGTATCACTGTCAAGGATTTTGCCTTATTACCTTGCTTTTTCAACTATTTCATTAGCTTATTTTCTGATAATATCTTCATGCATTTTCTATTTTTATAAAAATAATGATTTTAATTAAACAAGGATAGTAATAATTAAAATAAAATTCAAGCTTAACTTTTAAAATATTAGAAATTTTTTGTTTAATTCAAGTAAGCATTTTCTTTTATAAATAAATATTGGAATCAGAAAATTAATTAATTAATTGCATATTTATCTAATTTGACTTTTTTCAGATTTGTATTAAAAATTTATTATTGCCATCAATCAATCAATTGATTTACATTGTTTTGATGATAAATAATATATTAAATATTTCTCTATGTTAGCTTGATTGCTGATAAGCAAACTTGAAAAAAATACAAAGTTATTCTTTGAGTTGAGAAGATAAAACGTGTAAATATTTATATATGAATTAATTACTTTCATTTTCTTCTTTTTAAGGTCTTCCTTTTTCTTCTACTGCAAGTATTAATTTTTAGTATCTTCTAAGAAGTATTTTACATATTCATTTTCAAGGACAGCTTCTTGGGAAAGGGCATAGTCCAGATATTCCTCCAATTATTTTCTTCTCTTTTCTATTGATTCTGGGTCTTCGTTTGTTATGCCAAATATCTTACGCGAAGGGAATTTTTTAAGGTATTACTTTAAATTTTTATCTTGAAGAGTTTCATGGAATCTTTTTAGAGTCGAATACCTGGTGCAATAAACCCATTCCTCTTTAGTAACATTATCATAAAACGAAACATAAAAGTACATTGTATCATCTATATAATTGTATCTATCTATTGTGACTTTAATCTAATGAGTTTTATCGCCTGAATCTACCAACAATAATTCTTAGTCCTTATCTTCTGCAAAATTAGAAGATAAACGAGACTTGAATAACCACTTTTCATTTTCTACTTCGCTCATAGGTATGGGTGTATTGTTTCCTTTATTATTTAATAATTTTCTAGTAGTAGGCAAGTATTCTTTTAATAAATCTAAAGAATGAAGCTTGGGAATTTTGAGAAGATCATTAAAGTATTACTACAATTCTATCTTTCTTCCTTCAATTTTTTTGAGATCATTATTTGTCTTTTAAATTAAATTTCTTCCTGGAAAAATTGGCAAATAAATATCAAGCCTATACTCCTTAATCTTTTTTTCAAGTTTATCATGTAAATCTCTTAATTCAGAGTATCTTTTTCTAAGAGAGTTAACTGCACCTGTTTGTTTATTAATAATAAGAAGATAATAAACTATTTTATCCTTTTCTTAGCGGAAAAGAGATATTCTTGTTTCATAGAGCTTAGAAAGATTATCCATTTTCTTAAACTAGCTAGTATGTCTTTATCAATTATGCTTTTTCTATATTTGCTAATAAACTATTGGAATTTACTTATTAATAACTTTGACTAGTACTCTATTTTAAAGATTAAATAATTAATTTTAAGATAATTATTCCAATAATTAATTTTATTAATCATAAAAAGAAGAAAACTAAAATCTCATTTCAAAAGAAAATTCACATCAAAAATAATGATTTTGCCTAATCAAGCTACTGACTATCAAATAAATTATAAATTAAGTATTTTAGAGAATAATTTATAGTAATTCATGAAACAAAAATAAAAATATAATTAATTATCAAAAAACTTATATTTATTTATCATACATTTATTAATGCACTAAAAAAAAAATTTTTTTTTTGATTAGTTTAATAAATTAAGAACATTTTTTTAATTAATTTGTAATCTCTATTTTAAAGATTAGAAAATAATTTTTAAGATAATTCCATCCTAAATCAATTCAATATTTTTACACAAGAAAATTCAAATAAAAAAAATGAATAAATTAAATTTCAAACATATTTAGAGTAAATTGTTTTCTTTGTTATTTAAATACTTAATTTAATCTTTATAGAATCAAAATTTGTAGCAATAATTTTGAAGAGTAAAAATCATAAATTTTATTATTTTATCAATATTTATTTTGGTTTGTTAAATTTTTATAAATTAATAACAAAAATTAAAATTAAAAGCTAATAGAACTGCATGTAATTGAAGCTAATTGAAATTTAGTTAGTATTTGAAATTTTTTATATTTTTGTTTATTTTTTTATTAATTTATTATTTTATTGTCTATTTATTTATTTATTTATTTATTTCTTTCTTTCTTTCTTTCTTTCTTTCTTAATTTATTTAATTTTATTTCAAATTTTTAACTTATTTAAATTTTATTTTTTATTTTTAAATTCTTCTTTCTTCTTTTTTCTTTTAATAATTATTATCTTTTTAATTTTTAGCTATCTTCTGGTTCTTCATCTTCGCCTCAATGTCTTGCCTGTTTATCTCTGTCTTGCCTTGTTTTCTGTCTTGCATTTCATGTATAGTATTAATCTCCAGTTTTTTCTTCTGTGTCTTCTTTAAACTTCTGAGTCTGTCAATGGAAATATTGCTAATATTTGGGAATAAACAGAGCTCTCTATAGCGAGAGTAGACTATGCTGACTTTCTTAAAAGGATAAGCTAGTTTTTTGTTTTTGAAAAAGACTCCGCAGAATTAATTTTAGTGAAATTAATTATGCGTAGGGTTTTAGTTTTGAATATTTAGCATTTTTGTATCAATTTTTAGGTGAGGAAATCGATTTAAAAACTTAGGAAAAATATATTTTTTTGCGAGTTGTAGTTTATTTTGAGTAAATTCCGACCTAATCTTTAAAAACTTGTGGATTTGATTTTAAAAAACTTAATGTGATGTTAAAAACTTTCAAATTGGTATGAAAAATGCTAAATTTAAGGGAATAAAAATGCTTTCCTTAAAGTACTTATCAAACATATCTAATTTTTTATTTTTCTTTTAGTACTTTGTTTTTTTTTTCTTTTAATTATCTTTAACAAATAATTAATTATATATTTTTAATTCAAAGAAGAAAAAATAAATCATTAAAGTGATTAACATTTGAAGGATTATTTAATTAATTATAAGACAAATTATTTATTTAATTTAATATATCTATATCTTAATGAATCTATCTATTAGTGAACGGATGGCAAGTAATATAAAATTTAAATAAAAGAAAAAAATAGTTAATTCTAATTAATAATAACAAGAGACATTTGATTTTAGTTACTTTGATTTAGAAATAATCAAAATTAAAAAATAACCTGCTAATTAGTTTAATAAGTTTAGGTGAAGATGAAAAAGAAATAGGATAGTCACAAAAATAGCAGTAGAGTTTTTAAATTTGCTGATATTTAATTTAATGATTATTTATTTTAGCTAGCTTAAGCGAGTAAGATGAAAAAAAAAATGCAGTTGATTTATATAAGAAAGTGATTCAAACTGATATTTACAATGAATAAGAGAGAAATGCTATTTTGTAAATTGTAAATAATTATATTGACGAATTTAACAACTAATAAGAACCTTCAGATGACGAAGATGGTTTCAAAACTGTTGGGTAATAGAAAAAAAGAAATAAATTTGAAGACTATCACTCCTTTAAGTGGAAGGTTTATAATGATATTTAAATTTCCTATAAAGATACAACTTCTTACATTAAAAAATAATTACCTTATTTTAAGATGGAGCTCTCAAACAAGGAGCTCAATATCATTTTGAACTTTTTATCTACAGTGATAAATATGGTAGAACCAATTATTTATGATGATATAAAACCTGTTGGTGAGTTGGTTAGAGAAAATAAGTATGTTATTCATATTTAGTATTTCCCTAGAATAACCCTACATCAAAGTTATGAATATACTTTAAGAGAAAGATTGCTTGAAGATAATAAATATAAGCATTTTTAAAGAGCTTAGTAAATTAGGCAAGGATTAATAAAGAATAATTTTTAAAATTTAGACAGTATTGATGGTTTTTTTGAGGATTTTCACGTAGAATTTAAAAACATCGCCTTTTTAGGAGAGGGTGATGAAATCAAAAATAAAAATAATTAAGAAAGTTAGTGTGCTTAAAAGTTTAAAGAAGATGAATAAAATTTGCAAGGAAATACCTTCGAAAGTAAAGTTGAACCAAATAAATAAATAAAATCTTTAAATAAATCTCCTTAATTTAATTCTTAAAGCAACACAAACAACGGTGTTAAGTAAAAATTTAGCTTAGAAGACTGCTAAAAAAAGCTCATTTAAACGATTGCTGCTATGATGAATACTCAAGGTGGATCAATATTTATACCTATTAAAGAAAACTAAAATCTAGAGTAAGAATAGCTGTATTCTTTGGGATCAATACAAATTACAGAAGAGTAACTAAAAAATAAAATTAATAGCTTTTTTGACGAAATAATTTTTTATCACATGAATGGAGAATAAATCGAAGAGCAAGAAAAGACTGAAGATATTATAAATCAGTTAATACCAAACATAAGCTCAATTAAGGATGAAGAAGGAATAGTAAAAGTTTTTGAGATAATTGTATATCAAGTCTATCCTTAGTATATTTGCAATTTGGCACACAACAGAGCTTAATCAGAAAATAATTTAAAATTAATTAATTAAAAAGAATTGAATTTTGAATTCCCTATAAGAAGGAGCGCTGCTAATTGCACAGTAGTCTTTTCTAAAGATTAATTGAAGCAATCATTGGAAAAGGCAACTCTCTTTACTAAGATTCAAAAGAACTTAAGCGAAGAAGATTAAAATAAGCTATTCAACTACAAAAAAAACCATATTAAATCTTGATTAATTATTTTCCACCTAATTTAATTTTAAATAATAAATAAATTTTGAATGACTTTCATTCATTCACTTCTAAATATTTTAATAATTGAAATTTTACATTATTTTATTTTTAAGCTTACTAGATTAGCAAGCAATTAGTTAATTTATTTTTAGTTTATAAATTTGTTCATTTCTAATTAAGTAATTAATTAATTGATTTATTAATTTATTTTATTTAGTATTTTAGATATTAAAAATATCTTTATATTTTAATTCTAAATTAAATTTGAATTACCATCATTCATTTAAAGAAATTAATTTCTATTTTAAATTTTATTTTTATTAACAAACAAAAGCAATTCTCTGATAATTGTTTCTTGAGTAAGAAATATACATTTAGTAGAATAATATAAATTATTTAATAAATAAAAAAATTAAAAGAAATTAAAAAAGTTTTTGAAGCAGGTTTCGAACCTGATAGAAGAAAAAAATAACTAAAAAATGTTTAATTAAAGATTTAATTTTTTATGAAGTAATTTAAATTTTTTTATCAAACATTTAATCTCGAAATAATTTTTTTTTACATATAAAACGAATGAAAAAATTTTTAAATCTAAAAATTAAATATTTGATTAAAAATTTAGATTTTCATAAGTTTAAAAATAACATTTTTATAAACCTAAAAATAAAATTTTTAAGATAAATCAAGATAGTTAATAAATACACCTAATTTTGATTAATATATTTAAATCACTTATTATCTTCGAAATATTCTTATTTCACCCACAGTAGCAATTCTTTCTTGATTGGGATTTTTATTAATTTAATATTCTAGGAATTATTTTGCCTCTTAATCTCTTTTGAGTTAAATTAAAGATACTTTTAGGTAAGTAATATAAGGATTTTGATCATACATATCAGAATTAAACACAAGATCTGCTAATTTCAAAGCCTCTTCATATTATTGTGCTTCAAAATAGCTACTGAATAAGAAAAAATGAGTATTAATTTCTCTTGGGTTGTATATTAAAGCTTCTGAAAATGCTTTTATTGCTTATTAATGTCTACCAATCTTCAAATTGCTTACTCCAATAAGTAAGTATACTGTGAAGTAAATACCTTAGTTAAAAGCATATAGTTTCTTTTACTGAAAATCAATCCATTATTATGGAAATTAAATAGTATTAAAATTATACTTTTGATAGTAATAGCCTGAAAATACAGATAATCCAACCAGTCCTACACCATATAATATTTTAGTTATTTTCATTTTTTGAACCACTTAAATTCTTAAATCAATTATTTAGATATTCTTCTTAATAACTTAGTCATTTAATTATTATATTATTAAAAATACTTTAAAATAAAAATTTTTATTCTCATTCCACCGAGGAATTTTTTTACCATATAAATCTTGAAAGATAAATTATCATTATTGATGAGATTTGAGATCATATTATTTTTTTTGATATTAGAGATCATATTATTTTTTTTGATATTAGAGAAGATACTATTTTTTTGAGATTCTAGAAGATGCTATTTTATAGATATTCGAGAAGATACTATTTTATAAATATTCTAGATGATACTATTTTATAGATATTTGAGAAATAATTATTTTATAGAGATCTTCATTTTTGATGGTCTAATATCGAAGATCTAATAATATACATTTTACATCAAATAAAACCTAAGTAAAGTATATACTTTAAAAAATAAATATGGTAAATTTGTCACTGAAAATAAATACTTTAAATTTAATTATATATAGAATAGGATTTAAAAAAAAAATTAATTAATTTTTAGAACTGTTTATTTGAAGTATTACGTAATTGCATAATACTTAATAAACATTCATTTAAAATATTTATATCAAGAGGTTAATAACAAGTAAAATATTTATAATTACAATAAAGCAATAAAAAATTAATTTATATATATATAAAAGGTATAAGTACTTTAAGAAATAAACAAAATTGAAAGATTAAAATAGAATTTATTTGCTTATTAAAGTAATTAAAAAAAAAAAATTATATCAGTTAATTTGTTAAATCTGAATTTATATACAACGAACAGCTTATTTATTATTAATTGAGTCAAAGGTCAGTAATGAACTTAAATCAATATATAAATAATATCCATTGAATTAATCTATTAAATATACAGATATGATATGTAAAAAATTAAATTTTAATTTATTTTAATTAGATAAAATCAAATTTCAATTTTATTAAAGTAAAAAGTAATAAAAATTAAATAAAGAAGTTTATAAATTAATTTAAGAAATTACTATTTATATTTTTTAATAACTGAAGTTTCACATATTTCTCACAAATTTTTGTTAATTAAAATTTTAAAGTATTTAAAACACCCAAGATATAAGAGAAGGTTGTTTTTGAATGTGAATGCTAATTAATGAAAAAAATAGAGTGAAATGCCTATTTAATTTACAAAAGGAAAGGCGAAATGTTTTTTATCTTAATAACATAATAAATAAAGCTAAATAAGCTTAAAACAGCTTTATTTTTGAGTTTTTAAAAAGCTTTAAATTCTCAAAATACAAATTTTGAAATAATATGTACCGTAAATTCTTACACATGTTATTTTTTGAAAAAAATAAATTTCGAACACTTTTTCAAAAATTATGAATTAAAATAAATACTCTAAAAATTAAAAATTAATATAAAATAAAACTATTTAAACCACACTATTATTCAAATTAGATATAAGATTTTTATAATTCTATTATATTTAAAAATTAAACCTAATTACATTTATTATAAAACAAGAATTTATTGAATATTTTTTTTAAGTAAAAATATTAAAATAAGATTTTATAAATTATTTTATACTCTTCTTATATTTTTATAAATAAATACTAAATAAACAAAAAATAATTATTGTCACTTATTTTTTTAATCTTTAGAGGGAGTATATGTAGTAAACCAAGGAACCATTCTTGAGACATGCTTTTAGTATTCAGCATATTCAGGTCTAGATGATTTTAAGTGACGTTCCATAGCAGGTAAAGTGTAAAAATTCATAATAGCTAAGATAAGAATGGCTCCAAAAGAGGTCCAATAATATTCCTCTCCATAAACAAGACATGGTAAGAACATACCTATCCATACAAACATATCGCCAAAATAATTAGGGTGTCTTGAATATTTCCATAATCCTGCGAGTATAATTTCTTTAGATTTTTTAATTCTCCATGGAAGAATTTATTCATCAGCTATTGTTTCGAAGATGAGACCTAACCAGCTCAAAACTATACCTCCATAGATTTAAAGCTAATTTTGTGTTGTTTAATAAAAGCTATCAGGTATTCTAAGTGCATAATAAGTGGGAATTATAGCTATTTAATTTATAACTTTTATTTAAGATAAATAAAATCAACTAATATTACCAAAATATATCATTAAAGTAGGCATTATATGGAGACCAAAAAATGAGAAAAGCCAATAAACAAATTTGCTTTAAATTTTTTTGCTGAATTCAACATATCTAAAATCTTCGTATTTTAATCCTGGCCAGAATCTATTTTAAAGATTAGAGTATATTTTTAATTGTTAGTAGATGAAGAAGTTAATTACCTAAAATAGAAAACAGTGTGTTTAATCGAATAGGCAATTATAGGACTCATTATCAATAAACTGTTGATAGAGTTTCTATTAGGGGATACCTCATTTAAGTATAAGACTAATCCTATAGTAGGCACCATCCAGTAAGGGTCATAGATTGAGGAATTATCGAATATGTAAGAAAAGATAAAAACTATTACAGTTGCTATCAAATCTACTACAAGCAATCTAATCAGATCGTTTTAGATGGATTTGCTATAATATTCAAAAAGATAGTACCCTGCTATATATATGACTATATATGGTATCCACATGATCAGAAATGATACCCAATATGATCTATATTTTGTTTCTACTTCAGCCATTTTTCTTACTTTTAATTAAAACTTTCAAAAAATTGTTTGATATTTTAAAAAATTATTAATTAATCATAAATTTATGATCAATTTTAAGTATCCAAAAATTTATTACATTCAAGTTTTAAAATTCAATTGTTCAACAAAAGTGTGACAATTTGTAAAACAGAATTTTCTTTTGACAAGGTTAAAATATTCAAATCATCTCCAACCAATAATTATTTTCAAAAAAATATCCACTTTAATTTCACTAATAACAATAAATTTTTTTTATATAAAAATAATTTATTCTTGTTTAAAAAAAGAAAGAGTTATTAAAATATAATTTTTTGTACAACTAAAGTTTATAATAATTATTTAAAGATGCTTTAACTAACAAAAATTAATAAATTTGTTATTTAGTTCATTTATATAGAGATTAAGAATGCACTGATTTGATTGTTTTGTATGAAGAAAAATTAAATACACAATAACAAAGATATTTTCTAGTAAAATCTAAACATTTTTCAATTAAGATGGATAAAGTGTTAAAGCTAAGTTAATAATTTTATAGATAGTATAAGTAGTTAAAAACCAATAAAAAGGATATTAATACTTTAAATAAATCTGACTTGTATACTGATTTAAGATTAACTATTGATCATTTAGACATAGATAAAATTTTCAGAATTAAGGACGAAGTATAATTTAGGAATAATTTAAAGTTAGGCTTTTCGAAGCTGCATGAAGAAGAAGGAATTAATATTGGAATATTTTATATATCATAATTTGGGTAAATGCCTTTGCATGATCATCCAGATATGTTTGTATTTACTAGACCTATTTACGGCAAGGCTAAAAAGACATTTTTTACTCTTTGCGATGAAAAAGACATTAGAACTTAATTTGAATATCCAATTAATTTTTGGTTAAATGAAAGTTATGATTAAAGTAAAGAAGTAACTGTTAAGGCTTAAGTAAGCGAAATGCATTTGTTGTAAAAAGGGGACTAAACTCAGGTTGTAGAACCTATAAAAAATAATTTGCACGAAATAATTGCAGTAGAGAATTATGCCTTTTTAGACGTACTTATACCTGACTACGACATGATGAATGCAAAAAGATTTTGCAATTTTTACACACCTAAAAAGTTGATAGACTCAAATTAATTTATATACGAAATGAAAATATAAGCTTTTCCAGAATAATATGATATCTAAGAAGTATAGTCTCCTCTAATAATGTAAAAAATAGCTTGAATTTATTTTTACTGATTAAGTAGAACAATAATTTAATAACTATTGAAAAAAATAAAAATTCAAAGTAAATTAACAAATATAATGAGAAAAGATATCCTTTGATTTATTTATTAATTAATAAAATCGCCATAAAAGATTTAAATGATTTGAAAAATCTATTTTAAAAATATTTAATAAACGTAAAGAACCATAATTAGTGCATATATTTATATACTATATATCATTTTACTAAAGTATTTGTTAGTTGTTTGCAGAGCTAATTTTACAGAGTTTTTTGTTTTTTGGAGTAATCATTTGCTTTAAATTTAGAAAAATTTAATTTAATTACATTTGCTTTGTTATTTTTAATTTATCTTTTCTATCAATTTTAAAATTTAATTTATGGTAAAATTTTTACTTGGTTAATTTATAAGGAGCTAAATTCTTGACATTTATATGAAATTAAAAGTGATTTTCTTAAAGTAAGCAAAATAAAGTAAAAATATAAATGCATATCAAAAGCAAACAATAAAATTATATGTATTTGTATATCTTTTACATATAACTCTTATTTAATTAATGTTCAAAGTTTATTCTTTTTTCATTTTGTAAAATAAAATTTTTCTAATTTATACGCTTAATCATGTGAGCAAGGAAACAAAAGGAGTTTTTAATTAGTATTTCATTTAAAATATTTCTTATTTTTTACATTTTCTTTTTAAAATTTAAGTTGATGTTTTGTAATTTTGTTTATGATGGAGAGAAACAAGCTAACACACTAACAAAATAACTACAGGTATATCATTACTTTTTCTTTGGAAGAGGAATTACGCATGCATGCGAAATTTATGAATGGAAGTAGTAGATAGTCATTGCAAAAGAAGAAGATGAATAATTTAAAGAAAAAGATGAAAAATGTTAGGAAAATGAGGAAGAAAGAGAACGAATTTGTATTAATAAATTTAATGATAATAAAAATATTTACTTTGCTTGATACTACTTTAATTCGCAGTTTGATTGAAGAATCATTGGAAATCATCATAATAAAAAATAAATAAAATTAAAACAATCAAATAAAAACAAAATAAAAAAAGTAAATAAACAAACAAACAAATGATTAAGAAAGTCTTCGACCTCAAATTCACTGGAGCTATGATCCCCAGATACACCTTCTCTCAAAAAGTATAATAAGAATTTTAATTATTAAGATCAACAAAGAAAAGGAAATGCTATTGATCTATACCATCGATTTAAAAACATTAAGAGCAAAGTATACAGCTGTTTTAAGGAGAAATTTCAAAATGGCTAATCATTTAAAAATCTATAGTTTTAAAACTATTTTGTTTTGAACTTTTACATAGGGCATAAGCTTAAATATTTATAAAGGTGCAAAGAATCTTGGGTTTTAAAGAAAAAGCATAAACTCTTAAGAAAATTCATTATAGAGCAAGTAAATTATTTAAGAGCAAAAACAATACCAAAGTTTTTAGCAAGCAGTTAAAAATTAAGCTTTCTACCATTTAATGAATGTCTACTTTGTTCTCTATTAGAATGTTCTTTGAGAATCAACAAATCAAAATAAATAAATTAGATTAGCTTTTAAAGTCTCTACCAAACTCACTTATACCTCTAATAGCACTCACTAAGCCATTCGAGTATCTAAATAATTATGAAATTTATAGAAATATTAGCAAAAACATTTCTAACCACCTTTGATATCGATCGATCAATTTCCTTTTCTTAAAATTAATTACACCTCTTAATTATGAAAAATGCAGTTTTTTTAAATATTAAGAGATGTGACTTTAACAAAATCCATTTACCATTATATATAAACCTTTCGTATATTCATTTATAAGAAAAAATCATAAAAATAGAATCACAAGGTTGTTCTCTTCCCTGGTCACGGTATTGGTCCTGAAATTTCTCAAGCTGTTTGCGATATTTTCGCTGCCGCTAAGGTACCTATCGATTGGGAACACCACGAAATCTACACCAAGCCTATCAATGAGGCTGGTGATCTCATCAAGGAAGAATCCCTCAATGCTGTTATTAACTATAAATGGGGTCTTAAAGGTAAACATTTAATACATTTTTAAACATAATTAATGTGTAGGTTAACGAATTGCTAAGATACAACAAAAAAAGCCATAATTTATTTTTAAATATGAAAAGAATTTAAAGCAAACTAAACGTTAAATATGCAAATTTACTTTTAAAAATTTGGAAAATTAACCAAATTAACTAATTCTATTAAATAGGTCCTTTTGCTACTCCTATTGGTAAGGGTTACAGATCTTTGAACGTCACAATGAGAAAGAAATTAAACCTCTTCGCTAACGTTCGTCCCTGCAGATCTCTCGCTGGTGTCAAGACTCCCTACTCTAATGTTGACTTAGTTACCATCAGAGAAAACACCGAAGGTGAATACTCAGGTCTTGAACATGCTGTAAGAAAAAATAATTTTATTTATTAATATTATTTAGGATTATTAGCAAAAAAAAGAAAGTCCAAAAGGGAAAATAATAAATAAATAGTATCAGCAAAATTTAAAAGCAAGCAATAATTATATTTTTTCTAAAAATTAGATACAAAAAATTTATGCAACAAATAAATAATCTAATTAAAAAACATAAATACATAAATACAAAAAATTTTATTTGTTTATAATAAAAATATAGATTTATTATACTTAATATTAAATGCTCCTCAATATAAAATTTATTCCTTTGATTTAATGATTTTTACTAAATTTCAATAGGTCGTTCCTGGTGTTGTTGAAAATTTGAAGATCATCTCTCAACCTGCTTGCGAAAATATTGCTCGTTACGCTTTCGAATTCGCCAGAAAGAACAGTAAATTTTTTTTTTTTGGATAAAAAAAAAAAATAATATTTGTTATTTATTTTGTAAAAACAGACAGAAAGAAAGTTGTTGCTTGTCACAAGGCTGGAGTCATGAAAAAGGGTGATGGTTTATTTATTAATACTTGTAAGAAAATTTCTTCAGAATACCCTGAAATAGAATACACTGAAGAATAAATCGATACCGTCTGCATGAAGTTATCTAAGAACCCCGAAGTTTTCGACGTCATGGTCATGCCCAACTTGTATGGTGATATCGTCTCTGATTTATGTGCTGGTCTTATTGGTGGTTTAGGTTTAACTGCATCTGGTAATATTTCCCACACCTGCGCTGTCTACGAAGCTGTCCACGGTACCGCTCCCGATATTGCAGGTTTAAACAAGGCTAACCCCACTGCTCTCCTTCTCTCTGGTGTTATGGTAAAAATATTAATTTTAATTAATTAAATAATTTTTAATATTGAATTTATTTAATAACTAACAGATGCTTAAAGCTATGGGTCTTCAAAAGGAAGGTTTTGCTATTGAAGAAGCTGTTATTAAAACATTATCTGAAGGTAAATTCTTGACTGGTGATTTGGGTGGTAAGGCCACTACTACTGACTACACCAAGGCCGTTATTGGACATATTAATCTTTGATTTATTAAATAAATAAATAAAATAAAAAATATAAGCAGGTAAATAAAATTAAATATGATTGAATTACTATTCTCTCACTAATATCTTCTACATACATATCGTTCAATATTTATACAACCAATTAATACATTACTCTTGTATTTAATAGTCATCTTAAAAGTATGATTTGTATATTTCCTTTATGTAAAGCATGATAGTTAATACATTCATATTTTTTTCTATTTATTCATTTCATAATTATTGTTTATTCTAATAATTTAAATTACTATAATCATTTTAAAAGTAAACATACAGTTAAATGAAAATTTAAATAAGTATGTCAAAAAAATTAATGAAATTATCAACCAAAAGTAAAATCTTAATGATTCATTTTGAATTTATTATTTAAATTAGAAAAAAACTTCAGTCTATGTTGTTAATTTTAACAATTTTTAATTTTAAAATATTTAAACATATAACATAAATTACTTTATAATTTTATACTATTTAATTAATTATTTAATGAGTGCAATCTTTAAGCATTAACCTATGAATGATATGTAAAATGTTTAGAATTATATTTTATTAAAAATATTAAAGGACAAAAAAAGATTTTCTTTTTTTTTCTAAGAAGCTTACATTTAGTTTAATTTTTTATTCAAATAAAATTCAAAAATATAAATTTGATTAATCTAACTTAACCACTTCAGAATGATATTTTATAAATAAGCAATTATAACTAAAAGATAAGAAGATGGTTTATTTGTAAAAAATAAATATTTTAAACCACTTTATTTAATTATTAGCTGATTTTTGTCATCAATAAATAATTAATGACTAAAAGTAATTTAAGGACTAAGTTTTTATTTTTTATTTATATTTTATAATTTTATAAAGAATTGTTTTATTTTTTATTAACAAGCTTACAATATATTTGAAGCATCAATTATACTTAGTAAATTTTAAGATATTATTAGATAGTATTTTTAATTATTAAAATGTCTATTGAGAAAAACATTTGAATGCTGTAAAGAGTTAATTAATATGCACTAATATCGATTTAAGATTAGATTTTTTGATTTATTACAATCTTAGGAAACTTAATAACTATTGATATTAAATTACTAAGCTGTTTATAAATTGATATCAAAGCTAGACATCTTTGTCAGAACTTTAAATATAATACATTTGAAGAGTATACCATTTTTCATATTCATCAAAAATCTATCTCTTCCGTTCTCTATCTTTTTGGATTTATTACTCTTTTGTTAAGATTGGATTTAATATTTTTTTCCTATATTTCTCCTCTTCATCATCTAACTCAGATGAATCGACTCTTTCTCCCCATTTTTCTAAGAGTTATTGTCTTTTTTACTCTTTTAACTATCTTTAATATAATATTAAAACAATTTTAAAATAATAATTATAATATTACTTCCTTTCATCATTTTTCTTTAGATTATTTTAAAAATTGAATCCTGCTGCTATCGAAAATCTCTTTTTATATGATTCCATTGCATTCTTATATTTTTCTGTATTCTTCTATTTATTGTCTACCTCAAAATTTAATATATTTGGATCATTTCTTTATATTTTTAATAAATATCAATATTTATTATATTTATTCTTCGTTTTAATTTATATTTACCTATCTATCATTTTATTAAATTTTTCTATTTTTTTAGAGTGATTGTACAATATTCTACATGCGTGTGAAGCTTTAGCTGATTCAGGGAATTTCAAAGGTAATACTCTGGCTTTAAATTTTGTTGGAAATTCTTCTTTCTTCTCAAGGTTTTCTCTTTTTATTTTAGAATCAATATATTTTTTGTAAAAAGCTTCTGTTTTTCTAACAACTTCTTCTTATGAGCATTTAAATTATTTATTTTTATCCACTTCTAAAATCTTTTCATCACAACAGACAGAGTTATTATTGCTCTGTATTTTTGTTATAAAACGTGAAGGAGAGCAAGGTTATGAGTTATAAGAAATCAATTAAGTAAAGCTTTTATTTTAATTAAGTTAGCTTAGAGACGGGATAGACTATTTATGACCTAATAATGAACTGTAATTTTGATTTTGATTTATATTTTCATGGTGATCATTCATGTTAATCTACTGCAAAGAATTGATATTTATAAAAGTATGCTTCCCTTAAAAACTCTATTCAGGAATCTTTACCATTGAAATCTATTGAAAAGATCCTATTCCCTTTAACAATTAATTCAACTATTTTATATTTATTAAAATAAATATAAAAAAACAAACAAATAAATAACGATTATCAATTTAGAATATTTATTAGAATATTTCAATAATAAAGATATAATTTGAATTAAATAAAAAATTTACTTTATTAGAACTTTATCCTTTATTGCTAATTGTAGAATAGAATGTAGAACTACGTATTTTTTCTGGCAAATTTGTAGAATTGTTGTTTTATGTGCTGAAAGGAATATAAGATAAAGATTTTTAGTGTTTTGATTTATTTTCTTTTTGGTTATTGAACTTTTATATTTCCTAGTCATCTTAAATATGTTAAGATGGCAGAAATGAACTTTTTTAATTAGAATCCTCATACGAATCTATTTCAATCGTCTTTTAAAATTTTAAATGCCTTTAATTATATGAAATTTAGTTCACAATATTAACTTCATTTATCTTGACATCACTCTTCTCATTCTAAATTTTTTACAATTTAAAATAATTAATAAATCTACAATCAATTTTTTACATCTTTTACTAGCCTACCCAACTTATCTCTTTCATTAATGTATGGTACAAAGGGTAAATTTTCTTATGAATTAAATAATTAGTTATAAACATGATTTTTATCTTTAATGCCATCTATTATGATGGTTTTTCTGAAGTTGTTTAAAGATGAACTAAACACTTTAGTAGGATTATTATTTTTTGGTGATAAAAGATTAGCATTATTCAAACTTTTTTAGCTACTAGTTGCATTTTTTGTGTTTTTATTATTTTGAAAATCTTTAAATTTAAAAAATAAAGAAGATCTCTCAATGTCATCTATCACTAGCTAATGATTTTATTCTCTTTAAAATTTCCATTTTTAAAACTCTTTAGAAAGATTATTTTGTATTTTAATTAGATTTGGATTTTAACTCATTCACAAATGAAATTTTAATTTAAAAATTTTGAGCTAATTGTTATCAGTATTTCATTAAGCAAAAGAGATGTGATCTTTTTAATACTAAAATTTATTAATTTACATTTAAAATAATGATTATTGCTTCTAAAAAAATTATATATAAAGGACATTGTTTTTTTTATTACTTTACTTACATTTAGATTTGGATATGTTTTTTAGTCGAATGATAAAAAGCTCAGTATTCGTTATATTATTTTAAATAAATAAACTCTACTTTAAAAATAAAGTATTTGATAAATTTACATTCTATAAATTTCATAACTAAAGTATAGAAATAGTTTTTAAATATTGAGATTTCTTATCTTTATAAATTTAATTTTTATAATAATGATTTTTAATTAATTAATTTCATAAATAAGACTAATATATGATTTATAATAATTTTTCTTAAGAAATTAAACCAGATAAAAACTTTCAAAAAATAATTATAAAATAGTAAAATTTAACTGTAAAAACTTATAAAATTAAATAAAATTTTTATGATTTTCATAAACGAACCTCAATTAACGAGTTTGATAGTATATTTCAAAATTTTATAAATTAATTTTTATTGAATAATAATTCTCAATATCTATTTATTAATAAAGATAATATCAAAATAAAATTTTTTATACAAAATAATGTTAAAAAAATGATATTTGTAATGTGAATTAAATTTATATAATTTAGCCTTATTACTAATATTATTGGGATAAATTTAAATGTTGACGTAAATACTTTCTAGTTAAATTAAAAATTTTTAATTAATGTTACTCTGTTTTAAAGACTTTATAAATCAATTAATAAGACTGTTTTATTTTGTTTTATTCGCAAACTAAACTTAACTATTATATCATAAATATCATTTTTCTTTAACTAAACTAATTTTATTTAATTTTCTTTAGATATTTATTTTAAATTCATATATTTTGTTTAATCATAGAGTTGTAAAATACTCATAGTAAAATAAAATTTTAATGTTTTATTTTTTATATTTAAAACTGTTTTTTTTGAAGATAATAAATTATTTTTTTATTAGTAATAATTAATGTAATTAATTTTACTTAATATACTTAAACAAATAAAATGAGTGATTTTATTTGTTTCATTCATTTTATTTGTTTATACTGTATGAATAAAAAAAGCTGATTGTATTTTATTGACTATAAATTAGTTTTCTGCTAGGAATAAATGAGTGAATCAATTAACAATTTGTAATATAAAACTTAATATGTTTTTTAAAAACTAAGTTTTTATAAATATAATATTGAGTTTACCCCTTTTACTTCTTGATAATATCTTAAAATTTTTAGCATTCTTCTTCTTTTTGAGAATTTTATTAACACTCTCTAAAAAATTAATTAAAAATTGATAATAAGAAAAGAAAATATAAATATAAAGCAAAATATTAAGCTCAGTAAAATCCTTAACTTTTTTTAAGAGAAAGAAAGAAGCATTAAAAAGAAGCAACCTATATAGTCTAAAAGGTAGAAAAAAGAAATATTTCTTCTGTTACTCAAGAGTAAATAAATAGCATAAGGAAAATATACCAAAGTCACTTTAAGCGATAGTGGATATTTCAAAGAAAGAAAGAAAATATTTAATTTAAAAGTCTTTAAAGAAAGTAAGAGAGGAACATTAATAAGTACTCTGGCGTTTATCATATTAATAAATACTCTAAATGTATGGACAACCTAATTAAGGAGTTTGATGAATTGAAATTATCGAAGGAAAAAAGTATAATTAAGCATTTAAGCGCTGATGAATAAATTGTTGCAAGTTTTAATGTTTTTAAATATAACGAATACTTGAACAGACAAGAAAGAACACTAATGATAACAAATAAATGTGTTTATAATCTTAAAAATCATAGTATTAAGCGTGTAATACCTTTTCCTAAAATAGAAGCGATTACAGTAGCATATTTTGGCTCTGAGTTCGTTATCCACGTGCCTTCAGAGTATGATTACCGCTACTATAGTTTAGACAAGATAGAATCTATCTTGCTCTTTATAACTCAAGAGTATGTAAAAAGCTAGTAGAAGAAACTAAAGTTTTTTTTCAAAGAAGAAATCTCTCTCTAAGGTTATTGGACAACAAAGGCAAATAGAAAAAAAGCTAATAATTTAATGCCTTAAGAATCTCCTTTCCTGCTTGACTACGACGGTTTGCTAGATAAAATGAATAATAAAAATTAGCAGGAAAGTAACACAAGCTAAGCTACTCGTTAATAGAATGGCAGTCAAGTGCAAACACGTACGTCAGTAAGAGCTTAAAGTCAAACTATTTGGACAAATAACTAGTAAAGAAAAGATGTTTGCTTAGAAGATTTTTAATTGCTAAAAGTTCTCGGAGGTGGAGCGTTTGGCAAAGTGCTCCTTGTAGAAGATAAACAGACATGTAATTTTTAAATTTTAATAAATTTTTTGTTTAAAAATACATCCATATATGGAAAAGACATCATAATATTTATTATTTTCTAAATATTCAATTTGTTAAAAATGAGAAAGAAATGGTTGCTTTTCTTAATAAACTAAATAGTTATTAGCACACATAATAATAACAAAATACTTAATTCATAAATAAGATTTAATATATAAATAAACGGCTTGCATTTTGATTACTTATGAATTTTATAAAATGAATGCTACCCATTTTTGATAGAAAGGAGATAGGAAAGTTTATAATTGATCAAATTTTATTTTTATTTTTTTTTTTTTTGCAATCTTAGTTAGTTCTATGCAATATAATTAGGATAACTTGAACTTTTATTTGCATTCTATCTCTTTTTCTCCTTTGCCAAAATGTTAAAATAAAATTTTTAAGAATCAGAAGTGTAAAATAATATTGAAAACGTCATTCAAAAGGAATTGTTGAATTATTAATTTTCCCTCTCACTTATTGATTATTTTGTATTTTTTTAAATCCTTCATTTTAGTGAATTAATTAAATTTTCTTAAAAAGAGGAATGGTTTGCCATGAAAGTAATTAAGAAGCAAGTTATCATCTAAAATGGGAAATTTGAACACACTAAAACTGAGAAGGCTATCCTTGAGCACGTTAACTTCCCTTTCCTTGTCAACCTTGTGTATGCCTTTCAGGACAACCAGCACATTTTTTTCGTAATGTAATTTTTAAAGGGTGGAGAATTGTATCAGTATCTCAAACGTGATGGCAGATTCACTGAATCAAGAACAAAGTTTTATATAGCTTAGCTTATTCTCGCTCTTGGTCATCTTCATTCTAAGAACATTATATATAGAGACCTGAAACTAGAAAATATAGTTATGGACTCTACAGGTATAATTAAAAAACAAATTAATTAATTACTGATTATAAAATTAAGAAATATAATTTAAATAAAATTTTAGGCTACATTTGTTTAACAGATTTTGGATTGGCTAAGAAAATCATTCATTAATAATAAATTGCTACAACTTTTTGTGGGACAGCTGAATATCTTTCACCGGAAATATTAAAGGGAGATGGATAAGATTTTACAGCAGATTGGTGGGCTCTAGGCATTATTTGCTATGAATTATTATATGGAAATACTCCATTCCATAATAAGAATGCTCATTAGATGTTTGAACAAATAAAATATGCTAAATTAGAATTTAAAAATACAGTTGCTATTTCTAATGAAGCAAAAGATTTCATAGAAAAATGCCTGACTAAAGATAAAACAAAAAGATTAGGAGCTATTAATGGCTAGTCTGATGTATAGGCCCATCCTTGGTTTAATGATATAGATTTCAATAAACTGCTCAAGAAAGAATACTCTCCTGAATTTGTGCCTGTAACTGAAGGTATGAGCTGGATATCCAACTTTGATAAGGACTTCACAAAATTATCTGCCCGTATAACTAATAATCCTAATGATTAATTCAGTACAGATTCTTTTAATGATATATTTAAAGATTTTTGAATCTTTATTATTAAATTAAATTACTTTATTTAACTCAAATGGCAAAAATACTATTGTCACAAATGAGTTAAATAGCATATATATACACAAATCAATCAATACAGTATGTCTAAAAAACATTGCGAGTACTAGAATTTTATCTTAATCAATCAAAAAAGACATATTTTATTCACTTAAATTATATTTAAACCAATCAAATGAAAATCATTTAAAAAAAAAAACTTGTTTGAAAGCCTATTTATTTCTTAATAAATACGAAATAAAGTCACCTATAACCACCCTCTATGTATTATTAATAACTTGACTATCTCACTAAAATTATTTGTATTTTTTATGTTAATAAATTTATTAATTGCTATTAATAAATAGTATTTTATCTTTTTAGAATATTTTTAAAATCCTTTAATTTAATCTATTAAATTGAAACAAAAAATTGATGGAAATTAAATCATTTTATTTAAAATTTATATTTAAATGTTTTACCTGATTTTAAAAATATTTTAAATTCAACTCTTAATTCTATTTTTAGTCATTTTTTTACTACAATTTTTACTTTTGATAAGCAAAATATAAACAAATTTATTGCATATTATTGATTAAAATGAGTTATTATTTGATATTCAATATTAAAAGTATTTGAAAATTAATAAATATTAAAATAGAAAATGCTTTTTTTTAAAATTATAAATCAATTATTGTCTATGAACTATTATTTTTATAAATAGATTTTAATTTTTTAAATAGATCTAATTCATTTTGGTTAGAAAAACATAGAATTTAATTATAATAAAAAATAAAGTATTATTTAAAAATTAAATTAATATATTTTAACTTCTCAAAAATATTTATATTGCATTGATTTAAAGTATTTAAAGAGGATATTTTAACTTTATAGTTGGTTAAAATTAATAAAGAAACTCTTGCTTATATTATAATCGAAATAAATTATTAATTGTTAAACATTAATAAAACCAAAATATTTCAAGATAAATTATTGTTTGTTTTAAGAAACGACTTCATTTTTAAGTGCAATATTAGCTATCATTAATGAAGGTAATTTAATTTTAATCAAACAAAAGAAATTTTAGTTAATAACAATAAAGAATTTGACTATAAATATATTATAAATAAATGATTAATTAATAATTAAAATAATATAATATATTTTAACTTTGCTCAAACATATTAATTAATTATATCATTTTTAGTCATGTAACGATAAAACACATTTTAGGGTTTAGAAGATGAAATTCTCTCTTAAAGATTTAGTTTTCTTCCTTCTCTTTCGCTTGTTGTGGTTTTAGAAGAGGATGTGTTATTATTGCTTTTAAGGAATTTATTTGATTTCCATGCTTGCTGCATACTTTAGAATCTGCTAACAGGATCACTTTTCTTTGGGATTGTCTTGAACTTTTTGTTTGTGTAATCAAATTACTTATTTTTAATTTTGAATTCATTCATAGACATCTTATAAACTGGTTTATATGTAGCAGCTAAAAATTAAAAAAAAATAATTTAAATTTAAATATTATAATTTTTTTTTTTACCTGTTGATGGTCTATCATATTCTTATTCAGTACTTTCTTATTATGTCTTAGAATTATATCTTGAGTTATTCAGATTAGTAGTGCTTGCTGTCTTGACTCTGCTAACAGCTAAACCTGCAGCTGAGCTTCCTTTTTTAAGATAAGGATAGGGTCCTTTCTAAACGTTTTACTATACTTAATTATTTTAATTGCTTTAGTTATTATTGGAAACAATATATGATGACTTAGGGCGAGGGACATGTTGCAAATGTTTCATTTTTGGAGCCAAATAATTTTCTTTTCCGTGATTTTAAGAGTTGTATTAATCAAAAGAGTTTTCGCTAGAGTTTTCTGCATCATCTTCCTAAACAAAGTTGTTAAAATCATCATTATTTATTTGGTGACTATTTTATTAAATTTGCAATCTTTTTTAGTTTGGTTAGAAATCAATATTTTATTGCATCTTTCTCTTTAAATCAGCTATTTAATCTTCATAGCTCAACTAGTTGAATTAATAGTTATTTTATGGATCACTTAAGCTCTACTATTAACTTTTATCTGCTTACTTTGTCACAGCACTGACAGGTCTCTTGTTGGCTCCAAAGCTAAAGGTATTTGGATTCTATTGAGTTTGTTAAAGATTATTTTTTTAGAATTTGTTGGATAGCTATTAATTTGAATCATCTTCTTCTTCTTAATTGTCCTCATCATCGCTGTATTAGTAGTTTCTATTTTATTAATTGCTCTTATTCTTTATATTTTCTTTATCAAGAAAATTATTCATTTGAGCTTTTTTTACATTTTATTTCTTTCCTGAGCTTGACTACTCTATTTTCTTTTAAATCTTTGTGGATTGTTAACTTAAATTAGATTATTTTTCATGATCTGAAGTAATTTATTATTTTTTTTGTTAAGTATTTTTTAAACTAGCACCTTGATTTTGATTATTAAAATTCATCTACTGCTTTATCTATTATTGCTTCAAGAACTCTTGATACTATTTAATTTATTCTTCTTCACTGTCCAAATCCTCTTGCTAATCTTGATTTTAGTGATCATCTTCTTCTTCAGACTGCTCTTTTATTTAGTGTTAATTTGAAAAATATTCCCTTTATTGTTTATATTCGAGGTTATTTGCATAGGATTCTTATTACTCATCTTCTTCCTCTTCTGCATTATCATCACCTCTATAATTTTATTTCTAATAATATCCATTATATTATCCTTCACCTTCATCTTCTTCTTCTTCATCATCTTCTTCTTACTAATTTTATTCTTAATCATAATCTTCATGTTCTTGATTTTCATATTCTTAATCTTCGTTGTCTAAGTCTTCCTCTTCATCTTAGCCGTCATTCTAGTTGTGTTGGTTTTAATACTAATTTCTGTGATTGTATTGATATGGATCCTCATCCTCCTCTTCGTCTGATGAGTATTAATAATTATTGGAAGAAAATTATTACTTTTAAGCCATTTTTAAATAATTAAAAACAATTATTAATTTATTATGATTTTTATAAATTGCAAAGAAGTGGAGTTAAGTTTTTTTTGATTTCAAAAATTTTAAATATCTATTAGAAATACAAAAGCATTAAATAAGATTATTTAATGATCTTTAAATCCATAAATTCAAACTATAATTTCGAAAATATAATTAATAAATAATAATCAACCATCTTATTTAATATGTTTCTGCTTAGTTTAATCGTATATATTTTGAAATTAATAGACAATAAATACCATTCTTGGAGAAATAAATAATATTGTAATTCATATTAATAATATTTAAAATATTGAATTGTGTTAAGATTAATTTTGAAGCTTTAAAAAAATATTATCAACATATTTTAAAAAATATAAAGATTACCAACTATCAGTGACTAAAATACATATTATTTTTTTTATTATTTTAACAGATATATGTTAGCAAATTAACTCTTTGTAGAGCATTTACTGTTAATTAATTAATACTAAAGTTGTACTTTAATCCATAAAATATATAAATATAATGTTCATTTTTATTTTTTAATACAAAAACTCTAGGTGGGAGTCATATTATAATACTAACATTAAAAATTTTTAAGATTATTTTTAAATATCTATTTTTTAAATAAAATAATTAATTTTAATAAAAAACCATCCAGATAATATTTAAAGCATACTCATTCATAAAATAAATATTAAATTTTAAAATATATTTTAAAAAAACTTATTTTTTAAAAGCTGAAATCTTGCATTTTTAAGTTTAATTTATAATTAAAATTCCATTTTTCATTTTTGAAATATTTATTGTTGAGGAAAATATTAAAAATGAATATAATTTGACTATTTAAAAATAAATAAATAATTTGATAAATAAAAATATATTTAATGTTTTTTTTAGGATAATACTTTATTATTAAAGATAGATAGACATAAATTATATGAATAATTATTTACAAAATTATATATATTATAATTATTATCAAAAAACTAATTTAACTCCTGTTAATCTTATTTAGACTACTTAGCTTTACTCAGTAAAAGTTAGTGATAGTCTATAATTTGTATGATTATTTAAGTTTGTAAGCTCAATATTTTTCTTGTAGCTTTGATTGTAGATTAACATAGTTTTTTTAGATATATTTACTCTAATATTAAATTAAGTAACCTAGCCTGGTATTAGAGAATTACAGCTATTAAATATGTCTTAAAACGAGCTTTCTATGTTTAAATCGTGTTTTTTATTTATGATGTACTTAAAATCTGATTTATTTTTTTTCTTTTCTTAAACTATATCAATAGAGCACTCATTTTGAGGTTAATTGAGAAACTCAACACCAAATTCATAAGTATAAGAATTAATTAGGGGACTAGAGCTGAATAATTAGTATTTTACTTATTTAGGAATTATTATCTATTATAAAAAGCCAGTGGATGATCTATTATGATTTTATTTGATAATATTCTATCTGTCTTATTGGATGTTTCGGTTTTCAACAATTGATGGTAAAAAAAACATGTCACAGTCTTCAAAACTTTCTGATTAAATTTCCATTACACTTTATTTTTGTTTTTCAATAAATTAGAGCTATTCATCTAATGAGTCTTTTCTGGAATGCTGTATCTAGAGCTTGGAATCTATGTGGTGGATCTACTCAACTAGCTATCGATTAGTAAATTAATAGTTGTTATTTCTAGAAAAGAAAGTATTGCAGCTTTACTAAAGCTATAAGTCGTTTATAAGATCCTTGAGCTTATTTGTTTTGCTAACCTTCTTGAGCTATTCTATTTATGCAAAGAATTAAATCATTTCAGGAGAATAAATATAGTTTTGTGTGATTTCATCAAGCGTTTGTGATATTTTGAATTATTCTTAAAGAAATTGTTCTATATCTTCACACTAAAGAGGGTGAGTGCTCATTGTTCTAACAAAATAGCGAAAAGAGTCAAAACGTAAAAGCTACTCTAATTGCTCTTTGAAAATGTTTTATTAATCAAGCTATATGGTAAACAAAGAAAGGATTTTCTTCTTACACTAATCAACTTACTCCACGAACTCTCTTTTTATATTTTCATAGAACATCTCGATGTCATTCATGTATTTCATCTAAACCTTTTCCAAATTATTTAATTAATCAAGTTATTTGGTGATTCCTTTCAATCCATGAAATTAGTAATTCTCATCAAATATATCATCAATGTCCACAAAAGAGCTACAATCAAACATTTTTGAATGCATTTTCAAAAATAGATAGCACTCTTAGCAAACCAAGCGGTCACTCACATCACAAATCTAGGATATGTTGATATATCTAGCCTTTTTATCTATGTGATAGCCACAGTGAACCATTCCATTCGAATCACTATAGTAATCATCATCTTCCATCATCTCCATCCTTCTTATTAAAAAGATTTAATACTTTTTAGTTTTTGATCAATTAATATTCTTTTCTAAAAATTTTTCTGATTGATTTTTGCTGGAATTTAATTTGTTTCTTCTACTTATAATAAATACCAAAACAAACAAACAAATAATATATTTTGATAATATTTGCAGATTATCAAATTATTATAATTTTTTTTGATCAACCAAAAAATTCATAGAATTTATTTCAGATTCTTAGAAAAATAAAAGAATATTATGAATTGATTTTTTAATATTTTTTATAATATGTAATTTCAATTAAATGATACAAATTTGATTTCTTTTATAAATTTTAGTAATCTATAAATAATATCTACACGATAAATTTATATATATTATAGGCTCTCAAATATTTTTATATTCAATAAAAATCAAGTAAACTTTCAAAATATTTTAATATAATGATATTTTAAACATAAATATTTACATCAGAGGTCTTATCTAGTTTTTTGATTTATAGAGTAAATAATATTTATTTAAGCTTGTACTTTTTAATAATAAAAAAGTATTTAATTCTTCAATTTAGGGCATTTTAGAAAAGTAAAATAAATAAGTAATTTTCTATATGTTAGCACTCATCAGGATTAAAATAATAACATATATTTTGTTTCAAAAATATAATTATATAATATTTAATTAATAAAGAGTTGTTATCATAAGAAAACACAAATAAAAAGAATTTTTACATAAAGTTAATGTCTTAAAATAATTCAAGTCCTTCATTTCCTAGAGCATAAAGAAATGACATATTTAAGCTAAATGATAATCCTGGGAGTGGATCGTATAATTTACCATCCTAATTTGATACTTTTGGTAGTTGTTATTATAAAAATAAGCAGTCATTTACTTTTGGTAGTAAAACTGAATATTAAATAATAAATGGAGATTGTTTTTATTAAGCTCCAAGAAATGGTAATCCTGGACCAGGAAATTACAATTTATATGAATAATAAAGAAAAAATAATTAAGGGAGTAAAATATCATCATCTGAAAAATCTGATTGTGCACAATTTTAAGAAGAAATCAATACAAGTGCTTTCAATTAAGATAAAGAAGTTTTTTTATGACTAAAATTTACTAAATATTTTAGAGTAAATTAATGGAGTAAAAAGTGAACAGAATTATATAAAATTTTATTTGTATGTGTATATTACTAATCAATCTACATTGAGTTATATTTATTATTTTATTCTAATTTAAATTAAAAAATAAAAATCTTAATATTTTTATTCTCTATTATGCTTAGGCTGATTTACTTAATTATTTATTAGAATATCCCTACAAATTAATAAAAGTAGATTTTATTTTTATTAAGAATTGACATTTTTCTCTAAAATCTAAATTTATTATAGATATTCTCAGTTAGCAAATAAATAAATACATAACTAATTAGCTAGCTATTTTTAAAACTATAAATAATTTTACCTTGGTGTTTATATTAATTCCAATTTTATATAAAGACTGAGAACAAATAAATACAAATATTAAATTTAAAATAAATTATGTAAAATTTATTGATATTTTTTTATAAATAGATTTTCATTTTAATAGACCTGGAGGCGTTCTAGGTATTCTGGGCTTCGATTCAAACGCCTACTTAAATTCATCTTATACCTTTTATAATTAAATAATTTAAATTAAAATATGTTAACTTTATTTTCTGGTTTCTTACCACTTCTCCTTATTACTACTATTGCTACTCAATTTATGGTTCGCTTTACTCCTACTCTATTTACTAATCTTACTGCTATTGCTACTTCTGTTATTCCTTAGTTGGAGGAGACTAAGATTTTTCTGGGGATTATTTACCTGTTGGAGGTTTTTATTTATTATCCTTTTTAACATCTTTGTATGTATGTGCTTATTCTACAAAAGTTTAGTGCTGCTATTATTCGTATTATTTTTATAACTATTCTATTCTCTATCTTTCTCCTCCTGCTGGGGTTCTTAAAATTTTTGGTCTGGATCTCATTTCAGACGGAATATCTGTTTTAATACAATTTACAAATGAAATTAATAAAAAGTAATTCTAATCATACTTCTCTCCTCTTCTTATGGTTGCTCATTTTATTGAATAATCTCTTAGTTATTATTTTAATGGTTTATAAACCCTTATTACTATTCTATTATGCTTTTTTAACTTGCATCTTTAGAAACGCTTTGCGATATAGCGGCTTTTATATTTTTATTTGCTGTTGTGTTTCTTTGTTGCTGCTAGCTTGGCTGAGATCTATAATTTTAGCTTGTTTTCTGTGTGTGACTAATATAGCTTGTGGACATAGATGGCGTAGCTGGTCTATTGAAAGGGATATCTGTTATCCCTCTTTAATAGCCTGCATAACTTTAATGAACATTAATATTTGCAGAAGAAAGCATCCTTTGATTATGGGATTCTTAAATAATTCTCTTTGTGATGTTTTATTACTATTCAAAAAAATAGTTTAATTTAAAATATACTGATAAATCTAAATATGTAAATTACTTTTATAGCTTCAGCTCCTTCCAACTTATAGTTATTGACAAGCAGATCCTCTCCCAAAGGTACATTATTAGAATTTTCTATGAAATCATCTGCTTACTCATCTTCTCCGATTTCTTCTTCATCATCTATGTCATCAACATCGTTATCTTCTTCATTTGAATCACTTAGTGCATCATCATCAGGTTTTTCTTTGTTTAACTAATCCATGATATATTAGATTTACTTGGTAAATCTTTCATCACTACTTTCCATAAGCAATGTAAGTATTTCATTCATACCCATTGCACGTGCTTGTTCTCTTAAAGATTGTCTACCGAGAAGAGAATATAGAGTACCATTAACAAATGTTCTAACCTTTTTTCAATTTAATTTATTAATTTTATTTAAATTAAATATTCCAATTTAAAAAATTTTTAATTTAATATGCTTTTTTCAATTCAAATTTATAAAACATCTTTACATTATTCATTTTCAATAAAATAGAAAAACCATTTTTTATTAAATTTAAAAATTACCTGCATATTTTCATGCTCAAGTAAATCATTTAATACATTTAAAACACCCTCTTTAGGATCTTCACATTTCAATTTACCGCTACTTCTTAATGAGAGATTCATAAATAATGCAGTGGCATATTCATAAGAATATTCAGAAAGAGTGTCTTTTTCATCTCTTAAAGTTTTAACAATCCATTAAATTAAATTATTGTTAATCATAACAATTTAAGGCTTTCTTCTGAGAGAAAGCTTTTATAGAGCACCTAGAGCATTCCTTCTGGTAAAACTGTCTTCTTTCTAAATAATTTTAATAAAAATTGAAAACATTAAATAAATTTAAGAATGTAAAATAACCTCGCTTCTTAAAATATCTATAAGAATTATTGCCAAATTATCTGATTTTATCAGATATGTTCTACCATAAAAATCAGACGCCATTGCATTTACCAATCTCAAAGCAAATCTTTATAAAAAAATTTTATGAGCTTTAATAAAAAAATCAAATATATTGAAATTTACTCTTGAATTCTTTAATCTTTTTAAAATAAGGCTTTTTATAATATTTAATCTTCAGGATTATCACATCCTATCAGATTAAAAGTTGCATAAGTAACAACTATTTCTCTTCTTACATAAGCTCCTCTTGCTTTTGAGACTCTCCATCTTAGAGCTTAGAGGACAGCACAGCATAATATTGGATCCTCTTGTCTTATTATTAAATTTTTAATCTTCTAAAAGTCTAAAGCACAATAAGGGTTCTCATATTTTAGAGGATCGTGAACAATCGCCTAAAATTAGAAATCTTTTTTGAAAAAATTCTTTAAAATAAACTTTTGACTTTGATTTAATTACTTTAGCCTCCTATTAAATTTAAAGGACCTGGGCTAACTAAAAAGTCTGAATTTGTGCCATTGTCAGGATCATTTAAAAAACTTTATTTATCAAACAGCGATATGTCCTAGCTTTATGAAATAAGGTCTTCAATATTTGTGTTCAAAAAGCTTTCAAATTTATCTATCCTAGTTTACAATGCATTTAGCACTTCTTAATTAAACGGAATACCTTTCATTGTATTTCCATCAATCATGGCTTTCAACTTTATATTTAAAAATACATTTGATTTCAATTTTCATGAATTATCTATCAATTTTATTATTACGTTTTTAGATATTAAAACTAATTCATTTGCTGTGGCAATCCACTTTTGATGACTCTCAATAATAATTTATTTGTTTTATTCTGATACTATCCTATTTTAGTTTTGTAACATTAAATACTTTTCATTAAACTGCTTGACTACATTGACAAGTTCCCTATTTTCGTTTTAGAGAGCACTCAAATTAGCTTCATTTCCTGCTCCTTGTCCTCTCAAATATGCTGATTAATCAATGTAATCGCTACTGCTGTTATTATTATTTATAACAATCTACTCTTATGCTTTTTGCATGGCAATATTCTGAAATTAGCCATTTGCATTTATCTAATTTTGCTGCTACAATTATGCAAAAGTATTTGCACTTCCAAAATTCTTATTACCTTCATTATTGGTAGCGTTACTAATATTTGACCAATAGCTTTAATATATGTAAAATAAGAGTGGCAGTGGTTAATTATCATAGAGAGAGGCTAAGAATTGATTTAACTAAAGTCTTAAACTCTATATCCAGTTTTCTGTAAAAAGGTGCTATAAAGCCTGATGCTCTTGAGGCCTTGGAATGTATGGTAAGGCATAATATTATAAAAATTCATTCGTTTTTGCAAGAGCAGCTCCTCTGTTATCTAAGTACTCTTTGAAGCTATTTATGCTTTCTGCATTGATCTATCCTGCTCTCTTATTAAAAAAAGGATGGATTGGAAAGATAAAGAAGTAAATCTGCAAGTAAAATTCTAACTTTGTAACCTTTTCATCACCTATTAAAATACTAAGTGGCAAAAATCTATTCCATTTTTTAAAAAACAACTCTCTCTCTCCTTTCTTAAAATGCTAAATTTAATTTTAAATAAAATAAATGAAAAATCATCATATTTTTTAGAAATGCTATAATAAAGATAGACTTATTTATTCCTATAACTAATATAACATTTTTAATCTAACTAATTCTTTTTTCTATATGAATTGAATTATTTTTTATATAAATGTATATTTTATAATTTTAATTACTTCCATAAGCTGAAATTCATATCCTTTACTCTAATCGTAAGGCTATAGTGGTTAAGTTAACTCATCTTAAAATGTATCAAGTGTTTTAATTAAGTTGTTCTTTAGCAGATACTCGTGTATCAAATTATTTATTTAATCAAAAGGATATTCTTCTGAATATAAACCTTATGCAACACCCTAAAAGTGCTGCATTTAACCAGTAGATTCATTCTTCATTGACTATTGTTAACTTTATGATTACTAATTCTATTGCTAAACTTATTAACTTGTCTTTTATTGAGCTTAAGTAGGACGGAGTCCTTTTTGATTTAAAGAACTCGAACCTTCACTTGCAATTTAATCTCTATTATTTCCAATACTACTATTGTTTTAATTTCTTGACAATGAATTTCTTGCACCAATAATGGTATTTGGGGAAGCTGAACGACCTTGTACAGCATTCTTTGAATTCGATTGTACAGGTTAGGTTCGCTTTTAATTTTAGCTTGACTTTATATTCTACTATGAATTTTATTTATTTTTATTCATTAATATGTATGTAAGTTTCAGTAAAATAATTGAAAAAAATATAAAGAATCAATTTTTAAAACTTTTAACAAATTCTTCGAAATATTGTTAAATTTACAAATCATTAATAAATCAAACAATCTATCAATCTATATATCTATCTATTTATCATTAATTTTTTCATCCATTCATATATGAATAATATTAATATCAAAAAATAACTTTGTATATTTTTGAATATTCAATTATTTAATAATAAGATTACTTAAGAATACCAATCAAAAAAATGTATCTTAAATAAAGAAAATTCATATTACAATAAGTTACTACAAACTTTTTTATAAAACAAGCAAATTCATTTTAAAATTATAAATTATTTTTAATATATAAAATAAACTGTAAAAATGCAACTTAGTTGAATGGCAAAATTTTTCAAAAATATTTTTTTCATTTCTTTTCAATTAAAATCAAAAACTATTTTTTACATAAATAAACTATGTATATATAAAGTATTAATATATTAATTAATTTTTGCTGGTTTTAATTTAAATATTTCTTAGTATTCATCATAATTTTAATTTTTAATTTAATTGTTTGTCTATGTAATTTGAATTATTTTTTAGAGCAGTCTCTATTGATTTAGTCATAGATTTAATTGACTTTGTTATATCTCCATGGTTACTATCATGTTATGTTTAAGGTTTCCAATTTTTATTCATCTCTATAAATTCTTAAATAAATTATTGATTACATTCTAATATATCTTTATTGGAAGGATTTTTCTTCTTTTTATGGTTAACAAATTACTAGAAAGATTGATCACTATACAATAAGATTTTAACTGAATCATCATTTTCTTCTATATACTATTTAAATAAGCTCATAGTTATTAATTTATAAATAGGATCTGACTCTTGTTAATTTGCTATCAACAATTTTCTGAAGGCTATTTGCAGCTTGAGATTGGCAAACTTAAAGTAAATATCGCTAATAGAGAGATTAATAATTTGCTTAAATTTGTCCATTAAACTATCTTTTCTAACATATTATGTTAATATTGTTATAAAATGATTTACTTCATCAGTGTGTAAATTATGAGTTTACTCTTAAAATTCTCCCATTTTATTTTAAATTAAAAATTCATTTTTTTCTTGATAAATTTAATTGTGAATTTCCAAAAGAATTTCAATTAAAAAGCTTATTTTAAGAAGAAAATATGTCAGCAATTATTTTTCTTCTTGAATCTTATTTTCTTCAAACAATTCTTTAAATTTAGAGATGTAAAATACAATTTAATTCGAAGTATTTAATGTCCTTTTTCCTGTCTATTTTAAATTTGCTTTCGCATTATGAATTGAAATGTTAAAAAGCAACTTAAAAAAATTTTTTTATGTGGCAGAGTCGATATCCTAAGTAATACCATTATAGTATTAAATCAATTCACCAATGCCTGTAATAAGTTATCCTTTACTAGTTTTATCTGCTATTTCTGCTGCAGATTAAATTTTTGATGCTAAATACTTGCAAGAATTCATTAATTTATTTAAATTTTTACTTTATTTAATAACAAAATCTGTATCTCTCACTTTCTCAAATAAATGTAAGTAAAAAACAATATCAAGTGCAGGCTAATTGTCCTTTTAACTCTCTACTATTGTTCTCATTTCTTTGATTTTTTCCTTCTATTGATTGATAAGATCTTTAGCATCACAGCTTGACTAACTTGTGCTTAGAAATGAAAAACTTAAGTATATTTCAAATATCTCTTAGAAGTAATGCCTATACTTTTCTATATCATCACCTAAATTCTTTCTATATTTATAAATAAATTCTTCTAGCTAGAATATATTTGCCCTTAGGTTATACTACTCACTATCTTTAGCATCATCATCTTCATCAATATCTTATAATTAATCTTTCTATAATTTATTTTCTTACTAATTCTTTTTAGCATCTTTTTTACTAGATATGTTTTTTTTATTGTCATTTTTATCCTTATCTTATTCTTGATTGCTGTTTTTATCTTTATCCTCTTCACTTTCTTCACTTTCTTCACTTTCGCTTTCACTTTCTTCCTCTTTTTTTTTGTATAAGCTAAATTTGCTCATTGAATGTTGCTATTTATCATTTTAGTGATCATCAGGTATATGCAATAAACTACTTCTACGATTTGCTCCACTTTTATCACTTTTAACACTTTTTTTATCTTTTTAATCTTCTTTTTAACTTTTTAAATCTTTTTCATCATCATCAAGCTAAATTGTATTAAAAGTAAACTTTTATGTATTATTTTACATACTCTTAATTATTTCTAAGCATTCTTATTTTTGTTGATTATATTCTTCTAAGAAATTATCATCTATTTTGAATATAGTGTGCCTTTTTAGTTATTAGTTTACATTAGCTTTATGTACAGCATCAGTAATTTAATCAAATTCATTCTTTGATTATCCACATCCGCCACCTAACAATTTATCGCCTTACATTTAAATTGCTATCTTTTAATTTTTTGAACTATTCTAAAGCCAATCAATAATGTTTTATCTAACATAATATTCGAATTTTTTTCCCTAAAATGAGCTTTTAAATTTATTTATTATCTTATTCTATAAAGTATATGGAACAAAAAGGCTTAAATTTCTTTGGTTTATTATCATCTAAATCCCTTAAGGCCTATTTAAATTCATTATGATTTAAATCTTTAAGTTTTGTGCTAAATCCATTTATAACTTTATTTAATTATGCGAATGTGTTTACTATTGGTAGCTATTATTTTGATTGCTCATACTTTTTTATTCGTACAATTTTGAATAAAATAATCTATCGATAATAAAAAAAATGAATAAATTACAAAGGAATAGTGTAATAGTTATTTAAATTTTCATTTACCTTTTATTTTGTCTCTTTTCCTAAATGGTTTGTTTATAATTTATTTTTAAGATTTTGTTAATTGAATTAAATGATTGGACAAAATATTTGTTTATAGCTGGTTCAAAATTTTTAAAGAATAATAATTATTATATAACTTTTATGCTTATTTACAAATTTACTTAAAAATATAAATAGATCTTTAATAGTATTTTTATTTGTAGTACTATTTTATCTTCTTGATTATAATTAGCTTACAAAAGATTTTTTCTATGAGTTCTATGATTACTGATACCAATTTTTTTATCAATACATTTCATAATTTTTAGAGATATCTATTCTTAGAATCTCTAAAAAAAAGATAAATTCAGAACATTAATTTCGACACTGAATAATAAAACAAAAATAATAGGAGTTTTTCTCTATTTTAAAGTAAATGTAGCTATTACATGTTTTTAGTAATTTTTCAAATAAAATTAGAAATTCCAAAAAAAAACTAAAGAGAATCTTGCAAAACTTCTTCAAAAAAAATATTTACTCAGATAATTTTAAATAATTAGTTAATTTATTGATTTGATAATAAAGAAATCAATGTATTTTGATAAAAAATTTAGAAGAAACTTATAAAGAGCTATTTATAAATTATTGATAAAATAAAAATAAATGAACTATGAAAATAACAAAAAATATTTACTAAGTTATTGAAATACATAAATATTATCTTAAAATTTTAATAATTAAGATCAACATATTCTCATAAAATCAGCTTAATTCTCAAATTTCATTGAGTAAGAAGTATAAAAATTGAGTTTTATTATTCTCAACAGCTTAAGATTGTAAAAATAAAAATATATTTTTATCAAAGCCTAAAAATAATTCTAAATTAGTTCTATTGGAGCAAATTTTAATTAACTAAAAAGGTTATTTTAATAATAGTTTTAGGCTTTATACTTTTTCTAAAAAATTATTTTTTAGCCATAAGCCTAGTTTTAAAAAAGTAATTATATATATTCTAGTATTTATTGCATTATTATAATTACTATTATTTATCCAATTTTTTAAGAACAAATCAACAGGATAAATTTAAATTTAAATTAATTTATTTTTTATGAGTTTCAATCTATTTTCTACAACTAAAATATTTAGTTAACTACCATAAATTCTTTTACTTTGATCATTATATATTAAAAAACAGTCTTTAATTTTATGAATGCAAAAAATTTTTTTTTTCAAAATTTAAATAATAGTTAACAAATGCTACATAATCAGTTAATAGAGTATTTAAAAATTTAATTATAAAATATAGTTGTTGTTGAATAATGATTTATATATTATTGGACAATTATTTTCTCTTTAAAATTTTAATTATTATTTATTAGCTTTTAAGTATTGAATATCCCAAAGCTGTTTTTGAGTTGAAGCGAAGAAAAATCTTTAATTATTAATTTCTAGCCATAATAAAATTTTGTTTAAATTAAAATTTTATTTGAGTAATTAATATTTATAATCTGGTATATTAAAATTAAATGGATATATGATCATATTTTAGAGTAATATAAGCTTAATTTGTATAAGGTAATTACATATTATTTAAAAGTTATTTAAATTAAATGAGTCATAATATTTTCAATTTTATATTAATTTACAAAATAAAAGCTTTAATATTCAATTTAATTTGTATTTACCTTTTTTATTTTATATAAATTTAACTATTTTATCAGAATTAATGAAATAAAAATAATTATTATTAAATTGCAATTATAATAAATAAATAATATCAAATATTTCTTAAAATATTTTACATTAATTTTAATATTGATAAATATTTATTTGTCAAAACTATAGATATAGTATTTATTTTATACTAAAAAAGTTTCATAGATATATTAATAAACTAAAAAATAATTTTTGAAAATATTTAATTTTTATAGTTAGTCATATTTGTTTTCTAATTTTTTGTATATTTACCTTAACATCTACTACTCAACCAAACTAATATATTACTGAAAAATTAATCAAACATTATTATTTTTACTTGCTTAATGGTAATAGATATTAATAATGTTTGTTTCAAAAATTGAAAGATTTAAGGTAATTATTTTTAAAATATAGAACTAAATGTAATTTTTAAGAGTAAAAGAGGAAGACCATTAAAAATATCTAAATAATTAAGTATTTTATGTATCAATACGTAATGTTAATATTAAATTCATGATTGATGATGATTTATCTAGTTAAGGTTTTAAGTAAAATTTCTATGAATGATAATGTTCTTGCTCAAAATAGTAAATTAAAAAAGTAGTTTTAAACATTTTAAAAAAAGCTTTTAAATATATAAAAATGTTTTAAAGAATTACTCTGTTTAAAAGTGAGTTTATGTATGATTATTTTTTTTAATTTTAATTTATAGAAAATTAGTTAGTTACATAGTTTATTTAGTATGACAGTTTTTGCAATGATCGTAATCTTAAATTACTAATAATACGTCACTCTCTAATTTGTTTTTCAAATTTAGATTATATTTCTAAGTGTTTTACTTATTTAAAAATCCCTTATTATTCTATTTACAAACTTAAAGGATCAAACAATATATAAAAATGGCTTATTTCAACTTATAACTAATGTTAATTCATTCTTTTTGTGTAAAAATGTAAATTCGAAACACTTACATTATTGGAATTTTTATTAATAAAGTATGAAATTAATGATAAATTATTGATAAATATTACTAAAAATATTCTGAAAAACTTCTCTTTTAATTTCTTTTAAAATTGAATAAAAAAATATATAAGCAATTTGTTTTAAAGTTGTAACAAAAATTTAGACTTGCTATTTATTTTACAAATACATAAATAGATATTGATTATTAAGCAATAAAAAATCAAATTAAATAAATAAATAACAATTAGGCAAATAGTAATAACAAATATTAAAATGAGTATTTAAGTTTATTAGACTAGCTAATAAGTTTTTAATTATTTAGCAAGTATATTTGTTAAATATGAAAAAAAATATGAGAAAGGAGCTCCAATATTTTACACTCTTCTATGCTCTTTATTATTTGTAATTGTAAGTAAGATGGTTAGACTTATGCACGGATTTGGTTCTTCTGAAATACTTTGCTTAAGATCAGTAATTTCTCTTTTGATAAGCACTGTCATAACTAGTTTACTTAATCATTCTCCATATACAAGTGATAAATAACTGCATAAATTACTTATGATGAGATGTATAATAGCTGGTATAGGTCATTATTGTTTTTATCAATCAATTTACATGCTTGATGTTACAGAATCTGTAACTATATCTTAAACGTCACCATTTTGGACTACTATACTGGCTGGTTTAATTTTGAAGGAAAAGTTGAGGCCAAATCTTTTCTTGACTCTGATTTTTAGTTTTGTAGGTATTCTTCTTGTAATATAACCTACATTTGTTAAAGAAATTCTGGGTATATAAGTAGATAAGAATTAAGGAGACTAAAGTGAAAGAATGTAGGGATTAATTTTTGGTCTACTCTAGAGTTTTTCAATAAGCACAGCAATGATAATAGTAAAAAAATTGAGTGTAGGTATTTAAAATACTATAATAATACATTATGCAGTTCTTTCAACAGCTATTATAAGTGGTTTAGATTTAATTTATAAAGGCGAGTTTAATGAAAAAATATATGAGACTGAAAACTTAATTTTTGTTTTTTTTATTGGATTAACTAATTATTCGGCTTAAATAATATATAGTAGAGCGATTATGTTAGGACAGGCTTCTAAAGTAGGTCCTTTAACATATTCTTAAATTTTATTTGGGTTTATCATTGAAATAACAATATTCCATAAAGATGTTAGTTTATTAAATATAGCAGGTGCTATTCTTATTTTGATAGGAAATATTGAGTCAATTAAAGGAAAATGAAAAAAAAAATCGAATAATTTTTTTTTTTAAATTTTTTTTATTAGAATAAAAAGGTTAATATAAAATATCATGTAAATAAATTGATATTATCATAAGAATTCACATATTAATTAATTATTAAATGAAACTCATGTAATTCAACAAAGCATATTTGATTAAATTAATTAAAAAGTTAATTCATTGTTTCAAAAAATATATACTAAAATTATAAAGATGTAAAAATAATTTTAATGCAATTTAAAATATTTAGAATTAATATTTTTTAAAGGTTTTTACAATTTCTATTCATTAATTTTATTTATTTATTACCTTTAATTTGTAAAAATGTATTTATTAAGCAATCTAATTATAGAATTATATTAAAGGTAACTTCAAAATAATAGCTACAATCTAAAAATAAATAAAAATAAGTTATTAATTATTTAAACCAATCAAATGATTTGTACATACTTTTTGAGATAAACGTAAGCCAGAATAATTTTAAATTTATTTCTTTTTAAAAAGGAAAAGCAAAGCCTAATTTAAATTGATTTTTTTAATGATGGTTTTTTGTATTAGATAGAAACTTAGTTTCTTTATTTAATTGTAAGGTTTAATATGTTGTTATATGGATGGCTGGTGCTGATTATAGTTTTTATTTTTATAATTAAGATTAAAAAGAAAGTATGATCATTAAATGCATATTTAAATACATTACAATAATAAATATATTAATTTATAAATTTATAATTCAAAAGTAACATTTTTAATAACTTAGCATATATTAATCCTTTCAGCATAATCACATATTTTAAACTATTAATATTTGATTATTTTAATAAAAAAATGAATTTAAAAATCTTAATGAAGATTTTTCTTATAATTGCTCTTTGAATGAAAAAACTTTCTATATCAATGTTTTTGTTCTTCTTTTTGTTATTTTTTAATTACATATAGCTGACTGAATTCTTAGCCACTCGTTTAATTCAATTAGCTATCAGTAATTGTAAATTATTAAAAAATAACGAAAAAAAAAAATTTTGACCCTAACCAATATTAGTTATTCTTTTGTAATTTATTTCGATGTGAATTTTAATAAATAATAAAAGCTAAAAAGATTAAATAGATAAAAAATAATAAATGTCGATTCAGGCTTTGTTTTAAAAAATTGATATATTTTCTCAAATATTTTCATTTTAATTTGGAAAAACAGATAGAAAAAATAGAACGTGCTTGGGTGGAGTTTTGTCCGCTGTCATAATTATATTATGTTCCATTTATTTAGGATAGTTGCTTGATTTATATTTTGGAAACAAATTGCTCCCTAAGATTATATCTACAACACAAGCAATATAATTCACAGAAAGACAATCTTTAAATTTTGAAAAATCACCTGTCTTATTTTTTTTGTTATTTAATGGTTATCCACTTGAATAATTTGAAGCTATGACTGGTAAAAAGTATATGAACATTGATATTTACTATACCTAGTATTATATGAATATGACAAAGTAGTATATTCTACCTTAAATTGATTGTGGTTTAGTTTATCCTAACCAAACCTTTGATGGATATAGATGTATAGATTTTAATAGTATTGATATTGACAAAAAATCTCTTACTTTCTCAGGAGATTTTTAAACTTCATATGAAATTCACTTTTCTTCTTGCTCTGGAGAAATTAATTGTGCGCCAGAATAGGAAACATTACAATACTTAACCTAGTATAATAGTACATTATTTGCTCATTTAGTAACACAGTAATTCAATTAAACTACAAGATAGTTTTAGGAAAACTTTAACTTTTAATAATTTTCTTTTGATGATTACTTAGTTTTTTTATCATAAATCAGTATTCAAAAAACTACATCTACGATTTAGTAAGGTTTTATGCTTCAAGATTCATCTTAAAAAGACTATATATCAAATATTCATAGATTAGATACTTAATATACAAGAAATAATATAAAATCAAAGATTAATTTTGAAGGATATGGCTTTTTATTTATCTATTTAGATTAAAATTATAATTAGATTGTATTCTAATTTCCTATGATAACTGAAGTCTTATCTCAGTGTGTTTGCGTGTTTAACATTTTTTTTGTTTTTGGTTATTTTGCTTCAGCCTTTTCTCGATACTAAATTGTAGAAAAATTAAGCGGAGTTTACTTGAAAGAATACTTTAAAGGTACAGCAGCTTATTTGATTCAAAAATAGTAAAATTAGAGTCCAAATATAGATTTAAATCGCTCATATGCTGAAGAAATAATCAAAATTCAAGAATAGATTAATAACACAGATTTTTAAACAAATCTTCATAAAGTTTGCAAAATAAACTTTTTTTAAAGGTAAAATTTATTTTTATTCAGTTTTTAATTTAAATAAAATAATTTAAAAAATTTAAATAGGATAAGATTAATGATTCTACGTTGGATAGGATTGGATAAGTAGAATCAAAATGAAGAAGATATTTAAAAAAGCATATATGAAAAGATAATTGATTACACTCTTTCATAAATGGATATATTTTAAGTTTATAAGTAATTAATTCACCTAAATATGGCAATTAAACTCATTCTTACAAAAGAGTAATATGCAACTTTAAAATTTTGCGGATGTAATCTAGATGAATCTTTAGAATTATTAAATTTTGATGATAAAATCAACAAAAATAATGTTCTTTAATAAACATAATTAAGCTAAATTTAATAGCTGAATTATTCAATAAAATAAGACATTAATCTATCTAATACAAATTAAACACTTTCCAAAATAAAACTAAGTTATGCAACTTAAAAATCTATGATTAATAATTCACCTCAGAGAGTAAATAATACCATAGATATTGATTCATAACTTATGCTCTTTGAAAAAAGTAAGGATTTCATATTAACAAAAGAACAAGGAGTTGATAAATAAAACCAAGCACAAAAATTAGAAAATTTATAAAAAGGTAATTTGAAAAAGAAAAGTCAGTTAATAGTAACTTCACCTAATATTTTTTTACAGTAAGAAAGAAAAATTGCAAATGTTAAAAACAATTTATAAAATGTAGATAATAGTCAAATATAATCTCAAAAGGGCTCTACAAATTAATAAGAGGTAAATTATGATAAATAAATAGGGCTTGATGATGCTTCACCCTAAATATGCAAGGAGAGTTATACTGCAAAAAATCCTTTAATCTTATCCAAACTAAATTCTATGAAAAATAAAAAGGATAAAGAAAAACAGTATTAATAATAGAAAGATAAGACATATTCTTTTAGCAGTATGAATAACAGTATTATAAAAAGTAACTTTTTGGATTCTCAATAGAATAATAAAATTACCAAAGCTTAAGGAGATGTTGAAACTGAACTAAGTGAAACCTGCTTTCAAAATTTAACAAATAATTTAAATTAGAAACCAAGTAACTTGAGGTTGAATTTACCGTTTTTAGAAAATGAAGATTTCGAAGGACATTAAAGCTATATTAGTAAATAAATAAATCACATAGAAGAGTTAAACAAACTAGACAAAGATGAAAAGCTGTAAAAGGCAGAACTTTATAATTTTTTGAATAAATTCTAAAATAATATCAAATCGATATCATATATTGATAAAAATATATTCAACTCTTTAATCATAAATTACAAAAATTCAAATATACTTTGAATTATTTAAGTTATTTCGCCAAGCAAATAAATAATCTGCTTATATTTCCTCTTATTTTTATAGTTTTTAATGAAATTTTTCTTAAAATAGGAAAATAAACTTAAAATATTTATAATATCTTGTTTTTTCTTTTTGAGAATTATATACTTAAATAAATACATCTCTATTTGTTTAAATTTATAATTTATAAACTCTAAATGAAATAATTCCTCAAAATATTTATTATAATTTGTGTATAATTTTTCTAGGTTTTGAAATTCCTTTGGTTATAAGGATAGTAAGCCAAGTTTTTATTATTATTTAGATAAAAAATGATTTTATGGCAAATTACATGCTCTTTTTGTTTTTTTAAATCAAAAAATATAAAAAAAACCTCAGTTTTAACAAAAAATTTAAAATTTAATAAAAATTTACAATTCTATAAAAATCACAAAAATCAAAAATTCTATTTTTATAAAATTGAAGATATTTTTAAATTAACATTTATTTATCATTCATATCTTTAAAAATAAATGGGTAAAAAAGTTAAAGAGTTATATGGTCAGTTAATAATGCATGCTTATTATTAATAATAGATATAAATAATGTATGATTAAAATAGTATGAGATTAAGGGTAAATTATTTTAAAAATATAGAACTCAATGTAAATTTTACCAGTAAAAGAGGATAGCTCAATGAAAAATAAAAAGGCAAAAGAAAAACAGTATTTAAAATAGAAAGATAAGTGTTTTCATTTAGCAGTATGAATATAGGTATTATAAAAAGTAACTTTTTGGATTGTCAATAGAATAATAAAATTACCAAAGTATAAGGAGATATTTACAAAATTTAGCAAATACGCTAAATTAGAAATCAAGTAACTTGAGGTTGAATTTGATGTTTTTAGAAAATGATGATTTTGAATCTCATTAAAGCTTAGTAAATAAATAAATCACTTAGAAGAATTAAACAAATTAGACAAAAATGAAAAGCTATATAAGAGAGAACTTTAATTAATTCCATTAAATTTATAAAAAAGGAGTTTCATTAATAAAAAAAATATTTATATAAATATGTAAAAAATAATTTTAATCGAATTTAAAATATTTATTAATAGTTTACTTATTTGTCATTTACTATTTTTATATGTAATATTATTTATTATAAATAATTGTAAAAGTGTATTTGATTAATTTTCAAATTCTTTGCTTTTAAATAAAAAAATTTCAAAAATATATCTACAATTAAAGTATTAAACATCATCAATAATTATTAATTAAAATAAATGCTTGAGGTTAAATTATAATTGATTAAGTTACATATCTTTTTTGATAAAAAATGTAAACCAAAATCATTTTTTAAATTTATTTTCCAATAAAATGAAAAGGAAAGCTTAATTTAAATTAGTTTTTTCAATGATAATTTATGTAAACGAAAATTAGTTATCTAATTGAATAGTAGGACTTTAATTTATTACTATTTGAGTATATTTAAAACTTTAGAAAATTATAAATGATAAAATTATATATAACATTATTTTATTCTTTTTTGTTATTTTTTAATTACATTTAATTGAGTTTTTAACCACTCATTTATTAAATTATCTACCCATTAATTTAAAATTAATAGAAAAATAAAAAAGTTTTCACCAAAACAATATTACGTAGCTAATTTTTTTAAATTTATTTATTTTCAAGTAGGTTTTAATGAACATCATAATTAATAATAATTAAAAAAATTAATAATTAACAAACAAGAAACATAAAAAATGCAAATTTAGGCCGTGTTTGAAAAAATTGATTTATTTTCTTAAATATTTTCATTTTAGTTTGGAAAAAAAGATATAAAAAATAAAACATTCTTAGGCGGAGTTTTATCTGCTACTATAATTATAGTATGTACCATTTATTTAGGAAATCTACTTGATTTATATTTTGGAAATAAATTGCTCCCTACGATTATATCTACTACTCAAACAATATAATTCACAGAGATACAATCTTAGAATTTTGATAAGTCACCTATATTATTTGCGTTAATGATTAACGGATATCCCCTTGAATAATTTGAAGCTATGACTGGTAAAAAGTTTATGAATGTCGATGTATACTTTACTGAGTATTATATGAATATGACAAAGTAGTATATTTTACCTTAAATAGATTGTGGGAAGATTTATCCTAACCAAACCTTTGATGGATATAGATGTATAGATTTTAGTAGCATTGATACTGAGAAGAAATCCCTTACTTTCTCAGGAAGTTTTCAAACAACTTATGAAATTCGTTTATCTTCTTGTTCTGGTGAAAATAATTGTGCACCAGAGAAGGAAACCTTAAATTATTTAACCTAGTATAATAGTTCATTATTTGCTCATTTTGTAACATCATAATATAACTATACTACAAGACAGTATTAGCAAAACATACAATTTTAATAATTTTTTTTTGATGATTTCTTAGTTTTTTTGTCGTAGATTAAAATGGAAAAAACTACATCTAAAATTTAATAAGGCTTTATGCTTCAAGATGCATCCATAAAAGAACACATATCAAATATTCATAGGTTTGATACTTAATATTCAAGAAATAATATAAAGTAAAAAATTAATTTCGATGGATATGGTTATGTATTTATGTATTTAGACTAAAATTACAGCTAGATTGCCTACTAATATCCTATGATAACAGAAATTTTATCTCAGTGTGTTTGCGTTTTTAATATTTTTATTGCGTTTGGTTCATTTGCTTCAGCTTTTTCTAGATACAAAATTGTAGAAAAATTAAGTGGAGTTTATTTGAAGGAATACTTTAAAGGCACGGCAGCTTATTTGATATAAAAATCGTAATCTTAAAATCCAGGTTTTGATTTAAATAATTCGTACGCTGATGAAATTTTCAAGATTCAATAACAGATTAAAAACACAGATTTTTAACAAAATATCCATAGAGTTTGCAAAGCAAGCATTTTTTAAAGGTAAAAAATTCTTTTGCTTTTAATTTAAATCAAATAACATAAATTAAAAAATGTAAATTAGGATAAGATTAATGATTCTATAAATGCTAGGAATTGAGAAGTAGAATTTAGAAGATGAGGGGATTTAAAAAAGCATATATGAAAAGATAATTGATTACACTCTTTCATAATGGATATTTTTTAAGTTTATAAGCAATTAATTCATCTAAATATGGCAATTAAATTGATTCTTACGAAGGAGTAATATGCAACTTTAAAATTTTGCGGATGTAATCTAGATGAATCTTTAGAATTATTAAATTTTAATGACAAAATCAACAAAAATAATGATCTATAAAAGAGTGAATTATTCTAAAATTAACAGCTAAATCACTCAACAAAATAAGATTTTAATCAATAAAATACTAATTAAATATCTTCATTATCGAAAGTAAGCAATTTAACTTAAAAAATAATGTTTAATAATTCACCTTAGAGATTAGATAATACAATAGATATTGATTCTTAACTTAGGCTCTTTGACAAAAGACAGGAATTCATATTAAAAAAAGAAGAAAGTAATGATAAATAAAATTAATCATAAAAACTTGAAAAGTTTTAAATGAATTCATGGATATAGAAAAGTGATTAAACTTTATTTTAACCTAGTATTTTTTTATAGCATGATAGAAAGATTGAAACATTTAAAAGTAATTAAGCAATAAGAGATATAGGTTAAATATAATTTCAAAATACCTCTATAATATATAAAGAGGAAAATGAATAAAAAGAGTCTGAACAAACCTCCTATTAAGTGGATAAGGAGAGTTAAATTGGTAAAGATTCTTTAATTTTATGCAAAATGAATGCTATTAAAAATAGAATAACTAGAGAAAATGATATTTTAAAAGGCAAATATAAAGCATCCTCTTTTAGCAGTTTAAATAACAGTATGATAAAAAATAACTTTTAGGATTCCCAATAGAATAGCAAAATTATTAAAGCTGAAGGAGAAGTTGAAACTGAACTAAATAAAACCTATTTACAACATTAAGTAAGTACACCAAATTAAAAATCAAGAAATATTAGGTAAAATTTATAGTTATTAGAGAATGAAGATTTCAGTATTATTAAATGCAACTTTTTGGATTCTTAATTGAACAGTAAGATTGTTAAAGCCTAAGGAGACGTTGAAACTGAACTATGTGAGAGTTGTTTACAAAATTAACCAAATTCAACATTATAAAAAAATAGCTAATTTAGGTAAAATTTAAAGCTATAAGAAAACGAAGATTTAGAAGCACATTAAAGCTATATTAGTAAATAAATAAATCACATTGAAGAGTTAAACAAAATAGACAAAGATGAAAAATTATAATAGGCAGAACTTTATAATTTCTTAAATAAATTCTAGAATAATTTCAATTCAATATCATATATTGATAAAAATATATTTAACTCTTTAATTGTAAATAAACAAAATTCCAATGTATTTTGAGTTATTTATTTTATTAAAAAATATTTAAAGACCAAAAAAAAATTTAATTAAATTTTTAAACAAATGAAGAGATAAATAACCCTCCTCCAATTTCCTCTTTTAAAGCCAATTCAAATTGAAAAAATGTAAAAAAAAACAATTTGAGGCTTGTAATTAATTTTTATGTTTTATAAAAGTTTGATTAACTTTAACAAAAAAATTGATAACTGTTCAAAATATATTAAAATAGTTTGAAACAAAATAATAACATTTTCAATAAAATAATTTATATACAAATAATGATTTTTTATGTTGCTTTTATTAGTTTCACTAATAATTTTTATTTTTAAGATTTTTAAGGAATTCTCTATTGAAATCAGAAATTGAATCATTTAAATTATGGGAATGTTCTATTGTATTTTAATCTTTTAAATTATTATTTACAGCTTATCCATAATAGCGAGAATCGTTAATTTCTTCATCTTATTCTTCTATTACATTGATATGAACATTTTGCAAAGATTGGTAATTTTAATTATCTTAGTGGTATTTATGGTCAGAATCGGTTTAGTAGGTATTAAATTTTTGTTAACTATTGATTATATTAGCACTTTTGCTGTAACTATCGCTATATTAGTCAACATTTGAAGCACTTCTTTGATTTAGTATGTTTTATCTTGAAAAATCAGTCATGTTCATTTCATTTACTTAACTAATTGTGTTCTTTTTGTAAGCAGGTAAATTTATCTAACCCTTGCTATTAGGCGTGGAGTTGTAATTAGGATTTTAATTTATACCTGCTCCTGTTGCAAATACTGAAGGAGGAAGGTATGAACCTCTACTGTTTGATACCAAACCTATATTTCTGTTTGAAGTATTTGGGTTTGAATATCCATTAACAATATTTGGATTCACTTTTATATTATTTTCATCTTAGAGAGATATTTATTCAATTTAAGCTTCACTTTTTCCTTTGGCTAACATTACAAGGGCAACAACATAGAAGAAATAAATTCCTAATTATGTTAGATTAGGAAAATCTTGATAACCAAAAATAAAAGCTAAAAGCATTGCAGCAAAAGCTTCACTCATAATAGCTATATCAACATAAATAGTTTTAAGCTACTGACTAATGTACGAGAATAGCTTTGTGTTTACAACACCAGTTACCAAGCTGATAAAAATATTTAAAAATATCCACTTAACTGAGAAAACACCAAATAAACCATGATTCGTATTCATATCGAAAGTTGACTTTTCAAATATCAAGCTGTAAATTCCAAAGAAAATTGTTGTAAAAGTTGAGAGTAAAAAAACAGCAAGCATCCAAGGATATTCGCATGTTATTTACTATATATTAGAGTAATAAATAGAAGCAGATAAAGCGCCTGCAAGAGCAATAAGTTCAGGGTAAACCACTGATGTATCTTCATAGACTAGTAGAACTAATACACCTATAGACAAAAGAGCGCCAAAAGTTTCAAACTTGTTGATTGATTATTGCTAAACTTTTTCTTCTTTTGGAGTAAAGTGAGATAGTATCTTATAAATAACAAGGAATAAAGGGTAAATGTTATTAAAAATATAGACATTTGCAATAGAAGTATGGAACACGCTGTAAGCCATAGTGCCTACCCAAACTGCGTAAACAAATGAGCAAAAAATAATTGTTTTCAAACATTTTTTATTAAAAATGTGCTCTCTTTAATACAATCTCATTTCCTCTATTTCTTCTGTTTTTTCCTTACTATATTCCTAGTAAATCAAAGGGATAAAAAATATTGAAATTAATATTTAACGCCAGAATGCGCGTAAAATGAATCCCCCTGTTTATGTTTCGTCTTCAGGATCTTTAAGATCAATCATTAAAAACGCAGTACCTTTAAAACCAGAAATAAAAACAGCTAAAATAGTCAATAAAATAGTTGAATATGGTATAGGACGTGACAATTGTTGGGCTATTTATTTAGATGCTATATGGCGATTATCAAAAAAGGAATTAGTATTTCTTGTTTAATCTACTTTCCAACTGTAACCCTAATTTTACTATTGAAATTATAATTATTCCTATCTGTTTGATTAGCTATAGCCATGGTATTCATAATCTTCGTCGTCTGAAACTGAGTTATTTTATGGATAAGCTTATTATTAGCGGCTTACTGCATTTGTAATTTTAGGTATTTCTGAATTCTTGCGAATCTATTCTAAATTTACTGCGTAGGATAACTAATTTGAATTTTCTTTCATTAAATCTAACTGCTTATTTTTTTTTGTGGTGCCTTCTAATATCTATATGTATCTTTGTAAGTTTTCTAAAAGAAATCTACTTCATAATAATAATTGATTATTAAAAATTATATAGATATGTAGAAATTCAAAAGATGGAATATTTAATCAATCAAACTATATCGAAAACAAAGAAAACTAAAAAATAAAATTACCTTAATTTATAGTTTTAATATGCTTTCTTCTTTCACTGTGGCCTAAAACAAACTTTGATTAGCTATGACTAATAATTAATGAATATTTTCTCTTAGTTTATGTTGAAAATATATTATTTATTTATTAATTTATTTTAGATAGAAATAAAAAGAGCTTATAAATAATTTTTTAAATTATTAAAAATAATATATTTGAGATGATTTTTATAAAAAAAAAATAAATGAAAGAAGAAACCTATATAAATATTAAAATCATAGATAATATAGATAGATAGATTTGTTTGTTTGTTTATTTGTTTTATTTACTAATTTTTTTATTAATTATACCTAATAATCAAAATTAAAAATATTAAAGGAAAATTTAAAATTATGAATTAAGACATTTATTATTAATGAATAACATAATTGACTGAATAATTGACTCAGTGCATTTTTATCAAAAGATATCAAATCATTTATTTCGAAAATTCTAAGTAAGTTTTCCATTCTCTTTATTTTATAAATATTTTTTTAATTTGTTTCTTTTGTTTTTGTCTTTTGTGTTAATTATTGTGTTGGTATTTATTATTTTCTATTCTATTTAAGTAAATAGAGATAGAATTTAAATGTTTTAAAATAGATATGAAATATGATATTTTCTGTTTATTCTAATTACAAACATATTCAACGATAACATTATTTTGTAAAAATATAAATTTTTTTTCTAAAGTAAAATATTTGATAAAAATATTTATTTAAAATTATTACTAAGAATATTTTATTATTTTATAAATATATTAATTCTATTTATTTTATACTTAAATTATATGAAGAATCCCTTTTTTTCTAGAATTATTTATAAAATATTTGTAATTTTAAAATTTATTTTTAAATTATTTGAAACATTTATTAAGGGTAGATCTTGAACTATTAAAATTAAATAAAATGATAAAAATTAATTTTTATTTAAAAGTTAATTGGAAAATCAAATCATAAATCTAAAATAAATTATTTTTAAGAATTTCTTAGATTTAATAAAAAATGTTATTGCTTGATAAATTGAGAAATAACCATTTTGAATATAAAACAATAGTAAAACAAATGCTAGATTCAAAATATTTATTTGCTAATTAAAAAATATTAACATTTTGTTAGTGCTTATTATCGAAATGTCTCAGAATTACTTTGTAGCTCATTTTTTCATAAAATGAATTTTTTCTATTAATTTAAAGCAAATAAATATTTTATTTAATAATGAATGTTGCCTTTTGAATAATCATTCTTTTTATTTTTCTAACTCAAATTATAATGTTATTTTTATAATTTTTCAATTTATCTAAGTTTTACTGCCAGTAATTAAATTCAAGTTAGAATTTTTATAAGTTTCTGCTCCTGAAGTAAATACACTAGGCGGAAAATATGAGTTTTTGTCATTTTGAGTTAAACCAACAATATTTTAATTTTAGAAATTATAATGAGAATATCTACTGTAATAGTTTGAGTTTAATACTATACTATCTTCATCTAATAAATGAATTTGTTATATTTGAGACTCACTTTTTCCTTTTGCTAAAAGTATATGAGCTATAATGTAGAAGATATATATTTTAAATGAGTTATAAGAGAAGAAATCTTGATATCCTAAAAAATAAGCCAGAATCATAGCAGTAAAAGGTTCAAATGCGATTAGTATATCTATATAAAGAGTTTTAAGCTATTAGCTAATAAAAGAGAATACCTTCATATTTACTACTCCAGTTATAAAGCTGATAAAAGTATTTAAGAATATCCATTTAAAAGAGAAAACACCAAATAAACCATGACTTGTATTCATATCCAAAGTAGAATCTTCAAAAATCAAGCTGTATACTCCAAATATAATTGTAGCAAAAGCAGAGAATAAAAAAATAGCTAGCATCTAAGGATATTCGTATCTAATATTTTTTTTGTATGTGTAATAAATAGAAGCAGATATAGCCCCTAAAAGGGAAATAAGATAAGGATAAAAAACACTCTCGCCTTCAAAAGCAAATAGAAATAATACTGTGACAAATAAAAGAGTGCCAAATATTTCAAATTTGTTTATTGATTGTTATTACACTTTTTCTTCTTTAGGAGTATAGTACTACAATATTTTATAAATTACAAGGAATAAAGGATAACTATTATTGAAGATATAGACATTTGCAATAGAAATATGGAAAACACTGTATACCATAGTGCTAAGCCATACTGCAGAAAAAAATGAGCAAAAAATAATTGTTTTTAAATATTGTCTATTAAAAATATGCTCAATTTGATAAAGTCTCATTTCCTTTATTTCTTCTTTTTTTTCCTTGTCATATTCTTGATAAATTAATGGTATAAAAAATATTGATGCTAATATTTGTCGCCAGAAGGCCCGTAATATAAAACCTCCCGTTTAAGTTTCATCTTCAGAATCTCTAATATCTATCATTAAAAATGCGGTACCTTTAAAACCAGAAACAAAAACATTTATTATAATTGCTATTACTGTCTATAAAATAGCTTATTAAGAAATTTTAGGTTTTTTATTTTGCTATTCTATTTATGATGAAAATGTTCTTTGGTGCTTATATATGAAACAATTATTAATTTTATTAGTATCCATATTTAAACTAAAACTTTCATTTAAGAGTTGCAATTACATTTAATCTTAAATAGTAGTTTAGTTAACACTATAAAAATCGAAATCCCAACTTTCATCATTTTCTTCAACTGAGTTTTTTAGTGCATTACTCTTTTATAAACGACCAACTAAATTTGTAATTATTGGTATTTCTGAATTTCTACAATTCTATTCATTATTAGCTAATTACGATAACTAGTTATAATTTTCTATCATTTAACCTAACTGTTTAAATTATATGTGCCTTTAGGGATCTTATGCTTTTTTCAAATTTTCTTAAAGTTGTGATCATTTATTTTAATTTTTAAAAATTTATGTATTTATGTAGAATTAATTAGACAATGTTTTTAATCAAACTAATGATATAAAAAATAAGAAAAAGTAAAAAGGTAAGAGGCTATAATTATTACTATTTAATCCTTACTCTGTGATCTCAGACAAACTTTGATATGATATGAAATTACTATCAATTATCCGAATTAAAAAATGTTTTCTTTATTTTCGATAGATAAATAGATATATAAAATTTATAGTGATTGCAAACACTTTATATATTTATATATAAATTTCATAAATAGATAGAAAAATAATTAAAAAAAGATAATTAATGCTTTTTTACCTTAATTTCTAATTATAGTAGCAAATTAAAAAGCAGTAATATAATAAGTAGATGAAATATTTATTATTTATGAAATTTTATTAGAATTATAATTTAATCTGTGCTCTATAAAATACATAACTATCAATCAATTATGATTTCTTTTAATATTTCATTTTTAGCTAAATTATGTGTTTAAATTATTTAAAATAATGAATCAGTATTTATATAACAAATTTGATAATAATCTATTCTAAAAACAATATTTTAAATATTAGCTCTCTGTATTTAAGTAATATTATTTTTTATTTTATCTATCAAAAAATAAATATTTAAAAATATAAATAATAGAAAATTAAATATTATTACATGCACATTCAATTATATTGTATTCAAAATATAATTATGTTAAAAAATTAAAAAGTTAATAAGTTGTAAAAAGAAATTAAGAGTTGGAATAGATGGTAAAGCTGAAAATTTATAGATTTTATAAATATATTTTTATTCCACAGTGAATTTGTAAATACAAGGGGATATTTCAAAATAATTTTTATTTTACATAATAATATAAAATTTTAATTATCAAAATTTTTAATTTAGTTTTAGTTTAATAAAATAAATCTATTTATTAATTAAAAAATTTTACAAAAATTTAGTTAAATAAAAATTCTTATTATTTTTATTTGAACATAAATACATATTTTTAGAATTATGCTTGTCTTGGTTGTGATTTAAAAAACATTTTAATTTAGAAAATTCATTTAAAAAATCATTTTTTATTAACATTTAAAAAGTATTTTGAAATATAAATAAAATTAGTTACTGATACTTTTTAATTTTATATAGAAAATTATTAAAAAATAAGTTTTTGATTCAAATTTTATCAGTTTAACTTTTTTTACTGTTACACTGAATTGATAATAAACTAATTAGACTGCATTTTTAATTAATGTAACATAATATTCTATTTTTTCCATTTTTTTTCTTAAACTATTACCATGTTAGTTATTAATAGCACCTTATTTTAAATTTATAATAAAATCTCTTAATTTATTTTTAGCACTTGTTTTAGTTAATATTCAGAAATAAATCAATCAAATAAAGCAGATGGTAAATTTTCTCAATAACCTAATCAGAAAAGCTCTAAACTTGTCGATTTACATTCAAGAATTTGAAAAGAAGCATGGGAAAATTATACCTATTGCTTATACATTGATATCGTCTCTCTTATTTGTTATCGTCAGTAAAATAGTTAGGTCACTTCATGGCTTTGGGTCTTCATAAATATTTTTTTTCAGATCTATCATTTCTCTATCAATAAGTACAATATTAATATCAATTATGGGAGATAGCCCATATACAAATGATAAAGCTATACATAAATTACTTATTTTTAGATGTCTAATAGCTGGAGTTGGACATTATTCTTTCTACTAAGCTATGTACATGTTAGATGTCACAGAGTCTGTTACTATTTTTCAAACTTCTCCTTTTTGGGTTACAATTTTAGCAGGAATTATTTTGAAAGAGAAAATAAAAGCAAACATGTTTTACACTCTTTTTTTTAGTTTTCTAGGTATTCTTTTGATTATTTAGCCTCCTTTCATGAAAAATATGTTTGGAATGAATAATTAATAAATTGAAAAAGATTAAAGCGAGAGAATTTTAGGATTCTTTTTTGCCTGTCTTTAAAGTTTTATGGTAGGATTCGCAATGGTTGTAGTGAAAAAGCTAAGTTCAGGAGTATCTAATCTAATAATAATTCACTATGCCTTAATTTCTGGTTGTTTAATAGGAGGACTTGATATTATAAATTATGGAAAATTTAATACTGAGATATTCTAATCTTAGACTTTTATTTTAGTATTTCTTGTTGCAATATTTAATTATTCTGCTTAATTACTATATAGTAGAGCTATTATGTTGGGAGAAGCTTCTAAACTAGTACCTTTTACTTATTCATAAATAGTTTTTGGATTTATTATCGAGATACTAATATTTCACCAAGAAACTAATTTACTAAGCATTCTAGGATCATCTCTAATTATATTTGGAAATATTTACTCCTACAAAAAAAGATGACTCTTATTAATTTTAAGACAAACTAACAAACACCAACCACAATATAACAAATTCAATTATATGATATATAAAATGAGATTCTAAATTATGTTAATTTTATATTTAAAAAAAAAATATTTTTTATAATATTTTTTCTTTTTAAATAAATCAAATATTATCAATACTCAATATTTAAAAAAAATTATCATCTAAAGCATATTAACAACTTACTAATATTACAATAAACTTTAAAGCTTACAGTGAAAGCTATATTAATCCATCTATAACATTTTCTTTAATTTTTGTGAATGGAGTAAATTAATTAAGATAATTTTATGTTTCAAATAGGTTTTAAAGTAATTAAACAAAGCCAAAGTTAAATTTTTGATTGATTTATTTTGAAATAAAAAACATTATTTTTTTAAATTTGAGACTTTGATTTAATATTTAAAATTAAATATCCATTTATTATTTAATTTTATTGCTTATCTTTTTTTATAAGTTTAAATGAACTTTTAAAATAATTTTGATTTACTCATAAAAAAATAAATTTTTATTTTTTAATTTTAGAAAATATGAGCAATCAATGAATTTAGTTAATAAATATTATAAGTTACAGTGAGATAAATAATAACTTCAGATAGTAAACTATTAAAAAGTGTAAAATTTGTATTTCAATATTTACTAAATAAATTAAGATTAATTGTTAAATTAATTAATAAATTCACACATACACGAGTAGTAACTTTACCAATGTAAATAATTTTTTATTGTTAGATTTTTTTTGTTCAAGATATTGCCATTAATTTTAATTTTTTAATTTGGAACTCTTTAAAAACAAAAAATTAGATTTATTGATGCTTATAATTTCTTCTACTTAAATAAAAAATCTTACAGAATTCAATGATAAAAAGTTTGAATAATTATTTAAAAAAGGCTTAAAATTTTTCAATTTACATCTAAGAATTTGAAAAGAAATATGAAAAAGGAATCCCTATTGCTTATACATTGATTTCATCACTTTTTTTTGTTATTGTTAGTAAATTAGTTAGGTCTCTTCATGGCATTGGGTCTTCATAAATATTTTTCTTCAGATCAATTATATCTTTGTCATTTAGTACAATATCAATATTAATTATGGGAGATACCCCATATACTAATGATAAAGACATACATAAACTATTAATGTATAGATGCATTATTGCTGGCATAGGACATTATTCTTATTATTAAGCCATGTATATGCTTGATGTAACAGAATCTATTACCATATTTCAAACTTCTCCTTTTTGGGTTACTATTTTAGCAGGGATTATTTTGAAAGAAAAGATAAAGGCGAATATGTTTTACACTCTTTTCTTTAGTTTTCTTGGTATTCTTCTAATCATTTAGCCACCTTTTGTGAAAAATATTTTTGGAATGAGCCACGAGTATATTGAAACAGATTAAAGTGAAAGAATTTTAGGATTTTTTTTTGCCTGCCTTTAAAGTTTTATGATAGGATTTGCCATGATCGTAGTAAAAAAGCTAAGCAAAGGAGTATCTAATCTTATTATCATACACTATGCCTTAATTTCAGGTTGCTTTATAGGAGGACTTGATCTTATAAAAACTGGATAGTTTAATACTGTAATATTTAGTTCAGATATTTTTTCATTAGTCTTTCTTGTAGCGTTATTTAATTATTCTGCATAAGTATTATATAGTAGAGCTATTATGCTAGGTGAAGCTTCTAAACTAGTTCCATTTACTTATTCATAAATTCTGTTTGGTTTTATTATTGAAATATTAATATTTCATAAAGAAGCTAATTTATTATGCATGTTAGGATCCTCTCTTATAATATTTGGAAATATATATTCCTATAAAAAAAGATGAATACATTAATTCATAGTTAAGTATCAAAAGTTAAATAAATATATAATTTAATAATTAATAAAAATATATTAATTTTGTGTTTTAATTGGAAATATAAAATTTCTTAACAAATCTTGTTCATTTTACAACAAAAGTCTTTTTAGTTAATAAATTAAATCTTCATCTCAATTAGAATTTGAATTAAAATTTAACAGTATATATGAGAATAACATTAACATATCTTATTATCTTGTAAAAAAGGAAAATTATTTGATAAATACAATTGAATATATTTATTTTGTTTTATTCAAATTGTTTTTTTTATTTCAAAAATATAAAATTATTAAAAAAATTAAAATAAAATAATTAAAAATGTTGTTTAAATAATAGCAGCCAGCAGCTTTAATATCAATTTCATAAAAAAATGAATTTTGATTCAAATCAATTATTTAAAAAAATTTTTTAAGATAGTTCAAAATTAATAAATATTTTGGTCTTTATTAAATAGAATAAATTCATTAAATATATAATAATTAGTATAAAAAAATTTCTTAATTTCTTTTTTACATTGCGAGAATATAGTTTTTAAAATTTAATTTCTTAATATTTTAATCAAAAATAATTTGTGATAAGTTTAATTTATTTTTCTAGATTTATTTGATGATTATGAAAGACATTTTATAATAAAACATTTTTATAACTAACAGTGCATTTTTTGTGAATAAATAATTATATAAAAATAGAAACAAAATAATTTATTTTATCAATTAAGGATCAATTTAAGTAAAATAAATACAAATTTATAAAATGGAATATACTTAATAATAATTAAAAATTATAATAGTATATAACTGATTGAAATAATAGCTGATTAAATTAAACCGATAAAAAAAACTTGCAGTTTATTTTTTAATAAATATGATAAACAGTTTATAAAAACTATAAATATTTAAAAATAGATTCAATATCTGATGCAAATACGTTAAGGTGTTATTGATTTAATTAATTTTTTAGATATGTTTCATTAGCTTAATTTCAATAATGTTTATATTTTCATAATTTTAGAATACAATTTTTAAAGAAAGATACTAAATTCTTTAATATTTCAATTATAACAAAAGTAAGTAGTTTGACGAGCTAAATAACTAAAATGTTTAAGATTTTTAAAAAGAGCAAGAAATAAAACAAAAGCAAAAGAGAATCTTCACTAGATAGCATGAAGGAGTAATTCGTATAATCCACTAAAGCCAAAAATCTACCTCCCCGTTTTGCGGAGTAGCTATTATTTTTAGAAATGGAAATGGAGTAAGAAATAGTGGATCTAAACAGTGTTAAAAAGCTTTTAGAGTTATATGCAGTAAAATAAAATAATATAATTTAAATTTAAATAAATAAAATGTATTTCTCAACAAATATTTTCATAAAAGAATACATTTTATTTAATATTTATATTTATTATTTGCTTAAACATAATTTTTTTAAAAATTAAGAATGCAATAGAGTATTATGAATCAATTAAAAGTGACAAATATTTTATTTTTAAAAATAAAACATAATCGCTTTTACTGAAACCTAACGTTTCTTCAGCCATGATTAGAGAATAAATGTAAAATAGATAAAAATAAGATATGCTTAAAAACAAACAAGAAGACCAATCAAAGGTAACAAACAAATAAATAAAAATGCAAAAATTATGTCGAGTTTTGAAAAATATAAAATATTCATAATCAATTAAGCTTGAAATAGAGAAAATACCAAAGAAAATTTAATTGTTATTAACGAAGACTTTAGATTAAGCTTATTGATATAATTTACTCTATTTTTGAAAAATTAATTAACTCTAAATTCTTCGTATGAAACTAATTTGTGAAGAAATTAGCTTTCGAGTATATTTATGAAAAAAAATTGTTTCAATACGCCAAATAATTTAGAATATTATCAATCTATTTTAATCTGACATCTTTTAAATTTCTACTTAAAAAATAGATGGCAAAGCATGAAAACAACCAAAAAGTCAAGGAAGAATAAAATCTACCCATAGCTCTTTAGCAACAGTAAAAAGAGCATAATTTAAAAGTTTAATATATAAATGCACAGGATTCTTAAGAAAATGCTAAGATATTGCTATGCTAGCATAAGTAGGAATAAAATTATACTAAGAATATTATAAATGGAGAAATAAAAAATTAAACTAACGAAGTACTAAAGAGACTAGAACAAAGAAGGAAATCAAAGCTGGAAAAAGTAGAGTAGTGTTCTTAAATTGTTTAGAGAGATAGAACTATTTCTTTACAAATAGACAATAGCTTTGATGAAAGAAAGAAACAATTTGAAGATTCATCCATTTAAAAATAAAACATCAAATAATTAAATTAATTACTTGACTAATTAAGTCTCCAAAAAAATGAACAATCACCTTAGTCTTCTAATTCAACAAAAGAGGATTCTACATCTTGCTCTTCTTAAAATGAAAAAAAGCCATCAGAAATAGGTTCCTCAGGTAGTAACATATCCCCAATTAAGGAAGAGATTGACTTAAATCAATATAAAAAAGCTGATTTTTCTTCAAATAAGAAAAAAGATAATTTATCTATGAAGAGGAATATAAATGACTTATACTAGACACCAAATAAAGAAAACGATAAGCAACTGATAAATAAAATTATTATCAACGGCTTTAGTAATAGCAGTAGTAACCAAGCCAATCTAGACTCACCAGTATTAATCAAAATGAATTCTTATGGTAAAAATGCTGACCAAAAGTAATTAAATATGAAATGGATGACAGCCTCAACCAACAATTTCCATAACGCTTTCTAATTCAATTGAATTCATTTTCATTAGTATATTTAACTTATAATAAAAAAATCTGAATTCACATTTCGTTCAAAAGAGAAGAAGTGTGTTATATAAAATAATTAAACAAACTATTTTTATTAATTTATGATAATCTATATAATATTTATATTAATTTTAATTTTGTCTATAGATATTTATCTAAATGCATCCTTTTTAATCACAAAAATACAAGTAAAAACAAAGTTAAATTTAATTTAAGCTTATTTAGATACAATATTTTTATTTATGTGTTTTTTATAATCAAATAAAAACGAATATTTTTAGCAGAATTTATTCGTCTGAGTAAAAGATTTTAAAAAATATTAATTACTTCTACAAGTAAAGTATTTATTTTAAAAGCAAATATATTAATTACAATTTGCTGTTTAATAATATTTATTTCATGCTACTTAGTTATTTCCAAAATAATAAATTTAGTAAATATTTGGATATAAGTAAGAGTTTTATAAATAAGGATTATTAATTATTAGTTAAATTAAATTTTAACTGATTTAATGCACAATATATATCTCATAAATGAATATTCATAAAGTTCGTTATAAAATGTTTTGAAATTTTAATTTTATAGTTAATTATGAGAAAATCTATTTCACAAGTATTAGCAGTTGGCTTTTTATTCTTCTTGTTATGCTTCAGTTTCTTCGTAGTGCTTTTCACCATAGTTTTCAACCTTCATGTCATTTAAACCTAAAATATCGTTTTCCTCATGGTTTCTGTCGAATAATTCAACTTTGACATCAGGGTCATGCTCAGGATAAAAGGGATTTTAGATGAAACTGTTGTCTAAAAGATCTTTCAAAATAATTGTACATTTTTCTTTCATGTCACGAGCTCTTTCTAAGTAAGCGAAGATTTCTTCTAATTTCTTCTTGAAAGAAGGATCAGCACTATCACCTGCAAAAGGATTGTTTTCAAGTAAATTATCTTCAATCTAAAATAATTTTTCAAAAAAAAATGTTTAACTTATTTTGGAGTTTTTGATTAATTGAAAATTTTTATGCTTTTCAGTATTTATTTATGCCTTAAAATAATAAATAACTAAAAAGTAATGATTGTTTGCTTAATATATTAATCTAAAGTGCCTATATTATCATAAATATGTAAAAATTTTAAATTTTAAATACCTTTTCTAAAAGACCTTCAACAGTTGTATAAACACCACCAAGAGTTCCATATTCAAGTTCTAATTCGATTTCAGGAATAATTAAGCTGCATGTTTCAGACTTGAAGAGATCTCTCTTAAGATCATCAACTGATTTTATATGTAAAGTGATGATTTTACCTTACTTGCTGATTTCACCACCAGGCTTAACTTCTGTGGATTTAGTACCACAGAATTAGCAAAGGAAAGACATAACAATCAATTCTTTGAAGTAAGGAATTGAAGTTGTGCACATTTTTTATTCACCATCAAGTCCACAAGAATGGCAAGGAACCTTAAAAATTAATGATTCTCCCTTAACATCCTCAGTTAAAGGCTTTGAGAAATCGACTCTGTGAGCATCAAGATGAACAATACGATTAGCAGTATGTTCTTAGTTTTCCTATTCTAACTTTTTGTTGTTTTCTTCAACAAACTACTTAGCATTCTCAGCTGAATAGCCCATTGCTTCAAGCTATTCTACTGTACGAGGAAGCCTTTCAATGTGCATATTGTGGTCTTAATTAGGAGCATAAGGATTCTTGATAAATGAATTACCAGAAGGATCTTCGAATACGAAATGGAAAGGGAAACATTTTCCATCAATAAGATCTTGTATTTTTTGGATGAATTTTTCGATTTTTTCATATATTTCAGGTTACTTTTCCTTACGTTCTTCTTAGTCACTTTGAAGATCTTCAATAGTGTTCATTAAGAATCCTTCAATAGTGTTTACACTTCCCTTTCTGCTAGAAGGAATTTCAAAATCGAGTTCAGGAATTTTGATTGTGCAGTGTTCACTCTTGACGCAGTCACGCTTGAAATCATTAAAATTGACTACCTTTAGGTTGATTTTAGTAGCATAATCGTTGATCTTACCACCGAAAGTGACTTCTGTATTCTTAAATCCGCAATTCTTGCAGTAAAATGAAATTAAAATAACTTCCTTAAACATGGGAATTTTAGTTAACATCATGGTAGTTTCACCATTTTCTTCGCAGTTAACACAAACACTTTCCATGATAATTGCTTTTGATATTATAAAAAAATTTAAAACTCTACTTTTACTAAATTGTTATTAAAGCAGCAGCCAAATAAGTTAAAAATCTCAATTCTGTTAATAAATGATTGAGAATTTAATTAGCTATCTAAAATGAATGAAAGCTTAAATTAAATTGAACTATTTACGTTCTTAGGTAGCATCGATATTTTGATAAACTTGATCAGCCATTTTTTTGTTTGACTTTTCGCTATTTTTAAAATTAAGTTTACTTTTGATTGAATTGTAGTAAGATTTGATATAATTTTAATTTATTATTATTGTTATTATTTTTGTACAGTTAAGCATAAATTTAAAGTAAAATTTCTAAAAGAAAAAAGAATAAATTGTCTAAATCAACCAAAATCTTCTAACCTTCCATAAATTTTTTCAAGATATTTTTTGAATAATTTCATGACCAAAATAGATCAAATTACTAATTCTAAAATTACATCTCAATTATAACTCATATTCATTCTATCATTAATATTTCCATTTAAAATTCTTTTTTTTAATTTAATCTTGAATTTTTTTATGGCTGACCACCTAAATGATTTCTTGATTAAAGTACATATTACTTTTATTAAATATCTTCTACTTAAATATTTTCAAGACAAATTTTTATAATTTTGCTCCTAATAAGCTAAACCTTAAATTAGCTATCATGTCTAAACATATATGAAAGAGTGTGGATTTGATTTCCTTAGAGACTTTTGATTTGAGGAATTTTCATAAGGATAGTTCCAAAAAAAAAAAAAAATTAATAATTTAACTTTAATTTGTCTCCTTGCTTAATAGATTGTTTTGTTTGCCAAAAATATACTATTTTTATAAAATTGTTAAAAAAGAAGTTTTGTTTGAAAATTATAGAAAAAGATAAATAAGTAAATGGATATTTAAAATACACAAATCGAATAGGAAATATAAGATAAGGAATAGACCTTATTAGAAAATCCTGAAAAAGAATAAACCATTTCTAGTGAAAGTATTAAATGTGGGAAATTTTAGGAATTAAGAGTTTAAAAGCCTATTCCAATTTCAAATAACTTAAGCAAAGGACCTAAACTTCATGGATATAATTTTTACAAAAGCTTAGGTTCTCCTTAGTATGTATGCGCACCAATGGTAGATCAATCAGAATTAGCATTCCGTATGCTTTGCAGAAAGTATGGAACCACATTAGCATACACTCCTATGATTCATAGCAAGGTTCTTTAAGATTAAGGTTATGGATATTTGAATTCTGTATTTAGCACTTGTCAAGAAGATAGACCTTTATTTGCATAGTTTTGTGGTAACAACCCAGACGCTCTTCTTGCAGGAGCTAGATATGTTGAAGATAAATGTGATGCTATTGATATCAATTTCGGATGCCCTTAAGGTATTGCAAAAAGAGGAAGATATGGTTCATATCTTTTAAGTGAACCTGACACCATAGTAGCATTAGTGAAAAAATTACATGAAAATCTTAGTATTCCAGTCACTTGCAAAATACGTATTCTCCCTAATCGCTAACAAACAGTAATACATTTTTATATTTCATATGCAATATTTAATAAACCATATCCTAAGTATCATTTACAAAATTTCTGGTTATTAAACCTATCACAAAATAGAGTTTAAACAATATTGTTTACATTTATAAAGTAAAATTAACATAAATTTTTATTATTATTAAATAGATTGAGTTAGCTAAAAAAATTGAAGCTGCAGGCTGTTCAATTTTAACTGTCCATGGACGTACTAAAGAGTAGAATAAAGATACTGTAGGATTATGCGATTGGGATATAATAAAAATTATAAAAGAAGAATTAAGCATTCCAGTCTTTGCTAATGGAGGTATATATACTTATGAAGATGTGTAAAAGTGTTTAGAATATACTGGAGTAGATGGAGTTATGAGCGCAGAAAGTCTGTTGGAAAATCCAGCTTTGTTTAGTGGTCAAATATATGATTTAGATGAGATTGCTTTAGAATATCTTGAATTTGCAGAAAAATACCCAACTCCTCATTTCTTCTCAAAAGGTCATATCTTTAAATTCTTGCATTAAGGACTTCAAGTTCATACTGACCTCAGAACCAAACTCGCAAATGTAAAAACTATAGAAGAACAAAAAGAAATAGCACTTGAAATGAAAAAGAGACGTGAACACATGTCAAAAGAAGAAAAATTCGGATGGTATACTAGGTATTGGGATAAAATGGGTGTTGATAAACAAAAATACAACTAGGGATGTGAAAATTGGTAAGAAGCATACTAAAATATATAGACATGCTGCGAATCTAGCAAAAACAACTAGACTCTATAAACTGAATAATAAAATCATGAAAAATAAATTCAAAATTCTGAATAAAAATCAGAAAATTAAGTTTAAGAATAATGAAAAAATTGATATGTTCTTTCATTTTTAAATAGAAATTGAAATAATTTATTTTATAATCTAAACATTTTTGAGAGTAATAAATATAACTCAATACTAAACTAATCTTGCCATAAATGCAATTGAATTTTATGATTATACTATTATATATAAGTGAATGCGATTAATTATATAAATCAATATTGACTAATTTTTATTAAAATCAATAATCTATTTACATACATATATTTTTTATTCCTCAAAAATAATTTTTAATAAATTTACAAATTAATTTTAAAATAAAATGTAAATTATGATTAAAAATAATAAATAAAAAATTTTATATGATTGATATTTTGCAAATTAATATTTAGTTCTATGCTATAATTTATCGAATAATAATTTATTAATTATAAGCATTCATTTTAATAAAATAACAAAAAAAAAATAAAAGATGGTTAAATTAAAAAATTATAATTAAATTTTGAATATTAATAAAAACTAACTAAAATGAAAATAAACAAAAGATTATATTATATAAATATATCTATTAAAAAATGTATATTTCATCAAACATTAAAAAAAATTTTTTTGGTGTAAGTAAGTAATGGTATTGTTTGTGAAAAGATTTTTAAAAATGTATTTAATAAGGTCAAACAAAATTATTAAATTTATTAAAAGAAACATAGAAAATAAAGTTCTAAATAAAATCTTGTTTGGAGTTACCTAATTTGAATAGTAAATTTTTTAATTTGATAGAAATTTCTATTTAGAGCTCAATAATTTATAAAATAGAAAAGAAATTTAAAGAATTTGCGAAATTAAATCCTTAGTATAATATATCTTTGAATTCTTTTTCTTAATTAGCATTCCTACATTAAATTTAAAAAAATGTTTTTATGTGTAAGTTCTCTAATTTAATAGATTAAATTGAAGATAAATTTAGGTTCTATTCAGATAAGGATATACTCTTTCTCATTTTTGATCAAAAAAAAGCTAAATCTATGTTATGATAACACATTTTAATAATATAAGGCTAAAAATTAAGATTGAATACAAAATAAATAATCCCTAATCAGAAATAAAAATTTAACTTATCAACTACATTGAATTTTTTCTGAAATTAAAAAATTAATTCTATTCTCTCCATTTTTGATCAGCAAAAAATTTTAATCTAATAATAAATTAACTCAAAAAGTTCATACTTTAATCTTTTTAAATAATAATATTTTAAATTAATAAAGATACAAAAATAACTAAAAATATTAAAAATACTTTCGGGTTAATTTGGTTATAAAAGATGGAAAATAATACTTCAAGTTAATAAAATTTTGTGAAAGTTGAAAGATATGATCATTTATAATCTCCTATATATAGTTACGCACTTAAAATAGGCTTTTTAGGATTTGCTTCATATAAAATTTATCAGAGGATCCCCTTTTTTCTTAGATGGAGAAAGTATCAAAGCTATATGTCAGGAATTAAACATGCAGAAGCAAAAGATTCAGTTTCAAACAAAATTATTTGCTACTAAGGCAATCTAAATTTTGACAGCTCCAAATAAATTAAAGATTTACTATTTGGTGTTACTTCGTAATAAAATTTAGGACTTTACAGAAAAGTAGAGATATTTAGAACTCTTGGTAAATAAAAAAAATAAGATTGGTATAATGTAAATTATCTTGATGAAGAAATGATTCCAAAAGAAGTTAAAGAGTTAAAAAGCCAAGTTTTAATAAATAGTGACGCTTTGATAAAGGATTATATCTTATCAAATAATTTATTGCAAATAGTTGCCTAATGTTTCAGTAAGTAGGTTTCATTAGATAAAGAAGACATTAATTAATATTTTGAAACCTTAAAATAGCAGCAAAAAGGGTCAGATACTAATAATGAAACAGAATAATAAATAACAAACTAAAATATAACTTAAGCTTAAAAGGAGTAAAAATTATCTGAAATTAGTTAGCTATATTAAAATCACCCATTCAAATTATCAGAAGATTCTTAAAAGTTTATTTAAATTTTTCGTGATTCTATTTATATAGTTAAATCTTTGAAAGAAATGTCTGAAGGAGATATAAAAATTTCTTATTATGATGTTGATAATGTTAAAAATGTAACAATTTTAGGAGTAAAAAATTGGAACGTTATCACTGATTTTTAAGTTCCAGAGTTGGCTAAAACTAATGAAATTATTGAAATTTAGTATAATAATGATAATAATTTCCATTTAAAGCTTGGGTAAATTGGGTTTGCTTTTAAAGGTAATTTATCCGAGGAAGAAGTTTTGGAAGAGTTTAAATATGTTATTAAAAAGTACACCTTTTCTGATATATTGATTGTGCTTTTGTTAGCATATTTGTATAACCTTATTACTAATTAATTTTTTGGTGATTTTAAGTTTTCATTAACTGAAGAAGAAATGAAATAAATTGCAAAAGAAATGGTGTAAAAAATGGATGATACAACAATAAAAGTGAAAAGTAAAGATAAGCATATTATTAATTTTTCTGCCTTAATTCTTACTATTATTCATTTATAAGCCTCAATAAATTTTGCTAAGGGAATTTATATCTTCCCATCATATATTCTACTTCTTTCAGGAGCAGCATATGTTTCTATCGAAATTAAAAAAATGATAGAATTTAGTAAAATCCTAGATTAAGAAATTAGATAATAGAAAAATGAATTATTATTAAAATAAAAAAATGACAAATAAAATAAAGTTTTGTGAAAGGTCTCTTTACAATATTTTTCTTATAAAAAGTCGATTTATTCTTAACAAAAAATTATTCATAAGATTATGAAAAAAAATAAGTTAAATATTTGATGTTTTTTTTGTTCATATGTATTTTTTTTAAAGTATTTATTGCTAATCATAATATTTAAATTCTGCTGACTGGGTTCAGCGGAATTTCAATAAATTTTATTTAAAACCCGAATGCTAATTATTTTTGAAATTACTAATTTCTCTTAAAGAAAGTCTATTTACAAACCCCACTCAATTTATTTAAATTTTAAATTCGTAAAATATAACTTAATACTTTTGGCTTTTTTTAATATAATTTTAAAATATAAAAATAGTGACAAAATGTATTTATTAAAAAGCATTCCATAAAAATTCAATTAAAATTGTAATAAATCAAAAATTTAAAAAAAAAAATTTTATAATTCTTAATTAATTGAGTTCTTTTTTTAAAAGAAAAAAAAATATTTATATTTTTAAGGAATTTAATTGAAATCGAAAGCTAAATTATCTAAAGAATGCTTTAGATTGTACATATCTACACAATGTCTTAAGTAGTATGCGTTTATTAATACCTTAAATAGTAGGTGTCTACATAAGGTGTATTTACATAAAGCTTTAATAAATTAAAAATTTCTTAAGTAATTTAAAACTAAAGATTATTTGACATTAATTAATTGTTTGATTTTTATTATAGCTTATTAGTCATTTTATTAAAATCAATCTTGATAAAGCTAAGTTATGAATAATATTGTAATTATCAATATATTTGAGTCTATCATACATTTTACATTATTTTAGGATATTTACTATAATTTTCAATCTTTCAGCTACACAATTTAATCTTAAAAAAATAAATAAATAAATAAATAAATAGAAAAATCCTCGAAAACATCTTTTTTAATTTTAATTAATAAGTTATTTGCAGATTTAATTAAAAAAAAATATTTTTATCTAAGACTTTAATCATAATGATTGAATATTTTTGCTTTATACTTATCATGAATAGTTAATTTTTGATATTTTAACTTTATTTGGATTATCTTTCTTTAAAGTAAAAATTAATGTTGCATTTTTTATATTTTTACTAAATTTATAATCAAAAGCTTTTTAAAAAAAATTTGATTTAACTAAAATAAATCATTTTAAAATTGAGAATAATTTCTATATACATTTGTAAAGTAAATCAAATATAAGGTTTGACATTAATTGAAATTAAAATGCTAAATAAAAGAAAGGACTATAAATAAATTTTGAACATTTAGATTTCGATGTACTTAATTACTTAATATAAAAAGTATTTATGTTGCTTCTTAAATTATGATTCTAAGTAGACTAAATAATTTTTAAAATATTCAAGTAGTGATAAAATAAGAATAAAATTTTATTTTCAATATAATTACATAGATATTTTACAGAAATAAAATGAAATACGAATTACTGAAAAGTTGTTTTTGTTTTTTTATTAATTAATTAATTAATTAGGTTTAAGATTCCTGCTAGAAGATCTTTCTAAGGTATTTACAAAAGCTATGCTAAGAATAATTATAGTTTTTGAGACTCAACTAAATTTTAATTATAAGTTTTTACCATTTATAAAAGTAAAAATAAGCTTTTCTTTCATTTTGTACTTTCATCCAAAAGACTATTAAAAAAAATAGGGAAAAATAGTAAAAAATAAGAAAAAAAAGTTAATATTTTTTATTCATATAATTTCTTTGAATTATATTTGATAATTTCAGTAATAATAACGAGAAAGAATCAACCAATGAATATTGAGGTTAATTTAATCAAGCACCACCAACAGATGGAAGAAGTAATATCAAACAACTAAAACTATAAAATATAAAAGCAACTACTAAAGCTAGTGAGTTAAAAAAAATGAATCTTTTATGAAAGCGGTTAGGGCAAGCAATAACATGTGGATTTTACTTAAGTAATGAGTTAAGATTATCAAATCAACTAAATTAAGAATATTGAACGTTAACTGATTTTAGAGATGTTTAGAAGTTAGGCAAGATTATAAAATTAAAATATTTTCAAATTTAAATGTCAATGTTAAATATGATAAAGACTGAATAAAATATGAAAAACATCCAGCAAACTTATAATGCTTAACTTGATTTGATGTTAGATAACAAAAGAAATATCTACTTTAATTCAAATGATAGTTAATAATCCAAACATTTAATGATATGATTAAGAAATTTTAAAATAAAAATTATATAGCAGATTAAAATGACATTTTCTTAGTATGTGGAAGATTTGTTTAGGTTTTTAATGAAAAATAATAAAATTATTTGCTTTAAGCTATAGGCTCAATATTACTTGCTTATGGTGTCCATTAAACTTTCAAAAAAAGAAGAGTTCATTTTATTCACAGTTATCGCTAACTAGCTTTAAGAGTTTATATAAAGATATTCAATTATTTCCACAAAATACTTTTAATATTTAATCTATTAAAATTTACCATTAAAACATGAATTTTTTATAATAAAATATTTATTAAATAGATAGAACGTCCAGAAACCTCAAAATGCTCACGTTAGTAGAACTAACTCAACAAAACCCTCACAAATTTTCGTTAAAAATAAGGGATGGGTGGCGGTGGAGGTGGTGCTAATGAATAATAACTGCAAACTACAAATGCAAATATAAATAGTGGATAGCAATAATATTCAATATAAAAAAACTAACCTTTACCTCCTTCAATGTAAAGCTTTAATTAATTATACTTTATAGAAAATTTATTTGGAATATTTTAGTTATAAAATGAGTTAAATCATAAATTTATATGATATAGGATTAATATTCCAAATGCAATTATATCTGATAGATAGCAGAGTAGGAGTGGAACTCGTTAGGGGAGAAATAATAACACCTCTTTTCAAACTACTGGATAGGGATTTTTTAAAGAAACATTCTATAGAGATACTAACGTGAATGGAAATAGTAGCAGTAATAACAATAATAACAGCATGGTCTTTAATAATAGTAGCAACAGTAATAACAATGTGGCTGCTAATAATAATAAAATTAACAGCAATAATAATAATGCAAAAAATAATGCAACAGATACAGATGAAGGAATTACTTTAGACAAATATTTTGGATCTAATTTTTAGGTAATAAATTTAGGAATTAATAATGAAGAGAAACCTAACAAATCAATAATTAGCGTTTATGTAGGAAACTCATAAGATTAGGCTTAACAGAATTCAAAATTTAATAAGATTTAACCTAGTTTTGAAGAGAGCAAGTAATAAAGTAGATAGAATAAGATGAGTAAAGAAGAATCAAATGGAGGCGAAAGTAATCAAATCAAAACAAAAAGACCTTCAAAAATTTAAGCATAATCCTCTTTTATTGAAGATAACTCTGGGGAGTATAAAGATTATATGGAAGAAGAGTTTGAAATTCATGAAACTGATGAAGAATATTCAGAATCAAATCGCGAGTCATAGGCCGATTTAAATGTTACTGATGCTAATTAGTAAGAAAAATTAAATTCTTAAAATATTCAAAAGTTTTTTTTTGCTAGATTTTTCATAAGATTTAGTAAAAGTCAATCAAGCAATATAAAAAATTGATAGATATCTATCAATCAATTTACTAAGAATTTGATTTATTTAATCAGACAAATAATTTATTTGTTTATTTGATTAATTGATTTGTTTATAAATGGGGAAAATTAATTTAAATATTAAGAAATTTTTTTTTTTAACGAATTCTTTTTTTTTTTACTCCAGCAAAAAAATTTAATTATATAAAACGATTAAAATTTAGCATGAAAATCAAAAGTTTTTTTTTTTGAATTTCCTAATATGATTCAATTTTAAAAAAAATGAATTAGCGAAGACACAGTTTAAAAGACTAACAAGTCAAAGAGAAAGAGCATAGAAGACAGAAATAGAGACAAGTCTTAAAACAATTAAGATTAATCTCTAACAAGCAAGAGTATTAAGTAATATCTTAACACTCAAGAATCAGGAGATGAAAAATAAATTCACATTCAAAAAAAGCTTAGAGATAAATACAGTAAAAAAATGAGACATAAACCATTCAATTCTACAACTCTACAATCTCACTAGAACAGTAATAACAACAATTTAGATACTTCAAACTAACCATCCTCAACCACAAGCTCAAACTCTTAAAAGAACCAAACTATCAATTAATAAATTTAGTAATAGTCTATGAATTAATAATAACAGTAACCTTATTTATTATAGTACCAAAGTAGTAATAACTCGAATAACCAGCCTCTCCACGATAACAACAATTATCAGACTTATAATAGTGGGAAAAGTAAGTATTCTACAAACAATACTTCTCAGTCATACAATACAAATTACTCTACAAATTTCAATAGTAATGTGACAGCTTCAGGATAGAACGAAAGAGGAAGTCTAACATTAATTGATGACTAATCGTAAGTTAACAAGACAGATTTTGATTCATTCAATCCTAAATCTGGACAAAATATTTAAAATAGTAGTAATAACAATATATTCAATTCTAATAATGTTAACAGCTAATAATAATAATAAGCTTAAAAGAAATATAAAAGTAATAACGATGATTCTGTCCCTTAGTATAAGACTTACAATTATTTTGCAGGAAACAGAAAAGAAATAGGAGGCGGAAAAGAATAAAATTTAAATAGTTCCTATCTTATGTAAAAATAGCAGTAATAACAATCATTCAATCATTCTACAAGCTTGAATTAGACTGACATTACTATCAACAATGATTTACAGCCTCAAAATTCATCTTAAATAGATAAGGGAACTAAGAACTATAACATCAGAAAAATCAACAAATCACAAAGCCCGCCTGTACGAGATCCATTCCAACCTTTAATAACTCATTAAAGAAATTTCTCAAGAGATACGACTTAACTTTAAAATTAGCAATCATTCTAGTTAAATAATTAATATAGTCATAACAACAACAGCAGCAGTAGTAGTAGTATGTAAAATACAATAAATTAAGCTAGTTTGGCAAGTAATATGAATAGCATAAATACTAACAATAATAATTTAGCAAAAAACAATATCAGCAATATGATGAATAATGTGATTTAATAAAACGGAGTAAATAACTCTTAAATTTTGAACTCATAAAGTGGTGAATCATTCAAATAAAATAATAATATTAGTACATCAATTTAACAAAATAACTCTCATATAAAAGTAATTAACAATACAAATAACATAAATTAAGGCATGATTAATACAGGAAACATTAATGCAACGATATAAAATCTACAAAGAAAAAGTAAATATGGTGAATTTTTAGATTCACAATAGAATAATAATGATAAGTTATCTGAAATGCAAAAATAATTTAGGACATCTTTTTACCATGTGAAATAGCAATCTATGTAGCATTAAAATTAATAATAAAATTAAAATTAAACTAATGAGGTGAATAACTTTACTTAAACATCTACTTCATTTGCAAATGTTATTGCTGCTGCTAATGGAATCCAGGGCTTTTCTAATGGTTAAAATCCCATTTTAGCTCCACTAAACTCTTTACCAACTAATAACAGTTACTATAATGGTACTTCAAAAAATAGATTAACTTTGAATGAATTTTACAAGCACTAATCAAAATATGAAGATTACGGATAGCCAAGTGGACCTCCTAATATAAATTAATACGAAGAATTAATAGCAGATAATTTAATGAGAAGGACAGCCAAAGAAAATAAATTTTTAAACCAAAAAGAAAAACTCAATGAATTAATAAAGTAAGAAGACATAAATTTTGTGACAAAATATGCAGCCAGATTTAATTTAAACAACGATGAATGTAAACAATTAATTATCAGTTTATAACATATATGTGAAAAAATTTTATATTTAAAGCATTTTCATCTTATAAATCTCTTAAAATAAATTTGTTTTTTTAACTAAAAGGTTAGTAGCTCATTTAGACAGGTAAATAGGAAAAAGTTTAAATAAAAAAACGAATGGAAACTCCACATAAAGGATTCAGAGGAGATTTCCAGCAAGCCTAACAAAAGAAAAAACTATCAGTTACTAAAGAGCCAAAACATCCACCCCTTAATAATAATAATAATAATAACCCTACCTTAATCAACAGACCATAGAACGATAACAACACCTAATATTAGTCAAAAGAAAGGAACAGTGTATTATTTTGAAACTGTTGATTGATAATTCAACACTTAAATTAGATTTATTTTTAAATAATTCAATAGTTATGAAAATAAAAATTAAATTAAATTTCATTAAAAAATTAATAATTAAAATTGTGTAAATATAAATAGAAATGATGTCAATACAAGGTTTTACTAATTAAAACTACTAAGCTATACATAAATGACAAGAAATAATAATAAGCTAGATAGCTAGATCTCAAAAACTTACTAAAAAATCTTATAAAAGCCTACTAATTGCTAAATTTAAGCAAAATTTTCCAACAAAGCAAACCAATAAATTTTTCAGCTTTTAAATAGTTGCATAAATATATTGCTATAAATTATTTAGTCGCAGAAATGAAAAATAAATATAGCTATTGCTATTATCTATAATTTCAACTCAAAAGTAAGCAAAATTTATAATTTATGAGTAAAAAAACAAGAACTAAAACAAATTTTTAAAGTAAACCAATAAATAAATGAAGTGTTTAATACAAAAAAAAAAAAATAAATAAATAAAATAAATTTTACCATTTATAAATTAAATAAATATTAACAAAATTAGAGATACAAAATTGAGTGTGATATAATAAAAAGTATAAATTTGTGTAAATATTATGATTTGTCTATAATTAAAATAGTATAACTACTCTATAGAATAAGTATTTAATATACTTACAGTTTATAATCATTAATTAATTAGTTATTTTTTAGCAATATCTTTTTTCTTTTAATTTAAATTTTATTAAAATTATTTATTCCATTTGAAATTTAAATTGACTATTATTGAACAGATTCTAATTTTATTTTAAATAACTTTAATAAAATAGTTATTCTAAATTCTATAACTCTTAATTATATATAAACATTTTTATTTTAGAAAAATAATTAATTAAAATATTATTTTCATTTAATATAATTTAGAAAGAAATTAAGCTAGAATTTACTTATATTTATTTGATCAAATTCGTTTTATTTTAAAAATAAATATTGTTTATGCAAGTTATATTTTAATTCTATCTAAAAAAGTCATTTAATCTATTAAAAAGCTTTAATTTTAATATAATGAGCTACTTTTAACTTAAAGAAAAATATTGCGCAACTTGGATAATTAACGAATAAAAATGTGATAAGAATAAATAAATAAATAAATGTATTTCAAAAATGTTAATTAGATTTTTGTTTAATTCAAAATAATATAATTTAAGAACAAATACATTTACTGAAATTTCTAATGAATGATAATATCAAAATTTTATTTAGTTATTTATTTATTTTGATGTGAATAGAGTATTGAATCGACTTGTGTTAGTTAGTTAGCTATTTATCCAGTGCTTTTAAAAATTATTTATTCTTGGTTTTTGAGAATAATTATATAAATTGATATAAAAGGAAGAAATAAAATGGTTTGAAGGTAATCAATTGAATTGATTAATTAACTAATTAGGAGGATAAAAAGAAATAGCAATCGTCAGTTAGATTACAAACATAAAAAATATAAAGATTATATTGAATTAAAGTATCCTAATTATTCATGCGCGATTATGCTTTTAATGGTTATTGATTCTTTTTTTAAACATGAGATTTAGTTATGTATGTATGAATGAATATAGGGATGTAAGTATATGTTTAGTTGATTGCTTATAGAGATAGTAATAGTTGATTTATTTATTCTGAATATATAAAAGAAGTATGGCAGGCAAGTAATACTAAATTAAAAAAAATTATTAAGTATAAGTAGAAGGATAATTATAAGGCCTTTCTTTAAATTTTAAGTAGTCATTTCGCCATACATGTAATATAAATGTGATGAAGGTTTACATTTTATATTCTTCTTAATCTTCTTTTTTATATTAGGACTACTATTCAATAACGCTTATTTAGTTATTTATTTATGATTAAATAATTTATCATACAAAAAAAATCTCAGCTCTTTTCAGCTTCATCCTTTTCTTTATAGTAGTCTGCAGAGTCAAATACCTTTTTCTGTTATTTAAAATAAATTATTTAAAAACGTTGCTTCAAAACTTGCAAATTTATCAAATCAAATTGCATTTTGGAGCTTCCATGTAATCATGCTCACTAAATTTTAGGCATGGGTGCTGAATTAAATAAAATTAAATCTTATATTAATTAATATTTGTGATTGGAGAATAGGTAGATGTATGGATGATGAGTGATGGATTGTTAATTGTATTTGATTTTTCGAATTTAAAAAAAATATTCTAAACTGCTTTAGGTTGGTTTATCTTTTTCTGCAACAGGGCAGCTAGATACACCCACGAAAAAGCTATTTGCTCCTTTATGTTTGTTAATTTGATTCTACATTTGCTTGATGAAAAAAACAAAAAAAAATTGAACAATAATAAAAATTATGTACATCTCCATCTTTTTTAATTAGTGGTTTCTTTTTACCCATTTTCTTCATCTTTTCTTCCATTAAAGCTGCTTGCTTAGCCATTTCGTCATCCTATTAATAATAATTAGGATTAAGATGTTATCAAAATAATCATGAGAAATAGAAATGTAATTTGCTCACCATTTCTTGATAGCTTTTTAGAGGAATTTTTACTGATTTTTTATTTGACTGTAAAATTAGTTTTTATTTATGTTTTTATTTAAAAAAAATAATTAAAAATGATAATAAAATTGTATAAAAGTAGAGGACTTCTTCATTATTAATGCACAATCTAAGTTTTGTAAAATAAATAAAATCCTCAATCATTAATTTATTCATTATTTTATCATAACGAAAATAGAGTTAGGTAACTCAAACAGTAGTCGCGGAATCATAAGACACGAATTTATTTCTATCAAATAATTCTTATGCATATTTATTTATTTATTTTGTTTGTTTGTTTATTTATTTATTGATTTCACTAAAAACTGCTAATAAACATATATTATAAATAAATAGCTATTTAGCTAGCGCTCTGAAAAACTAACCATAAGTCCTGCTTGTCAACTTAGAAAAGAAAATTTAAGAATCTCTAATCTTATTTTCTTCTTTCTTATCATTCACTATTGTCAATAAAAATATAAACAAAATTTAATTAGGAGGAACTATTTATTTGTTTATTTTCTTTTGTTTCTACTTTTTCATTTTTTTATATTTTAAAATTTATCATAGCTCTTTTTAAAAATAGTTTTTTTTCTATTCTAATTTTCAAGTAAGCCTAAAATCCATTATATTAAAATTAGGATATTTAATATTCAGCTTTAATTCGAACAGAAAACTATTTTAAAGGAATATTTGCTAACTATTTGTATATGCTGTTTTAAATTTTATATTTGCTGGTTATATGAACTAATTAATATAATTGGGTTTAGTCTTTAATAATTATTCCTTTTAAAACCCTCGTTTAATTTACATTTTGAATTAAAATAATCTTTATAAAACAAATAAAAAGACTTCTTAACTGAGTTGCATTTTTTAATTCCTTATAGACTTTTATTTCTGTTTACATTCGAGTTTGTTAAAATTTGCTTATATTTTTAATGTTATCAATAAAGCTTGTCCTACCTAAAAATGTAGATTTATAATAAGAATAAAATTCATAAAAATAAATAATTATTACAAAATATGAGATTAAATTAAATATAAGCAATTCAAAATTAGTATTCGTTCTATTATGTCTATTTTTAGCTAAAAACCATATCATTTGAAGCTAGTTTGAAATAAAAAATTTAATGATCTTATTTTTATTAATTTTAATTTTTTAAATCTTTTTATAAATTCTATTTTTGAACAATTACACTGATTCTAAACTCAATTTAATTATTTTTAAATATAATATATTTTGAATGATAACATGATATTTATCTGATTAAAATATAATTAAAAATTATACTAAAAAATTGATAAGTCTAGTATATATAAATTAAACAAAGAAGCCACTTATCTTTTTTATTTATAACTTATTTTAAGCACTAACAAATAAATACTGTAGCATTATTATTTAATTTATGCTAGCTAGCTTTGAGTATGTTTTTCTATTTTAAAATAGTCTATTTTATGCTAAAAATAAGACAATTTAAATCTATATAAAAAGAAAAAATAGAATACATATAGAATACTTTTCAAAGCAATTTATTAGCTTTAGATTATCAACTAAATCCTATATTTTAAAGTATTTTCTTTATTTTATCTTTATTCAAAAAAAACTTGTTGAAAAAATTAATAAAAGGTATGGTAGTATCAACTAAGTTGAAAATATACCTCAGTCTAATATAAATAGGTTAAAAGATACTATTATTTTTAAGAAATATAGATAAAAGGTTTCAACTTCATCTCTACTCTATGAACTAATTAGTATTTAGTTTGAAGCCTAATAGATATTTTTATAAATGTGCTATTTAAAAAAGTAAATTATATTATGAGAGCTAAGCTTTAATGAACACAATTATGCTCTAGGAAAATTAAACATTAAAAAATGGTTTTTTTAATGAAATTAAAATATTTTGAGAAGATTTAATTTCTTTTTTTTATGCTTTTAGACAATACAGAATCGAAGTAAACTTTATTATTTTTTACATTTTTTTTACATTTGGTTATTTATAAAGACAATTAAGCAAAATATTTAGATTTCAAAAACTAATTTTCAATACCATTTCATATTTGTATGTAATCTTTCAAATATTTACATAGTAAAACTAAAAAATGCAATCTTCAACAAGAACTATCTAGCCATTAATAGAATATCTTAAAAACAGCCCAAAAATTTAAGTAATTACTTTATTGACTTTTATGGATTGTTGAAAAAGGTGATGCGATTTATTTGAAAGCACATTTACATTTTTCTAAATACATCTCACTTCAATAACTAAAAAAAATGAGTAAAATGAAATGGTTAGAAGAATTACTTTAAAAATGGTTTATTTTACTTTTATAAATTTAAAAATTTTTAATTTTTCATCAATTTTACATCTCCGATTTAGAGCTTATTATTTTTTTGGTTTTTTCCTAAGACAAATAAATTAAAGTTTCCAACTCATAACAACTCATAAGAAGAAGAACTTAAGGATATTCAATATTTAAATTTTTAAAAAAGGTTGAAAGGTTTTTAAGATAAATAATATGAAGATAATTAACTTGAACCCATTTAACAAAATTAGATTTGTAACAACAAATTCTATTCAAGCTTTACAAACAAAACAGTTTTATTTTATAAATCTTCAAAATGAAGTATTTATTATTCATTTATAGCCATTATTTTTTTGATAATACATAGCAACAAAATAAAACAAGTAACTTTGATCTATTTCATCTTCTATTTTTTTTTTTTTGATTAATTTATCACAATCATACAAGCAAAAAGCTAATCTCTTCAAGTTGTAATTCTTGAAAAGCCCTAATAGTTGAAAAATAAAAATATTTCCTATTTTTTTAAAGAGAAATACATTCATAGCTTGATAGTGACTATCTATAATGTACATGGTTACTGTAAAACTAAGTTTTTGAATTATATAAATGAAATTATTCATTAAATAAAAATATAATTTCTTACTAATACTTTAAGAGTTTTCTAAACCAGAGTTTTATGTTTAAATATTTTTAAACATATTTCTCATGAATCTTTTATTATCAGACCTAAACTAAAGGTATTTATTTACAATTTAATGCAGAAAACTGTGCTAGTTAAAATAAGTATTGGATTAACATTTTTAAAAGTAATAAAGCTATAGAATATGTTGAATTTCTTAAAGATGGTATAACAATAGCCAAAAATTTAAAATATAACTAGCTAAAAAGTCTTAAAAAAAAGAGAGGTAATGCATATAATTAATATTTTTGAATGTTATATTATTTAGATGTATAAAACCATTTTAATTGAAAAATTAAAAGATATTTTTAGGAAAAGAAAAATAGGGAAATGAAATAAAAATATGGATTTAAATAATAAATAAGTAAAAATAAATTTTTAATTTAAGACTTCAAATCATAAAGATTGTTCGGTAAGCTAATTGTGGTTAAAGAATTATTCATTTATTATTATTATTTGATTTAGAAAAGAGAAGGGGAGAAGATAAATTGTTTGATTATCTTTGGTTACCTGTAATCTCTATGAAATTTTCGACATCAGTCTTAATGTATTATAATTGATAAAACTGATAAAATCAATCTAATAATTTCCTAATTAGCATATCTTAATCAAAAAAACTAAATTTAATGGGTTTTACTCTTTAAGTTTCTTTTTTTTTAAGGTTCATTAGTTTACTTCACTGTTCTCTCTTTAAGTTTTTTACTCAGGCTTAAGTCACCAACTCATGATTTATTTTCGAGCACAAATTATTACATACATTATCATAATTATTACCATAGATTCTATATCACTCATTATCTAGGTGAAGATTTAAATTTTTATTAGAAAAGAAAAATAATAAGTTTTGGGGCAAGTAGAAGAATCTAAAAAAAAAGTAATTAAAAAAAGAGAGGAAGATGCATATAATTTATATTCTAGTTTTGATTATTTAAAGGTATGAAGTAAAGCCTATAAGTTTAATACCTTGAAAGAAGAATTTAGTTTTTATTTTTAATCATTTAAACAATGTAGTAGTAATAATTATTTTGATTCTTCCTTTTTTTTTCATGGCTTTATTTATTGGTGTTGAAAAAAAAAAAGAGTTGAAAACCAATTGAGTTTTGATGGATTTTATTTTTAGGAGAGTAAATAACTTTTAATAGATAAAGCAGATAAATAATTTCTTATTTATATTTGGATCAAGAAAGAAATGATACAGTAAATTTCTTAAACAATATTTTAATTTAGAAACTAAAGAAAGAAAATTTTCTTATTATTTAAAAATTTGCAAGAAATTAGCATCAAAATTAAAACTTCATCTGAGTTTTCTTTTGCTGCTTTAATCAACTTCATAAAATTTATTAAAAAAAGAGAGTAAAAATCTTAATTTAACTTTTGGTAATATAATTATTATCTTAACATGCTTCACAAAATTTAAAAAGTAACTCCGTTTTTTCAATATTTAATATATCATCAAAAAATAAATAAATTTTAACATATTTTCTCTTCATCTGAATGAATAAAATAAAGATTTAATTTCAAAAAAGCTCTATTTTTAAAATATTTTAATAATTTTATTCTTATTTTACTTAATCGTGACTAAAAATTTAATACCCATCTCAGCACGATTTGTTGAAATTTTATCTCATATATTTAAATAGGTTAAATTTTTATAAGTAAATTATAAAACTATTCTATTTTACCTGAATTAAATAGGTTAAAAAAGACTCAAATATTTGTTTTATGAACACTTTCTTTTATTACTTTTTGATTTGTAAATAGAATTTAAGTAATAGTTTTAATAAATATTGCTTGAATTTGTTGCCAATATTTATAACATTTATGTTTTCTTATTGATAAAACGCGATTTAATTTTCTTAAGTGAATCGATTTGGTGAAATTTATAGTTTTATTTGCTATGGTTTTGGAATGATACAAAACAGTTCTATTTTTATTTGCATCTCTTTGTTTTTATTGAAATTCATTTTATAAAAGTTAATAAATAAATAATTTGACATGTCCTTGTAAATTTTTAAATATTTATTTGAATTCTTTAATTTTCCTCTCCAAATATCCAATCATGAAATAAACCTTATACAATAAATATATTAAGTATTCCTAAATAAAAGCTAACCAATAATTATTAAAATCACTAAAAACTATAAGAAATATTTCTATTCTTAGTATAAGATGATAATTCCTCAAACTACTTCCGCATTTATAAAAAAATCAATAATAATTTATACATAATAAAACTTGATGTTAAATCCTATTAACAAATCCAAAATAAATTTTAAAAAGTTAACTTTTAAGAGATATACACTAGTTCTAATAAAATGTAGTCAATATTGTAAATTTCTACAGGTAATAATTGAACAATTTTAGCAAAATAATACAAAAAAAAGATTAACAAAAAATAGTATAAAAAGTATGTAGCATGTTTAATCTATTTTAATTTTATAATACTATAAAATTGTATGTATTTTAAGGTAACAAATTTTAGTTAAGACTATTCATATTTCTTAGTAAAGATTTATATATCTATCTATATGTAAATCTTATCTATAGATAGATTTATTATTAATAAATTAGATAATAATTTAGTTATCCAGCAGAGCTTGTTTGAGAATGTGTATGTTTATGTGTATGTATGAGTATGTATGTGGGTGTGAGTTTTATTTTTAATATTAAAAAAGATTATGAATATAAGTGAATGAATGAATGATTAATTGCTATTGAGCAAGATATTAAGATTTCGATTATTTAAAAATTTGTTTGGGAAGAATTAATAATCAATCAAATTTCGAAAAAAAAATAATAAATACGCAATTTTTAAAAAATAAGGAAGAAAAAAAATATTGTTTATTCCTCTTGTAGATATTATTTTCTTATCAAATCATAATAACAAAATATAATTTGCGCAAAATTACTAATTAACCTCACTGATTGAAGAAGCTCTAGAGAAGACAGAAACAAAAAAAGGCATCAATATCTGAAATCTAATACCTAAATTCTATCCAGCTATGAGCAACTTGAATAACTAGTACAGTGGAACCAATAACGCAAACTCCTATAACTACAATGTCTAAAATAAATTAGAGTCTTATAATAATATAGATAGCTTGATTGACTAAACTCCAAAGAAGATATATAACTAATTCTCCTTAGGAATCAACTCAAGCCACCTCGTCAACAACGATAAAGAAAACAGCTTTATTAAAGCCAACCACGATAACTAGTAAATTTCTATTTTTAAATTAGTTAACTCAGTTGTTAATGCAGCAAGCAATAAAACTTTTTAAGAAAGAGATCATATTTTTTATTATACTTCTCCTTTCAATTTAAAAATAACACCCCCTCTTTGTTTTAATTAACAATTTAGGCTATATAATATACAAAGGCCTTTATTGTTTTATTAAAATTTAAAAAATGTGTGTTAATAAAGTTTAATTTTTAATTATAATTAGTAACGATATGAACTACATGGACCATTACTAAAACAACTACCAGATTCCTAGTAATTATGGATATAACAATAACCACCATAATAGCATTAATCCTCAAAATTCGCATCTTGGTTAGCATTAAATGGATCACTATAATAATTATCAATATACTAGCTATGGATTCTACTATCCTCAGCAACCATACTATGGATATGACTATGTTAACGGTCACAATTATCCTCACTATCTAGATCCCTAAGGATATAACTAATCTTATAATAACTACTACTATAATAAGACCCCAAACACAGGACCAAAGATCCAATAGAATATCATCTTATAGAAGTCAGAAAACAAGTAAATAGGAGTTTTCTTGAATTTTGTTTTTGATTCTCCTTTGATTTTTAATTAAAAATGATAGTGTTTAACGTATATATATTTGGAAATGAGATAATACTGAATCGTTTTCCTTCTTAAATTTAAAAATTAACAAGCGAAATTGAAGATTTAACTAAAAAAAATGAATATAATTAAAGCATATTAATTAAGGTGGGGAGAATTGAATTTATTTGCCATCATTTATATAATTTTAGAGAATATTTAATATATTAAATACAATGATAGATAAATAGTTAGATAGATAGATCCATCAATACATACATATATAAAAAGATTTTTCAATTAGTTTTCTTGAAAATCCTACCTAATTAATCTTCAAATTATTTAAAAAACAATCTAATACATAAAAAAATTAAATAGTCATTATTTAATTTCCCAAATATCTCAAATAAAACATAATTCCTACATTAATAATAACACAAAAGCAAACATATGATCGATTAGATATATTGATATTTTAAATTAAGCAAATTAGTTAATTATTTATTTATTGCTGAATTAATTAATCAATTCACAAAATAATTAATTAATGAATGAGTTTTCCATATTTATTTTTCAAATTGTGAATATTAATTTTCAATTATTCCCACTTTACTAATTTAAATCCATTTTCAATCATTTAATTAATAATAAGACTTTGAAATTTTAAAATAATCTAATTTATTTTTTAATTGTTATAGATTGACAGGATAAGCTAATTAATAGGCTGTTGATGAGTTTGGCAACAAAAAAGATGATTTTTAAGTTAGAAATCTATTTTAATAAGTTGTTATATCTGAATTTTAACCTAACGAAAACGAATCTTAACAAATTACTTCAAACTAAGGTAAGTAGAATTTAAATTCTACTAACAGCTGCAGTAGCGTGATTTAATTATAAAAAGGAAAGAGCAGTAAGAGTAAATCAAGCATGGAATAGGAGTCTGAATAGCAATAGCCTGAAGAATCAGCTAAAAAAAGTAAAATCACTCCTTCCAAGCGTATTTCTAAAAAGAAACCAAAAAGCACCAAATAAACACCAACAAATTAATGCTCCAGCATTTAAGATAGTGAAGAAACTTTTAGCTATAAAAATTCTTTACTATAATCTTAATTTGCAAATGCCAATATAGCTTTCAATAAAGCCCTTAATTCAGAATAATCTTCTGATAATATGATTTTAGAAGAGGAAGAAAACATTACAAAATAAGAAAAAGATAGCCAAAAATTAGTCCGTCGTGATTCTTAAAACACAGTTAATAGAAAGGCTCCTCGTATTAGTAATGCTTCTTCAATGATATCAAGCACAACAACAAAAATAGTAGACGAAAACAATAACCTAAATTAACTCAACATTCATTAATAAATCAGCTAAGATCAAATTAATTACAATTATGGAACTTTTACTAAGAGCAATAAATTGCAAGCTGAAAAATAAAAAAATGAAGAAGATCATTATGATGATAATTAACTAGAAATTGATGATTCTGATGACGAGGACAGAAATAACATGAATAATAATCACTAATTGTCTCAATAAAAAAATAGAACATAACTATCAATCAGCAAATCACAACAATAATAACAAGAAGTAGACTATGATCAAACTTCTAGTAAAAGTGACTCCGAAAAATCCCCAACTGAAGCTAAACCTTGTAATTGTAGAAACAGCAAATGCCTTAAGAGGTACTGTGACTGCTTTGCAGCTGGTCTTTACTGTCAAGCTGAGTGCAAGTGTGAAGAATGCCATAATAAACCTGAATATGAAGATGAACGTCAAAAGGCTATTCAAAAAAAGAAGAAACGTATTAAAGATGCTTTTTTACCAGTAATCTAAAATAATTCACATATCAAAGGTTGTCACTGCAAAAATTCTCACTGCCAAAAAAAATATTGTGTCTGCCATTAAAACGGTGTCCTTTGTAGTAGTCTTTGCTAATGTGTTGAATGTGAGAATAAGATTGAAAGTATGAAAAAAGAATAAAGCAGCATTTAAAATTATTAAGTATAACCTCCTGCATCATATCTGCAATCACCATATAATAACAATACACTTCAAATTTCTCCTATTGCAATGCAGTAATAAATGGTAAAAGATAGCAGCCAAGTAATTAATAATAATTAATTTGCTTAGTAGCACTTACAATCACCATACAATAATAATTCACTACAAAAAGATAATATAGATGTTGAATTCCCTTCAACAATCAAAAAAGACTCAATAGGTAGTGTAAGTAAACCATATGAGGAGGATTTTAGCACCCATAAAAAACCAACTAAACGCAAAGCGTTAAAGTTTAATGAAAAGTAAAAAGCTCTATCCTCAATCTTTAACGAGATTTCTCCGGCTGATAACAAATACTTAGTTAATAAATCTTGAGGAAAGTTCTTTTCCAAACAAGTAAAAAATTATATACATATCTAGATACACGAATCTTCACTAAAGTAAACCTTAACCATCGCTACCTATCATCTATATATAATATTATAGAAGAATACTTTATATATTATTTAAAAAATTTTTTCTCTTTCATTTGCTGAAAGATTTGTGCAGAAATAGCACAAAATATCTATTAAAATAAGTAAACAAAAAACTAAATATAATTGATAGCAACAAAATTCAGTTAATCCTACTAACTAACTAATAACCATTTTATATTATTTTTTATATGGCTTAACTGAAAAAATTTACAAAATAAATATTAGCTATAAAATATAAAAAAATTGAAAAGTAAAGAATAATTTATACGAATATTTTTATTCCATAAGTTTATAGATACATACATACTTATATATCATAATTTAATAATTTATTATTATTATTATTAATCAATCATGTTCTTGCTCCTATAAAAAACAATTATTTCTTTCTCTTGACTCCCTTGATCAAAAATTTAAACAGTACTTTCTTGTTAAGTAAATTTTTACTCGAAATTTACCATCTGAATACCCATGAAAATGAGGAAAATTAAAATAATTAATCAGTAACTGTAAGATAATTATATGAAGTGACAGATATAATTGAGGAGCTAACTGATTTATAACTGCAGTTTAAATATAAAAATTCGAATAATCTTAATATTATCTCTAATATATTAGCTTTTTTATTATTAAAATAATTTTTTATACATATATTGACTTTATTTTATATCTTAACTTTTGAAAATATAATCAACTTTTTTAATCTTTTATAAAATAAAAAAAAATACATACAATACTAATAATGTTTTTGTTTGATAACTAACCTAGTTTATAGATTACTAGAATAGATAAATAATAAAATTTAAATGTAATTATTTTGTCTATTGTTCGAAATTAATTAACTATAAATGATATTGTATATCAATTTATTAACTTTATGCATTTAAATGCTGACTAAATTTTACATCAAATATAATACAGCTCTAAAAAAAAGGGGAATTTAATTATAAATGCTTTTGTATTCTTCTTGCTTTAAATGCGTTTGAGGTTTAAAAGTTAATTTAAAAACTCTAGGTATATTTCCTTTTTAATTTATCGAATAAATAATCTGCTAGTGCCTAATTCATAAATTAATTAATAAAAAAAATAACTATAACTTTAACTAAAAAAAAGAAACAAAAGTAGAATTAAAAATAAATAGCATAAAAAACATTTAAATTAGAAAAAACAATACAAGATAAAATAATATTTAAAATTATTAAATGATACCTAAAGCTAATTAACCAAATCCTTTAGATGTATCAATAGCTTAATCTGAGCTTTCAGAAATAGAGAGAACGAAATACTAAAAGGCTGATTGGAAAGAAGCATAAAGATAAGTAAAAAAATATCAAATATTAGATAAGTCTTCAGGTGAGCCAAAACCTTTTGAACTATCTTGTGATCTTGAAAATCTAAAGAAATATGGCATAGGAATTTTCTTTTATTTTGATCTATTAAAAAAAGTAGCAATCTTTTTTTGGATTGCAACATTAATCTGTGCTCCAACTTATTATTCAAATTATACTGGAGGAGGAGTTACTAACACAAGTGGTCTTTTTAGCTTAAGCAAACTTTCTTTGGCAAATTAACCTTAACTACAACTCACTATCCCCAGTAGTACAGCGACCTAATCAGAAAAATAGCAAGTATAACAGTAGAATGACTAAAGTATTAATGACTTTGTAAGCTCTCAGGTATGATTATAATTTGAACTTCTACTTTTTATATATTTTCTTTAATTTTCATCAATTTCTGTTGCTTTTTCGCGTTTTTGTTTATTTATTATTTTTTAAAGTCTACTAGAAAGTATTATGTATGGATCCCAGATATTGTGTACAGCTCTATCTTCTTTCTTTTTATTCTTTACTATAAAAGATTTACAACTAATTAAATAAATGCTCAGAAGAAAATGATCTTACCTAGCTAGTACTGCGTAGAAATAAAAGGTCTACCAAGAAATACAATAGATTAAAATGAGCTTAAAGTTTTCATTCAAAAAGCAATGAAAAAGTACTCTACATTTGGCGATCAATTGACAGTTATGGAAATATCATTTAGTAAAGACTTTAAAGATACTCTCTACTTACATAGAAAGGAATCAGAACTGATTGAATAAATATCTATTGAAAAGAAAAAGTGTGAAATACTCAATAAAGATTATAATTTTGTTCTTAAAGAAAAAGAATACAAACTCAAAGTTCTCTAAGAAAAAATAGATGTGATTGTAACAAAGAAATTAGGAGGTAATGCAGAGTATAAATTTTATGAAACTCTTTCTGCATTTGTAGTCTTTAATACCTTTGATTAAAAGAAATAGTTCACTGAAGTTTACAATAGATATAATCACCCTCATTGGATTTACAGATTTATTCTATGCTGCTTAAGACCACGCATGCCTTAAGACCTAAAATTTAGAGGATTGTACTCACTTTAAATAGAACCTATTGTTGATGAACCATCTAATATCAAATGGGAAAACTTGGATGTTAAATCAGGTAAAATAACTTTTTATTTTAAAATTTGATTATTATTTCCTTTTTCGTTTATTTACTAATTTAAAAATTTTTGAATTCTCCAAAAATAAAATTTATCAGTTGTTTGTGATATATGAAATACTTAATCATGAATTATAAGAGCTCATTTTAAAATTTATGTGATTTTTTGAAAGATTTATAAATATTTATAATTTTATAAAATAGGCAATAGATTTTTAAGAGCTGTTGCAGTTTTCTTGATTATTGTCTGCGTAATGTTAATGACTCTATCAACCCTTGTAGTAGCAAATGTTTTACAACCAAAGTAGTAAACATCTTCATGCCCCTCTAATAAATATACTTATGAGTAAGCAAAATAAATTGATACCAGCTAATCACAATACTGTTATTGCACAACAGTTGACATTTAAGAAATGTTATCTAACAGTCAAATTGAAAATTATTGTTGGAATACATATCTTGCTTATGTAGAAGTTTAAGCACTTACAATAGCAACTAGTTCTGCTATTGTTGTAGTAAATGCAATTTTAGTTGGTATCATTAAAAAGCTTTCGAATTTTTTGAGATTTCCTAATGTAACTACTGAAACAACAACATCAACCATCATTCTTTTCATTTGTGTATTCATCAACACTGCTATACTTACACTATTAGTAAAATTTTATTGGCTTCTAAAATGTAATCTCATATTTTATTTTTAAAATCTAATTAATAGCTTCAATCAGACATTTTTGGATTTGTTACGGCTGTTTACTTTACAAGTCCTATTCCACCTTTAAAAAATCTGCAAAGCTAAAAATCTTAAACCTTCTCTGCTGACTTTGATAGAGATTGGTATGTTAAAGTAGGTTAGAAAATGATTTTGACTATGATTTTCTCCACACTATTTCCTCACGTAATATAACTGATTATAATTCCAATTAAAAAATGCTGTAGACAGAGATCAGCAAAAAAAAAAATAATACAAGTAGAAATGAACAAGCTGTTAGTAGGAGATGAATTTAATTTGATTGCCCGTTACACATCTTTCATGAACGTTGTGTTTGTCAGTTTGTTCTATTCTTCTGGCTAACCACTGCTATTACCTTGTGCAGCAGTGTCTTTGACCAGCTAATATTGGGTATTTAAGTATATGCTCTTAAGATGGCACAAAAAACCTCCAGCCTATGATTAATTATTGAATAACTCTATGCTAAAATTGATACCTTGGTCCTTACTATTTCACCTTAGTATTGGCATATATATGTATGGTTCACCATTGATATTTCCTAGAAGTTCTTCTTAAATTTCGTCTTCTATTTCAAATACTTTGAATTCAGCTGGTGTCTATGAAGTTGTCATCACAAGTAATCAAAATTCCCCTGTAGTTGATAGAACATATTCATCACTTTATTTATTTTTTTTACTTGCCTTGATTTTAGCTTTCTACATTGCAGATGTAGCTATTCTTAAAATCATTTCCACTGTTTTGTCAAAAATTTTACCTTGTTTCTTTAGAAACTCTTAATCTTTAAAAGTTGCTGCAATAGAATCCTCAGATCCTCTTCAAAACGCCTATATGAGCTAATATAAGTAAATGGGTTAACTTGCATCATATGATATCAAAATGAATGAGAATTATTATGCCTTGATAACAGCAATCGATCATGGAAGTCAAAGTAACACTCCTCGCTCTGTAGGTTCTCCATCTCTTTCAAAAGGATTAGGTTTTGGAGATACTCTTAAAATGGATACAAGAAAATCTAAATTTGTGAATAATAATTTTAATGTAAATACCTAAGCTATAGAATAAAGTAATAATAATTTGTAATAAAATTAATAAATTTAGTCACTTGACAATTCACCACAAATGGGAACCTATGCTAACAATAACGAATGACTTTTCATCATTTTTTCTGATAAAACTCACATAACTTTAATTATTTGTTTTTGTAAAGAATTTCTTTTGTGTATAAATAACATCTTAATTACTTACTAAATTTACTTTTCTATTATATTTTGCATCATCAAAAATTTGAAAAATTAAATTATTTTTATTTAAAAGTAAATAAATCATAATTATCATCTAGTTTCGTTTCAAAAATAATGTTTAATTTACCAACATTAAAAAAAACAAATTCTAAGTTTAAATATGAATTTAAAAAATTTTAAAACATTTATTTCATCATAATTCATCAAAATTTTAAAAACGACTATTTTAGAATAATATTGATAAACATACAAAGATTTAATATTTACTATAATAATTTCTTAAAAATAATCATTTTATATAATAGTTTTTATTGCAGTTAGATCTAAATATTTAAAATTTGATAATCTTTTAAAATTGATTAATTACATAAAAGTAAAATGATTAAGTGTTATAAAATTACATTTTAAATATAATGTTAAACTCATAGTTCTTTAAGTAAATATGAATGCATTTACTACAGTTATAATGGAATTTTAATTATATTAAAATTTACATTTATTGCTATATTTTTTAAATTATAATTTTTATTTATTTATTTAATAACTTATTAATTAGAGTATTATCCATCTTGAAAAAATAAATTTACTATTTAAAGCTTTGTTATATTATCTATTGAATTATAAATTGAAACAATAGCCATTTCTTTATATTACATAAATTCAATGCTTTTTCTTTTCCTATTCTTAAATTTTTAATCTTTATATAATTCTTAAAACATCAGAATCATCTTAATCTGAATCTATGTCTTCTTCTTCCTATGAGTTGAATTTCTAATTATAATTTATTAGGCTATTTTTTTCAAACTATTTTTAATTCACTTTGTAAGTTGGAGTTATGTTTCCTGGTTTTAGTTTTATCTCTTATTTTAAATTTAATTTGCTATTTGGGCTTTTATTAGATCCTTTAAATACATTTTTCTTATATAAATTAGAAGATATAATTTTATTTTCTTTAATCTGATTTTAAAAATTATAATTTTAACTATAATTATTATCTTCTTCTTAGGATTAAATATTAGAAATATCATCTTCTTCTAAATCAGGAATGCTTCCACTCTTCTGCTATTTTTAATAATCAAAATCTTGTTCTGCTTAATAGCTCTCCTCAAAAATTTAGTTCTCAAGAGTATTTTGTTCAAATGATTTTTAATTAAATTATTTGCTTAGATTATTATTCGAAGAGTAGAATTACTTTTTCCTCTCTTAAATCTGTTAAGGTTAAAATTAAACTTAATTTTTACTATTCTCTTTAGTAAGAAATGAGCACTTTTTTTCTCTTACTGTTTCACTTGAAGTGTCTTACAATATATTAAGGTATGTTTGTTAAAGATTTTGGATTTTATTTAAAACTTTCTCACTTTTATCACTTTCTATTAACTCTTTTTATCTTAGCTCTTTCTGATACTATATGGAACTTTTAAATTCTGTTTTTTTCTAATTAAATTGTTGTTTTTAAATATTTTATATTTTAATATCATTATTTTAATTTTAAACATTTGTAACTTAAATTTGATTTATTTTATCTTATTCTTCTTCTTATTTAAATTATAAATCCTATTATTATTCAGTAATCATTTTTGAGTGATCTTCATTTATTTTATTATTGTTGATTATTTAACTAAAATTCTTTTGATTTTCTATATTATCAAATTCATTATTTAAAAAATTACTATTTTCATCGATTTATATATCATTAAATAAAATAGCAGGATGATTCTATTCCTCAAACTATATTTTTTTCCTCAAAGGATCATAAGAATCAATTACTTATCTATTATGCTCAATGAAATTTTAATCTATTAATTAACTTTTATCTTTTTATTCTTAAGGTTTTAAATGATAATCTTCTTCAACTATCATACCTCTATCTAATTAATTTTAATTATCTTTATTATCTCTTTATTACTCAATTTATTCTTCACCTTTATTCCCTTCATCAATCATTTAAGCTTTATTAACTGATTTTTAACCTGATTTTATATTTTCAATATTTTCTTAAAGCTCTTATGGAGTCTTACTTTAAAATATTATTTTTTTCAATTCTTCTTTTTGTTCTTTATTTAACACCTTATCTTCTTCTTAGTCTATTATTTGCAAGATGTTATTTTGAACATTCTGTAGTATTTAGCCTTTTGCGATTTATTCAATTTAATTGAAAAAAGACTGTTGTTAATCCCAGCCTCTTAAATCTATTGATTGAATTGTCCCAGATAGAAAATTAAATATACTAATTTATTCTATATTAATTTTATCAGTAACATACATATAAGAAGCAGCAAAAAGATAATTTAAGAAATCTTCTTTTTTGTATGTTTCGAATATATCAAACTTAAAGAAAATTAAATGATTTTAATTTGCTATTAAATCAATGAGACCTTAAATATTCTTAGTCTTGTAAATCTTCTTGCATTCTATACTTTAATATTAAGATAAATAACCGTTAATAAAGTTAATCTAAATGTTTTTAAGGAGCTCGTAATCTAAAATAGCAGTCAAGTTGTTGTTGTACAGGTATTTTCTTCTATTCTCAAACAAAAATCCACATTTTGATATTTTATAAATGTTCTCAAAAATATCTTCACTTTTTTTATGTTTATTCATATACTCACTAAGTGCTATAATATAACTCTATCCAAGTCTTTCAAATTGATCTTAAAAATATTTGTTTGGTCTGTGCTTTTAAAAATTAAAAATATGTATTTTTTTTAGACACTAAATTTCTGCATTGTATGATAAAATATTGTGAAGTTCCTACATATCTTAAATATCTTACTCACTCTTATCTCTATCACCTTCATTTTTGAATCTTTCAATGACATTTCTCTAATCATCTAACTAAGCAGAGTCAAAAGTTGTAAAAAACTTGCTGTACCTCAAGAAAAGTCTAAACAAATTCTCTGGTAAATGCAATTCATATATTTAAGGTAATATGACCTAAGCAGCAACCTATTTAATTTATTAATTAATTTATTGGCTTAAATTTTTTTTTTATTAATTTTATTGTGAAATAAATTTAATAATAAAAAATTCCTCTTTTTTTTTCAATCAAAATGAATTTATATTAAGTAATAAATATAGATTATTTTGTTATGCTTTTACTTGAATTTTTATTATTAGCAACTTTATATTATAATATGAATTATTAAATAAGGTAAATTAAAATTTTACTTAATTATAGAATGAATTTTTAGCTTTGTACTTTTCTCCAATCATTCTTACTATACATCTATCAAAAAACATACCCATTTCTGAAAATAATTAATTGTCTTTAACTTATTGAGAAATTTCATGCTTTTCCATATAAAGGCTTTTAACTACCTTTTCTTGTACTATATTTTAAGTGAAAGTATTTATATCTTCAAGTTGCTTGCTATTCATTTTAGATATAACTTCTCTGATCTTAATACAATTTTATTCCTCTTCCCCATTTTATGATTCATCAAATTCTATCCATTTATAATCTTTTATTATGTGGTCTTAAAAGTCTAAAATGATATCTGCTCTATAGTATTCTCTTGGAATATCTGCAAAAAACCTGGTAACCTTAAATTTTCCTTACATTTTATCTTTTTCCTTCATTTTTTCAGGTTCTTTAACAATGCAACAAAAGTTTAGCTCCTTTATTGCCCTTGTAGCACCAACATAAAATAATCTTCTTTACTCTTCTAAAATGGTACAAGCCTAATTTTTATTTTTTTAAACGAAAGCCATAGGAAATTAATCATCATTACAACCCAAAAAGTAAACTATGTCCCACTCGAGTCCCTTGCTCCTATGAATTGTTGAAATAGTGAGTTTGTTTTACTTTTATGGAGCAGCATTAAACTCTATTAACTTAAAATCTTCAAATTTTAAAGTGATAAAAGCTTAATAAGGTATTTGGTCACTCTAAATACTCTTTTAATTGTGCTTTTCAACAACTTCTTCAAACTTTTTCAGCTAGTCATTCATTGGACCTATAATTGCAATATCTTTAAATTGAAATCCTTTATTTTTAACTAACGAAAGTATTCTTTTGATAATAGATTCATTTTATTATTTCTCAGAATCAAAAATATGTAAGTAAGGATAGTCTCCTTCTTTATCATACTTACTCTTCATTTTTTCTTCTTCTGTTTCTCCGTGTATCTCCTAAGCACTCTACATAGTTTTTTTAATCAAATTTTCATTTTTTTCTATAATTTTGTTAGCAAATTTTGTTATTAGATGTGTACTTCTATAATTTGCAGTTAATCTAAACTCTAGTAAGTCCTTTTTTTTCTTCTTCAAATCATCATTAATTCTATTTTAAATAATATCAATTTTTGTATCTCTGAAACCGTAAATATTTTAAGCATCATCACCTAATTTAAATAAGAATATATATATTTAAAATATATAATTATTTTTTGTGCTAATTATCTTTTCAATTAAATTATTAAGTCTTATTATCAACTACTAAACTAAGTAAAAAAAGATCAGCTATATCTTTAAATTTTAAATATGAAATTTCAAATAATTTAGTCCACCACATTTTTCTCAACTTATTTTATCCAAAATTTTGAAAAACCAAATTTTAAAAAATTATTTATTAGGTTTCTAAAATTTGATTCAAGAAAAGATTAGATTTTAATGCTAAGTAAAGTATCACATTAAATATATAAAATAAGAAATTATTACCTATGACAGTTAAAATGCAATTAAGTTTTTTGAATTCCATGAGTATTTCATATTGTAGTTCAGATACGTCTTAAAATTCGTCAAAGAAAAAATATTTGTATTAAAGGTATTAAAACTTATATTTCTTGATATGTGCTAACCAAATATCACAATATTCTCTTTAACTAAATAATAAAACTGATTGAGAATTCTTTTACTTAGCTTCTAGCTCGCTTCTGATAAATTTATATGCTATTTTATCAATATTTCCAATTAGGATCGATTGCTAAACTTCCTTTCCAATCATTTCATACACTTTCTAACTTATATGTTTACCAGCTTCTATATTAAAAGTACTGATAATAATTTAATTTGGTTTGACCCCATGATCTAATAAGTATTTCAGTCTTATAACTAAAGTTGTTGTCTTGCCACTACCTGTTTGATAATAAATTTTATAAAATATTTTTATGCATAATATTTACCGGCACACGCAATAATTTTTGTATCTTTCTTAATATCACTAACAATAACATCTAATTATTCTTCTGTAGGACGAATTTCTATTTATTAATCCCACTATGTTTTATAACTTATCACCCTATAATTATCCTTTCCTTTCATTTCTATAAATAAAAAATAAATTATTAACTCTATCGCTTATTCTCATTAAAATTAATAAATACCCATTTTTTAAACTTCTTATTTTTCTTCTCTTTTTTATTTATTGTTTTGTTCATTCTCAGGAAACGATGTAAATTTTAAAAATCTTGAATAGTACATATCTAAATTTTATTTCATAGTTTTCTCGAATTCCTCTCTATTAGTAGGAAATTATTTGTAAACCTAATTGATCTACTTATTAATTTCATTTTTTTTCTTTTTAGGAATCTTCATAAATTCAATGTAATCACTAAATTAGTTTTTTAATTCTTGGATTTTTTCATATTAAACAATAAAATTATCATATTATTCAGATAGTTAATATTGCTTAATTTGATTTTCATAACAATTTTTAGTTACAGGCTTTAATTTTTTTATTTTATTCAAGTTCTTCTGTTAAATATCACTTAAATCTTTGACATTTTACTCCATATGTGAAATAAATATCTTAAATAAATTTTATGCATTTTTTTCGTTTGCTTTTGTTTAGGCATCAATATTTTTTTTATTTTCTTCTAACTCTTTTAATTCATTTTCATTTTCTTATTGTTATTAATTTAGATTTTAAATATCTTCTTCTAATAATTATTGATCACTTTCTTAAGGTATATCATCTTATTTTTAAGCTTCTTTATTTATATTTTGTTTACCAAATACTAATTTTGAGTTTGTGCTTTCTTTCTGGGATTTTATTTTATTTTCTGACTATTTTTGTAGCACATTTTTTAACTAAACCTATTTGTCTTATGGTTGATCATCTTTATTTTTTTAGATGAGTCTACTTTCCTTAAATTAATCTTTTTCTTAATCACCATTTATAATATTTTCTTTTTACTTTGCCTTATCACTATTTTTACCTTGAGTAGGAACACAAAAAGATAATAAATTCTTCATTTTTTTCTTTTAATTTATTTTAGGTTGCTATTCTTCTTAAATTTAGCAATTTTTATTTTCATTTTAAGCACTTATTTATTTGTTATCTTCTATTGAATTATTTATTAAAATCTAAATATTATGGTTTAGTTTACTTTCCTTGCTTTATTGAGTTGAATTATTAGTTAAAATCTAATTATCTTTATTTATGCTGTTTTATTTACTTTATTCAATCTAATTATTATTTTTTTAAAAGCCTTTTTCATTATTTTCTTCAATTTAATTATGAATTATAATCTAATTTATATTAGTTTCACATTCCATTGTTCTATTGCATTCTTCATATTCAACAATCATTTTATTGTTATTTTAAATATCAGCTTCGCTTAAATTTTTTTAGCATAATTTACTTTAATTATTTTTTAAAGTAGAATTAAACTACCTAAAATCATTAATTTAAAGTTATCTGTTAGCCTTCCCCTCTGATTTTGATCCCTTACTACATTCACTTTTTTTACTGTTATTTGAAAAAGCATCTTAACGGCTATCAAATTAAGAAACCATAGCTACTTATTCATCATCTTGCACTTCCATTTAATTCTACTTGGATTAATCTTCTTTAGGACTAAACTGTATTGAAGAAAGTCTTTCTTATTTATAAATAGAAGCTAATTTTTGTTCTTATTCAATCGTATCATCTTCTTCAACTTTGATCTTTTTTTTAGAAGATGGTGTCATTCTAATCCATTTTGATGATTATTTCATTCTTTTTTTATTGAGAGGAGATGAACAACTATCATCTTACCCTATTTTAGCTTTAACTTTTGATTTGAATGATTTTTTTTTACTGTATTTGAAAGGACTTAATTTTTTTTTGATGTATTCCTCCCTTTTTTGTAAAATATCATAACTATTTTCGTATTCCTAAGCATCATTTTATTCAAAACTAGGATTTTATACAGAATTTAAATTGTTATCAATTTATTGCTGATAGAATCCATCATCTTCCACTTTGATATCTATTTTTAAATTCTATTAATAGATTGTATTTTCTTTATTTTCAGTCTAAATATCATCCTAAACATCTGCGTTTTTAGGTTTAAAAAAACTTTTTAATGAAGCCTAACCTTAAACTTATTTTATTTTAGTTTATTTCATTTTAGTGTACTTTAATATTTTATATAAAAAATTTGCTCCAAATATATTTAAGCACCTTTAAAAATATTCTAAAAATAATTAAAGTTAAGATATCAAAAATTGCTTTTATTTTGCTTTGCAAGATTCTTCACTAACTTAGATAATAATAAAAATTGATATAAAAAATCTTAGAAATCAAATTATTTTTTTGAGGGTTAATTATTTTAAATTATAGCTAATTAAATACTAATTAAATTGGCGCTTAAATTAAATACATTTGTTAGAATTAAAATCATTAATCGTATTAAATTAAAATTTTATAATAAAATAGATACTGTAATTACATTTCAAGTTATCTACTATTTTCGATGAAGCTAAGTAACATTTTTAGTTTAATTATTTCGTATTTCTTAAGATTGTAAAATTATTTTATTTTAATTGCAAAATGAATTCAATAAATATTTTTATAATTTTTATTTCATAAAATCAATCTACTCTTATATTTTTTTTAGTTTGATTATTCTTTTTTAGCTTTTAATATTAGTATTTGCTTCTAAAATATTAGAATAAATTTTTTTGTAAAAATTGCAATAGTTAAATTTTTATGTCAACTTTTTAATTTTTATAACTAAAAATATAAGTTATTGATAATATTAACTAAATAATATCAAAAATACTATCATTTATTGTTTTAAGTAACTACTTTTTAATAATATTTTTTTTTATAAAATAAATTATTATAACAAAAAAACAATAATCACTAATAAATAATAAAAATTAAATTTGATATTTTTAGATAAATACTTGATATATTTTTACTTAAGTGTTAAAAACTAATACATTTGTTTATATGAACTGAATATATTTGTTTTAAATGAATTCAATTGTAATTTTATTATTGGATTTGATATTTAAGATGTTTAAGAAAAAAATCATTTTTTTAGATAAAAGTAATGGTAAAAATTTAAATTAAAGCAATAAAAGTAAAAAAATTTTTTGCTAGTTCAAAGGATAAACATTATTTTTTAAATGAATTTGAGAATTAAAGACTTACTAAAAACACTTTATAAATAAATTATATGTATATTTAAAATTAAATTGAAGTAATATTATATTTAATAGTTAAAAATAAATATTTTAAAAACTATTGTTTGAAAGCTGAAAGCCTTAAATTAGATGAAGATAAGTAATGAATAAATAAGCAAATTAATTTTGTTTAATAAATAAATAAATTATATTTTTTTTGATAACACTAACTAAAAAATGTATTTTTTATTGAACTTTGTTTTAATTTTGTAATAATATCATATTTACTATAAAATATCTAATTTCAAAATATGCTATGCAGGGTGTTTATATTACTAAAGCAAATTGTTGGAGGTTATTTAATAGACTTAATTTTAAATAAATATTTTAACACTAAAGAAGTATTTTTTTTAAATTAAAATTCTAAAGTTTAAATATTTAAAAGCAAATAAAATAGGTAGTTTATAAAATTATAAATAATAAGTAGAATTTATTTAACTATTTAGTTAAATTGAGTCTACCTATTTTTTTCAGCATACATTTTTCTTTGATTCTAGTACTAATAAATATTATTTAATCAGTAATTAATAAATCTGTATAATTAATTGTTATCTTTATTTTGTTTTTATTACCAAATTAAAGTTATAAATATTGTTTAAATCAAATCTAAATAGGAAGTCTTCTTAAATATAAAAACTTAGCTTAAATGGAAGATAAATTCATTTTTTAAATTTCTGATGAGAAAAAAATAGAATAGCTTTATTAGTCTTATTGTAAATCGGTATTTTGCATTAATTTATGAAGATAAAAATCAAATAATCTTTTAATCTATTTTCATATTTTGCCATGAGTACTAAAAGATTTTAAATATGGCATAGAGCAATAAAATGAATAGATTTTTAAACTAATTTCCAAATATTTATAAATCTAGGAATAAAATCATATGAGATTTAGCGAGCTATTTATACTACTATTAGAGAAAGGATTAGTTAGGAATGGTTTTGGATTAAAATTTTACTTAGAAAACTATAACAATGCAATAGATGAAGAAATAGAGCAAGAAAAGAAAGTTTAAGAAATTACAACAGATTTAAGGCAGATGAAAAAATTATAAGAGCAAGCTAAAGAGTTAGTTCCAGGCAAATTGAATAGATTTAAATTTATGAATTTTTTGAAGAAAGTAGGAAAGCTTTATTATCATGGTTAGAAGAATCCAATTGATAGATATTTAGAATAGATATTAGTGGAAATACCTTAACATAGAAAGAAAAGTGCAAATGCAAATACAGTTTTTTATCGTGTTTTAAATTATGATGAATCTAACAAGAAGATATTTAATGAATTCACAATTGAAACTATTTTGGAATATGAGGAGGACTTAAAACGCCTATTTACTGCATATATGCCAGAAAATTATGACAAACAAAACATAGTAAAAATCATTAAGTTTTTATGAAATTGAATGAAAATGTTATTAATTAAAGATGTTGACATGGGAGGAAATAGATATGTTAAATAAAAAGGTTAGCACAATGAGCGTGCTAAAACTATTAATAGATGCTAATATAATTCCTACATTAATTACATCAGAACATTATCAAGATATATAAGTGCGTTTAGTGGTAAGTTGCATTTATTAATTAAAAATTTAAAAGATTTAAGCCAAATAAATCATAGAATTTAAAATGGAGCTTAATTTATTCAAATAAATGAAGAAATAACTTTTTTAATTTAAATAAGCCTCCTTTCAACTAGGCAGAGACTCTTTTCTATCAATAAGAGCAAATAAAAAAAATACTTGAAAAGGATTTGGGGAAAAAGCCTATAACTTCAAAAACAGATGGAGATCCATATATAAGTTTTTTTGAGTTTTAAATGATTTTTGTTAAAATGGCTTTAGAAACTACTCCTAAAGATCATATTAAGAAAGACAAAGATGTTTAAGATGCTATTTCTAAATTTATGTAAAACGTGGTCTAAATTCGTAACAAAAAGCAAGAAAATGATTGGGATATTCTTAAAAAGTCTTCTAAATTTTCTAGCACCTATATTTATCGTTTATTTTGTCCTATCCAGCTTTAAAATAAGAAAAAAGACACTCCGGCTACTCCTTAAAATACATAAGTAAATAAGGCAAACAATTTTTCTTAAAATTAAGCTCAACAAGGAAGTAAGTAGGATTTATCAAACTAGTAAGATGGATTCAATAATTAAAACCAGATGAAAAAGACAAAATTATATGAAAATGATGATGAATTTTTTGATGAACCCCTCAAACTTCTTTAAGCTATAGAAAATAACCTTAAATTTGGTGAAGGGTTGACATCTAAATTTGAGCTTGATACTATATATAAAACACTTCAATCTGAGCTGCCACAAATACCTCCTCCTTACAAAGTAAATTTTTCATTTTATATGAAATGAGATATTTAATATTATACTAAAAGCCTGAGAAATAAGTAGTTGATATTCAAAAATATGTGCCAAAGGTTATTGGAGAGTAACCTCCAAAGCCTCCAGTAGACAAAAATGCAAAGAAATAAAAAGAAGAGCCAAAGAAAAAGAAAAAGGGTGAGGAAGAAAGAGTAATAAGATGGGCTGGAATGCCACCTCCTCCTCCTAAAACAACTTATGATCATTTTAATAGTTACAATGATTAACTTGAGTTTAATAATCCATATCAAATTAACCAATAGAGTGGTGTAATGAGTCATATTGAAGCAGCACCTGTGCTTTTAGAAGAAGTAAACTCACTTTTTAAGAGTTATTTATCTTAACAAGAATCAATAAAAAAAAGATGATTTATCCATAAAATATCCCAGCAGATGCGAAAAAATTTTTAGAAGCCTCGATTCTAAATTATTCTCAATAAAATTTCTACGCCTCATTAGAAAATTTAAACACTTGTTATGAAACATGGTTGAATATAGAAGATAGAAGTGACCTAACAATATAAAATGAAATATTTTTTGATTTTTTTAAAGGTATGATTTTCTAATCAGCAGGTAGAGATGATTTAGCTCTTTCATCTTTTTTTTCTTCCAAAGTTTTATCTGATAAATTGTAAATGGATTATCTTGATAAGGCTCTACCTTATTGCGGTCTTGGAGGAATGTTATTTCGTGTTGAGGAGTATAATTTGGCTCTTAGAAGCTTTTTAAAAGTGATTTAAACTAATAAAAATTGAAAATTCTAATTTGTTTTATATACTAAATTTAGGCAAGGGAAATAAGAGAGCTATCTATAGGAGCAGATAATATGGAAACAGCGACTGTTTATAATAATTTAGGTTGCTGCATGCTTAAGTTAAACAGAAATCTAGAAGCAATAACTTACTTCGAAATTGCTTATGCAATTTTTGATTTGGAGCTTGGCTAATTTCATATCAGAACATCTACTGTAACATTATTTTAAATTAGTTCATTTAATTCTAAAAAAAATTAAATAAATGTATAGGTTTAGAGAAATTTAATTAAGTGTAAGAAACAAGGAGTTAGCTTTTTGCCAGAATTTCGCACTCCTTGGATTACTTATGAAAAAGATCCACTTAAAAAAGCGAAACCAAAAGGGAAAAATGATAAAAAGAAGTGATATTTTTTAATTAATAAAAGAAAAAAATTAAAATAATTTTAATTATAAAAATAATAAATATATATCTATCCTTTAATATCTAAATTCATAAATATTATTATTGTTATTATTTTATTTGAAAGTTTCATTTTAAGTAAGAAACAAAATAATAAAATAGTTGTTAAGAAATAAAAATGGATCTTGTTTATCTATGTCAAAACTATTTATTATAGCCATAAGATTCACTTTTTTTGCATATTCGATAAAATTGGACTTTGTAAATTGCTTAAATTTTTAACGGAATATTAGATATATACATAATGTAATCATAAAAAGCATTGTTAAGATAGTTAATTGATCAATCAATCAAATTAATAATCTGATGATACTTATTAAATTGAAGCTAATTAATTACTCACAAATAATATTTATAATAATTTATAAGAATGAATGAAGAAGAGTTTACAAATTAGCACATTATTAAAAATAATAATGAAAGCAAGTAAAATCATCCAAACTCGAGTTCTTACAAAGGAGCTCTTGATTAGCAGTAAGTGATTCAGCAAAAAGAAAATTAGATTAAAAGAACTGAAGCGCACTTAAACGATAAAAATATTGCTTTTAATTAAAAAATACAACATAATAATCATGTTGATCAGCAGGTATTTAACACAGAAGGAAATTAACCAAGATAAAAATAAGAAAGAAAATTATCATATCTAGGTAAAACTAACTATAGCGAAAAATCAAAAGAGGAGTCTCAACTTAAACCGCCAAAAAATACAAAAGGAAAGGTAGAATACGATATAGTTAAAGATTTTTTAGTTAAAACTTATACTGATTAATGCGAAGAAGATGGATAAATGGAACTGATATAAATGCCAACAAAAAGGTCAACTGTGAGGAGAAAAGGGAAGAAAACGCCAATCAAAGTACAGAATATCTATTAAGAAGCACAGCAGAAAAAATAACTTAATGATGTTTTCTAGTACACAATAGTTGACAATAAAAAAAAGAGACAAGAAATTAAGTTGAAACAAAGATTAGTTAGAGAAATAAGTATAGATACTCACTCTACGATTACAGAAGAATCAAAAGATAACTAATTAATTTTATAAGACTAAAATCTTTCCAATAAATAAAGACAAAAATCCTCGTCCTTTTACTTAGATAATAAAAATGATAAAAGCCAAACCAATTTAAATAATACCCATATTCAAACTATTCAGGAAGAACCAGATGTTATTGTCATAGAAGATTCTTATCCTTTGGAGTGGGATCCTGGATTTAATAAGAAGGCTCGTAAAAAATTAGATTTAATTAATCAAACAAGATCAAATAATACTCTGCCTATATTAGATTTAAGCAACACTAAAAATGTAGAAAAATATAGACATATCTTAAATAGTAAATAAGGATGGCAACCCTTACTTAATACTCCTTTCTTACCTATAAGTCCTTAAAATTAACTTAAGAAGGCAGATCTTTTTAAGAATTTATTAAAGGAGTAGAAAAACAAATTTCACAAATCTAGAACTCCTGTAAAATCTCGTGTTAGAGAGAGATAGAATAACTTGTAAAATAAATGGGGAGAATATTACTTACAAAATAAAACTAGTATAGAATTTGATCCTAAAAATGTTTTTATATAAGAAAACTAAGATGTAGAGTAGAAGGAAGAAACTATTAAGCAGCTCCCAAGTGAATTAAATTAGAACTAAAAGCCTAAATAGCAATAGATTTAAAGTATTTATTCAAATACAAACAAAAACGCTAGCAATAGACCTAAAACAATTAAAGAATTACCCAGTTAGGTTACAGAAGTCGAAGAAAGCTCATTAACTAGTAGCATGAAGCCTGGATCTTAGTGTATCAATTAGACATTAGACTTTAATAAAGACTCTGGTAATGTCGAAGAGATTAATCAAAGAATTGGTTAATTGATGTAAATGATGCCTTTAAAAAAAGAAATTCCTAAATAGAATTAAAGTTTAAAGTAAACACCTATAAGAGAAATGAGTTAATAAAGCAGAGTTTAAACAGCAAACATAAAAAAATTTGGTAACAGAAGAGTATTGAGGTACAATAGTAATGAAAACTAAACTGTGAGTAATTTTTACTAAGCAAAAGAAGATAACTTTTTTGATAAAAGTGGTTAATAGAATTTATATAATTATAATTAAAATGTAAGTAAATCTCATGATTTTTATAGCAAATGCTCATTGTCGAGTAATAAATTAATTAATAGCAGAGAATAATTAAATGAATAGTCCACTATCAAAGATTAGCAAATTAAGTTAAATACTTTAAGTTATTCTACAATAAATTAGCCAAGAGAAGAATAGAGTTTAAAGGTTCAAAATTCTATTAAGCATTAGGAGTCAAAAGAAAGTTTTTAGGTCAACAAAGAAATATTATTAACTAAGTAAGTTTCTATAGAGGAGCAACATAAAAAACCTATAATATCTTAAGATTAAAATAATGGAAATCATTCAGAAAATAATGTATAAAATATATAAGAAACTATCAAAATTTAACAAAAAAACACACTTAAAAGAAAAATAAATTTCACAAATAAGCCAATTTATATAAATTATTAAGATTAAAAAATGCTTACAGAAGGTGACCAAATTGAATATGAAAATCCAGATTTGAAACAAACTATTAAGGTGTAAGAAATGATGATTTAAGAGTAAAAATTAAAGTAACAGCTAAGTATTCTGCGATCTCAAGGTGATAGAGTTAATAAATTAGACAAACATTTTTATTATAATGATGAAGGAAACAGCTTTTAGTCTTAGAGGGTAACTCCTTTTACAAAAGAAAGAAGAAGAGAGACATAGACACCTGTTTTGAGAAAAAACTACAGTAGCTTGACTCCAGTGAATAACTCAAATTAGAAAAATTAAACAAACTATTAAACAATAAATAATACAAATGTGTACGATATATAAAACGAAGCTAATCACTATAGCAATTAAGAAAGATAGTTTTAAAATGCTATATCCATAGAGAATAATTAAAAGATTGAAAATAATAATGATTAATATTACAATTAATCTATTCAGACTTTAAATAATAACTAATCCACTATTTCTACATTGGCAAAAACTAACAATTAGTAATAAATTATCAGATAAAATATATCTAACAAATTATAGAATCGCACACCTATTCCTAAAAGAACAACAGATAATTAAAATGAAATCAAAAATCTTTCTAAGTCACCAATCAACAATAAAAAAACTATTATTGTCAGAGATAATTTATCTCCTCATTAACGAATTTATGTCTAGCAGGGTTAAATGTCAAATTAAATACTTTAAAATAAAACTAATCAAAATATAACCTTGTAATAGCCTAGTTATTAAAATGAAGAAAATTTATATAATCAAACCTTCTCAGAAAATTTTAACAATTAGCAAAGCTTTAGTAATTTTGAATAAGAAATTTCTGAAGATTAAGAAATGTAAATATCTTTACTAAAACAGTAATTTGATAACATCATTTAAAACTGCTATGTAAAACCAAAAAAAACTAATTAATAACAAAGGAGATATGTGTAACAATCATTTATTTGATAAATTTGAATGTTAAATCAACTAATAAACTATCTTATTTATAATAAATGATAAAAATATAAATACAACTAATTAATTTCAAATAAAAATATTTTTGACCTTGCTAACAAATAAAATTTCTAAAAATAAATAGAAAATTTAAAGAAAATATTCAATGAGATAGATAAATAATCAATACATATATTTTGAGTAAATTTATGATTAATTAAAAAGAAATTCATTCTCGAAAGTTACTCTCAAAAAGGATTTAATATTATAAATAAATTCTAGATTTATTCTTTTTCAATAGTACGTAAATTAAGGTACTTTTTGTATTTAAAGTTTGATTATTATTTATAAACTAAACACATTTATATGCAGAATATTATATTAAAAATTAAAAATTTATCTTCAAAAAAATTTATTATTTTCAAATAAATTTGCTCAAAGTTTTAATTTAATTTTAGAAATAAAAAATGATAAATAAATTTTAGAAACATTTTGTTGACAGTTAAGCGAGATTTGGTTTAGAGTTTATTTCTAGAAAATATTTTAGTTTCAAAAAGATAGACCTTAATATAAAGAAATAAGAATAAAACAAGGAATTTGATTTCTTTGTTATTGGAGGAGGATCTGGAGGATTAGCTGCAAGTAAAGAAGCAGCTCAATTAGGTGCTAAAGTTGGATTGGCAGACTATGTTGCTCCCACGCCAATTGGTACATCTTGGGGTTTAGGTGGGACTTGTGTAAATGTTGGTTGTATTCCTAAAAAGTTAATGCATATTGCTGCATAATACGGTGAAAGTTATGAATAGTAAGAAATATCTGGATGGAATGTAAACAGATAGTCAATTCAAAATAATTGGATTTAGCTAGTACATAGAATTTAAGAAAATGTTAAAAGAACTAACTTTGGTTACAGAGTATCTTTAAGAGAAAATAAAGTCACTTATTTTAATTCCTTAGCAACTATTATTGACTAAAACACTATTAAGCTTTAATCAGGTGAATAGCTTAAAGACGCTATTTATGTGAAAGCAAAATAAATTCTGATAAGTGTAGGTGGAAGACCAAATTATTTACCACATATTGATAGAAATCTCGTAATTACTTCAGACGATCTATTTAGCTTGACTAAACCTCCAGGTAGCTTTTTTTAATTTAATATAAATTTTAAATAAATTTTTAATTAAATTTAGGCAAAACTCTTATTGTTGGAGCTTCTTACATTGCACTAGAATGTGCAGGGTTTTTAAATGGACTTGGGTACGATGTTACAGTTCTTTACAGAAACAAAATTTTAAGTGGATTCGATTAAGATGTGGCTTAAAAATTATAAGAATATATGAGCTATCATGGAGTTAAATTTGTAAAAGATGAAATTAAGCATATATCAACCCACAACGAAAGCTAAAGAGAAGTTACTTTTAATTTTGGTGGATAAAAGGAAATATTCGATACAGTTATGTTAGCTATTGGCAGAGTTCCAAACACTTAAAGTCTAGGTTTAGAAAATGTTGGAGTTAAATTATCTAAAAATAGAAAAATACTAGCTGATCAAAAGGATTAAACATCTGTAAGCAATATATTTGCAATAGGAGATGCTGTTGAAGGTAACTTATTAGCTTTAGTTTATTTTTAAAATAAATAATTTTATTTAATAATAGGGAGAATGGAATTAACACCTGTGGCAATAAAATAAGGGAGATTTTTGGCTTAGAGACTTTTTAACAATTAAAATGAACTTGTAGATTATAACACTATCCCAACAACTATATTTACACCTTTAGAATACTCTTGTATAGGATTGAGTGAAGAGCAAGCAATTTAAAAGTTTGGATAAGAAAATATTTGGTGTTATGTTTCTAAATTCAAACCTCTAGAATGGACTTTTTCTGAAAAAGACAATAAATCAAGAGGATACTGTAAACTAATAGTAAATAGATAAGATAATGAAAGAATTATAGGCTTACATTATTTAGGTCCTAACGCAGCTGAAGTGGCTCAAGGATATGCTGTTGCATTTTAAATGGGAGCTACTAAAAGAGATTTTGATAAAACTATAGCCATACATCCTTCCTCTAGCGAAGAATTTGTATTACTTAAGTAAATTAAGGGCATATCTGAGACAGAAGAGTGGTTGTGTTGTGGTTGATTTAATATTTATTTTGTAATTTTTATCATTAATAAAAAAATTCCTAAATTCTCAAAAGAAAAAAAATTATATAAAGCAAACAGAATTAATTTAACGTCTAATTTATAAAACTTATTTTAATCTAAAATAAAAATTAAAATGATTTAAAGTTAATTTTAAATACACTTTAGTTGGTTGATTGTCTTTGTAAATTATCAAATAATTTATTTTGTAAATAATAAATTAAATAATAATTATAGGTTAATTAATGAAAAGCTTTTTAGTTCAATTAAAAATCAATATTGTTAATTTAATTTTTTATTTTTAATTCATTTTTAAAATACATTTTAGGATTTTTAATAAAAAATGTAAAAAAAATTTTATGTTTTCAAGTAGATTTTATTTGTTTATTAAACAAAATTTTTGAAAGACAAATAAATCAATTTAGTATGATTAATAATTTTTGATAACTTTATATTATTTGGTTTATTACTTTAGTTGATAAATATTTATAAGCACTAATTACATATTTTTTTTTGATTGGTCATTTATTAAAACAGCTGATTCATTCAAAAATAGAGTTTAATAATTTAGGGTAAATAGAAATATAATTTTTATTCAATAAAGTATTGAGAGAGATACAAATAAGCGAATGGCAGAATTCACTTACCATGATTATCTCTTGCACAAAGTTGTCTAACCTTATTCAATAAGAGGTTAAAACAGTGAAAGCGCTAACTTAAAGAGAAATATACCCCTTTATATGACTAGATAAGCAGGGAAAGTGCGCGAATAGCATTAAGTTGAATCAAAAAACATAGTTACTAAATAGGCTGTTTAACCACCCCAGGTTTTTCTTGATTCTTAGTTTGAAAAACTTTAGCAATAGCAAGAAGGTTTATATCATAGAAAGCCTGGTATAGATACTAATATAGGGATGAATAGGACAGTGAAATCTATTTTTTAAAATGATGATTTTAGTGATAAAAATGATCCTATTTTCAAAAACATTAGAAATAGGATTTAAAATGAAAAATATGTTGATGATTTTTATGTCTTAACAGAAGGAGCACGTCCTAGAAACACTCAAAAAGAAGAAAAACTATCAATTGAAAAAGAGATTAAGACTGTTTTGCAAGAAAAAGTTAATGAAGACTAACTTAAAAAGCTTTACAGAAAGTACGTTTTAGAAACCATGAAAAAAAATATTGCTCTGGAAAAGAAAATGAGGATGTTTGAAAAGTGATTTATTTTTATGCAATATTTATTCTAAAAAGATGTTTAATTTTTTTATTTAAAACTTAGAGAGCATGAAGTTAAAATTGGTTCGTTGCAATTAATTGACAACAGGAAAAGTTCATTAAAAAATGTTCCTGAAGATTAACAAATAATAGGAAAGTCAGCAAGTATGGCTGCTATAAATGGTACTCACTCTCTTGTCTTATAGAATTCTTTTGAATAAAATCAGAAAAGCAGAAAACTGGAGTCTTTTATAGACCCTTCTAAGGTTTTTGGGCAAGAAACAATGTCTTAACTAAAAGATCTTGAATAAGACAGACCAAACCAAAATAAAAATAAATTGCAATAATCTAAATAGGCTATTAATTTTAAGTAGAGACTAAGTGGATTAAAGTTAGATTTTTCTAACAAACCATAAATGAAAGAAACATCAAAGTAAACTTGTAAGAATATAAAATTAGTTTTTTCTAATTTTAATAATTAATGCATACTATTAATAATCACTTTTTCTGAAAAAAAAAATATTCAATTCAGTAAAAAAATGGACTTTTTTATAAAAAATAAATTAAATTAAACATATTTTAACATTGCTTTAATTTTTAAAAATAATAAAGAAGAAGCAAGCTCCTAAATAAGCTCATTTTAAACTCCTATTGCTGCAAATAATTTTTAAAGCTATATATAAAAGCAGGATTCATTTGAGCATGATGAGGAAGAAACTGTTGAACAGTATTAAATGAAATAACTACAAAAACTTTAGGAAATAAATAAAAAGTAACAACAATACAAATACAATAATAAAGAAAGTGAGAAAGCTCATATAAAAAATTTATGTAATTACTTCGATCTAAGCTTGCAAAAACTGCTTAATTTAGAAGATAAAAAGCAATGTAAATTTAGTACATTATGCTCTTTTTTTCAAGATTTTATTTTAATGATAAATAGTGAAGCAGAATAATGTGAAAAAATTAGCAGAAATTACTTTAGAGAGTGAAGGAGATTCTGAATAAGAAGAACATTTTGATGATATTGAAGGATTAGATGATGATAGTATGATAATCGATAAGAATGACAATACCTAAGATTTAGGAGGCAGCTAGCAAAACTAGCAGGAAAAATTTAAGATAAACAAGGAGCTAATATAGTGCAAATAAAGAGAAGAAGAGGTGTTATTTGAAAGAATAAAGTATGAAAATGAATAAAATATCATAAATGAATAGGATGAAAAGCTAATTAAAAGTATAATTAATTTAGAAAATAAGCAAGCAATATTCTAGAAGTATGTCCAAAAAAAGAAAAGGCAACTCTAATTATAAAATTTGCTCAACTTAAAGGAGCAGTAAATGAAAAAATAATTTTAAAACTCTGTCTTTACTAGCTCAAGCCCATTTAAGAGCAAGCAGACTTAAAATACCAAGCAGAGTGAATTAAAAAACTAATCAATTTAAAGTTTATCTAACATGAAAATCTAGAATGAAATTTCTCAACCAGAAGACTTTGTTAAAACTAATGTTTAGCTAGGAAGATAAACATCATATAAAATGTAAAATGGAAAACCTGTGCATGAATAGTCTGTTATTTCCTTTTTAAAATCAGATCTTAAAATATTAGATTCACCAAAGTCTAAAATTTATAAACCTTTTAACAGAACAACAAAGCAATAGGATTTAATTACTTAAGGAAGTGATACTTCTTCTAAAAAGTTAAATCTTGTAAGATTAACTTAACTATCAGCTCCAAAATATGCTAATTAATAGTAAATATTTTATTTATTTATTTTTCATTTTAATTTTAAAAAAATTTTAATTTTCATTATTAAAAAATTATTAATTTGCAATTTCTTCAAACAAACTCAATAAAGATTAAATTTATGTTTGTGAAGTTTTGATCCAAAATTAATCTCCTTTTTCAAAAAATCTTAAAAAATAAAATTTTAAAATAAATCAAACTTAAGAGCATTATTTTTATATTAAGTATTCAACAATAATGTCAAAATAACTTTAAAATTTCTGTTAAATTTTATTGAATCACTAATAAATTTTAAATCTCTTAAAAAGGGATAATATAAAAATTAATTTTTTATAATAAACAATATTATTTTTTAAAACTAAAAATTCTCTAAAAAAAATAAAATGTTAATCATTTTATAACTAAATTTCCTTTTTAGTTTTCAACTTTTATTCTGTTTTAATATTTATGATTGAGCTTATTGAATATAATTTATTTTTATTAAATAGATTCATGGATCAGGTAACAAGAAAAGATAGTTTTGACTTGTTTAGTACCTAGGCCACATCAGGAAGAAAACCTTTTTATAGTACTAATTACTCAACTTTAAAGAAAAATAAAGATAGAAATATTAGCAAAAGTTAACAAATAGATTTTTACACTTAAAAAAAAATAAACTAGGCTGAAATTGATTAAATGAAATTAAATTTTTTAAACTTTTTTGATAGCTGTTTTGATAAAAAGCATTAATTTGAAGAAGAAAAATAGAAACTTAGACTTGAAATAAGTGATTGGTATTGCCAAAATTAATAACAACTCACAAAGTTGTCAAATTATACAGGCCCGAAGCTATCTACTCTTTCTTAAGAGTTCAAGTAGTTTATTGAATAAAAGAACTTTAAAAAGAAGCTATTTAACTATTTAATAAACACAATGGAATAAAAAGATAGACAAATGGCTATTTATTTATATAAATAAGATAGATAATTAGATGACTTATGAGTGATTTAATTCTATTTTTATATTAAATGCAAACGTTTTTTCTAAATATTCTATCCTTAAAAATTGATTTGAGTTTAAAAAAAATTAAAATTAACTAAAAACCTAATTTTTAAATTTAAAAATTTTCATAAAAAATTAATTTTAAAAATAAAAATTAAAAGGTTATGAATAAAAATTATAAATGTTAAACCAATTTAAAAAAATTTATTAGATATTGCAAAAAATGTTTTTGATTTAGAAAAAGTTAAATTATCATTTATAAACAAATTAATGAGCTAGTTTGATCTTAAAGGTGAATTAATTTTACTAAAATAATAAATTAATAGATAATATATCAAAATTATGAAACAAAAGTAAAAATAAAACACTAATTTTTAAAATATATTAATTTATTAATACTTTAATTTTAATTATAAAATAATTGTTGATAATAGTAAAAATACTTAGTACCAGCTAAATCTTTTATATGAGATCTTTTTTAATTCTCTTTAAACATTTTTAATATAGAAATTTAGTTTCAGAATAATTTATTTAATTTGAATGAATTAAATATTTGATATGTTATTACTTAAACTTTATAAATTAATTTTGATTTTGATTTTAGAAATAAATTTTTTATTTGACAAAGAAATCAATTTTATAAAGAAGATCGATCTTAAAAGTAAATTAATATTTGAATAATAATAGATAGATAATATGCAATATGTATATATAGTTTTTAATATCAATGTTATAAAACAAAAGTAATAAAAGGAAAGAAATTTTATTTGTAGTTAGATTAAAAGTTTGTTTTTTAGAATCTTGCGATTTTTCTATCAAGGAAAATTAATTTTTATTATTATTGTTGACTAAAATAAATTATCTATATTTTTATTGAATTATTTTTATTATTATTATTGATTTAGTCTTTAATTCGATTAAATTATTATTTTTTATTAATAAAATTCTTATTTATTTATTTAGATAAATATATTGATAGATATAAATTGCTTTATTTATTTATTTAGATAAAATCAATGAGATTATTGATTGGTGATGGATGATAAATAGTTTAAGATGCATTTTATTTTGAGTCATAATTATTTTATTTTTGTAATTGAATTTCAATTGGCTATTAAATTTATTTAATGTACAAAATTTGTTTGGTTTATAATGTTGTGTTTTCAGAAGGCATTATCCCAGTTTGGATCACGAGCCATTCCTATATTATATTTTGTTGAATCTTTATCTTACTCTTACTTTATTTTTTGTATAACTAATTTGCCTTCTCTGTATTTCTTTTCTAGCATATCTGAATTCAGAAGTTTTTCTTAGGGAGGAATGTAAGGTGGTGAAATTTATTTATTATAAAGCTAATCCCATTCAAAATTATCAAACCATGGATTTGTTTTTAGAGCAGCATAACTACCTCCTAACCTGAGTTCGGGAACTTTTTATAGCAATTACTCAATTAATAGCTTAGCTTTTCTGTCTTTCAAGAAAGGGGGGAATTTTATATCCTTTGAATTTATCTCTTCATAAATTTCATATGGATCTTGAGCGTCTTCAGCATAAGGAACTTATCCACACATGAATTCGTATAGACAAATTCCAACACTCCATAAATCACTTGAATATGAGTAACCTTTACCTTTAATAATCTCAGGAGCCATATAATGGGGAGTACCAATAATTGTAAAGGTACGTCCTATTGATTTACCTTTACTCAAAAGTTTGGCAGCACCCATATCAATCATATACATATAGCCCGTATGGTCAACCATCATATTTTCTGGTTTGACATCTCTATAAATAATTTAACGTGAATGAAGGTACTCCAAGCACAAAATAAGGGAACCAACATAAAACTGAGAGTCGAAAGTGGAAAGTAAACCAATATCACGAATTACATCAAAAAGTTCAAGACCATTGATGAATTTCAGCAAGAAGTAAACAGATTAATCGTCTTTAAAGGTACGAATGAAATTCATTATGAATGGGAATTGTATCATTTCCAATACATTCTTTTCTGATATTAAATGCTTTTCCAAATTTTATTCAATAATTTATCCCTTTGAGACGCTCTTTAAAGCATAAAGCTCTCTTGTATTTTTTCTGCGAACTAAATAAACGCTACCAAATTATCCTACACCCAGCTTTTTGATGTAAATTAAATCTTCTAACTTGATATGTGAATAATCTTCTTTTTAGTTTTCTCTTTTCATTTTAACTTCGTGAGAATCTACATTTTTCTTTATTACTGAGAGAACATCACCGCCAATACATTTGTGGAATTATTTAAAGCTGATTGTAGATAATACAGCATCAGAGCCAATAACTATTCTTTAATCAAACTAAATATTTTAATTTGTTAGAGGAAGATAATAATCTCCAAATATTTAACCCTTATCAGCTAAAATTTATCCGCTGTCTTCTCCTTTGATATTACCATCTAAGACTGCAATTAAGGTGTCACAGTAATCCCCCTTCTCATATAATACAGTACCATTCTTATAATTTGATATCTTTGTGTTCATTAGAATTTTTTCAACTTATATATTTGTGAGTTTAAGTAGAAGCTGGTTATTGTTGTAAGCCCATCTTTGTTTATTTGCATAAACAATTTTTTAGATCTATAAATAATTTATTAAATAGATTAATTTGACTAAATGTAAATAAATTTTAACAAAAGATCTTTAATTATTAATCAAGGAAATTAAGATTAAAGTGCAAACTTAATTCTTAACCACATTTTTTCTAAAAAATTTTTATTAACAAATTGGCATAAAATTTTTATTTTTATAATTTATAAATAGAATATTTTAACATTTCGCTAAAGAGGCTCGCTTGTTTTAATTTACTGTAACTTAAATACAAAAAAATTAATAATTAATTGATAATATTACTTTTCCACCTAAAATTCTAGTTAAGTCATCACGTCCTAATGAAAGCAATTTCACTTCTTCATCAGCTTTTACAGTAGCTGCTCTTGTAGATTTTATATAGAGCGCTTACTCACCAAATGAGTCACTTTAGTATAAATTTCTAATCAAAACCCCATTTTTCCATACAGATACTTTACCTTCCTTAATGAGATAGAAGGAATCAGCTCTATCACCTTCACTTACAATATTATCTCCAGGTTTAAATCTTACAGAAATCAGTGCTGAAGCAATACTGTCCTTTTGTTCATCACTCATAAAACTAAAGAATGGCACACTCTCCATAAACTTTCTATTAGTTTGAGAATCTCTTTAGACAATTTCTTCGACTGTCTTTCTAAAGGTATGCCTATCTATAGCCCAAAATTAACAGTCTACAATACATTTGATACTAGCACTTCTAGGTGCACTGTAAAGTAAGGCAAGTTCACCTATTCCTGTTCCTGGTCCTAATTATTTCTTTTCTTATTCATCTATTTCAATTGCAATAGTACCAGATTTAATAAAAAAGAAGGCAGAAGCTTTGTCTCCTTGCTTAAAAAGATACTGATCTTTCTTTGTTTAACAAAGGAACATCTAATTAGCTACTTCCTTTATTTAGTCTTCTGAAAGCGAATAAAAGACAGAGTTATTCTTTAAACTTTAAATGATAAAATCATTTTCTTCTTAGTTAGGTTTTTTAGATTGTCTTGTATAATTTTCTGTTTTTTCATCTTAATTTCCGCTTTACAAAAATAACTTATTGTTTTGCTATCCTTCTTTCCTATTTTTACGCTCGATATTTAACTAATTTTCTGAGCCTTATTTTTATTATTCAAACCCATCTTTGAAGGTTTTTGAAGATATTTGCGCTGGAGACGGGGAAGGCATTTCATTTTTTGAGTTACTATTCATCGCTGGCAAATATCCTCCCTAAGCTCCATCTTAAAGTTAATTAGGTATAGTTTTACCTAGAAGTTCTTAAACATCCATTGAGGGTCTTGGCTTACTATTTGTTACCGTACGACGAATCGATATGCTATTTTCTTTTGCTAACTTTGGTGGACTTATTTGCTATTATTATGTAATGTTAGTATTCACTTGAGAACCTTGTTTCATTAGTTATATTGATGCTGAATTACTTCCTGGAACTTTTTAGCTCTAATTTATTTATAAGGTGAGTCCTTTTTAATCTGCATCAGTGCCAGCAGGACTAACCTTTTTAGAATTATTATTTTTACTACCAAGAGTTTAGTTAGCATCTGTATTTTTCAAATCTGTATCTATAGATGTACTAGTTTATTTTCCTTTATTAGCTCCATTCTCATTAGAAAACTAGGATTTCTTCTGAGGGATGTTTGGAGCTATTTTAGAATTTGTTCCACAACCCATTTATTTAGTTAATATGATGATTAAAAAGTTATCACAGAAAATGTTTAATTTAATTAAAATATTCTTATAAAGGCTTTTAATTACTATACTGGTTTTAGGATTTACAAAATCTATATAATTTTACAATCTATTAATCTTTCCTTGGTTTAAAAGAAAGAGAGCGAATGAATGAATGGCAATTACTAAATTTTAAGCTAAATATCAAATATTTTCTATATTGAACAAATAATATAAATTCTATTTTATTAATATAATTATTGTTTTAGTTAAATTCAAGTAATAGCCTAAATTATTGAGTTATGTAGAGTTTATATTTGCTTTGAGGATCCGTAAGTAAGGATATAATACTTTAGAAATAATAATTTGTCAATGCTAAAGTATGAAATTTATATTAGTTTTTAATCAGCTTAAAAATTCTCTTTTTAAAAATTTAGTATTTCACTATCTTTTTTAAGTACCAAGTAAAATGGTTTAAGCTTTTTCAAGTGTCCTAAGAATATTGGTTGCTAAAGAAATCTAACTTTTACTATTATAAATGAGTGTAGTGAATTTTTTTGCCTTTCTTTGTTCTTTTTTTTAATTAAAATAAACGATATTTCAAGTCTATATTTTCTTGAAACTCTTTAAATTTTTATATCAATTTATGTAATATATTCAAAAACAAAAGTTAGACAAACCCTAGAAAAATAAGCTTTCTATCAAAAAAATATATTTTGTGCTAAAAATTTTTTGATTGTCTCTTATTCTTACTTAATTTATCTTTTGGTTATGTGTTTTTTGACTTATTCGAACTTATTAAAAAAACTGTAAGTATTTTATTTGAAAATACTAATTACTGTTCATTTGATGTAGCATTAACTTTTTTATCCTATTCAACATTTTATTTAAAATTCGTGAATATAATGATTTTTAATTCTAAAACTGATAGTCAGTAAGAATATTTCATAAATAAACATACATTTAAAGAGTCTTTTAAAATGATAATTTAAAATTTAGTTAATCTTTTATTATTAGAAGAAAATTCGTCTATGTCCATAAATTACTTTATTTTTATTTAAAATAATAGGATAGTATGCTAATAATCGAGTGGGTCAAAACATAATCAAAAATTAATATCAATCTAACTAGATCTACTATTTAACCATCTAATAAATCTAAAAAGATACAACAATCAAGCTTTATAAAAGGAAAATGTAAATAAATATGCAAAAATTCAAAATCTTTAAATGTTTATTCTTTTAACCTGATTAGATATGCAAATTGTTTATTTTTTTTCATTCCTTTTATTATTTAATATTCAAAATTACATTTATAATTTTTGTGAATAAATAAAATTCACAACAAGCTCGAATTATAAAATCAAAAAAAATAATAAATCTTAATCTGGTTAAATTAATAGCGTGAACCTCAAAAATATTTATAAAGCTATTTAAAGGTTAATGCAATATAATCAAATAAATTAAAACAAATTTAAATTTTGTAAAATTAATAAACTCAAATAACCCTAATACTTCCTTGGATATTTTTTTAGCGTATTCTCCTTTAAAATTAAATACTTGGAATTTAAGGTAAATCGCTTCAAGGTTGTTTTGTATCTTTTGAAAATTGCATTTATAAAAATGTAAGCTAAATGATGTGGATCTAAAATTTATAAAATGAAATTGTATTACATAAAATTCATGTATCTTTATAACTACTTTTCTTCTATAATTTTTTTTATGATTAATTTTTCTATAGGGTATAAAATATATTAGTAGTATAATTAAGAGTTACTCAAGTACTTATCAGCTCATTTATAAAATAAAATTCAAAAAAGGATTAATTTCTCATAGAAATAAATATTAAGTGATAATTAATTAATTAGCAAGGACTTAAAATATGCTAGCATATACTGTGGTTATTTGTTATTTTTCTCATTATAATTTGTCATTAAAATATCATTCTATTTATTATAAAGAGAAATTGACTGATTTTTTGGAAAATTGTAACTTTTTATTCAAATTAGAATAAATATACTTATTAATTTAAATCTATTATAATTTTTTTTATAGTTTATTTATTATTTTTTAAAATATTCCAATTTAAATTTCTAGTTGGATCCAAAATTAATGAAAATAAAATATTACACCTTGACATAAAACCTGATAATATTTTAAGAAACAATTATGGTTAATATACTTATACTGATTTTGGTTTTCAACTATTAAAACAACAGAAAAAACACATGGTTAAATGGAAGAAATTATTTTTTTTATAGATTTATTTCTAAGAATAAAAGAAATAAATAATAAACAAGAGTTAAAGGATGAAGTCTTTACTTTTCATCAACATAGTAAAAAGATTTATTTTATAAAGAACAGACTTATCATTAAATTTATTTTAAATCAGATATTTTTTCTTAAGTAAAATCTTTAAATATGGTGATATATTTTACAAATAAAATATTATTAAACAATGTCCAAATTAAGAAGACTCAAACATTTAAGATTTATTAAAATAATCTAATGATACTAATGAAAAAATATGTTAAAAGATATTCAATTTCAAAGGAAAGATTGTGTAAATTTACGCCAAAGATTTTTTGATTTATTGATTAAACTAAATCTGATGTTTATTTAGAATCATATTCTAAAAAAATAAGTAAAATACTTGATTTATTTTTCTATAATAAAAATAGGAAATCATCCTTCAATAGCTAAATCTCTAAATAATATTGGTAACTATTATCAATCAATTGGTTATCACCAAAGAGCTTTAAAATATTTTTAGTAATCTCCTGAAATGAGAAAATAAATTTACTAAGAAGACCTTTTTGAAATAGCTGTATCACTTAGTAATACTGGGTTTTGTTACTTCGGACTTGTTAAAAATATAAAAAATTAAAAATTCTAAAAGAATCTATTGAAATTTAAAAATAAATATTTAAATAAGAAATAGTTATATTGTTCCAGATACACTCAACAATATTTGTATTTGCTAAGATTCCCTTGGAAATAAATCAGTTGCAATAGAACATTTTTTTAATATATGAATATATGTAAATATATTCCATGTAAGAATTCCTCTGTTTTAGCATCATCCATAAATATTATTGGATTATGCTTTCAAAATATTGGCAATAAATAGAAAGTATTATAATATTTTTAGAAATTCTTTATAATGAATAAAAAAATTTTCAAAGGTATTCACCCATAAATAGCATTAATTATGAATAAGTACTTGGAGATGACTAAAAAATCTAAGAATTAATATTGGAATATATTAAAATAAAACAATTAATTTACAAAAATAACACCCTGATAATTCAATAGCTCTTAATAATCTTGTTCATAATTAAAAATATTTTGGTGAAAATTAAAAAAGCTTTAGAGTATTTAAAACAATCTGTAGTATAGGGGGAAAATTATATCAACCAACGATAGCAGCTATTATCGATAACATTTATGTTTGCTATCAAAATCTTAAAAATTACAAAAAAGATTTGGGATTTAATTTCAATCTTACGAAAGAAAAAAATATAAAGATACTTGTATCTTAGCTATATTGGAAATTCATATTATATTCTAGTTAGAATACGTATTGTAATTTCATGTATGATATGTAAAAATTATCCTGAATTAATTAATATAATAAAAAAATATTATGACTTTATTAATATATATAATTTCTCTTTAATCATTTTTAAAATATTGGATGATCAATATCACTAATATATGGTTTTTCTTTTTCTCTATACGGCTTAGCTGGAAATTTATAATTCATTATTTCAATAATCTCTTCTTTTATTTCTTACGATCCTTTTAGTTTTTACAAATTACAAATTTAATATTCTAATTGATTTTAATCTTTCGTAAAATTGAATATTAATTTAGATTCTTAAAAAAATATTTTTTTTACTGTATTCCTCAAATATCAAAATTACTTAAATTAAAGCATTTTTTATGATTGAGTAAGCTAATAAGCATTAAAAATGTTAATAGTTGCCTTTTTATTTAATTTAATTTATAGAATTGTGGTGGATTACTTTTAAAAATTTCATTTGCTATTAAATTTAATAATTAAAGACAATCTATTTATTTAAAATTTAAACATTACCTTTTAAGGGTGGAATTAATATTCCTAATTCTGTATTACTTATGTAAAGCTGAGTATTATCTTTATTTAGCTTTCCCCATGCTGCTTCAGAAAAATTATGACTAATTTATCGATATTTTAATAAATTAATTAATCTTTTAGTTTTTAATAGTAATAAAATAAGTATTGAACCTTCCAATATAAATGATTGAATCATCATTTATTTCTCCATTTTACTCACAGACTATCATAGTCTTAAAATGAGGAATAATTCCTTTTTGTTTATCTTGGGATTCACCCAAAGAATCCATTTACTTGCATTAAAATTAGTAAAATATATTTTTAAGAAAAGACTCTTTTTAGTATCTTTTACTAGTTAAAAATAAAGTATCAGAATAGCCAGCTCCATCTAGAGTTTTATTTTAAATATAATCCTTAGAAGGGAATATTAATCTAATTTCATCATTTTTTTCTGGGTCATTTTTTTTCACTTTATCTTTAAGCTCTATTTCGCTGCAAAATTGATAAGGTAAAAAGCAAAACAAAAATTCATTAACAAAGGTTCTGTCTATAGTACCTAAGCTAGTGCTTTGAGAGTATAGAACTTTTTTTGAGTCAATCTATATTTTTTAAATTATAAATAAGTAAAGTAAAGCAGTAAAATATTTATTGACAAAAATATATTTATTTTAATTAATACAAATCATTAATTAGTTAATTAAATAAATAATAATTATCAAATTTCAATTTAATTTAATTATAATTTAAGTTTGATATTTAAAAATTTTATTTACATAAAATAACAATATATATCTATTTAATTCTAAAATATTAAAACTTAACTTACATTTCTTGGATTGAATACTTAACAAATTTTTCTGATCCTCATCTTTCCATAATCATGTATTTAAGAGCCTGAAAACTTTCCTGGAAGAGAGGAAACAAGCATAAAATTAATTCCTTTTATTTAATAATTTCTTAAATTAATATCAAGCATCTCCTTAACATCAAAATAGGGACATATTTTATCTATAAATTCATTAAGCACATCTATAAAATCCTCATTCATATCTACATCATTTATGTTTCTATAATTTTTTTCTAGATTAACAACTTTGACTCCTTTAGATCCTATTGAGATATTACTATTAAAATAGTCTAAGCTTTAAGAAACTTAAATTTGTTATGGTATCAATTCAAAATCTTTAAACCATATAATATTTGACCAGTTAGTCCAGTGAAGAATTCTTAAATTTCCTGTCCCAATCACTATTCTAAGAAATTTAGGGAATTTAAGTATCCACAATTTCGAATGAAAGCAACCCCAAGTTTTAGAAAGATAGTCTTTTGGAGGATAAACTATTGTAAAATTTTCAAAATATTAATGATTTTTAATCACATTTCTTTTCTCATTCCATTATTTTATCTTATCATCAGCAATAACTACCTATTAATTTAAAAATTAATTTACTTTAAATTCGAAATACTTCTTTTTAATATTTTAATTATTCATAAAGCATTTTATAAATTACTTTGAAATTTTTTAACGTTCTTAAACAAAAAGAGTTTTAGTATTTTGTTAATTTATGTAAAAGTAAAAAAATTTTTAAATTTGAAAAATATAAAGAGAAGCTTACTTTGACATTTGCCTTCACTAAAGGAAGCACAAGTTCTTCATCTAAACCTTTAGTAGTCAAAAAGGCAGAAATTAAGGTCTTTTTCGGGCATAAATTTTTTTCTGTTTAAATTGATTTAAAATTAAAATACCCGCATAATAATAAATAAATTAATTCATATCCAATAAATAATTATGCTTTTAAATTTTTAAAATCTATATTTAATTAGTGCTACCTTTATAGAAAGGGTCTTCATAAAATAGAGCGCGAAAGTTAATGAAATGCTTGTTCGTTTTCAGATTTTTATGATGCACTAGTTGATTCATGTAAAAATCAGTCAATTTATTTTTAGGTTAATTTTCTTACTATTCGTTTTATCTGAATTTAATAGGAGGAAAGCAGGTATACTCGCTCTTAGAAACATTTTAATGAGCTTAGTCAATAGAATCATTTTAGTATATTCTTTCGCTATATAATTTAAATTTATTCCTTTCTTCAAGCTCTCCTAAAGTAAATTCTTCAGCTTCATTCTACTGAGAATATTATTTGTAATCTCGTTTTTTACTGCTTTTATTGTGTGAGTCGAAGCTATTTTCAGAAATTAAATCACTTCTTATTTCTTCCATCAATAATTTCTTCAGATTAATTTTTTTAAATTTATTATTTTAGTTAATTTAAGTTAAAAAAAGTAGTAAAATAATATCTTTTGAGAAAAAAATTTATATGAATAATCAGAAAATCTACTTTAAATATTTCAATTATTTTTGAAGAAAATTAGGTAATAGAAATAAATGGATTTCTGATCAATAAATTATAATCTATTTATAATAATTAAATAATATAAAAGTGAAAATGTATTTATGTGTGTAGTGATTATTTAAGTTTTGGAATAATAATAGTAATTAATTTAAAAATATCTAGATTTACATAGATAATTTTTGTTGTTAATTAATAAAAAACTAGTGAATTTTTTTTTTCTTTGAAAATTAAGTGAAAAACAAAAAAAAATTTAGATTTTTCTTATATTTTTTAAAAGTTAATGATTTATTAGTAATGTTGGATCTGTCATTAGGAATGTGCATTTTAAGATAATGTTTTAAATTAAAAGAATTTAAGCCCTTGCTATTGCAAAGGTTCTCTTGAGAGTGTACATAGAGAATGCTTAAATCAATGGGTCACCAAACGCTATAAAAAAATAATTAATGAAATTGATGTAAAAGAAATATAGAAGATGGAAGATAGCGACTTTTAAAATCCATCTCATCCAGTAATGAAAAAACTAGCAATAAAATGTCCTAATTGTAAATATTCTCTTAAATATGAAGTTATTGAACTTCCTTAGTAACCAAGTATAAAGGCTATTTTTGAACATAATTGCAAAGAAAAAATTATATTATTGATTTTGGTAGTATTTTAAATAGGCTTGTTAGTATTAGATTATTAAAAGAATGATTAAAGAGAGTAAGGTTAGCAGTGTAATAGCGAGACAGATTACGATAGGAAAATGTGTAGTTTATAGTAAAGCCCTGATATTGAAAACAAACAAGATTTTGATATAGTAAATATTTTGTACATATTCACAGTATTTACTGTTCTGATAGCTGCTGGATACAACATTTTTTCAGACTCTAAAATTAATTTTGGCATACAAGTAAAAGACAAAGATTATGTAGAAAACATATCAAAAATACAAGCTAACATCGGCTTTAATGATAGTTGCTTGTAAATAAAATAAGGATGAAGCTGCTTAAAAAGAATAACTAAATTACCTTATTAGAGCTATAAAAATAGATTCAATAAAAGAAATAAAGTAACAAGACTACTTTAGATATATTAATAACTTATTTATTTAAAAAACTTACTCCTTATTTAAAACTGAAAATCCTGCTCAAAAAAGCAAAGTACTAAAAATATTTTTCAAAAAAGATAAATATAACGACTAGATAAAATATTTGCTATATTAAATTTAACAAAATATATTACAATTTTATAATTAATTACTTGTTCTTTATTTGCATAAGATTGCATTTTATTTTCAACAAAATATTTTTTAATTTAAAAAATTATTCTGGTTTGTTAAGTTATTTCAAATAATTTCAGCTATTATTTTGGTTAAGAATAACTAAATTTTTTCTATTTCAAATTAAAAAATCTATCATTAATTTGGTAGATTTAGTACTTTTATTCTTTCTAACTTAAAATTAATTAATTTGATATTATTCAAATATCTTTAAAGGATAAATAAGAAATTTTATTTTTGCTTATTAAAAGTTTTTAAATATCTTTAAATATCTTTAAATTTTAAATAAATTAAAAAATAAAATTAACATAAAACAAATTATCAAGTACGAAAAAAACTGCAAAATATTAAGCATTCTATTTCTATCTAAAAATAAAAGATAAAATTAATTTCATTTTCATTATTTTTTATTATAAAAAACTGAAATTTAACTAAAAATACCTTTTAATATAAAATAATATTTTAAATTTACAAAATTTCTATTTTAATAACTAAAAATATTAGTTTGTATTTTTATAAACTCAATTTAGTAGAAAAAAATATATTTATAGTTATTTATTATAAAACGTAGCTATTACTATAAAATAAATTATCTACATAGATGAAACCAAAATACTTTTTAAAATGATAATATTAGAAAAATACTAAAACAGAAAAAATAATAATTAAATAATGATATAAGTAAAATATTTTAAATCTTTAATTTTCAATAGTTTTCTAATATAAATTATAAGAATGATTTGTAAATAGCTGTATTTAAAGGTTCGTATTATTTTTAGTTATGCAGCATGAAAGTAAGTTTGTCATTAGATGAAATTATTGAATTTAAGTAAGTTAATGGAATTTATGTTTTCTATTATAAAATAAATTCAAGTAACTCTTAAGCAGATGTGGTATTCCATATTTTAATATATCTTTCAAGGACATCATTTTAAATCTTTAAATGGCCCACTGGTAATATTTAGTTTATCTCTTTTAAAAATATCAAATAATGGTTTAGTAATTTAGATCTTCCTTTTTCTGAATATTTTTTTATGCTAGATGCATTTTTGAGGAATTCTTATGTCCACTATTCTAGAATATTCCTATAAATATCTAATTAGACTGTGGGGCTTAAGTAATAGTTATTATTTTAATTATTTGCTGACCTTTAATTATAGCTGATATTGTCTTTTTCTAATTTTTACTTAAATTCTTTGAAGAAATAAAGACTATTATCAATATATAAAGGTTTTTAAGTATCTATTGTATAATCTCCTGGTTTCCAATTTACTTAGCCAAAATCTTAGAAAATATTTTCTTTTTCAATTTATTGTCTACAGTAATCACGAATAATAAAATTCTTCATTTGTTTTAAATAATTTTGTATTTCTTAATTGATTATTTTTTCAACAAAATTTTAAACTGAACTTGTAGAATCAATTAAGCTTAGATGAGAAATTATTTGGCCTTTAACAAGTTATAAATATTTGTTCAATGCATATATACTTTACACAGAAGACAATCTTTGCTAAAAATCAAATTAAATCATTAGCTTTTGTCTTCTTAAATTACTACTCTCTGTTGCTACTGAGCTATACATTTAAGAATTATTAGTCTTTTTATGAATACTTCCTTACATTTAATTATTTTCATTAATATTATTGATTTAGTAATTATTGTTAGCACAACTTAAGGTGAAAATATTCATATCTCTGTTACAATCTGCATAATTTACTTAATTTTACTATACTTACTGTGAATATTTTTGAGATATTTTATCATTATTATTGTACTAACTAGAAGAAGTATTTATCTATTCATTATCACATTCAAAGTAATCGATTGACCTTACAATCATAGCTCTTAATTCTTTATAAGGAAGGTATTTTAATAAATTTTCATGAATAGGAGCTAATTAATTGATCTATTTTTCAATATTCTAAATTGAATTAGACATGCTGTGTACATCAATACTTGTATTTGTAAGTTCCTCAAATCTTTAATTATCAATAAAAAGCCCAAATATTGAATAAAAATAAAATTCAATGATTTTTTGAACTTCTAAAAATATTTCATATCCTATTGGAGTTAAATATTTCATCAATTAAAGATAACTATGAACACATTCTATTAAAAGAATTGCGCTTTAGCAACAGTATCCCACTTCATCTTACTCTTCAGGTTTGACAGACTCATACATTTTCATTCCTGGATTACTAATATTATCTTATTAAAATATGTCATACTAATTTATTGTGGGTTTAGCTTTTCTTTGAAAGAGTGCATTTTAGCTACTCTATAATGTATTAAATTAGGTCTAATCTAAGTCATCAATAGGATCATCTGGATCTTTCATAGAAATCTGTTTAAATGGTCTTTATATAATAAATAAATAAATAAATAAAATTTAACTAATAACTATCAATTTTTTTTACTTAAAATTGTTATTAATCTCAGCAAAAATAGGATCAAAAGAGTAGTTGAGTAGAATTCTATTCTAAGAAGTAAAAGCTTTAACAGAAATAGTGGGATTAAATATTCTTTTGCTCTAATCGTGCATTATTGAACCTTCTCTTTCATTTTTAGATTATATTCTTAATAGACTAAAATACAAATTATTTAAATAAGATTCAGGGAGTTTATTTCTCGACCAATTATCTTTTAAAATAGCTTTTCTTAGCTGTTTGATTTATAAATCAGCATGGGATTTCAGCTTTTACATTAAAATCTTTTTAAATACTTATATAGTGTCTGATAAATTAGCATCGTTGTCGTATTCTTTTACAATCAACATCATTTAACTAATCATCACTACAATTTTATCAATAACTGCATTTGAGTATGTTTCTAAATTCATATTTAGAATCAAAATCTAAACCTTACTCAAAACTGCTTCTGATACTTCCTTTTTCATACCTTATATAGCTTGGTCAAGTTATTTCAAATAGACTATAAAATCTGTTTCTCTTGTAGTATTAGTACCAGTATTATGATTTGACTAAAATTAGCTGTGGAACCTCTAGCATTACTCTAAATTGAATAACAAAAGAGTGATATGATGAAATATTCTCTTCATAGATTCAGCATACTGTTCTCCTGTCATGTATTATAATTAATTCAAATTTACAATATTTTAATTTTTTTAGAAATTATCATCAAATCTTTAAGAAGCATGCAGATTACTTCTCTTTTCTATGTAACTCTAAGCATTTTAAAATGATCTTAGTACTGAAATATCCAAGGCCTTTTTAACATACTGCACCATCATCTTTTAACAATATTAATTTATGTTAAGAAAACTCTATTTATTTTTATATAAATAATTTTATTTAATTTACCTTTGAAAGAGGGATTGCAATCTAAAACTGCTTCTCTAGAATAAAATAAGATTTCAGTATGTATTTATACTTCTCCAAATTAAAAGGCTAACTATTTATTCTGAGAATAGGACTGTGCTCATAGCTACAAAACAATTCGTTTGTTAAAATTTATTATAATATAGAATATATTTTGTTGAGCTTATCTGAAATATAAATTTATCCATTACTCAAACACTTTAGCACTTTAAGACTTTATGATTATTAACTCTATAAATATTGCTGATTGCAAGAGTCCAAAAGGACTAATAGATCTTCGAACTGCTAGATATTATTAATAGAAACTGATATCTTAGCTGAATAAATAAAGCTACTATACTTAAGCTAAAATTTTTATAAGAAATTAATAACAAATTCAACTCTTTTTTTCTTTTTTACCAACTTATTAATCTCCTTAAGTCTCTAAGCATATAATATTTTGTAATTTTGCAGCTTTATTTTAGCTTTCTATACTTTTCCTAAGGTATCATCTGTTACTGTTGCAACAACTTTGATCATTTCTGTTCCCATATAAAGAGTGTGTTAATTTTGCATAGCATTTTCTCCTATCTATTCTTTAACTAGTTCATCATAATTCTAAAGTTTTTCAATCCTAAACACAGCATTTTCAATGTTATCTAATACCATATTCTTTTTTTCATAAGCACTCATACCTGGATATGTCCTTCCAAAATGCAAATTAATTTCGTATTCTAAAACTTTTTCATAGTCGTATTCGCTAGTAAAGTAAACATCAGCTAATTCGTTTAAGTTTTCTTTTTAAGCTGAAGAGGAAACAATAGATTATTCAAGAATAGATTTTTATTAATTTTATTAACCATAATAATTATTTTGATAATTTAAATTATTGTTGTAATTTAAGGAATTATTTTGCATATTTAAATCACTATCATCAATATTATTAAATATTCTACGTCTTTAAGGCTATTATTGAAACTAATAATCCTCTTTATTAAATAACTGATGGTTATTGTATTAATTTTACATCTAATTTTACTCCATTCCAAATTATCTAACCTCATAGTCATTATGAGGATAAGAATTTATTTAATCTTGAGAGTTTTCAAATCTATCTTTACTAAACTTATTATAATTTTATTCATTATTTTAAAAAAAGATATTATTTTTATCTTTAGTATTGTTAAATTAATTTTCAAAATTATTTTAGTTAACTTATTAATTTTATAATTTATATTCAAACTAATTATTCATTCTATTTTATTGCTACTAAAATGACGAATCATTATCCTAGCTTATATCATCAAAAATTCTCCTTTTTGTGAACTTTTGCTATTAAATTTAATTGCCTTGATTCTCATTATAATTTCTAAATTATTTATAAAAACATAGATTAATTATTTAATTAAATCAATCAATAAATTATTTACCTATCAAATCCTGCTGAAATATTATTTTAATTATTTTAAAATCCTCTTTGAGGTATTTAATTTTCTGTAATTTATCTTTTTTAAAATTAATACTCTGTTTCTTCTTTTTAAAACCTATTTGCATTCATATTTTAATTGTGCTAATGATTATTGAGGAATTTATTTTAATTTGTAAAATCTTGTTGCTCGTTATAATCATTTTACTCATTAAATGATCCATAAGGAGAAATTTCATCCTAGCTTTCTTATTCTTAGTCATCATACTTATTATGAAATATTCTATTGTTTTTATTTTGTTGATTTTAAAGTGCATTTTGAGAGCGGCTATTCATATTGTTTTAATTTTAATTGTTTTTCATTAAATTTTCATCTAAAATCCATCCATTATTTGCAATCAAGTTTTTATCTTATTGATCTGGGTGTTTTTATTCTTCTTATTCCTATATCTATATTTCATTTTTATTTGGAGTTGTCTTCTTCTTATTAAATAATTTGTTAAACTAATCTCCTAAGTCATTTGCATACTTCTTTGCTTTAACTGAATACTCTGCTTAAATAGTTTTTATTTGATCTGATATTTTTTTATTATCTTTTTATTTATTATCATCATTGTTATCTTTATCATTAATCCCAAATCTATCTTTTAGTTTATTCATAATATTATTTTTATTTTCTGATTACTACTCATTTTGTTCATCTTTGAAAATCTTATCCTTTAACTTGTCAAAATATCCTTTTTCCTGCTTTTCACTCTTCTCTTCTGTCTTAATTAAATTTTGTGCTTGCCTTTTCGCTACATATTCTAATATTCCATCTTCCAAATTTTATACTTTTTTCTGAAATTAGCTAAACATAATTCAATTTTTGTAATATTCTATAAATTAAATTTTTTTAATTTTTAAAAGTTGATTTTTAATTATGAAAAAGAGTCAGAAAAAGTCAGAATAAATCAGAATAAATTGGGGTTGGGGTTGGGGTTGGGGTTGGGGTTGGGGTTGGGGTTGGGGTTGGGGTTGGGGTTGGGGTTGGGGTTGGGGTTGGGGTTGGGG